ACCGGTAATTAGTATCCGGGCTTGATTCTGCCGTCGAAACATTGCCAATTACCGCGGATTCGCCGCGTTGCAAAATGCGTAATAGTGTGGAACGTGTGAAAAAGCTGGAATAATAGAAAATACACAATCTGTCTTCGTCCCTGGAAAAATTATATTTATCCAATTTGGTGGTGCTTCGCTTTGAAGTAACACATGCCGCGTTTTTGATCCTTGAGAGTAGATACGGGTGATCAAATTTGGCCAGAGTAGAGTGTTTAGCAAAAAGGGAGAGAAGTTATCGGCGAAAGTCGGAAACTCGTTGAGCGATGGCTGTGCAAATGCATCCCAGATAGACGCCTTTGATCATAAAGTAAAAGGCATATTGAGCCAAGTTGTGTGGTGTTGTTTGAAAGTTGCGAAGTAAACTGGGCCACTCCAGGGGGCGACTTCCGGGCTCGATAGATTCAACGCATGGAAGCGATTATTGACACGCGACGTATTTTCCAAAGGACTAATTTGATTACCGTCGACTGGCCTTCTTTTGAAACAGTATCAAAACCGGCGAGTAAAGATCTGGAACCGGAGGTAGCCACTCATACGAGCATTTGTTCAAGGGTAAACGTGTCGAGAGCTAATGAGCACCTTGTGCAAGTGAGAGGCTTAATTCTCTCCAGTTTAGCTCAAAATTGAATAACTTCACCACCTCGAGCTGTGCACCAAGAGTTTAAGCCTTCTTATAAGCGCCTTAATCTTATGAAGGAAGTGATTTTCAAAAAAACTATTAGCCAAAGACGGTAGCCGCGCCAGCAGTCTGAAAGGGGCAAATCACCAGCGGAAGTTGCCAGCTTGATTACAAATAGCCAGTGCGTAGAAATTCTATTTACAAGATTTCCTCGATGATTACACAAGTGATTCTCTTCAAGAGAGAGAGATATTGCTTCATAGTATGAAGTTGATTCAGTAAAATGAAAATATATCTTACATTCTAAGCAACAAGAGGTACTAATCTGCTGACGCACTGTAAGTGCTAGAGGCAAAACGGATCAATATCCTAGTGAATATGATTTCACATTTAAACAAGGGCGTATTCTGTCCTCGACCAGAAACATCTGTAGCTGGCAGGCTCGACGCTAGTCGAACTAATCCTTCCCTTGTTGCGCCAGATTGAAACATTCTAAATTGCAATAATCAGACCCACTTCAGAGTACATAACGTTGTACAGCTACGCGCAGAGGAAATCGATGTTAGAATATATTGTGGATAGGAGACGAGCTAGGGTTATAAAAAAATGGCAGAATTATCTGAATATTATGTTTTGGTTGTTGTCGTAATTACTTGTTCTTCTTTATTGCTTTACAAATGTAAAACATCTTTGCTTCAGCAATCGAACAAATTGACAATTTGTGATCGTAGATGAAAACGCTTTTAGAAAATCGTGAGATTTCTTACGGTCTTCCAACATCTTGTTACATTGAAGAATTATCTCAATTATTTTCTTCGGTGGATATAAAAACATATTTCTTTACAAATGTAAATGATCTTTATTAAAATTAGAGAAGAATCTTCGATTGTCGTCAGCAAACGCCGAAGGAGCAAAATGTAGCTAGTTAGCTGAAAACGTTTTTTAGAAAAATGCGAGATTTCTTACGGTCATCCGTGGCTTTAACGAATCCTAAAGTGGTTGTACGGACAAGAGCGTAGCATTAGAAACACCTCATATTGGATTCGGCCTCATTGTGGCGTAATTCGTAACCCGATCAGTAGCCTAGAACAACCGCTCGCTAATTTGAGCACCCGTGGTCCCTTTTTTTTGTCGCCGAGATTTTTCTCCTCCACCGGTGGTTTTCTTGCACAACAAATATTTCCCGAAATGTTATCAAATTTTTATTCTAGTTTGTGTTGTGGTTTCAAATCTACGCGATAATGAGGACCGCAAGCGTGCATTTTTGCGCTAAAGAATCTTTTTAATTTCCTCAAAACCCCTTCTACTTCAGTAATGACATAGGGCAGATGAAAGAAACGCCGATCCCTTGGTATGCGACGCTATTCAACGTGGCGCGAAATTCAAAAACGCGAAAACCGCGCGCGAATCCTATTCTGGAGCGCTGCCAGTAGAAGCTGCCTTAACCGACTGGGTTCCGAATTTATGCAAATTTCTTTCTCATACTTATAGTTTTTTATGCATCACATGTTAGCCCACGTTTTGTCGCTTGGCAATATTGTGACGGGCTGAAAATGAAATGGCAGAAAACAGATTTGAAGGAGCGTCATAAGGAGGTGCAAATGGGTTGAATCGAATTTCATGTGAGCTGGCGCACCTTCTTGGCGACTTTTTAACACAACAAGATCAAGATCGAAGACGATCGGTATAAATGTCAGCGCCAGCTTGTTTTGCTGGCTGAAAAAGAGAAACAAACCTGATTTGTTATTCTTCTGTGAAAACGGTCAATTTATTAGAGAGTATGATTCTGGATTCAGCAGGACGTAAGCAAACGAGTTCTAATGGTTAAACTAGTTGCGCGACCGCGTGAAGTATCCAAGATCTGGCGTTGGTGGTGGCGTTAATGCTTTAAAAACCATCGCACAGCCTAGCTGAGGTGAATAATCCACTCGCAGGGGAGACCACATCTGACTAGAGTCAAAAAGTGAAATTTGACTGTCCACAGGTGTATACAACAACTGTATAAGTAACTGTACTTATCCGCAAAAAGGAAGAACATCCATTTATTTTTTCTTGAATTAGAATGATGATTTTTTATCATCAAAAACAGGCTACAATAATTATCTGAGCAGAACAATGTTCTTGAGTTGCATTATTGGCGAGAGAGTGAAAACAAATCTTAGCGTGTCTGTTGGCGAATTCGTGCAAATTTCGCGCTTGTGATAAATCTGACACTGGATGCAGCTGTACGGTGCGTTAGTTGCTTTGTCTTTAGCCTTAGCAGATTTTGTCAAGCGATGACCAACGTGAGCATTTCTCAACTAAAACAACCGACGACTTGATACTTGCATTGGCAATCACATACACACACATCTGCTGTTCTTATCTGTTAAGACGTCTTTCGCCTTATCAGTGATAGAATGGTATATGTTGAGCGATGAAATGATCGCCGCCGAATCTGGTTTCTTCGTGGGACCGTTCCAAAGACAACGCATATTAAATTGGCAATACGCGTAATTATAAAATAACACGCAATATGGTCGACTTGTAAAACAAACACGCCCGAATCGATTTGATAATCGACTGACATCCGATGTTATACAAGCCTTAACAACTTCTAACGCTCTTTAGATTTAATATTTTGAAGCTATAAAACTCGCAAGACACAATTTGTCACCCGCAATGAAAATAAGTTATGCTTCGATTATTCCATAGATATTTACAATCGAAAATAAGATATCAGTGATATCATGCAAGAAATATTAAAACGGATCGTTTATTGATTAGTAAACGAGTAGTAGAGATGCATTCTATGCTTCTATGACAAGGATTTCGTCTATTGTTTCAGAATTAGCGATAGAATTTCGATTTCGGTACTAATCTCATCGAAGCAGTAGCTTCCGGTTGCCAATGTGGCGCGGCAACTAACACCACCAGTGCCGCACTGACGGTGACTTTACGTAATAGAATCATCCTTCAATGATTTTTTTGATTTCTTCTGACAAAATCAACCAATCTTGCTAACATGAAATAAACGCAAAAATATAATATTTTATAATTCTAATCTAATTATAAATATTGCTCTCTCGAAAAAATACTTTCTCATCCTTGCTATCAGTTCTACCACATTAGACATAAAAATCTGCTGGTATTTCTTAAATATTATTTTCATATTCATAACTAATTTCAAAGTATCTAAATATATATTTTGATAATAAGACATCTATCCCAGATGAAACTTCGAGCGGTATCTTTTTACTTCTTATTGATTTACGTCAATCGTGGTACTACCAGGATGGTAGACCGAAATTATCTGATCTTATTATTCAGAAACAAAGAAAATTGTTGTTAACATACATAACATTATACGCTTAATCGTAAGATGTTCAAAGTATGCTAAGAATAATGTGTACTCATCCATGATTCCTCGCCATTTTTATTCGAAATTAAGGCGATAGTTCGAAATTTTAAAATGCATATATTCAGTCTTTTCCCTCGATTATTCTTTAGAAAATTTAATTGAAATTTCCATCCGATGAATCATCAAGAGAGCATGAAAATTCTGCGGCTTGAAAGTCTCCAATTGAAAAGGAAGAAATGCACCGCGCGCGGTGTGGGAACGCGCCAGCTCCAGATCATCGTTTGTGATTTTGATAAGTTTTGCTTTTTTTGTTAGAATTGTGTCGTTTTTGCCTTGTTTGGGAGAGAAAACCTCTTCAGGGAGATCCGGCGCTCGTCCTTTGTCGAGCAGCGCGCTTCAACGAGCAGCGGAAATTTTAAAACCGGATGATTGGTCGAAACAGAGCCTAATTTCGCCTGCCTTTTGATAATCCTCATTTTGCGCTTTTACTGCATGTTTCCCTTTCAAAACTGAAAAGAGAGTCTTCCTGAAGAAAGAAAAGTCAACCATAAGAAGAATAGAACAGAAAGTTCTAGAGATAATGCAGGTATTTCGACAAATTTTCGATAATTATTATCTTTCGAATAAAATTAGGAAATTATGTGTTTTCAAAGAGCTTTTATTTTGTAACTCGATTTGTTAGTCTTCTGATCGAGTTTCTAAGCATTTAAAAATATCGATTTTATATCAAAAGAGATTTACTTGACCGTCAAAATGAACAACACCAGTACAAAATCAAACTTGATAGCCCTTTTCATTCGACAATTGAAAGCAAATGAAGCGTTGTTTCCATCCGAAATAGAAATTTCACAAAATTATTATTTTATTTTGACCATAAATTTGCTTAGCGTGGGCTTTAATTTCTGCAAGTACCGAATTTTAGCGAACAAATAAAACACGCGAATCTGTAGATCGGAATGAGGGGAAACAACAAATATCGAGAGAGTTAGAATTAGAAAAATGGAAGTCGCGGAAAAGTCGGAGGAAAAGGTACTCTTCCTTGATTTTTAAGGAGAATTTAAATGTTTGCCAGCAGTCGCGATAAATGATTTGCGTTTTATGGACTTTACGTCAAGAATTTTTCAGCAGTGGAAGTATCCACGTCAGACAGTCGAGTATTTTTTTGCCAAGTTTTGTCATGTTTGAACTTTGTCGGCTTTGGCGTATTATTCTGATCCGAGCATTCTTTTGTGCGGCTGTTTTATTCACCAACAGTGCTGAAGAATCTCCTAATCCGGAATCTACTTCCGTAAAGGATCATGGCACGTGGGAATCTAAACATGGCGAAATTGCTCGTTTCGCGCGAGTCCGTTAGGTTTCAATTTCAACAGCTTGATAACAATCAAGCAAAATATTGTGCAGCAGAATCAGATTTTTTGGCGAAAAACGGACCTCAGTTCTGAGTTTTCGGGTTTTTTCAGAAAATTTGTGAGAGATAATAATGGTAAGTCCTTTCTTACTTGAGCGAGTATTCTTTTGAACAAAAATCAGAACAAAGAAAGTTGATAGTGTCAGTCTTTTTTCGTTTTTTCATCGATCCCAAATATTTGCGCTAGTACCCTCGTTCTGATACACCAGATTTGCCCGTGTGATAGCTACAGGAGATACCCCATTGTCGGGACTTGGTATTTTTGTGAGAAGGAACTCTGTTTTATCATGCTCGTGAGTGGAACTCATCAAAAACAGCCGCTAAAGCCCCTAAATCGTGAAAAGCCATTTCGCTATTCATAATCAAACAATGTAGTGTACTCGGCTCTCGCCCGGGGCGTGCAGCGTATTCCACCGTCGCCCCACGTCAATTCTATTTTTTTATAAATCTAAAATTTTGTAAATAACAGAGCAAATTTATTTTTCTACTAAAACAACAAAAAATATCGTGAATGATTACCGAGAGGAGGAAACCGAAGGCTCCGAACTTATCGAAAAAGGTAGAATTAATGAAATATCTTCTAATAGTTGACTGACAGAATTCAAGTGATCTTAATGTTGGCCTTATTAAAATTTGCTAAGTCGACTTATAAAAGCCCCTTTTAACACATTTATTGCCCGTTTCTAAGTGTCCGGGCTCCACGGATTTTCCTTCTTCAAATATTTACCGTATCATTTTTTTCAACTGATTTTTTGAAATTCGTATATTTGATGGGTTCGTTTTTTATTCAGAATTCATTCGCCAAATAAAGTTTAGAATTCCCAGAGCATAATAGAACTCAAGCCACAAAACTCATAAAGGAGCATAAAGCAGTAAACTTCTGATTCTCGTGTTTTAGATGGAAGAAAGCCAGCTCGATGGAGGCCTGACACTGGTGAGGATGATCCTCAACCAGCCAGAACTGAGGCTCGTCGATCTCACAGATGGTCACACCCTCAATCGCTTCATCAAGGAGTTCGACAAGCGCCCAATCATCAAGCAGATCGAGCAAGCAGTAAGTGTATTTTCGTCTATTCTAACTTCAGAGGTCCAATTCTTTAATCAATGAAGGAGGAAGCTATGCCTCCGCTTTACTGTCGGTCCCTGGCATAATATTTGACCCTGAAGTTTGCCCTGTGAAATTCGATTTTTGGGAGTCGAGACAATCGGATCAACGTTCATTGTCCCTCTTTTTTGGGTATCAGTAGCGTGCACAGTATGTGTTGGACAGTAGCCAATGCCTTACAAAAGGATTCCAACTCTCATTCATGTTTTCAGACTGATCAGCTGTCACAGGTCCGCGCCATTGAAACCGTCCTTGCGAATCTATCCTTTTTCTACCGCCAAGCTCTATCAAAATTAGGCAAGGATTCTCACTTCACGCACTTCCAAATATAGACAGCTGTGTCAGAATACAAAAACCGGAATTGAACTACAAATGTAATCTCTTTTGTTAAAAAAAAACTGGACAAAGGGGAATCCGCCCGCAAGTCACTTGTCCACTGCCGAATGGGCTAACCCTAGTGCGCGCTTCAAGATCATCTGCTGGCCTCGTCGAGCTTGACCTTCTTCTGTCGCTTCTGATTTATGCTGCCTGTCACTCAGATGATGCTGAGAAATTCGTATCTGTTATTCAGAATCTTGAGTCAAGGTTGGGTTTTTTGTTCTTCCTTGATTTCAATTTGATAAATTTAGCTTCCAGAAAGAAATCGCAGAAAGGATTACGGGGATGGAAGATAACCTAACTCCAATTTATCCCGAGCAATCTTCCGAAATGAATGAAGTCGAGCTCAGAAGAGGATTCAAATCGCTCCAAGAAAAGCTTGTATCGGCGGTCGAAAGCCGTGACAAACGTCAGAAGCAACTGAATGAAGCTTTGCAGGAACGCGATCAAGTTGTCGTCAACACTGGCAAGTAAGTCAAAGAAAGACCGGAAGCAGATGCGACTTGAGTTGAAGTCTCCTCTGAGCCAACATTTACCGAAGGATTTCGTTATTTATGATCATGGATAACTTTTATCTATAAGACGTCAAATGATATCTATCAAGTCAGCATTTAATAACAAATTGTAGCATGGTTTCAAAAGCTGTTCCAGAGTCACCTGGTCGCCAGAACACGCATTCTGAGCTCGCCGAGGCCAAGTCAATGATTCGACTCTTGAAAGAAGAGCTGACAGAAAAAGAAGAATTCGCAGGACTGAGTGAAAAAGAAGCTGAGATCTCTCGAGCGAGGGAAAAGGAAGCTCGCGAAGAGATTCACAACCTTCGTGCGCTTCTTGCTCAGGCTCGTGCTGATCAGGATGAAATCGATGAGCTGAGAACAAAAGCGGAACAGCTTTATAGAACGCAGCAAGAGTCTAGCAGGCTTCGAGAGAAGCTATCTGACTTTTCCTTCTACAAAGCGAGAGTGGAAGAACTTCAAAAGGACAACTCAAGTTTGTATGAGGCTCGGGCAGCGCTAGAAACAGAAATTTCTGCGCTTCGTATTCGATTTCAAAGTCTTGGCGATGAACACGAAATAAATCTCAGGCTGCGCGATCAGATCGGTGACCTGGAAGATCAGAATATGGAATTGAATCAGAAGATTCAAGAACTTCAAGACGAGCAGAGAAGGCTCAATGTGGACAAGAATAATTCTTTGGACACAATTACTGAAGAGCCTGGATCACTATCATTCATTGAGGAGGCTGATCGACTGAATGCACCAGAAATCATTCAATTGCGATGTGACAATCAAAGATTGAGAACGCTTAATGCTGCTCTCCAGGAACAACAAAAATCTCACTCAAGAAGAGTCGGTGATTTGGAAGGCGATTTATACAAAGCAATGGATGAGAACAAGAAGCTGAAGGCAGATTTGCTGTCAGCTAACAATAGCCTTATCGACTTCAAAGAATTTGCCCAGGAATCGGTAAAAGATGGAGTTGACATTGACGAGATCGTGCGAAGGATTCAAGAGCGAGATGATGAACAGCGACAGAGTATTGAAGAGAAAGTCTGGGAGAATCGTATCAAAGAGGCTCATGAAAAGTATGAGTTGCTGAAGTCAGAATCTGAAGCCACTGCTTTGCGAGCATCTGTCGCCGAAGAAAACCTTGAAAAAATAAGCTCTGAGTTGAAAATTACGGCTGACAAAGAGCGTAAGAAGTTTGAGAAGGAGCTTCTAGAGAAAGAAGGAAATCTTTTAGCGACAGAAAAATCCCTTCGAATCGCGGAACGAGAGGTTGAAACTCTCATTCGACAGCAAGAGCAGCAAAAGCTTGAGGAAGAGCAGCATCAACGAAGCGAAAGTAGAAGAATTCAGCTTGAAACTGAGATCGACAAGCAGAGAGCGCACATTGACAGACTGACTGATATCATTGAACGAAGAGACGATGCGATAAAGAAGCTGGAGAAAGAAGTTGACACAGCGACTTCTGCAAGAAGGACAGCTGAGTCAACGATTCGCGAGCTTCGGAACTCAACTTCTCCTTCTGATCCAGTTGATTCGGAACAGATGGTGCAGTTGAATCATGAGCTGAAGAAAAAAGAAGCTGAGCTGAAACAGTTGAAAAGAAAAGCCGACCAAGAGACGCGGGAGAAAGATAATCTCGTTGCTGAAGTAAAAGCAGCGCAGAATAAAGTTCAAAAACTCTCCTCCGAAATACGCGAGCGTGATGAAAACATAAACGACTTACGTAGCGCTGACCTCTCCCGTGCCCAACTTCAGCGAGACTTCGAACTTCAAAAGAGTCTGAATGAAAAAATTCAACAAAGCCTTGTCGACGAAAAAGTCAAGTACCAATCCCTCGAAGCCGAGGCGAAAGCAGCGCGCAAACGTGCAGATCGCTTGGAAAAACTAGAGATGGAGAATGAAGACATTCGACGAAAGTGCAGAGCCCTCGAGCGCGAAATGGCGACGACGAATGACGTTCAGAATGATGTTGGAGTGATCCGAAATGCCCTGGAAGACATGGGTAGAGATTTGCATGACAAGGAAATTGAAAATGAGCAACTTAGGAACGGTTCTATTAAATTCATTGAAATTAAGGCTTTTCAAATTAAATGATCAAAATTGAACCAATTAAAAGAAATCAATTATCTGTCTATGAGGACATGACAAACGATTCTAATTCTACCTCGGATGCATCCGCTGAACTTCGTAAACGAATAGCTGCACTTGAAGTCGAGATCGACGTTGCCCATGAAAAACAGCAAGAACTTGAGCGTCGTCTTCAGAGTGAGCAGGAGAACTTCCAAGCAAAGATTCAACTCGAGGAAGAGAAGCGAAAAGTCATTATAGAAGAGAGAGATATGCTGAAAGAACAGCTGGAGAAGCAAGGAAGATTTTTGGATCAACTTTCTGCAGAGGCCGATAAAAATGCTCAAGAGCGAGATAATATTCGACACGAGTACAATTTGCTATTGAAAGAGTACAATTTACTCAAGGAGCAGCTCAACAAGCTGAAGCAAGGTAAAATTTGACTGTTTCAACGATTTTTAATCATTCTTTTATCAAGAGCTCAAAGTATCAAATCGAAACCTCAAAGAGAAAGAGACCGAAATAAATCAGCTGAAAGCGTTTGAGACTGACCGAAATCTTCTTTTCGAAGAAAATAACGCTGTCAAAGAAACGAACTCAAGGCTGAAAACAAGCTACTCAAAGCTCAAAAATGACTACAACGAAATCGTCGATGATCTCCGAAGCTTGCGAGTCAAGTACAACAGGTTCAAAGTCGAGCATGCAAAAATTGACGCGAACTATAAACGAGTTCAAGCGCAGAAAACTGAGGCAGACCGAGAACTTCAAGATTTTAACGAGAAATATCTTGTACTCCAGGAGCTGAAAGAAAAGATCTGTAAGTGTGATTGAAATCAACAATGACTGAACGCTTTTAGCTCTCGAAAACTCATTCCTGCAGAAACAGAACACGCATCTCATGGACGAGAACAAACTTTTGAATACAGACACTCACAAAACGTAAGTCTTAAACCTTGATAACTTCGCTTTTACTGGGCTTTGAACGCATTTTAGTGAGAATCTCCAAATAGACCAATTTGTGAGCTTACGCAAAGTTGATGTTGTTTATGACAGGTTGAATATGGGCACTTGTGATTCGAGCTTGAGTTTTTTACCCTCGGAGATAGTTAAAATGCAAATTTTAAATCCCTTTTCAGCAAGGACAAATACAACGAAGAACAGAAAAACTGGCAACAAAAACTTCATGATATCCAAAGGCAAAAAGAAAGAATCGAAGAAAAACTTCTTCAGGCTCATCTGAAATCACCAAGTCCGACCAAGCCCAAGAAGAACACTTTCCAGGTTGATAGATTTACTTGTTCAGCTGTTAACAAATAGTTAGAAACTGAAAGAAACATTCCGCCCGAGCAAGTCAACGAAGAGAAAATCCGAGAAGTTAACGTTAGAGGCGACTCTGAAATCTGATACGTTCGATGGAAGCCTTGCTACTGATGGAAACTCAGTCAGAAATCCATCCGACAACACACTCGATGGTTCAATAAGTTCTTGTCCTTCTGAAGACGCTGGTAGATATCGACGAATTTCTAACTCTGCTGCCGGCGATTCCAGCCAACCCCTCACGCTAGAACACCTCGCTGACGACAAGGCAAATGAAAAGCTATCCATGACTGAATTTCTCGCTCTTCATGAAAAAGAACTCACTTCAAGAGGTTAGTTTCCAAATTTGATAAGCCCCCTAAAATGATTTTAGAAAACGAAATTCCCGTCGCCGAGAGCACTCAACTAAACCATCAAAGCATACCTCTCTCTCGTGAAAACTCACACTTCGAAACATCATCCCGCGAGCCTTCACTTTTAGACGACGAATTCAACAGAAGCAGGACATCTATCAAGTGAGTATTTCTCTAGAAATTGCACAAGCGGAATATATTAAATTTTTGCAGCCGCTTCCTCAAGGTCTTATGGTGTAACGGTTAGCACTCTGGACTCTGAATCCAGCGATCCGAGTTCAAATCTCGGTAGGACCTCTCTTTTTTCACCCGGAAGCCTCGAATTTTTCGATGAAAAACATCATTTACGCTCATTATTTAGATCTGCCTCGTCTCAAGAAATCATTAGAATATCGGAAGGTTCTCTAAGAAGGGCACCGAATTTCCCAGTACCGAAAGAGCGCAAAAACTCATCTGGTTCATCAAGCAATTCTGAGATGAGAACAATCTACAGTGGCGGAAATGAAAACAAACCTCCACCGCCATACAGACCTCCCTCTGATAATGAAGTTCGAAGCAGGCCACATTCTTTATCGGTAAAAATTACTCAAAATGCCACATATGTATAAAATTTCAGGCGTCATTTACCGGTCATGAATTAGCGCAAGTTGCGAATAACTTGTCACCAACGTCAGGGACGAATTCTCTTTCGCGATCAATGAACCCGGATCCAACCCGTTCATCGATGGACCGTCTTACAGCAAGAAAATCTAACTTCCATACGCGTGACCGATTTGCTGAGTCTATGGCTAGAGTATGATCTCTTCAGTGATCGTCTGTCTTCATTTATTTTTTAGCTGCGAGGAGAAAGCAACAGACTTTTCCCCGACCCGCGAACGATGAGCCGTTCGTCGAGAGAAAGCTCTAGCAACACGTAAGTTCTCGTATCGCAGGCTTATTGATGATCAGATCTACCTAGCCCGGACAAAGACAAAGAAAACCCCGACGACTTCCAAACACTTGGATTTGTCTAGTGCATCGCTAAAAAATCCTACAATCCATCACGTGCCACACCTATCTCACCAGCCGAATATTCGATTTCATTCCACTGCACACTGTACAAACTATCAGTCAACTGTATCTTTTCACTTTCCCTTTTTATACAGAGTTTAACTTTATGATAACACCGTGTTTATTTATTGACCATTCATGAGAGAAAGTAAGCCATCGATATTTCCGGACCCAGCTTCAAACTCCCATTTGTATTCGATGCCTAGGCCAGCTGGAATGTTAGTGACGATCGGATGGCTTCCGGCATCTTGGTCGAGTGGAGGCCCAGTTACTTGCATCGCTGTTCCGAACTCGGATACAATGTGGTAGTAAGATTCCTTTTCACTGAATCGCTCGATCTTTTTCCAGTCACTGGCTCCATTTCTGCTGTCAATTGTAGACCCAACTTTGACTGAACCAAGCTTTCCTGGCGGAGTCAGAATCCACTGACCATCACCTGTGAGAAGTCCGATCTAGTACAATTTTAAGCAGAAGCTCTATAATTTATACTTACAAATTCGTCGTCGATCGATTGTCCCAAAAACTCGGAGTAAATACTTGGCTCGTCATTTAGCGTAATCTTGGAGCTCAGAGGATTGTAAGTTGCATATTTTCCAGTTGGAGAGATGATGTAGACTTCTAGTTTTGTATCGCTTACAGGAACGATTGAAAATTCAGTGAGTTTGGACACCTTGTCGGTGGTCTAAAAATCTCCTTAGTCTTGAGACTAGAGAGGTTTAACTACCGTCATGACAGAATTTCCGAGTCGCGTTTTACCCTCGGCCCAGTAATTTCCATGAGCAGTTTTGATCCCTCTTACGGTGCCAAAAGCAGTGATCGGAGTATCTTGATACTCTGCGTTCCAGATTGTTCCGAAGTCCTTTTTATTTCGAGTTTGGATAACAGGCATTTCTTCGCCTTCAACTGCCTTCGAAAGGATTTCAAGAAGAAACCAGAGAGAAAACAATCAGAGTTGATTTTTGAATCCCTTCCTGAACATACGTTCCAAAGTGAGTTCGTATGTGAAAACCCTCGTCAGCAGGCTCGATAGTCATGTGTTCCCAAAGATCATAGCGACTTTGAGTATTGATTGGTTCTTCAAATTTGTCGGCGCAACGTAAATAAGACTGAAAAATGCTTTCATTCGATAAAATTATACTTCGTACCTCGTAAAGCATCGATTTGACGCCAACAGTTGCTCCCCCACCAAGTATCTTCATAAAATCTTCTTTTATATTGACTGTGCTACTTTGCCGCGCAGCTTTCACCGCGAATTCTTCAAGTGCTTTCAGTCCTGCATCCTTTTCCTTGCTGATAATATCGAGCGCAGCACCCCACAAAATATGACCTTTGAGTTGCAGGGATCGCATGAACTGAAGAAAAGCAGTCAAATGAGCTGGATTCGACTGTGAGCTTTGGCGAAGCTGCTGTCCAACGTCACCAACGATGTTTTCAAAGAGGTAGTCGATGTTAAACAGGGTTTGCTGGATACTGTCCGCGGAATTGCTGTACAACAAAATTAGTATGATATTAGAAAGCCAAAGGAAAACCTGATGATAGATGCTGCCCAGTCACGAAGGAATCCAACCTTGGTAAGTTTGGTATTCTTTATATCGGCCGCTCGAGTTGCTTGCTTGAATAACAACTTGGACAAGAAGTTGATTCTGGCTGAGCTAAGGGCGATCGAACATGGAAGACGAACATCAGCTGGGTCGATATAAGAAGCCAGGTTCGTATCTGAAATGAAAACCATAAAAAAAGCGCAGGAGGATATCATTTTCAACCCTAGAAAGTAGCAAAAACGCCTAGAAGGTGGAATCGAACCACTGCGAGTCTCCCCGCCCACAGGTTTGAAGCCTGCGCCCCGGACCACCGAAGCTCATCTGGGCACAGACTGCACTTTCGCAGGCGTTTATAAATTAAAGATCGCCGCATGCCCTCGGGCGCACGTCTTATGGTTTTTACAAGGCTTCCGCTATTCTTACCCATATCTTCGATACTCTTCAACGCTGCGAGAATCGCTTTGTCGTCTCTGCTCATACGAGTCGCGAAGTCCTCCATTGCTCCTCCCAGGGGTCTCCTGGCGATTGTCGAAAAGTTTGATGAGCTTTCATATTCATCGTCGTAGTCTGGTACAATTTCGTTGATGTCTATTTGAGCTTCCAGGAACTCTAAACTCATTCCCTTTTGAACGAGCGAGACGACATCGGCATTGATGGATGGAAGGGCAAGAAAAATAAGCAAAAACGAAGGTACCCTCTTTCCGCGCGGCATGGTTCTCTTCTGAGAGTAGGAAATGCGAGTGTTGCCTCATCCCTTTCTAGCGCTCCGGAAATTACGGCCATAATCAACCGGGTAATAACCATAATTACGACAAGTGCTTCGGATTCCCACATAAGCCCTTTGATCCCACGTCATGAAAAAGGTCAGTTTTTAGAAGGTTCATGAAAGCAAGAAAGCAAAGAAAAAGTGCTTCGCCCAAAATTTCCCGAGAAAGTAGCATACAAATCAGGCTAAAAAAAGGATGATTGATCAATATCTACCCGTAGCTGTCCGCAGAAAAAAATTCACACCCTTGAAGGCATGAAAATCTCCGGGCCATGTGTTTTTATTGCGGCGTCTCCCGCGATGTTCACTCACCGTGAAATATCGAAAAAATCGATCCAAAGCCATTTAGTCGACCGTACACGTCCGCACACTTTCATTCCTGTTTTGAGACAGAAGAGACAAATTTTTGAACGATTTTTTGGTACTTTGAAGAAACGCTTCTAATGGTAAGTTACGAGATAGATCGATTCATTACAACTAATTATCAATTTATTACAACCGCTTTGATCAGGTGCACAATAAATTACATAATTATCAAAAAGCTTTATTTATTCTATGAAAATCAAGATGAGACAATTAATAAATCTTCAAATCAAAGAGATGAAGATAAAGTTTAAAATCCAACAAATATTTTTGAAGGCCAATAAAGGGGCATTCCGGAGAAAAACAAAGATTCAAACGCAGTTGACCCCAAGAACAAGTTCTTCTATTAGAGTTGTAAACTTGAGCGACACAGCTCGTTAAGTGTTGATCTGACTTTTCTTCAAGGCTTAGCACTAAGAATTTTTATTTTCTGGGCTGAAATGTCGGAAGAGATACTGATCGAGGTTCCGGACAAATTTCGGGAAAAGGTTTATTTTCTAAAGATATTTCTGACGGATTTAGTCATTTGGCAGCACAAATCTAGGCAGCGATATTTGTCTGCATATAGGCGTGCTTTAGAATGACTATCAGGAACAAAAGGAAAGGATTTTCTTTTGTAGACCAATAAAGAATTTGGAAGCTCGTTAATTTTTTCGCGCAACGGTTTAGTTTATGATTTCGGCTTTCCTTAGAAAACCAATTTTTTGGGCCCGAGAAGCGCGTGACGAAAAGTAGTGTGTGAGTTGATAGCGTATCAGAATAGAGTTAACCTCAGTTTCACCCTTGTGGCTGTTTGCGTTTTTTCAACACTGAAGAGCTCAGAGAAGGCATAGGAATTAATAACTTTGTTTTTAGATGCCAGAGATGAGTGCCAAGAACGGAGTCAGAAAGCGAAAGTTCGAACAAGGTAAATCATCTGAAATTTTCACATTTAAAAAAGTGTGTTCCTTAGATGAGGGTGATATCAATTCCCAAGTTCTTGAGCTCCAGTCAAAAGTTGCTCGTCTCGACGAAATGAACTTCCTCGAGTCTCTAGACGAGCTCCGAACGCAGCACGAAAGAGAGCTTCAGAAGATCCGCGCTACCAACGAGAAGAAACACAAAGAATTTCTCAAGAGCCAGAAGGAATTGACGAGCGCTCTGACTACCACAGAATCCAAGTTGAGCGAGGTGACGGACAAAATCTCAACAATCGTCGAGCAGAATACTCTCTTGCTTCAACGAACAGAAAAACTTGAGTAAGTCAATAAAAAAGAGTTTCTGCCTCTTCATTTCAATTTCAGAGCAGAACTAGAGGCTGAGCGCAACAAAGGATTCATCAACTACATCAAGAGCTTCTTCCGACGAAAAACAAAGACTGAAACTCCGCCAGCTGCAGAAGAGCAAAATCAAGAAGCGCAAGCTGAGGTGCAAGAAGCGGAGGCCTCCAAGAAAAACGAAGAGCAAAAAGAATCCACCGAAAATTCTGACGACAAAAAAGAAGAATAAACGTTTTTGAACTACCTACTTGAATAAAATATTCAAAAAAAGTTGTTTTGAATCAATTATTATTTTTAAAAATGAGGGAATGGGAGAAAACCGAAACGAAATTATTCTTCTGCTTCTTCTTCGGGTTCTTCTTCGGGCTTTGCTTCGCCGGGGAACTCGTAGTCATCGCCAGTAGGTTCTGAAAGTGTTGAGACTTGAATGAGGAAGTTGACTTACCAGGTGATTCTTCGTTGATTTCTGTTTCTTCCACCGCTTCGGTAGCTTCAGCAGCCTCTTCCGCTTCTGGTTCAGGTTCGGGCTCATTCTCTTTCTTCCAGAGAATGTGCTCTCGGGATCCCTCTGGCGGTGGAATTTTCAAGAACTGATAAGTCTTATCCTGCTCTCTTGCTGAAAACAGTAACTCAATGCAGACTTATCTATGTTTACCATTGAAGAACTCGTCATAAAGTCCAACGAAGTCAAAGCTCTCCTCAGAATTCTGAAAGATAATAGGCGACTCCACAGTTTGGTAGTCACTCGGAATTTGTCCGAGAATTTCTTTCCGTTTTTCAGGGTACTAAAAAGAAGCTATGCCGGTTTGGTAAATAATGAATTGCAAACTTGTGACATATCAACTTCGTCGAACATAATTTTATTGCTGGAAAGAAAGTCGAGAAGAGCTCGCTGTTCTCCCCTGATCTTGTGACTGCATGTCTTCCCTTGTGATGTCAAAGAGCAGTTTTTTGAATTACATTTTAAACAAAATGTCTGCTACTTTGACTGACTGGAGATATAAACTCGCAGAACCATTTTTCTCTGACTCTTGATTGCAAGAATCGCCCGTGGTACTAATCACAATGACGCAGCTCAACCTTGCACAAAAACCATGCGTCAGGAACCAAGAGACTAATGAACTGCCAACTTTGATCTTAATTTTCAAATCCGAGTTTTAAAAATATCGCGGTTTTTGAAAAAAAAAATCAGAAAAATATTCCAAAAATCGAGAGACCTATCATTTTATGCTTATTTTTCGTATAAAGATATTAATGAAAAGTATTGATTGGGGTCATTAATAATCGTAAAACTGAAAAATTAGCCACCCAAACTGCCAAAAACCGCGGAAAAGGAGACCCTCGGGTTCGGAGCACACTCAAATGCGCGGCGCACTCATTTGCGCGAGCGCTCAAATGCGGGAGACGCTCATTTGCACGGACACGAGCGAAAGAGTGTCCCCGCGAATGAGCGTTTGATTTAATTGGTCGAAAATAAGCGCAAGAATATTTCTCCGAAAATACTAACTTAAAAGTGTTCATCAGTGTATTTCTCACTCTAATTGCTGTATTTTCCAAATATAAGATAAAATGACACATTGTATGATCATCTTAAAAATTCTGGACAATTATTGCATAACACTTCATGACTAATTGAAAGAGATTAATCTTCATTTTCATTTCTTCCCGGTGATTAGTCTTTTAGGAAATTGTTCCGATTTTTATTTGATAAAAATCTAAGAACTGACACCACTGAGTCGTGGTTTTTGTTCTGTTTTAAAATCCTCAGGTATTTTTCATCGTCGACCAATTAAATCAAACGCTCATTCGCGGGGGACACTCTTTCGCCCGTGTCCGTGCAAATGAGCGTCCCCGCGTTTGAGCGCTCGCGCAAATGAGTGCGCCGCGCATTTGAGTGTGCTCCCTCGGGTTCGCGTGTTCTCCCCGCGCGCCAATTGGTCGATATGCGACGTCTCTGAAAAATATCCTCGGCCTTTTCCCTCCTGGAAGAACTCAGACAAGAAACACAAGAGAATTGCCTCATAAAAGAAGATTCAGCAGCAAATGCCAGACTTGCTGGACTCTGGCGGATCTACAGAATCAAGCCAATTCAGTAGAAAGGTAAAAGTGCGAGGTTTGAATTTTGAAAATATAAAAAACGCTAAGCGTTTTCGATAAGTGATCTTCGGATTCTAGGGTGTCCGGATAAATGTAATCTAAATTTTCTCATCAACGGGTCAGAAAATTATTTTTTCAATCTATTGATAATTTTCGAGAGACTGAAAAAATTCGCTTCTATAAAAAGTCTCGCTTGACACCCTAATTTATTTTAGGCGCCATTGGGAGTATCTTATAAAATTCAGAAAAGGCGCAATTTCAAAAAAGTCTTTCCTCTGATTTTTCTTTTCAGTCTGCCTCGGATCACGATGCTGACTCATTCGTTATCACCACAGGAAAAAGGGCTGAAAGAAACCGACTTTTTAACTTTGTTTTTAACCGGAGCTTCGGCTCATCCCTTGAACAGCCGATGAATCTGGAAAGGATAGAGAAAGCTTCTCCCACAAGCTGCACGTGGCCGATTTGGTGGAACAGATTTTAGAGGTATTGCTAGTTCCACTATTCTTCGACTAAAGTTCAAATGTTGAACTTGAGTGATCCTCGACGACTATCAAGCTAAATCTATTTTTTATGGCTCGTCTCTCTATTTTTCACCTGCCAGAAAAAGCAAGGCCAAGCAAGTGCTGAAAAACAATTCCAAGAAAGTTGGCTTTGAATCCCCAAATATGGCATTTTCTTCGTTCTTTTTTATCGAAATCAAAATATCGTAATGTTTTTTTACATTTTTCGTGAAAAAAAAAACTTTTTTTTTCGAAAAAACCTTCAATAGAGTCGCTCAATTTTCTTCTTTTAGGGTAAGATCGACCTTGAATCGTGCGCCGCGTGCAACAAGCTGCTGGCGATCGAGCTTCAGAAAAGAATCGACGAAGTGGAAGAGGACACGCAGCATTATAAGACGGCGATCGAGGCATTTGGGAAAGACTTTGAAGATGACGAAGACGTGGATCAAGTTGAGCTGGAGCTCAAAGAGCTTGAAAAGCAGGAGGCTGAGCAGAGAAAACGACTTGATCAGGCGATGAATGAGTTTGAAAGCTACAGAAGCGAGGTCACCAAGTTGAAGTCCGAAGTTTCAGAGCTAAAAGACAAAGAATACGAGCTAGAGAAAGAATATGCAACGCTGAAGGTAAAATTTTTAGAGAAAAAATTCCGAAAACGGTATATATTATTATTTTCAGGCGCGAATGTTCCAAGCCGAAGAAGTGTCGATTTCAACAAATCTTCAGAATCGAGCACTTCAGGCACACGTTCAGCGTCTCAAGAGCACTACTCCCCTCGCCGCCGCTTTTCACATTTCGCGAAAAGGGAAGTTCGGCGTTATTAATGGCCTCCGACTCGGCTGGAGCGAATCTGAAGAAGTACCCTGGAATGAAATCGCTGCCGCGTGGGGACAGGTATATATTTATTTTAATAGAATTTATTAAAAAACTAATTAATTAAAGACTGCGTTATTGACAGTAGCAGTGGCGAAGAAGCTCAAAATGGAGAAATTCGAGCGTTTTACTCTCGTCCCACTCGGCGAGAAAAGCTTCATCGAAGACGAAAAGGGCAACCGGCTGCCACTGTACACTTCTAGGAGCGTCAAATCGCGCGTTTTCGGCGAACGGGGCTTCGATAGCGGCGTTTCTGCATATTTAGGTACAGCCATTTTCGGTGCCACTTTTTGGTAATTAATATTCATTACAGATATTCTCTGTCAGATCAGAGACAAAATGGCTAGCAGCGGCATTACCTGGCCGTACAAGATTGAAAAGGGCCAGATTCAGAAAACGAATAGCTCCAATCAATGGTATCCAGTGAAGTTTTCCTTTTCCTCCGGCGATCAATGGGTACGCCCTTAACATACCAATCACGCCACTAGAGAGTTTTTCTATTTCAGTGCGAGGCAATGCAACTGCTCCTCAAGAATCTAAAATGGGCGCGCGACTGCGTCTACAAGCTCTAGAATTTCTTCATTTCTTTTTTCACTCATTCTTTATTCAATTCTTCAATGATCATTCAACTTATTCGAAAACATCAAGGGAAGACAAATATCATCTATTCAGATATGGACTCGAGCTGCACCTTCAGTTAGAGTTTCCGTAGTATGCGCTGTCTGTTGGCGTTTCTAGTGATCGGAATCGGGCTCTGCTCAGACATCCCCGAGAATTCTATTCTTGAAGAAAATGAAGATGCTCCTGGAAAAATATTAACGGAGGTAAGTCTTATCTTCAATCAGATCATATTCTGATTTCGGCAATATGAGTAGATACACCTGAATAGTTGAGTCAGGGTCTGAAGGATGTTCAATGAAAAACGATTTTTTTTCTACGATGCTGCAAAGCAGCTTCGCCAGAATTTGAATATAGATTGGAATCGTAATGTTTTCTACACAGGTTTCCGGATCATATCATGTCCGTTGATAAACATTTTGCAAATTAGAAACGATTCTAAGCATTTTATTTTTATTCAATTGTTTTCTTAATGTGGAATAGAAATTTGTAGTTGTGTGACTTTTCTATGGCGCGTTTTTTTATTCTCATTCTGAGAGCGTCTATTCATTTTTCCGGGAAAAGTTATTTCAAAATTTAATTGTTTGAGTTTATATGAGTGGTGTAATTGATGATGATTTGCGAAAGAGTCTTTTTCGTTCGAGCTTGCTCGTTGGTTTTTCTTTTTGCTTGAGCCCGAAGGTGCCGGCCGCGGTGCGGTATTCTACGTGACCTTGGCCGTCTGACTTGACTTTCACCATAAACTTGACGGGCTGCCGATATCAGCAGAAAATTTCATTTTTTTCTTTTCGTTCGGCACCAACGAGGAGAGCTGCGCCCAGCGGGGCACCGGCCCTGTCGCCAGAAAAGTTAATAAGCAAAATCCGCACCTTGACGCACCTTTCAATTATTTCAAAATTCGCGTCTTTTTTTTCGTGCCTTTCGCGGTGCTGTAGATACGTAGCAAGAATACCATCGAAGTATCGAAATCGGATACTTCACAGGTGACAGTTCAATTCAGCAGATCAGCTATTAATTGTTCTCGTCTCCTTTGTGTTTTGATCATCCTTGAGTGTTTTAGTTGATGAAGAATAATCTCGCTTATTCCATTTTGAACCAACTCGTCAGAAAAATATTCAAATTTCGTTTATCGAGAGTCCGATGATTTCAATATTCTTGATCGTACTAAGAGATTCGTACGAGCATAATTAATGAGCTTGAAAACAGTTTTCGACGATGGAAATCTTAAAAACACTTGATAAACCATCTACCTAATTTCACTTTCCAAAGAAAATTAGCATAAAGAACGAGCTCAGAGATCGGAAAACAACATTTTTTTCCACTAAAAACTCATTGGCGTTGATTTTCATTGATAAGCAAAGAATTGAGAATGAGTGATTGAGCCTTGCTCGGTCTACTCCATGGTCAACTGTGTGAGTCGTGGCCAAAACTCGGGCTAACACGTTGATAGCGCCTATGACACTGTACTCTTCGGTCTGGTCGATTGAGGTCTGTTACGAGGCCTAACGAATTCGCGAGGATGGTAGAGCGGCCCGCAGTAGGCCCAAAAATAACATAATGGACTCGTTTCAGGGAAGTTACTTGGCTACTTTGGCTAAAATTCGGTTAGCTAATCCTTAAAATGCTCCTACTCGTGTTCCTTATTCCGGCGGGCCCTACAAAGCCCCGTCTCCGTGCGTTTTTTCATTTTATATTGACAAGTGGAGCTTTACTTTCCAGGGCGAGGGATACTGTATCATTTGTCATAAAGAGTGTGGTAGAAAGCAGTCCTTGGGCACCCTAGAAAAGGCGCCATTCGTAAGAGGCAGTCCGGCGCGCTCGTTTCTTGGCGCCCTTAGCTTCACGAGTTCACGAGGGCCAATGCCTGCTGGATGAGGCGAGCATAGGCACAAGAGATTGGTGCGTTCTAAAGGAGCGCGGTGGCGCGCGCTCCAAACCACGGTGGAGCGGCGAGCGACGCATATTAGAGTGGATACGGCACCAGTGTGCCCGGAGAGATCTCCTGCCCTCTCCACGCTGAGGAGATCGGGCCGGCTCATTTTTCATCGTACGTGAGACTAGGCGAGCAGCGCCTCGCCAGAGAGATACACACACACTCGCACCAGCGGCAACGAGCTTCAGTGTCAAGTTCGACATCGAAATGAAAACAACTCGATTTTTATATTTTCCGCGATTTTTTTAAATTCACGTGGTCAATTCTAGACGACGAAGCCAGTGGAGGAGGCTGCAGAGAGAACGAGACGAGCCATTGAGCTGGAAGAGGAGCAGACTAACGATGAGCCCGTTGCCGAAGAAGTGCGGCCAGGGGAATATGCACCTGCCTCGGCAGAAGACGATAGCAACATCGTCCCAGAGCAGGTTAACGTCGAGACATTTAACAACGTCGTGAGCAGATTGGAGACGGACGGACAGGGCACAGTCGATGATGTGGAAGAAGACGACGCGCTCGTTGAAGCAAGAATCGACGAGGAGCAGAAAGAAACGTGGAAATTAACGTCGAAAACGACGAAAAACTTTGCATCGGACTCGTGCGGCGCTCGGATAGAGAAATCGGCCCCAGACGTTACGGTGAGTAGCTGCTGTAGATCTTGGCCGTGGCAATGTGTGCGGGGGCGCAGTCCGCTACCCGAGGCAGCTTTAGCCAGAGAGCGCGGGGATCAAAAATCACCAGCTCCTAATGGAGCCAGTATTTTTCCACAGGACCCACGAACTAGCTCCCAAATTTACTCAACCATAATTTGGTCAAGATCATGCAACTTTTTTGAGTGTCGCATAAACATTTCGATAATTATCATAATCTACCCATAAAGTCGTAATATGCTCCCCTGAACTTCTCGCGACCATTTTCGCGATATGAATACTTATTTTAGGGCGCCAAAAACGTCATCAACAACGATTTCGACAAGTATGCAAAGGCGCCAATCGACAAGAAATTTGCGTTTACTGTAGAATTATGCGAGGAAATACAAATACAGCGACTCTTCATCGGAGTAAACGAGTTGTTTGCCTCTCGCCCGTCGAAATTTAGCCTCCAAGCTGCCGATAAAGTAAAATCAGAGTGGCATTTTCTAGGCGTTTTTGATATTGAGCCTTCGGGAAAATCCAATCTTCTGAAAGAGGTAGAAACAGGAAATAGTCGATGCAGTAGCGTAACTTGTTTTGTAGAACTTCAACGTGACAATGACACATCAATACTTCAAGTTCGTCAAATACGAAGCGCTCGAGTACTCGGGCGACGAGCCCTTTTCCGTTCTCACGAGTTTACAAGTCTTTGGCTTTCCAATAGACGCTCAAAGAAGTAATGATTATGAAGATGATGAGGAAGATGCCGATCAAGAGGGTGAAGCGGTCCCCGTGGCGACTGGTGAATCCGGCGTCAAGAATATAATTAATGGCATAAAAAAGATCTTGACTGGCGCGCCTGTAGGAAACGACGGGCTTACAGAGCCCGAGGACCTGATTGCCCATCGTGAATTGCGAGCTGAGCTCTCATCATGCCATTGGAATGCTCTTGTCCATCGGTACGCATAGTGAAGTACCAAAAATGATCTTCCCAGTTCTGTTCAATCTAGAGATTTTATTACATGAAGGACTAGTTCTGCATGAGGTAGTAGGTTATGCTGTTCGGAAAAGATTAAAAAGAAACAGCGTAAGGTGCGCCTCTCCAGAACTTAGTCCACATTCGACGTTCCTCACTGATCATCATTCTCTTTTGATTCCCCATTAATAACTCGAATCAAGATCAACAACAAATATAAAAGCCAACATTCATTGTGCTCTTTTGATTCCTCTTTTCAGCTCTTGTAACTTTGGTTGTAATGTCTACGCTGATGCTGATTTTAACTCCCCTCTGACTGAAAGAATCGTGAACCAACGAGTAACTCATATTTCTCCTCCTGCTGAGTCTGATCAAAGTACTGGCACAATGAGTGAAAGAGCAGAGCAGCAAATATTGAATAATAATAAACCGGAGATGGTGAGAGTGATCTTGTCTTCTTCCTTGATTTCGACATTTGATTTCAGGCTGCTAAATCTTCTCCACCAGTGGCTAGTAACTCCACCAATTCCTCCCCGAAGCCCAATTCGGGAGCGCCGAAGGAAAGAGTCGATTAACTGATACTGATTGAATTTCGCATAAAATCATGACTTTTGAATAGGGTGACACACAAGTAGTGAGTTCCACTACTGGAGCGTTGAAGCAAATTGCCAAGCTAGAAAAAAAATCTGACCTGGATGGGATCGTATCTTGAAACTCTGAGTCAGACCTACAAAAAGCAAATGGATGACGTTCGCGCGAGGTAGCTACTTCAAGTTTTTGTTTTGTTGAACACTGCTCGCATAAAGCAAGCGTCAAAAATTTGCTAACACGTACGATGAGGTTCCGGTTCTCAATTCCTCTGTTCAGAGAAAGTACTGTAGCATCGTTAATTGAGAATGGCTCTCGTCAGCCATCACTGACACTACCGTTCTCAATGTTATTAAAATACAGACTCACGGGAGAAAAAGTATAAATATTGTCTTTAGTTTTGAAAAAACCTCGAGTCGATTGACCAAGTCTGAAGTGGCTACACAGCAAACTCAGGAGCAGATAAGCCGCCTTTTGGAACTGGTGAAATTTCTTTTTACGGAAATCGATAGACTAGACACGACTCTGGAAAAAATAATCATCGCTGGTTCTGTTGTGATCGGTATGAATTTCGTTGTAGGGTCTAGGAAAAAAGTTCTTCTAGCGCTTCAAGTGCTCGCAGTTTTGCTTCTTTGCAGCCTTCGTAGGGGTCAAAAAACAAGACAACAACTTGAAAACACTCAAATTACGATGGAAATGTTAAAAGAATTGATCGATGGCCAAAAAAAGAAAAGAAAACACGGAAGCGGTGGTGATGGGTTTTCCCGTAGAAGGAACTGGCTCCACTTTATTTTGAAATGTATTTTTGCTATATATTCGTAGTTACTTGATTTACTGAGCCAAGGGTTAGTTCTGACGCTAGTAGTTTTCCAAAACCTTCAAGTAGAGCGAAAAAGACGAAGGTTCCAAAAGCAGGTAGCGGCAAAAAATGAAATCATAAGGTGATAGTTCTGGTGTTTTGAGTCGTAGTGTGTTTCTCTTTCATTACTAAAGATTGTAACTTGTCCGTTATTTGATATTTGACCAAGTTATAATGGCTCCATTCAAGATTCTCCAACGAAGATAGACGTCAACTGCGAAATTCACAATTTGAATTTCACCTTCAATCAAAGCAGAGCGTCTGAAGAAGAGAACTGAGCTTCTGTAGCCCCAGCCAATTTCAAAGTAGAGCAATCCATTTTTCAATTCTAACCGTAAGGCCTTATAATTGCCTGCGGTTGAAGCATTTGATGCGCCGACTATGCTAACTGCCGCTTGTTTCGATTTCTGTTCAACTGCTCTTTCCCTATTTGACTGTATTGTTAGCCAAATCTCCAAAGTAGAGTTTGTATCTAATCATTTCTTCAATACTACTTGTCTTTAGCTTTTTTTTCTTTCTGCTACTGTATGACTTATTAACTGAAATAAAGATTTCAAAGCCATCTCTCCATGCGCATCGTTTTTTTTTTCTTCAGAATGGCCCGATAGGAGCCTTCTTCTGAGGGAGAACGTGTCAGAAGAAGGCACGCGAAAGAGAAGCTATCTATTTTTAATAATCATGAGTGCACTTACAAAGGTGAAAATTCATTTTTCAAAAATTCAATTCACAATTTTTGTCAGAAAAAATATGTCATGGCTGAAGCTGACGAGGAAATAGACAAGTTGACATCTCTCCAGTCGATTCAGCGTGTGCTCAGCTCGCCAGGATCGTATCTGTTCCAAATTGAGAATCAATTCGGCGAGCGTAGTCTAGCATCACTTCCGCAAAAGTTCAGAAATACGATTTGGGTGAAGCGCAATACTTATGTCATCTGTGAGCCGATCTTTGAAGGAGAGAAGGTTAAATATGAAATCGTCAGGTGAGTGTCAACCGAAAGATATTCCTTTACGAATGGTTTGTTCATTTAGAGTACTTCAGCCTGATAATATCAAACAGCTGAAGAAAATGAAACAGTTTCCACTTCAATTTGAGAACGATTCACGACACCCTGGTGGAGACGGTCAAAATTGTACGGATACTGTAAATAACAAAGAAGAATTAGATGGAAGCGAAGGAGAGGAAGATTCAGACGATGATCTTCCGATGATTATGAACCGCATTCAGGTCGAATACTCCGATTCAAGCTCAGGTAATACTTATATCTTTATTCCTGTTTTAAATACTATATTTTTTGACTTAGATGACGACAGCTCGGATGAAGAAAGCGCAGATGAAGATTGCCCTGGACTTGAATCCAGTCAATAAATATCAAACTGATCATAAAACGAGAAAGTTGTTTATCTAAAGCTGATCCTTCATGATTTATAGAAATGTCGAGCCCAAACGATCAAAAACAGAAAGAAATGGCGTTGAAAGTTGAAAACACCGCCACCAGAATGGATAAAATCGAAGAAAAGATGAAATATCTGTCGCCGGAAGAAGCAGAGCTCTACAGATCAGAACTCGCAGAGATCAAAACCTCTTTCAAAGGAATAGTTTTTAAATTTTACCAGATCAAAGATAGAGAAAAATTAAAAACCAAGAAAAGAAATTATGGCTGAAAACTTGGAAATGCAGCGCGAACGGGCGGCGGCTATCAAAACATATCAAACAGAAATGAATGAGGTACATATTTGCTCTTCTTAGATTTCACTATTGAAGAGAGAAGAATATTTATGATGTTTTAGGCCCTCGGCTTGCTTCAAGAACTGACCAAACGCGGCAGCGATTCGGCCGGCTCCAGCTGAGCGTATAAAAAGAGTACTCGCCCGATTCTGTATTTTTTACCGCACATGCACATTCCGCAGCAAAATAAACTTAGCTAAGAACAGCTGTCACAACTTACTCCAAAAAAAACGTTTGCAATAACTTACTGTAACTGTAACAAGAAATTATAATCTCGATAGTCAAACAGCCTTCCATTCATCAAATATTTTTAAAGATAATGTCGCGCCCCGCGTCTCCGTATCTACAACAATCGTTGGCTTCGCCTCGACCGAGATCTTCCAAAGGGTATGAATTGTTGTACCAATTAGCAAATCTGGAATTTTGTCTTAGGAGAGCTTCAAAGGCAGCTTCAATAAAAGCTTTTCGATCAACAACGCCGTCTTTGGATGCCATGCAAAATGTCAAAAATCACAGCAGTTTTCTACCACAAAACCTAAACCAACTCGTATTCGGTAAGCTCATTGATTGTGTTCATTCAAATCTTCACGAAATCAGGCCCGGAGCTCTCCCCGATCCAGAAACTTTATACGATGAGCTTGAAGCTTCCAGAAAGGAAATTGCAACGCAGAAACAACTCATCAATGCTCAAGTAAAAAGACGTAAAACGACAGGTGATAATTTTGATTAAGAAAACGAGAAATCAAAGACTCGAACAAGAGCTAAAAAGTCGTGAAACCGAACTGGAAAAGATTTATTCTGGAGATAATGGCAGAGAAAGGTAATTGCTCCTCATATTTTTGTGCTCGAACACAATGTTAGTTCGACGAAAAACGATCAACTTCGTTGCAAAATAATTCGCCTGGAACGAGATCTCCGACAAAAAGATGTAGATCTTGGCAAGTTGCAGTTTGAAATGAAAACTACGGACGTCAATGAATTGAAAATCGCTCTCAAGGTACTTTTTTCTTGAAACGAGAATAATCTTTTAAAAATTGTTAGATTTACGTGGAAGAACTTGAAAGATTGCGGAGCATAAACCAAGATCGTTCGGAGGAAACGAAAGCGTCTGTTCAAAGGGCAGGGTTCTTTCAAACTACTTGTCTGATATTTCCACTTTTGGGCCACCCACAAAGAAACGGAAGAAAGAGCCCTCACGAAGAGAGCGAAAGGCTCAAATCGCAGGTCTCAAGAAAGCGATCCAAGTGTCTGGCAAAGAATGCGAGACGCTTCGAATTGAAAACGAAAAGTATCGCACTCAACTTGAAACACTCAGGAAAACGGATTTGGATGCAAAGCTTAAGATGAAAAACGAAAACGAGTATTTGAAGACGCAACTGAGAAAGAGTCGAAAAGAAAATCCAAGTGCAACTTTAGCTGGTATGCTTGATACAATCAGATGCGTTTATGTAATATTTAAAGGCCCGATTGTCAAACAAGGGGATCATTCTGAAAAGCTCAAGTCTGAAAACGAGTTCCTCCGACAAAAAGTCGATAAAATGTCTGATGAGCTCGAGTCTCTCCATCAGCAGCTTGAGAATGCATCTCAACGCGACTCAGCCGATCAGCAAAATCACTAGGGTAAATCACTAATAATTGAGCTTTTTTTTGGGCTTAGTAGGGTAGGCATATAATACAGTTTTAGAAAGCTCAGAAGCTGGGGATCATTTTGACTATTGATACTAAGGGGTGATCTCGTACCCTGAGGGTATTTAGAGCCCTCAAAGTCCCAAAATCTGGCCATCTTCGGTCACGTGAATTTTCTCCGCCTGGAACGGGTTTTCAGAACCAGAGACAAAGCTAGAATTGTAGCTCAGGCTTTGACGGTCATTTTGAGGGGTCTAAAAATACTGATTACCCCCCCCTTCCTGAGGCGCTAGAGACCTCCGAAGTTGGGGAAGTCGGCCGAAAATGGGTACTTTTTTGCAAAAAGTACACATTTTCTTCATTGATGCTTCTGAAACACTTGTAATGAGTAATTCTTTTCATTTTAAGGTAGCAGAAACAGTTTGGGGTCATCTGAGGTCACTTGAGGTGAATATTCTAAAAATTCTTAAAAATTGAATTCGTGACCTCAAATGACCTCAGATGACCCCAAATTGTTTCTGCTCCCTTAAAATGAAAAGAATGACTCATTACAAGTGTTTCAGAAGCATCAATGAAGAAAAATGTGTACTTTTGCAAAAGTACCCATTTTCGGCCGACTTCCCAACTTCGGAGGTCTCTAGCGCCTCAGGAAGGGGGTAATCAGTATTTTTAGACCCCTCAAAATGACCGTCAAAGCCTGGGCTACAATTCTAGCTATGTCTCTGGTTCTGAAAACCCGTTCCAGGCGGAGAAAATTCACGTGACCGAAGATGGCCAGATTTTGGGACTTTGGAGGGCTCTAAATGCCCTCAGGGTACGAGATCACCCCTAGTATCAATAGTCAAAATGATCCCCAGCCTCTGAGCTTTCTAAAATTGTATTATATGCCTACCCTACTAAGCCCAAAAAAGCTCAATTATTAGTGATTTACCCTAAAAATCACGAAAAGGAAATTGCCTTGTTGAAAGGTCAACTAGAAAGGGCTGAATCACTTTTTGCCGAAGAAAAAGCTAGTCGAGACGATTTAAGGCAGCATTCTGAAAAGCTGGAGGCAGAAATTGAGCTTCTCGGTAAATTCTTTAGCTTGAAAAAGTGAAACAACCCGGACTTTTAGAACGAAAACTTGAAGCAGCGGTCGGTCCTCGACCACCAAGCCAAAATGCTCAAGCTCAAAGCTCTGCTCGCGCGCGTCGTCGTGGCTCGAACGCGAGTGTTACAAGCTCTGTCAGGTCGACTCCAATCAAGCCGCCCCGAGCAAGTAACGCGACTTCTTCTGCAGAAAATGATGAACTCATCCTTGGCGCCCTTCAGAGCCACGTTTATAGAACTGATATGATTTCAACATGACGTCTTTAAATTTCTACTCTTTCATTCCGCTGAACTCTTACTTTCTTACTGCTCTATTTTTCTAAATGTTACTTTATTTTTTCTATAATAAAATATTTAAATCAATGAAATTTTCTCATCAAAATGATTAAGAAAAATGCCTCCAAAAAGAGCTAGAAGAGCCAAAAGCAGCGCTCGAAAAGGACAGGAATTGTCTGAGTACGGAAATTACGATCCCATGTTCATGCATGATGCGATCAACTTTGAGCAGCGGATGAAGCGATACGCGAAACTGGCTATAGACGAGCACATATTCAAAAAGCCCGATATCTTACAGACAGCCTTGCCTAGCTCAGAGCAAGATACTTCGGAAGAACTCCAAGAAAAGCTGAAAGAACAGTTATCGAAGAGCTTTGATAAGCATGGCTGGAACAGTGATTGCTTCAAGAAGGAACTTGAGAATGAAAGTTTAAAAGTTCACCTCGACTTTTGCAAAGAAAATGAGGCTTATATCGAGGAAAATCTTGCTGCAATCCGGAAGATCGTTGAAGAATGCGGTAAGATAAAAAGCTTCTAGTTCGAAAATAAGTTCTTTTGATAGAGATATTTCTGATGAAATCAAACGACACAGTTATTTCATTTCTCGGAGGGATCTTGAAGGAGCGAAAAAAGATCCTCAACGAAAATCAAAGGAAGCACAAGGCCAAGATCGAAAAAAGAAGAAAAGAAAGTCTTGCCGAGAAGAAAAAGGTAACAAATATTTTATATCGCACTTGAAAACCTTTACTTAGGCTCAGGCCGAAGCTAACTCGTCAAGTTCTTCCCCATCAGCCTCCGAGCTCGCGCAAAGACGAATTCAAGCGCTGCAAAAGATCCGCGAGCTAAATGCACTTCGAAAAGCTCAAAGAGGCGATTTAAATATGTACTAATCTCACTGCTCTTTTTTTTAGAAAAATCTTTCTGTAAACAATCATGGCATTTCTGAATTATTGGAGCAATTTTTCAGAGAATGAAATTGAGCGAACTCTTCCTTGCTATCAGCGCCGTTGCTGCTCATGGCGACAATCACAAACTTGAGGTTTATTCATTTTTTTTTCCAAAAAATATGATCTTTTTAAGCATCTTGAGTTCAACCCAGAGGACCAAGAAGAAAAAGAACACATGCTCGAGCATTTGAGGGACACGATCGGAGACAAGGACACTTCCGAAATGACTCCAGAGGAGTTGCAATTTTATTACTTCAAGCAGCACGATTATGACAACAATAATATGCTCGATGGGATTGAACTCATCCAAGGTATCCTTTTTACTAATAATTCTAGTTTCATCTATTCTGAAAATTTGTGAGGAGTTTCTAGGCTAGAAACAAGGAAATATCAATTTTTGAATAAACATAAGCATTGCCATTTTGACTTTTAGTTGTTCAAAAGCATCATAGTGAGTACTTCTAGACAGTTTTAGACCCGAAAAAGGGATGACTTTTCTTCATTATAATTTTTTTTACTAGAGGGTGATTTTTTTCTTGTAGAATTCTTAGTCTTATATATTTTTTTCTTCTAGAATAAGTTGTTTATAAAATGATCTCCATCCCTTTTCGAACGATGAAATTTTCATTCATTTTTCGAGCTTGTCTGGGATAGGCCTCGGGCGAGCCAATGAGCGTCGCGCGCCGCCGCGTTGGCGATCGGCTTTTATAACAAAAATCGCGAAAGAAACGCGCGTTCCGAGAACAACAAGAGATCGGCTCTAGAAGACCGCCTCCCTAGCCCTCGAGAATGAATCATCTTCAGAAGCCGATTAACACGTTATCTTTTAGCTATGACTCATTACGAACGAATGGATCTTGAAGGTAAGCTGCGAGGTTTATTTAATCACTATTCGAGTAAAAAATACAAATGTATGAAATTTCAGATTTATTTTCTACATTTAAAAAAATTTTACAAATAAATATTTTATCAAAATCCATTTACCGATAAGTTAATAAAAATTAGATCGCGGTACCGCAGATAATTATCCCCGTTTCACAGAGCAACAGTTCATCGACATGGTCGACGGAATTCTTTCAAATCAGGATGCAAATGGCGACGGATACGTCAACTACTTTGAGTTCCAAGCCGCGCAGAAGAGACGAACCGGAGCTGGATCTGCTGATCCAAAGCAGTAAAGAATTTTATTTGAGCTTTTAGGAAGGGATCCGATATTTTTCTTAATTTTCATCAGTTGATGAAAAAAAAATTTGATCTCAAAAAGGTTAAATAACTTCTTTTGAAATTAAAGTTGAATCCGTCCTTTTCTTCTACCAATCTTTTCTTTCCAAAACATAAAATGTGCAATATGAGATTCGATTCTGTTCAACACGATAAAACCACTGGTGAAAAAAGTTGTCTAAAAACTGAACTCTTCAGAGCATGGCCGGTAGGAGTTTCGATGATTTCCTACTGGCTTTCGGACAGGCGAATGCGTTTGTTTTCAGCAGTACGACTGAAATGCAAAATGCGGCGAGGAACATGTGGGAAGATATGAAAGACAGACCGGACGAGATTGATGTTTTCATCAAAGAGGTAAAAATGAATTGAAAAAAGTATTAACAATGAAATAAGACAAATGATGGAGAACGAGGGCGAACAAGCGCTTGGCGTGACAAAGACTCGATCTCAATAACTTACTGGTACTCCGCAGCAGTCCAAGCCAAACTTGGTCTACTTCTCAGATCGTTGAAATCGGAATCACCTTTATTTGCTTCTGAAAGTGCCCTGATTTTTGCTGATGTTGCAGTGGAGCTTTTGCGATTCCAAGAACGAAATTTTGGACGCGGCTGCCGCGATCGAAGCGCTGGAATGATGATTCCAACGAGCTACTTTTACGATTTCCGCGAAAAGTCAACTTTCGCATCGATTATCAAAGTCACGAAGGCTTTCTGCGATGAACACGACATCGAACTCAAGGATTTCAACATCTACAATTCGGAAAGCGTCAAAACAGGCCTTCTTCTTTTCAAACGTCTTCGCAAATCACTGAGACACAAGATGAAAAAGATAATTTATTTCTCTGAAAAGATCGAATCTGAGCATCGCGAAACGTTGAAATCAATCGCAGAGATGAACGGCGCAACGATTTCCGAGTCGAGAGAAGATGCCACGCATCTGATTTATCAACACTCGCAATTTCGCAAGCCAAGTAGAGAGCACTGTACGCCACTTAAAACGTGGGATGATCGAGTGCTTGTCCATTGGTGGTTTTCCCCGCCGAGCTATCAGACGTGGGTCGATGCAGAGCTTGTGCCGACCACTGATCGCTTTGAAAACACTGCCCAAGAGCCAAACACTAAATGGAAGTTGAGTCATCACTGGATCGAGAACAGCTATTTATTCAACGAGTGGATGAACGAGTGGGACTACCAGCTCAATGCCTCGAATATGGAGCACATAGGGCCAGCAAAACACCCTGTTTTCAAAGCATTCAAGCCGTTGGACTCCGGGGATCCAAGTTTAAAACGTAAGGACGCGGATCTCACCTCGCCTGGTGGCCAAAAGAAATCAAGGAGGAGTAGAAATAAGCCGATGATCGAAGAAGATCTTACAAAGGGTAATTTCCACTCTCAGGTTCGTTTGATATATTCATTCATTAGGTATGGAAAATCCAGACCCATCCCCACGAGTAGAGCTCGTCGAGATTCCCAATATCCCGCTTGCCTCTCAACCGAGCGCAAACATTCCACCGTCAACCAACAGAAACCTTCGAAATGTGACTTTATTTGACCTTGACTGCCAAGACTACGGTACAACTTACGAGACCTTTTAAACTCACTGACTTATTTTCAGATATGCCATCGGATATAGTCGCGGACGCCGACCAGGTGACGGAGCAAACGCACCACATTATTATCCCATCATACTCTGCCTGGTTCGACTACAATGCAATCCACGCCATTGAAAAACGCGCTCTTCCGGAGTTCTTCAATTCGAAGAACAAATCGAAAACCCCGAAGTCTACCTGGCCTACAGAAATTTTATGATCGACACTTATCGCTTGAATCCGATGGAATACTTGAGTGCGACTGCCTGTAGAAGGAATTTGGCCGGTGATGTTTGTGCAATTATGCGCGTCCATGCTTTTCTAGAACAATGGGGTCTTGTTAATTATCAGGTGACCTTTCTTCAAAGAGTATTTTTCTTACGCTTTTTCTTAAAGATCGACGCCGAATCACGACCCGCTCAGCTCGGCCCTCCACCAACTTCCCACTTTCACGTTCTGGCCGATACGCCATCTGGAGTGCAGCCAGTTGAAGCTCCTAAATTCAAAAAAGCGTCGAAAGAAGTATGCGACACTGCCGAAGGAGAGGTCGAGCCCAAGCAAGAAGTTGAAAACTTCGGGCTAAAGGCTGATATCTATGCCGAGAAGAACAAGAAAAAACAGGACAAGAACGCGTCAAAACCATGGACCGAGCAAGAAACTCTTTCGTTGCTAGAGGGTTTGGAGATGTTCAGAGATGACTGGAATAAAGGTACTTAATGAAATTCTGAAACAGTGACTAAAACAACTTAAAAGTTGCTGAACATGTGGGTAGTCGAACGCAAGACGAGTGTATAATGAATTTCCTCAAATTGCCGATCGAGGACCCCTATCTTGATGGAAAGAAACTATCCGGAAACGATGGAAATTATGACTTTATGCCCCTTCCATTTAGGTGCGGGAATCATTAAGCTTGAGCGTTAACATAAGTTAATCCTCTGTCTAGCCAAGCTGGAAATCCGGTTATGACGACCGTTGCTTTCCTCGCATCTGCGGTTGATCCTCAAGTTGCTGCTGCTGCGGCAAAGGCCGCTCTTAATGAGTTCAGCAAGCAACAATTCGCAGTTCCCACCGCAATAGAAGAAGCACACAAAGACGCTGTGATGAAACACAAGGAAACTACAGGCGAATGTGACCCTGAACACGGTCTGGATGAAGCTGGCATCGCTGGAGTTAAGCGTGACGCTGAGAGCATGGAAGAGAAAATGGATACCGACGCGGCATCATCTCCAAAAGAGAATGGTAAATAAAATAATGTTTTCACGAATAAATTGAAGTTTCAGGCGAAGGTCCTTCTCCGGCCAAAAAAGAAAAAACAGACATGACCGATGAAGAGCTAAAAAAGGCAGCTGCAGTTGCTCTTTCTTCAGCCGCTGTAAAAGCAAAACATCTTGCAACACAAGAAGAAAGAAAAATCAGATCTCTAGTTGCGGTCCTTGTTGATTTCCAAGTCAAGAAAATGGAGCTCAAGATGAAACAGCTTGACGAGCTTGAAAACATGCTCGATAAGCAACGAGACACTATTGAAAATCAACGACGACAGGTACTCATCTGATTCTTTATCAAGCGATTAAATAATTTTGTAGCTTATCGCAGAGCGCCAGCAATTCCACATGGAGCAAATAAAAATTCAAGAAGCTACTCGTCAACGCGAAGCAGCCCAGCGAGCGCCTAACGCGGAAACTGTAAGACATCTAGTCACAAATATTTATAACTATAATCTATTCAGGGAGCATCTGGACAAGTACAACAGGCATCGAATATGGCTCGTGGCCCTGCTCAAGGACCCCCTGTTCAGGGTTTTCCTCAGCAGTTTCCACCACAAGGTCAATCAGTCCCGCAGCCTGCTCAAGGTTTGTTCCGGCGGAACGGCAGAAGCTGAAACTATATTTAGGCAACGGACCAGTGGAAAACTCAACCGCACCTGAACCAATGTCTTAGACGTCTCATTCGTTCCTTCATTGATCTTTACTCTCTATCTTCTAGGAAAATTCGATTTCGAACGAAAAACTAACCAACTTCTTATATTTTGCGCTCGAAATGTAAATTCTATTTCTACTGCCACATACACATGAGCCACCATTCTTGTTTATTCCTGCTCGACAATGCTACACACCTAAAACGTTCAACAAATTGTGGACTCAAGCCTGTTATTTTTAGGATGAGGTTCACCACTGCTCGCCTTGCCTACAACCACGGCAACCGACTCGGTTATCTTGGATATGGAGTCAAGCCCGGTCAGTCTGTTGTTGGACCCTCCGACACTCGGGCTTTCCGAGACCTCAAGCTCGGCGAAGTAAGTGCTCCCAAAACGATCATTCCCTAAAATTTCATCCAGGTTGCTGGTTGGCTCCGAGGACGACCCGTCGACTTCCCATACACTTTCATGGCTGTCCGAAGATACTGGAAGGCTTTCCTCTTCAAGTACTCTCGACCTGGTATGCACCCCGCCTCCCTCTTCGGTTCCCAGACCGTTGGTGGCCCAGGAATGAACCACAACTTCCTCCTCTCTGGATCCGGATGGGCAATGGTAATCCGAGCTCGTTTTTTGAGCAAACTAAAATATTCGTAGATCTTCGTTGCCTTCTTCACCTTCTTCCAGCTCGTCATCTTCAAGGACGAGAACCACCACCACCAGAAGGTCAAGTACCACACTTACCCTGTCTCCGAGTCCATCATGTCCCTTGTCCCTGGATTCGCCCAGAAGGGACGAACCGAAGGTGACTTCGAATCGAGCGGTGTCATCAAGACCATTCTCGCCGCTGGCTTCTTCGGTATCTCCGCTGCCGGTGTTGCTGCTAACCCACAGCTCGGTGGTGCAGCTCTCTTGGCCGCCATCTACTACTTCACCTCCATCGCTCCCCACCAGCAGGTTCCTCTCCTCCAGGAGGACCGAGCCTACCTCGCTGAGCTCCTCGGCGCTGAGGTAAGATTAAGATAGAGTACCAAGTGTCAACGCAATCTAGGGCGCTGAAGTCGATGCCCTTGTTGCCAAGAACAACGCCATGGGCGAGAAGTTCAACTACTCTAAGCTTGGCGCTCTCCTTGACCTCGTCCCCAAGCTCTAAATGAAGTATTCAAGGAAGTTACTTCAGTCGATGAACTGATTCAGTGTGTAACATAAAACATGTGCTCAAGTTCTCCACCACTCCACACCACCCTTATTTATTGACATTTCCCTCGACCGATCGAAATCTACCTGCGTGGGGATAGAATTCATTTGTTTATACTGAATCTACTGTCGCGCAAGTTTTCAAAATAGTTCAAATAAAAATTAAGAAAAATTAACTCAGTGTGTAATGGCATTTCGTTTAGACTGGCATTTGACATGAGATCGGATGGAACTGGGGTCGAGGTTGACTACGACGAACCCGGCTCCCCGCTAGATAGGTATCTCGCCAATCTCGACCTTGAATTCCACCCTGCAGCAGGAACAGAGGAACTCAGTCTAGCGCAACAGCTCCATAATGTGCAAGCAGAATCCCCTGAGCAAACTAGCGCTGCAATCAAGGAAGACCTCTCTCAAATCGAGCAGGATCTTAGCCCAATCATGTTTGCAAGTATGTTCAATTTATTGTTCCTTTTCTTTTGATCATAACCATTTATAAGAAAATCTTTGCTCAAAGATGAGACGTGGAGCTGCAGAGTATCTTCAAGGACTACAAGACAATCATCTGATCAAAGCATCAAAACTCGAATACGACTCACGTACATTCCTTCAGCAGCAGTTAGCTGACTTCCAACTCGACGATGCCCTTGAAGGTCTGAATAACGAATTAGACCGTGCGCACGTCTTATCAACAAAAGAAATAACTCGTTCTCCTTTTCCGAAATACGCAGGTCATATTTTTGCAGTTTACCTCGCCCTTATCATCAAGAACGCACATTCTTTTCCAATTTGGATCAATGTCATTCATTTTTGTCTCGCTGTTGGTGGTTTGCTATTCCTTTTCAGTTGGTTGCGATACTATCTCATCTACTGGTCTTTCCACGACAACGTGAAAGAAAATTTAAAACAGGTTGAAGACATGAAGGAGACATTTGATCTTATGGACAGAGCACTTCAGAGAAGTCTACGCTTTATCAGAGATATGCAAGTGCTAAACAAGGGTTTTACTACTGTAAAATCTCCGACGTCTAGCCAAGAGAACAATCACCGCTGTCCAAGAGACGTCCATCTGATGAAATCGTATGTTAAGTCTTGCTTGACATTTGTGTGTGAACGATTGGATCCGGAAACACCTTTAAATTTGACGTCAATCGACTCCGAGCTCGAAATGCTTATAATAGAATATCACGAACGACGCTCCGTTTGCATACGGAAAAGTGCATCCCAATTGCTAAAAGATAGCCTCTTCTTCAGGAGTGTTTCCATTCAAGATGAGATAAGACTGCTTGAGCAACAGACTGATCGAATAAGACGATTGGATCTTGAGCCACGCCCAGAAAATGAGGATGCTACAAGTAATCCAGTACACAACGATAGACTCGCCGTTCTAAGAAGTCTTGCTATTCATGCACAACTTCTCGCACGCGAGGCGTATCAAGATAGGATAAAAATCTATTTGTTATATCATTAAGTTTTTGTTAATCGTTTCCACAGTTTATCAGTAAAGAAAGTAGTATAAAAATTTTCGTTAAACAGATTTTTTTATCCTTCTCTACCAGAGACATGCCAAGATATGGAAATTGCAAGCATGGAAAATCTGTCTCGACATGCGACTGGAGTCACCGAAGCTTTTGCCCTACTGCTTTCCGTGTCAGCACAAAAAGAGCATGATGTAACTTCTCAGGATGATGCAGTAAAGCCGACAACTTCGTCCGACAGCCAGACGTCATTCCTATTGAACGCAGAGGCGGAACAACTCGACCAGATTGACGTTGTTGATGATATTATATTTGAGGAAACTGTCGTGCATGACGATAACGAAGACGAAAGTAGAACTCTCAATAGGATGATTGCAGATGATGATCCTTTGGAGAAGCTTGGAGCGAAAAATGTCATTTCTGAATTGAAAAATATTCTTCCGAAAACTGTAAATCAAAATAGGAATGGGTTTATCTTTTTCTGAGTAAATACGTTGGTTGACGCTTTCCAACGCTCCTTCATTATGCTGTAGATGGCCCTCACGTATAAACTATAATTTTCCATGAAGATAACCCTCACCAAGTCGGCAAACACGGAAAGAAGCTCTATTTCCAGACTACTGGCGCGAAAATACGCCACGTCCGTCTGACATAATAATCCCTTCAACAGAATCCTTTTCGCTTCACGGATCTGAAAATACGACGGAATCACAGAAATCTAGCACATCTGATGCTTTTGAAGATTTGAGGCGTACTCAAATCTTAGAAATTGGGGAGTCCGGATGTGAAGAGCCCGATTACCGAAGTCAGATCGAGAAAGATTTGGATGACGGCCGCCGCGATCATCTCACAGAAAACCACGATTACTGTTGTCCTAGTAGCTCGAGTTTAGCTTCCATTCTCGCCCAGCAAGTTGCCAAAAAATCTGCTAAAATTGAAGCAGAAGAGTTTTCGTGCGGCGATTAATATTTCTCCCTTATTTCCCTTGTCCAGAATTTCTTCAACATTAATTAAATTAAAAATTCGTAGGCTCCCAATGTTTTTAAATTTTAGAATGGTCTACATCCTCCCCAGACCTGCTCTCCAGTTCATCTCGAGGTCGTTTTACAAGAAGGCCTACCCAACCTACTTTGCATTCATCGCTGTCGTCGCAGCCGGCATCGAATGGGTTTACTGCCCATGGGTTGAAGGTGCACTAAATATTCCGACATTCCAAGAAACTTGTTTTAGACCAATTTGTCAACAACTTCAACCAGGGCCGCATGCTTCCCCACATCCTCCCCGAAATCCTCAAGAAACAGGCCGAGCTCGCAGCCGCCGAGGCCGAAGACGACGAGGATGAGGACGACGAGTAAACTTGCCCGCTCTATTTATTCATAGATTTCTGCAAAACATCCCCCAATGAAAATATGTTGAATTAAATTATTTATTCGCCTTCGGACGTACTCAGTGTTCTCTCTTGTTTGCATTATCGAAGGCCGAACTCTCCGATTAAAAAAATAAACTTGAAAAAATAATGAGCGTCTCTTAATTTCATAACGAATGTTTGTCATTTGTGTTTGCCAAGATAATCTGATGCGGTGTAAATAAGAGTAAGTTGATTTTGATGGAGGACTATTGCAGGGAATGTCATTGCTGAAGGTTGTTGAATTAAGAAATCGGTGGAAGATATGTCGGACCGTTTGAGTCAGCTGCAGGACTTCGTAAATGATCTCGCTATTCACATGTGCAACTCGATTGGTGTTCTACATGAGACTGCCCCGCCTAGCTCATTTGATGACGCTGAGACTCGCACTACCACTCCTCGCCCAGACGCAGCGGAAGTTGAGGCACAGAGGGCAGAATCACGTCGAAACATTGAGCTTTTCAGCAATCTGATTACCCGTAGCTTCAAGAATATTGATACTTTAATTGATTCCCTTCCGTCCGAGGAATCCACATCCAGCCTACAAGCAGCCACACTCCAAAAGATACAGACTGAAAATCAGGCGGAGGCAGAGCGACTAAGATCTTTCGTGGAAAAGGGAGAACGAATCCATGATAAGATTCAGGCAGCACTGGACGATATTGCTGACACTCAATTGGATGCTCGGAGGCTGACAGTAAAGAACATCACCCAGTACAAACTGAAAAAAGAGGAAGCGATCAAGAATGAAATGAAATACGAAGTTCCTTTTAATTAGATCATTTTGCACAACTCTCAACTGCCACATGTGGAAAACAATTTCGAGTTTTTGTGATCGTTTTATTATTCTAGAGTCGCGAAAATGTCGGATAATGACTCGCTAGTTGACCTTGACGAGCTTGATCGGATACTCGAAGATGTGGGAGGTTCAAAAGGGAGGAGGAAACAGATTTAAAATAAGTCTAAATGAGCCAAAATCAGTCGAATTGGGTGATTTATGAGTGCGGCGAAGCTCACAAATCGAATTGGCACCAGCTACTAGCTAGGTATTTGATACGCCTCGATGATTTTTATTTTGTATCAATTCCTCAAACAGCTAAAACTCCGAAACAATGGAAAGCGCCAGTACAAAAAGCACCCGCTGCTAAATCCAGCGCCGCAAAGAGCATCGATGATTTCTTGAAAGAGGTATGTTACGCTATCGGATAATAGAGGGTCGGGGCTTATCTAGATACAAAGCATTCTGAGCCGGTCATAAAAGTTGCAAACTCATAAAAGGTTAGACCAGAAAGTGCGTCTGGAAACAACGTGTTAAATGAATCCACTGATTTATTATTAGTTTTCTGACGATGATAGCAATTGGAAAGATCTTTCGCCAAGTAGATCCGTGCAGAAGCAAAAAGAGGCTTCAAATATTTCCAAAAAATGCTCCCCTTTTGTTTATCTCTCGGCAGTGGACGAAGAGGGGCTAACAAAGCCCTCACAAGTCAGGTAAACAACAATAGAGAAAAGTCAAGTCCATTCGTCTTATTGTAGATTAACTGCCACTTTCAGGAGCTGTGATAAGCTGCGTTGTTTCTCATGCGATTTCGATGTTGTGGGATTTCGCGGCTGCCGGTGGAAAAGTGAGACTGATTATCTTTTTTTAAGAAATAATCATCCCCTAAAAGACAAACTCAGAGCCAATCTTATAGACGACCCGTCAAGGTAGGAAACGCATAGAGAATCGACAGAGAGATAAATTAAGCGCTGCTTTTTGCTGCCAATGTGCATCGATTAGCGTATCAAAGCGGACAAAGCTGGACTCGGTCAACCTATCTTGGTCATGCCGGTCGCATTAAAAATCACCCATCGCGCCATCGATTTTTCTTCTTCGCTTTCTACGAATCTTCTTTTGTTTACGGTGATTCTTATTTTCTTACTTTCTGTATTTTATTTTTCTAAGAAAACTACGTGTCCTCCTTTTATAGAAAAACAAGCTGTGTGTCTGTTAAAAGTAAATGTCATTGGCACACTCAGTGGCCTAAAGGCGAATTAATTCAGATGATGGATCGGACGCAGGGCTGATGAAAACGCTTGAAATAGTCGAGAGCGCGGAGATTCTAAATGTCAGGTGAAGAAAGCTCTTTTGAAAATGGTGAGGGTGATACAGACCCCAGAGTTCAAGGTAAGCAGTTGTAATTAGGATCAAAGCTAATGAAGTACATACAGAGGAACTGGAGCGACTGAACAACGCTGGAACAGACATAAACGTCTTGGAAACTGCTTTAACGAAAGCTAGAACTGAGTACCGAACATACCTTCACGTAAGAGTAAAACAAAAGCTCCAACTCAGTTATGTTTCAATAGAAAATATCACATGATTTACGAGCGCTGGAGAAAACACTCGGCTCTTGCGTCAAGAAATCGAGGCCTTACTACGAGTCAAGAAATAAATTCAAAGAAGCACAACACGCAGTTCAACTAGCTACCGAAAAATTTGAACATGCTGTAATTTCTTTCATAAATATCATTTGTTGAATAATTCTATCTAGGCTTCAAGACATAATGCTGCCAGAGAAATGGTTGCCGTTGCTGAGGCCTCCCTTGAAAGTACCGTCGGTGCGGATGCTCAAGACAAGCTAGCATGGGCGGAAATGCTTAACCAAGCCACAGAAAAGGTGAATATCGCAGAAAAAGAACGACAAGAAGCTGCAAAATTACACACCCAAAAGATTCAAAAGCTGCAAGAGATCGAGGTGAGTCCTCCTTGATTGTAAAGAATCAAACTTTATTGCAGAGAACAATGCGAAGTCTTCAAAAATCCCAAAAGCGATCAATAATTTCTTCAAAACCGTACTTTGAGCTGAAGGTGATTAAAATGGCCGAAATGGAGGATAAACGAAACACTGTGAATGAAATCGAACAAAAACTACACATCTCGAAAAGTGACTACCAAGCAGCTCTGCGTACTCTTGAGACAATATCTGAGCAGATTCATTTGCATCGGAAGTTGCAGAGTCTAGAATCAAACCTTTCCGTAAGTTCAAGAATATCTTACAGAGCGTCACTCTTTGATAAGGGTAAATCAGATCATCTAACAGTCCCTAACGCCGCTGGAACTGGAAACAACCAGTCAGATACCTCTTCTTGCAGATCTGTTCTTTCTGATCTTAGGCGTGCTGACTCTGTAGAGCATATTGACAATATGTCGGATCCATCTGACGCTGACCAGAACGATAGGCTCAGTGTCGACTCTGGAATGTGGACCCCTGGATCTGGATCGGGTGGATCTAGACACGGTAGTGGCCGCAGAACGCATCAGAGAAACTCGTCTATGGTAAGTTTTATCGTCACATTTCAGCTGTAGAAATTAGTTAACTAAAATAAATTTTCGTTCTTTCCTATCAATCCAGTTCTAATATTACCTACTCAAGATAATTTTCCATCAATTTTTAGCCTCTCGCTGTGCGGGAGCTAGCACGAGTTCCACAAATTTCAAGGAATGTGCAAACATCACCGTCAAATTCTTCCTCTGACGATAGTCACGCTGATAGTTCTTCCAGGAGCAGAGTACAGCGGGACCCCGTTGAAAATTTTGCCAATGAAAGGAGACCAACTGTTAGGCGGTCCTCAGGCAAGGGTTTTGTACAAGTCACTTATTGAGTATTTTTCTTTGTGACAACTTCTCGACACCCTATTTAAAGAAGTCCAAAAGTGTGTCAAAGAAAGTCCGTCGACGCAGTCTCCCAGCACCAATAAAAGCACAACACCAACTCAACTCGTTTCACTTGATGTCAAAGCTCTTCAAAAACAGCAAAAATTCTAAAGCTCCTCCAAAAATTCAAACCAACTTTATTTCCTCCAAAACTTTAATTTATATTTTTTCTTGCCTCCAATGTCTAATTTGAAAATTACACATGATGCTGCGCCTAATATATTTTATTTTTTGTTTACATGTCCAGGATGAAAATTGACTGGAATTCTTTGATGACGAATAGATGCTGTGAAAATCGCCAATTCAATGAAATTAAGACTTTTGCCGCCTGTTCCGATCAGCTCTTCATTGTTTCAACATTTTTTTAAAAAATATATCTCAATAAATTTTCAACTTCAACATTTCAAAAGTATTACTAAGTAAGAAGCTTGTAATACTGAGTTCATTGTGTACTAGAATGTTCTTTTCGAGGATAGTCCGGGCGCAGGAAGTCACTTTGGCAATTTTAAAACCTTCAGGGAGGGGACCATTGCATATGAATAATTGATTTGAATATAAAAAATAATCCCTTCTGACAGTTACGGCTTCACCGAAATCAGTTCAAAAAATATTAGAAAAATTAGATGCGGATGAAAAGTTCAACATATTAGCGGCCAAAAAAACTGAGATATCCTCCTCCCAGGCTGCCAGATTTTATGCCGAACACGAGGGAAAGTTCTTTTATCCGCGACTCCAAGCTTATGTTCGATCTGGACCAGTGATTGCTCTTGCTTTGCAAGGCGAGAATGTTATAGCAAACTGGCGCCAGTTAATCGGCCCAACGAAGGTCACAAAAACTAAATATCTAAATCCGGATACTCTTCGGCATGATTACGGGATTTCTGACACGAGAAACTCTTTCCATGGGTAACGGGCTCTAACTATTTCTTATAAAACTCTTCGGAAGAACAGTTAAAGCCCAGTGGAGGTCAGACGCTTTGGATAGTGCGCATAACGAGCTTTCTATACTTTTTCCGGATCTAAAGTTTGACCCACTGGACCCAGAATATTATGAGATTGATATTCCAGATGTTCTCAGTAGAAAACAATCTGGAGCATTGAAAATCGCCAACTTGAAATACCCACCGCCCAATCCACAAATATCTGACAGCTATTCTGCCGATCTTGAGAGCATTCCATTGGCAAAGGAAGATTTTTGGGATGGATACCACCGGAAGCAGAAGCAAGATTGGTTTCTGAATCAAAACCAAGCTCTCGATTTCATCAAGAGACACACATCAATCGCAGATACTGACAGAGATCACCGCGTATCCATCCTTGACTTGGGGGTAGGCACAAGCACTTTGATGCTTCGCATTATTTTTATGATGAAAAGTAAGACTCAAAATTTTACTCGGATTTTATAAGTTGACTTTAGACCTTGATGGTTGGGCGATCGATTTTTCTGAGGAAGCTTGCCGATTTCAGGCAAAATCAGTTGAGACTCTCCTTGAAAACTATTCGAAAAAGACTGGCGATTCTGAATCTCTTCTCGTCAAAAATGGAAATTCACTAGTCATCTGTAAAGATGATTGTAGATCTTTAACCTGTGCAGACAACTCTATCGATTATATTATTGACAAGGTGGGTGTATTTTGACTCCTCCATGATTTCAACGATTGTAATTCATTCGTTCTCAGGGAACAATGGATGCCTTTATGCGACTTGAAGAATCCGATTCTTTCCAAGCGATGGATGAAATGGTGCGTGTATTGGGGCCATCGGGAAAGGTCTTACAGCTGACAGAAGAACCTCCAGAGACACGTGTTGAACGATGGTTCAAGTGGTCTCAGACATCGAAGTATGAAGCCAAGGTCCAGCAAGAAGAAATCGCCGGGAAATACGGATATATTGTCACTGTCACTCTCAAATAGAATAAATTAATTATTTCTTCTTCAACAAACAATGCCACGCCTATAAATCAATGTGATTTGTTTAGAGAATATGTCAGATCTTGAAAGTTCTGATCCAGAAGATATGGTCGCTTCCGATGATGAAGAAGTAGCACCAGCAACATCTTTCGACATAGAAATGCAGGTAAGGCTCTTCATTGCGATATTATCAATCGACGCTCGACTCTAGTTGCTGTCTGAAAAATATACAAAGCCAAAATTCGTGAGAGATTTTCCGTCAGGAGAAAAATTAACATACGCATATCTTGCTGAGACTGGTTTCGAATGGCCAATGATGTTTAGAAAACCAGATGGACTTGGGATGACATTACCTCCCAAAAATTTTACCGTACGTGATGTTGAACGACTCATCGGTGGAAAACGCGTCGTTGATCTAATTGACTGTCGTAATCAACAGGTTTGCCCATGCGATAAATCAGAATTCCAAATGTTTTTCAGGGTCTGCAGATGACCTTTTCGCGGTTTGTACGGTATTTTGAGAGGAGGACGAAAAGAAGAATTTTGAATTTATTATCTCTCGAATTCGGCGACACCGCCTTGTCAGGTAGTCGAATGGAATTAATTAGAATTTTATTAAAATACACATCTTTAGATTATGTGAGCAGACCTTCGATCGTTAACGCCATCGATCATGTAACACTTTGTTGGCCCGTTAGCAAACGACCAGTTCCAGACGGCGAATTAGATCTTGCTTGGCCAAAAGTCCAAAAATACTGTCTTGTTTCTCCCGCCAATTCTTACACGGACTTCCACGTAGACTTCGGGGGGACAAGCGTTTGGTACCACGTTCACCGCGGTGAGAAGATTTTCTGGTTCATCCCTCCGACGAAGAAGAATCTTGAGCTTTTCGAAAAGTGGACGTTGAGCGGCGCTCAAGACCAAGTATTTTTTGGCGACAAGGTTGATGAATGTCAAAGAATACGAGTCCAAGCTGGCGAAACACTTTTTATTCCATCTGGTTGGATTCATGCGGTTTTTACACCTGTGGATTGCATCAATTTCGGCGGAAATTTTCTCCACGGATTGTCAATGAAGATGCAAGTGCGCGTCGTTGAAATGGAAGAAAAACTAAAAGTTCCCAATCGAGAGAAGTTTCCACACTTTTGGCCTCTCATGTGGTATGTTATGCACGCATACAGTCAAGTCGTAACCAGTTCTCATAAATTAGCACCACTGTAAGTAGCACAGTCCGTATTCATCCCTAAAAATCATCTAAGAGAAATCAAGGGTTTGAAAAAACTCTATAAACGGCTATCGATTATGTCAACGTCAACCAAGTATTGCCCGGCTAGCATTGATTCGCACAAAATTTTGGCTTGCATCAAGGTAAAAAAAACATTTTTGTAATTGGTGCATTCGCTTTTAGAAAATTCTTTCCGAACACATAGCGGATGTCCTTCCAAAGAATATTTTGATGCCTACGATCATCCACTACACTCACGAAGAGCCGCCAGCGAAGGTTCTGAAAATCGAGATTCCGAAACCGAAAGTCCTACCAAGCGTAATGGTCATTCTCCCGTCAGAAGCACAAAAACTCAAGCCAACGCATCTAAAAATTAACGGAGAGAAGAAGGCCTCGACTGCAAATAAAATCTGCCACAATTTCCCCGAAGAAATCTGGGGAAAAGTTTTCTCGACACTTTGTACAAGAGATCGTGCTAAAGTCGCCCAAACTTGTAAGGCGTTCCATCGATTTGTGACGGCAAGAACATTATGGCGTCATGTAGATCTAAGTCATCTTGACTCTTTGACCCCATCGAGCCTAAAATGGTTAATGCGTAGAGCTCCAGAATCTGTCTCCTTGCCAACTTCCTGTACGTATCGCCAGACAGCTTTTCTTCTGTCCAGAAGCCCGATGTTGCGCAAGCTGATCCTCCGCGGCGCATCCTGGAGCGCGATTTCAGCAATCAACACGGGCCAGGTATAGTGAAATTAGAATCTTATTCTAATCAATCGTCAGGCACCACCTCTACGATGCCTTGATTTGTCCTGGAGCGTTGTTACAGATGCGGCGATCGAAGAAATGACGAGTTGCCCGACAGGGAATATCAGAATGGGCACGCCTTCTCCCTCCCATTCTCGACTGATGAAATTGCAGGAGCTCATACTAGACGGGGCTGATATATCCGATGATGCAATGTTTCATCTTTCAAAACTTCCCGATCTTCGCTCGCTGTCACTTATGGCTTGTGTGCGTCTGACAGCTGATGGTCTGAGCAAATTGGTGTCTGAGGCGTCGCAAATTCCCTTGGATGAATGTCTGAATCTTTCAAACTGCAGTGGCTTACAAGGTAATGCTTGGACTACCTATAGAAAATTTAACATCAAAGTAGCGGATGTTCTGCCAGTTCTACGCGAATTCCTCGCAAAAGGAACAAAATCAATAGAAATTTCGGAAACTCGAAATCTTCCAGCCGCAGAATACGACGAATTCCGCCATAAAATGGATGCTTCTGCGCGGGAAAAGTGGGATCAACATGTCACTTATCAACCCGAAGTTGCGCGAAGATAGCGCCTGATTAGATTCTTTTTCTGATTTCTTTATTCTCCTTCTTAGTTCTTTTTATGTTTTACTGCTCCCTTCGAAAACTGCCCCAAACATGAACTTTTTCTCTCGTATTTCAAAGCTGACTTGCCTTTTCCGATATTTTCCGTAAATATTCTTTCTACCAAGAAAATCTTTGTCATGAATTACTACTAGAATGTCAAGAAATAAAAGAATCAACAAGTTTTTGAAAAAGTATTTCGCAAAAACAAATAGAAAGGAGACGCTGAAGGTATTTCTTGAAGAGCTAGAGTCAGACAAAAAAGACAACTCCTCGTCGAATATGATAAAGTTGAGTTTTGCAATACAAAAACCACCAGATAGAAAGAGAATCGATATTGAAGCACCAAAGAAAAAAGACAAGATATCAAAAGAGAAGAAACTTGAAGGTAGTCAGTATAGAGATTCTCGTCGTAAACTCTCCATAGTTCCAGCAGATTTCGAAGTAATGGCAACAAAATTTGGACTTCCAAAAGAGCATCTTGAATTTTTTTACGAACACCGGCAAAGCTTTCACTGGGAAATTAAGGGAGATCAGAAACTTCACTGTACAGGGAACAATCTGCACTGTAAATTTACAACAAAAGTCAAGCCAAAAGCACTTGTCCAGCATATGATTGACTCGCATGGATTTGGTGATTTTCCTTGTGGCAAAAAAGACTGTGAATACGTTGCATACTCCGAAAAGACACTCCGTTACCACACGGTTAAGTTTCATGGAATAGGAAAGCGAGCAGCGAGTGTTGATCAGCTCCATCGTTGTAAGTTCTCGAGCTGTCCTTACATCTCTCCGACTACGAGTGCTCTTGAATTGCATCATCGGATTCACGAGAACCGACTTATGATCTGCGAGTTCTGCAATGTAAAAACCGCGAAAGATACTCGCATGACCATACATCTCATGTCTCATTTCAACATCAAACCTTTTGTCTGCGAAGTCTGTTCTTATCCCTTTTCGTCAAATGCTGAGCTGAGTAAGCATACAAGGTTCAGTCATTCAAACGATTTTACTTGCTGCCATTGCTTGGTTTCGTTAACAAGCATTGCCAGTTACCAAAAACATGTTCGAACCTGCGAGAAAAGATTGATGAAGTTTGCGTACTCAAGTTTTTATTTTCTGCCATTTTAGAATGTCAAGAAAAAGAAGAATCATTAAGTTCTTGGAAAAATATTTCAAAAGAACGAGAAGAGAGAAGACTCTGAAGATCTTTCTGAAAGAAACTAACAAACAAGAATCAAACAACAACAAGACCTCATCGTCAAACAAAGTGAAGTTGAGTTTTGCTATACAGAAGCCCCCAGAAAAGAAGAAAATCGACATTGAGCCTATAAAAAAGAACAATAAGAAAGCATCTACTCTACCTAAGAAAAAGAAAGGTAGCTTTTATTCTCACTACGAATTTTGTTGATAGTTTTGCTAGTACCTGCTGAGTTCACACTAATGGCAACAAGGTTCGGTCTTCCAAAAGAGCATCTTGAATTCTTCTATGTCAATCGCGACCATTTTCACTGGGAAATAAAAGAAAATCGACTTATTCACTGTAGCGAAGCTTACTGCAAGTATACAACAGCGATGGCGAAGGATGGTCTCGTGCCGCATATGATTGACAAACACTTTTATAAAAATATGGCTTGCGGAAAAGAAGATTGCGAATTCGTTGCATATTCCCAAAAGTCGCTCAAGTCACATTACTCGCGCTTCCACGGGACGGGAAATAGAGCACCCACAGTCGACCCAAAGCGTTCGTGCAAGTACAAGAGCTGTTCTTACCAATGCAAGGATGCCTACGGACTGGAATTACACTATCGGGTGCATGAAAACCGTCTTCTATCCTGTCCATACTGTCCTTATCGCTCTACTACTTCAGAAAAAATGATTAGCCAGCATCTACTTACACACTTTGACACGAAAAGCATAAAATGCGATTACTGCTCATTACTTTTTCGAACACAAGATGCTATGAATCGCCACTGGCAAAGAAACCATACAAAGGACTTTACTTGCTCTTACTGCTCGACCACTTTCCTTAACTTTACTCGCTTACAGAGACATACAACTTCTTGTGAGGAAAGATTAAAGAGGCTCGAAAGATGACATTTTCGATCTGTTTGCATTTAGCATGATAAAGCTGGACCGTAAAAGACGCAAGCCGAAAAAGGAGGAAGATGATGAAGAGCAAGAAAGAACAGAAGTTGATTTTACGTCAGATGCTTTTGTCGGAAAGCTGGAAGGGTCGGATAACGGAAGAAAGGGTGGACTAGGAAAGGCTATATATTTTTACGTCGAATCTTAGGAATTTTATATCACACGAGGAAGTTTTAATTCCAAATTATCAAAGGTGGAAATCAAGCCAGTGATTAGAGATCCGACGCAAGTCGAATGGAGAGCCGGCCGAGACCTCTGATATTCCAGCTGATGCCGTGAGAAAAGGCCCGGCGATGCCGTCAGCAGACGTACTTGCTGTTCTTGCTCAGCGAGAAGTTGTTATTCCAGATGCAGAGGAAACAAGTGAAGAAAATAAATCATCGGATTCAGAGAAGAAAGGTGAGTGTAGCAATACACATTCAGTGAAGAATAATCTTTATCTATTCACAGATGCCACACTCGCGAATGATAGTGAAGAACAACCGAATGAGGAAGTATGCAAAGCTTATCCCCAGCCTGCTGTTCAGGAATCTTCAGGATTTAAAGCCCCATCACTTCCTCAAAGTTCCCCCAACAAAGCAGATCCAGTGCCACCAAAGAAGATCTCCTCCAGTAAAACGGCCCCAAGCTTTTCCTACAGAGAGCCTGTTTGGACTAGCATATGCGAAGAAGAATCTTACAAGCTAGAAGTTCTCAAAAATGGCAAAATTATCGGTAAAGTCAGTAGTAATTTTAATATAAAATGTAATTTCATCTCTTAGGAAAGTATCAGCTCAGCGGGAAGAGCTGTCATGTCCTTGGAAAATGGGAAACGTGCGATCTGCGACTTGAACATCCATCGGTCTCAAGGTATCACTGTATTCTTCAATGGCATGCTCAAGACAAGACGTGGAAACTACTCGACTACGGCAGTAGCAATGGTGTGAAGCTTAACAAAATGAAGCTGCGTCCACATCAGTATGTTCGATGCACTGTCGGGTCCGTCTTGGAAATTGGAAACTCAACCCGGAAGTACATTATGGTCGGGCCAGATGATGACCAACTTGAGGCAAGGGATCATCAAATTTAAATCATCAGTGTCTAGACAGCGTACAAGTTTCCAACCACTTTCCGTCTAGTTAGTTCTGGTATAGAAATTTTGCATGAATTGAGAGGTGTGCGAATAAAGATCTCCGAACATAGGAATCCAAAGAATCAGGGTTCGAATTGCGTGAACAGTTCAAAAAGAAACAACGCAAGCTTGAAAAGCAAATGCTTGGCGAGGATGATTCTGATGACGAAGAAGAAAAGGCGAAAGGAAAGGCCAAGGAGGAAGAGGGAGTGAACTGGGGTTTCACTGAGGACGCCTGGGACGATGATGATTCAGAAGATGTAAATGCGCCGATCGGAGGTGATGGAAAGACACCATCATTTCTGAAGGTAAATTAATTAATAATTCATCCCGCTTATTACCGGAATAATTTAGACTGAATTGAATCCAAATGCGTTCTACAACAAAGACCCACTCAAAGCTATCAATCACTTCTTTACGTCGGATATGATGGAACCACCATGGGACTTTCAACAAACTCCCAAAGGAAAATGGATTTGCAAGCTAGAACTTCCGATAGGTGACGGCGCATCTGGAATCACAGTCGAAGCGGAAGGAGAGGGAAAATTGGGCGCGAAGACACACTGTGCTCTTGAAGCCTGTAAGATGCTGGATAGAAATGGAATTTTTGACCAGAACGCTAAGGCATGAGATAATTCTATAGATAATAAGCAAAACTTCATTTTTAAGGCTAGAAGTAAACGAGACAAACTGGAGCAAAACGATTTCTACGATTCCGACGAAGACAACTTCTACGATCGAACCGGCGACCTAGAAAATAAACGTAAGAAGCGTAAGTTGGCGACGACTGGAAAACAGAAAAAGGAGAAAGCGATCTCGTACGACGAAATAATGGAAAATCTAAATAAAACTCAAGCTGAGTACGACTCACTTATCCGAAAAATTGAGAGAGGTAGCTTTAAATTGGGCGAGTGGAAAATGAGCTTATTTAGATAGGAAACAAAGGGAGCAGTTTAAGTCATCAGATGATCCTCTCGAAGCATTTATGAAAACAGTCAAATCTGGGGGAGCGCTCGATAGCATGACCCGATCAAAAATGCATCGCAGAAAAGCAGAGTTGTCAAAGGACCTGGCTCATTGGAAGAAGTTGGCTACTGCGGCCGCTCCAGCAGCTCTTCCCGATATTCTCAAACCGACTTCAACACATACCGGATCTCGGAAAGTGCCTTCTCTGATGAAAGGTCGAGTCACATCTGCGGGTTCTATGATGACCAAGAAAAAAATACCAGCTGCAGACACAATTAATAAGATGGAAATCAATATAGCAAAAACTGATGTAGTCGAGAATGATTCTGATGAAGAAGACATCTCTAAAGCAGGTGAATATGGAATTTTATAGAAGCTTTCCATGTGATAACCGTTCACAATTTTTCCGAAAAGAAAATATTTTCCATTATCTGAACCCAGCTTATGCTGGATGAAATACATTAAACATTCAAATCAGATCCTGCCTTGAGCATCAATTTTGCGACAGGGGTTCTATTTTTTAGTATACAGCAAGAACGAACATGAACTTTGAACTATTCGTAGATAAGACAGAAAAAGAAAACGACACACGAAAATCAATTAAACTCTTTGACGTTGATTCTGAGAAACCGAAACAAACTAGCCAAATAAACAGCACTGCCACAAATGTCCAAGAAGTTCCAAAAAACAATCAAAAGCGAAAAATTGTTGGTACCCTCAGTGGTATCACAAAAACTCAGTTCAACGCTGAGTACGCTGTATCAGGGGAGGATAAAAATAAATCGTCATTAACAAATCTTCAATCGCAATTATTTTTGCTTCAAAGTTTTATCTGTCAAAAGGCGATAAAGATTCCATCGAACTAGATGCTAAGCGGAAGAAGAACGAGAAGAAGATTAGCCAGTCAAGCAGACAATTTGACGTCAACTATGACGACGACGAAATGGTCTCCACTTGGGTTCCTCCTGAAAGTAAGACTTTAGACATGAAAGTGTCTGCTCTTTGGTTTTATTGAATATATACACTAGAAAGACTGTATTTCTTTTCAGATCAATCTGGGGATGGCTCGACGGCTTTGAACAAGAAATTGGGTTACTGAGAGGATTTTCAACAAGTTGTGGGCTCTTTGAAGGACTCATCTACGCCGGTAGTTAAGCCGTTCCGTTGACCACTTCTATCTGCCACAGGTTGACTCACAACACATTCACTGTTTTTCGATCCTCGAACCCTCTTCCGAACTTTTCAACAATTTCTTGAGATCTGCAAGGAATTGAGCCACTGTCAGACCGATTGCATCGTTCAAGGCCTGTGAAACAACTAATAATGTGTTTGAAAAATATCTTATTCCACAAGTGTCATTTTTATTATGGTTACAGACTGGCGGATAATGGGAAACGCGGTTAAAAAATCAGGCCAGCAAATGGGCCCTTCAGTAGTTGCTGCTACTCCGTTGAAGCACACGAAAATGTCTATTTCGCAAAATATAGGCCAACTTTCGTCAAAACGCGTTTTTATTGACTTCCAAATAGGAAATCATGTTCCTCAAAGAATCAATATGTACCTCTACGATAAGGTAACTATTATATCTCTTACGAGACATCAATAGATGTTTATCAGGTGGTGCCAAGAACTGCGGAAAACTTCCGACAACTGTGTACCGGAGAAGCCGGACATTCATATAAGACATGTGATTAATTGCCAGACAATTATATATTAATTGTCGGACTTTATGGCCTTTTGCAACCGGAAAAGCTAATGATATTTATTAATCATCCTATTGGGAACCAAAGTCGAAGATGTCGATTTCCAAAAGTTGATTCTTTGCGGTGACGTGTCAGGAGATCATGAGCCGTTTTCTATCTATGGTGGAGACTTCGACGATGAAAATTTAGAAATACCCGTTGACAAGCGGGGTTTACTCGTAATGGCGAATAGAGGAGAGCCGAATACAAATGGATCGATGTTCTTTATCACTTTGAATAAGGTGCATGCTCGGGAAAAATTTCTCACCATAAGCAATTCTAGCTCGACGAACTAAGCGGGCGATTCGTTGTTTTCGGAGAGTGCCAAACAGGAGATAAACTGTTGGATCAAATGGACATGTCTAGAATGCCAGGAACTCTATATCCTGCTGCCATTAAAATTGTTGATTGTGGTGAAATCAAGCCTCTTAATATTGATGAGCTTCTTAAAAAACGTGAACCTGCCTAATTTTATCCTCAATAAATTATTTATTCAAACGTCAAGAAAAAGTTCTGAAGCGGATTTTGCTTGATTACTTTTTATTAGGGCTACACAGTTTTTGACAGGATAAAAGGACGTTTATGAAGAATATGATCGAAATTGTCGATTCGTCTGGTTCTGGTAAAGAGGAAAGTCAAAGTTATTGAAGAAGTTTTCAGTGGAAGAAGGGGCTGTAGACGGATTGGAAACAGATGTCGGCGTGGTTGGAAAATGGTTGTCTGGAAAAGTTGGGGAACCGGAGACATTGTTGAGCTGCTCTTTTAAGTATGCTATCTGTGCCAACAAAGCTTGATTCTCATCAAAGCATCGTTGTTTTTCTTGATTAAGTCGAATAACTTCGGTTTCAAGCTGCTCGATTCGGACTGCACGCTTTTGGCGGCAACGGGCGGCAGCTGACCGATTTCGTTCTCTTCGTTGATTTCGCTTCATGAGTTCAATGGAGCTGATTCGATCATCTGGTATCGCCGGAGCCGGACCAGGTCGCTTTTGCTGCTTTGTTGGCTTCTGCGGACTGGCGGGTTGGCTGGAAATCGGGCTCGCTGGTTTGCTTGAAGTAGGACTGACGGGTTCCATCTTCATTACCGGAAAGTCGGGTTTGACATTTTCGTTGGGCGGCATGTTTGGCATGACCATATTTCCATGACCGTAATGGATCATGCTTTGAGTTTGGTTGAAGAGCTCCGCCATGTAGGAGGGCTCAACGGTGTTGCAAAATTGACCGGTTTGCATGTTGGCTGCGCAAGGATACATGTATGCCATGTTCGTAAATAGCTTGTTGGATATTTTGTTGCTGCCTGAGTTAGTATTCCTGCTGATTATATACTTCCGTGGTATGCGGAGAATTCGGTAAAGAGGGCGTGCGCACGCCCATCTCCCAGGAACACGCCAGCTTGTGATAAGACTACGCAAATTTCGAGCGCCGAGATCAAGTGAAAACATCCCGTTTTCAACTGTATTAAATGAAATATTAATGTATTAGAAGGCACAGATTGTTCTTGAGGAAACTAGGCAATTGTGAAGTAACATGGTCATTATTGTTGAAAGTGTGAGCGAAAAGTTAGGGAATGGTTTAAGCAATTAAAATATTCTAAAGAATGTTCACTTCTTCGAGTCCATCGCGAAGATCTTCGTATCCATTTTTCTAATAAGCATAGGCATTTGATAATTTGCTCTGACTTACGCAGGGATGAAGGGTACTGGAGAAAAGCTCTGGAGCAGTTCGAACGTAAATGAGAAAATCCGGAAGGCCTGGCTCGATGGCATTGTTGGCGATAACAGTTGTTCCTAAAATCAAAATTGAATGACGAGCGAAATGATTGAGAACCTTTTCCGATGAGACCAGTTTTCTGAAGTTGAATGAAAGTCGGCAGATATTGCTCGGTATTAACATCAAGGAGTACTAAATCGAGTTGTCCGTCATGAAGGTCTCTGATTGTAGAAACAGCTGATTCTGCCGAGTCGTTCAAGAATTGGCAGTTGGACAGTCCAGCCGTTCTTCAAGAAAATTATGCTCACAAATGCTCCTAAAGTAATTCTTTACCGGAAAATTTCAGAGGAGATGTCGGAATACTCGGAATCTTCCTCCACAGAGTACATCTTTGAATTATTCCGCAGTGATGACCCAAGAAGAACTGTCATATAACCAGCATATGACCCGAATTCGGCAATATTTAGAGCTTCAGATTTCTCAGCTGAGATTTTTTCAAGAATCGAGCGGATTATTCTGGCTTTTTCAACCCCATAGCTAGGATGCCATTCGACATTGGCTCCGTACTCGTCCATTGCGTCGATAATTTTCTGCGGTTCCGAGCAATTTCGATCTTCAATAAAAATATACAAAGACAAAACTACAGATATCAATTACCTTTTATGTAATTTCTAATTCTCTGAGGTTGACTTTTTCCAGAAAGCCAGTTTTGAAAATGAAGGCGATGAATCTTCCCGGGTGTTGGAAAGTAGAAGTTTCCCTGGAAAGTATTTTGGTCCGCTCCATCTCAAACTCCCCTCAACTTACCTTTTGGAACCATGATTTGAAAGTATGCTTGATGAGATGCTGGATGAGGGTATAAAGTATGAAGCCTGCCTAATAGAATATGTCAGTCAGGAAATCCGTAGCGATGCGGACTTCACATCTGGCAGTCGCGCTGAGCGCCGCGATATCGCCTTATTCGGGAATAATGAGCGACCGCGACTTTTTTTCACGGGCGGAAAAGACGCTTCCATGGCTACGATGGGTGAGTTAACAGCCTCAGATCAAATCATACTGTCTCGATTTGTCAGGCCATAGGACGTTTGCAGACAGGTGTTCATTGAAAAAGTAATAGGATGAGAAATATTTTTCGCGGCTAAAAAGGATAAAAAAGAATCTGCGCAACAATATCAGCCTCTGTTATTTTTGCCCTAGACCTTCAGTGCTTCGCAAAATCGGTGAATCAGATAATTTCATGAATAAATTTTACGGAAAGGCGCGGAATTAGAATACATTTTTTCACCTTATACGTATAAATATTTGAACTTATTAGAAGAATTTTCCATCATATGCACGTCAAGACATATTCTCAAAAAATTCTTCGGCACACAAAATTACCATACAAAGAAGAATGACATCATTTACTGATTGAGGAGAGAGCAGCTGGGAGAATTTCTCTTTCCAATTCGAGCCTTCCATCCTTTCTTCTTTCAAAATTAACAACTTCTTCCCTCAAGTGCTAAATTCTTCAAAAATTTACTGGCTCTGGAATCTTCGCGCTAATCTACGCGGGCCCAATCGGTCTCGTTCTTTCGCATCGCGGCCCAATCAACGCTGGTGGAGATTCATCGCGCTATTACGAGACGATTGCGAGATAAACTTATTATGGTGCGTCAAAGAAAAAGAGGCAAAACAGACAAAAAGGACGAAAATGAGAAAAGGAATGAGAAAGCAAAGGTTGATAAAGAGGTCAAAGTGTCGAATGCTTTTGGGTGGGATGCGCTAGAACATGCGAAGTTCAAACTTCAGGTAAAGTACTTTGCAGCTTTCAAGATTGTTTTTTATGCTTGAAAGATGTCATTTTAAATAGATAACTTATTTATTAAAAGTACAGCGAACAGAATATCGAAAAAACAGCAGAAAATGCATTAAACTTTTCCTTGCTTTTTCAACTGTTTGTATCGTTTTTTCATTTCCTCTCTGAGCTTGGCGAGATCTTTGCTTATTTTCTCGGCGGATTTTTCAGCAAGTTTAACTTGTCTTGCTTTTTCTTGCTCTTGAATCCTCGCTTTTTCGAGCTTTTCAGCCAGAGCTTGATCTGCCCGTCGTTTTCGCTCGGCACTAGCATTGTTCATAAGACCATTTTCTTTGAAGAAGAGTTACCTGGAAAGAATTTCGACAGATCTTTTGAGCAACTCGTCTCCTTTCATCATCGTCAGGAATTTTTCTGTCGTAATTGAGGATTTTCGTCTGCTCAAGAATTTCTGAGAATGCTTTCCTCCCTAGTAAAAGTAAATTTGATAATTCCGCGATTCTATACCTTTTGAGATTTGCCATGTTTTTTGCTGACTTGCTGACTTGTTTTGCGCGCCTTGGCTCCTTTTTTGCTTGCCCGGCTGCGACTCATTTTTCTTCTTCAAACTGATTATCTTTATTTTTTCATCCCTGATCAACAAGTCTGTTCTAGAAACACTCAACCCAATTAAGGAGCTCCCAAAAGGGATAGAAACGAAGCCATCGTCACCCGTCGCCCAGAAAGACATCGAACTGGTCCGCGCAAAAGCTCAACATGTCCACTACGAAGCTCTGGTTCAGAACAAAAAGTCAACGGCTTACTCTTCCATCGCGAAAGCTTCGCCCGTCAAAGAAACCCTCGATTCCATCGGACCTTTTGTTACCATTCTCGTTTCCATGTTGTGCGTCTTCATTCTCTGCGAGTATTTCTTGTGCAATATTTTTCACGAGATATTGATGCGTTTTGCTGTTGGTCTTGTTTTTGGGTCGATTCTGGCTTGCATTGAGCTTTATTTCATTCTTAAGAAATTTGCCTAGTTCTTTTATTTCTTCCTATCTCACTGATTCTTCATTCCGTCACGTAGAAATTCTCATGATTGATTAATTGCGTTCAGATGCTGAGAAATGGGCAACAAGGGAAGCAAGCTACATCTTGAGACGGCGCAAAAGACTGGCGTCTGTACAATCGCCAATTTGAAATTGGAAGAAATTCCGCCGGAGATTTTCAAAATCACAAAGTTGCGCACCCTCGATGCGTCAAACAATCGGCTCGCTCGATGGCCCAGTGGAATCGAACGAATGGGAATGATGAAAATGCTGAAAATCAGCAACAATAGACTAACGGAGATTAACGTTAGCATGGTAAGGAAATCTTGCTCTTTTCATTGTTTATTTGATCGTCTAGCTGCCCAAATTGGAGACGCTGCTCGCCTCAAACAACGTTCTGACAAAGATTCCAGACCTTTCGCAATGCAAAAATTTAAAAACGGTAACCAACGAAGAACTACATTTTTCCAACTAAATTTTATTAGCTCGACCTTTCAAATAACCATATAAAACGACTTTCTTCATGTATTTACGCTTTACCTCAACTCGATGCGCTGAATCTCGAGAAAAACAAAATCTCGGAAATCGATGAAGCCGGAATAGAGAATTTAAAATGCATCGAAATCAACCTCAATCAAAATCAAATCGGCAAGCTACCTTCTGGCTTGAAAAAATGTTAGTTTAATTTCCTGATTTCTCTTCTAAATGCAATTTTAGGTGCAAGATTAAAAGTTCTGAGGGTAGAAGAAAACTGTCTCCAATCCATTCCAACTGATATTCTGAAGGAATCGAATATATCCGTCATTTCTGCAGATGGAAATATCTTCACGGAAAAAGAGTTGCAGGTGAAGTGACCCTCTTGCAAGACTTGCTTTAGCCAATGAATTTTCAGAATATGGATGGATACGATGAATATTCAAAGCGTTACACAGCTTCAAAGCAAAAAGCCGAGTAGTTCCGTTCTTCAAATAATCTCCCAAGCAGTCCTTAAATTCATTACTTGTTCCTATTCAAATCAAATATCGCTCATTTCTTCCTAACAAATCCAGTGTTTAGAAATCTAAGTCGGTTTAAGTCATGTCCCGCGCTGCTGGTGCCATTCGCGTTGTCCGTTCTAGGGCCAGGCCGCTCGCGCCTACAAGAGCTCCCTTGACGTTTACACCTGCTGCTATCGATCGTCTCAAAGTAAATACATTTCCCTTGTCATAAATAAAAGTTTTCAATGGCAGATTTTGGCCCAAGACGAACCCAGCAACAGTGCGGTCTTCAGAATCGGTCTCCGCACGAAGGGCTGCAACGGAATGGCCTACACACTGGAACATGCCGATATTGAAAGTAAAAAGAAGTTCGAAGAAACTGTAAGTACTTCTATTCTCATTCAAAAGCTGACTGAATTTTGAGGTCACTGAAGATGGAGTCACAGTAATCATCGATATGAAAGCGCAAATGACACTTCTCGGCACGGAAATGGACTACTCTTCAAATAAATTGGAAGAAGGCTTCATATTCAGGTGTTTTCACAAACTCATATCAATTATTAACGTGAACATTAGCAACCCGAATATAAAAGGCACCTGTGGCTGCGGAGAATCATTCAACATTTAATCTTAATCCATCTTGATTTGAAGCAAATATATCCTCTGGTTCAACTTCTCTACCTTTATCCTACTGATTGATAACAACAAATGTTCAAAAATATACAAATTCTCGATATCTATTTATTTATTCGTTTTGTCGAAGATGTTAATTAAAGAAAAAAGAGGTTTCACTTTTAAACTTTTGTATTAAGATGTTCAGTAGGATAAAAGAAGCCGCACAAGAAGCAACGAGAAAACTTGAGCAAAATCTTTCCATTGATAATGAAGGAAAAGGTTCACGAGATCGTACAATAAGTGTTCGTATAGTCGTTTTCGAACCCAGAATCAGGCCAAGGCGATTTTCAATGTCCAGTCTGTCGAAAGCGTTTCACCGATCCCGAGCTCTTGATTCAACACCACTCCACTCATGACGGTGAAAATTTCCAACCAGCAGCTCCACCCGCCCAGACTAACTCCCGTCCCCCAGTTTCCCGCCCAGCCGCCGCCAACAACTCCAATGCCGAAAACGACCTCAGAAATGAAATAAAAGAGCTAAAAGCTCAACTTCTTCAAAAGGAAAAGATTGATAAAACCCTTGATAAAGTAACAAATAGAATAACTCTTCTCAATCATGAACAGAAAGACCTAGAAGCCAAATATTCACAGCTAGAAACTCAAACAAAGCAATTAGAGAGAGAAATTGCCGAGCGAGATATTTTAGCCGCAGAACTCACCGCCAAAAACAGTCAACTTCTTCTCGAAGTCGATGAGAAGTCCTCCGAGATATCTGTTAAGACGCAAATAGAACGCGATCTGACAGAACAATGCGTTTCCTTGCAGGAATCGTTGAAATCATCAGAGGAACGACTGCAATCGTCCCAGGAGACATCCAACGAACTTCACTCAAAAGTTTCAATGCTAGAATCCACTGTACAAGAGCAGAAGAACTTACTTGATCACCAGCTCCTAGAAAACCAAAATAGCGCTTCAAAAATCAACGAATTACAATTTGCCCTGTCCGAAGCACAGCAGAAGCTCGATGAAAGCGCCAAAAACAATCAATTCATTCAAGAAAAACTCGATTCGATAGAGAGTACTCTTTCAAAGGGTAAGTCTCTTTTTTGATGATTGAAGGAGGAACATAAAATTTATTCAGATGATTCCGAACTTAAAAAAGCGACAGCAGAAGCGGAAGAAAAATATCTTGAAGCGAGCAGTCGGTTGACAGAGACTTTGAACGAAAACGCAGGCTTGAATGAAGAGCTTTCGAAGTTGCACAGGAAATGGATAGACATTACGCTTCTTCTTTTGCCTTTTTCTTTGGCTCGTTGATATTGACATAGACGAGGAAAATCACGTTGAGCACAAACAGTGTTATCGCTGAAAATCGTTTGAGAAACCGTTGAAGTTAAGAAAAGTATACCAATGCTCATTGTGGTTATTCTCAGAGTATCGAATTCCGGCGTTGCTTCTGGTCCCAAGACATGCTAAAATATATAATTCTCAAGATAATGATTCTAACTGAATTTAGTAGGAAGCGCTAACTTACAGAACTTCTACCAGCTACGCCATCTTTTTCGTGCCCGAGCTGAAGCTTCTCATCCAAAAGTACTCGAATATAGTTTCTCATTCTAAAAATATGAAAACTAGAGGATTTTTTTTATAAAACGGCATAAAAATATACGGCAATACATTTGGTTGAATATTTTTTGGCGCTAAGTGATTTTTTCAGTATTGGGGTTTCACGGGGTATCTCCATCGTCGACGCTCTTTTCTTCTGATGACATTTCCTCGTCGTTTTCAGGTTCTAGCTCCGGTCGGCAGCAGTGGATCTGTTATTGGTTCATCATCAGAAAAACAAAAATTTGTCTACAATTTAGCAGGAAATCGTTAGGAACCGTACGTAAAAGCCAAAGGAGACAATTATCAGAAGCATCCACACGACTGAATAACTTAGAAATTATATAATTTTGACGGATTTTCTTACTGCTTGTGAAAGTGACCATTCGTATGCGTTCTGCTGCGATTTCGGAGATGTCTTCTCCAGTGAAGTCTGATGCATCCGTCAGATCAGCTGCGTCTTTTGTTGGATAGAAAATCTATATAACTCGAACTAAATAAATGTATCCTTTTCCCCTGGCTTTTGGATGGGGCGTCATAACTTGACGCCTGAGGCTGAAACCCAAATTTTTTTATCAAAAATAATGATTATCAAGAAGAGTATCTAGAAAATATTGGTCTATCCGAAAATAAGCCACGTCGACAACCTCGAAAAAGAAAAGGTGGAACTTGAATTGAAAGCAGCAGAGCTTGAAGACTTCCGAGAAGCCCTTGAAAACTCAAATGCAACATTTCTCAAGCATATTCAAAATCTTGAAGGACAGAATGAAAAGTCAATATCAGAAATCTCGGAGCTAAGGGAGGAATGTGAGTCCTTCAAAAACGACTATCAATCAACGACGAAAAAACTTGATGCCGCGGAACTGAAGATGAAGGATCTGACTGAGAACTTTTCCGGCTCGCAAAGACAAATAAAGGAGCTGCAAAAGACTGTGACGGAGCTGAACTCGAGCTGTGCTGATTCCGAAAAGGTGAAATCAACAAAGAAAAGGAAGATTTCAAATTTCAATTTAGCTCGTCGGAGAAATGATGAAAGAGCGCGAAAAGCTTGAAAAGCAAATGGAGCTTTTCGAACAAGACGTTTTGAGCCTGACGGAGACTAACAAAGAGCTTCGAGAAGAAAAAGAAAGCGCGACTAAATCCTTGGAGCAACATATTGAACAGATTGCAGCTTCTCAAAAAGAAGCGGGAATGTGGGCGGAAAGTCTTGTGTCCAAGGACGAGGAACTGTCGGAACTGAAAGGACAGCTGGACGGCTTTGTGGCTGAAATAGCAAAGGAAAAGGTTCTAGAATAATTGATGCGTCTTTGGTTGAACATATTGATTTGGGTAGTTTGAAAAGTGTTATCCGCTTTTCTTAAACCGTTCCGGAAAATTTAAGGTGCCCGGAATCAGTAGATGTGCTTTTGTATTAGCAAATGGAAGTCAAGACAGATTTCTCCATACTTGATGATAATTCGAGAGGCTAGTCGCATTTAATTTAACAGTGATGAACGTAACCTTATAAAGAAAGATGAGAAAATTGCAGCTATCGAAAAGTCGTCGACCCAGCTTACTGAATCTCTTAAATCATCGAAGCAGACGGCTCGCCAAGCAGAAACTGAGCTTGCACGAGTTCTGGCTGAAAAGGAATCTTGGCTGAAAACAAGAGATACTCTTCTAAGCCAGTCGGAAAAATTAACTTCCACCGTCAATGATCTTAAAAAGAAAGCATCTGTTGCGCAAGAGATGGAGCAAAAATTGAAAATGGAAAAGTCGAGAGCAGAGAAATCGCTGGAAAACTCGTTGCAAAAGGAAAATGAAACGCATGAAGAATTCCTTCTTGCTAACGAGAAATTCCAACGAACGAAAAAAGAGCTGTCTGATGGTAATTTTCTATAGGTTCAGCTTTATTCATTTATTTCTTTTTTCAGCTGAAGAGCAAATTCAATCTCTCGAAAAGCAACTGGAAAGTTCATGTCAAACGCGCGAGGATCTATCTCAACGGCTCTCAGACACTGAGCTCAAACTCAAAAACTTCAAGCTAGAATACAAAAAGATGGAAGACTCACAGACTGAGATGGCTTCGGAAATATACCACCTCACCGAAGACAAAAATACATTGAAATTGAAATACGATGAAAACGTAAAAGTTCTTTCTCAATCGAAGACCGCGTTATCGGAACTGGGGGCCAAACATGCCGAGCTTCAGGTAGTCAAAATTTTGCGAGGCAAAAACTTACTGAAACAAGGTCCAATGGAACGCTGAAAAATCGGTGAGATGGGAAGCCGATGAGGAAGTGTCTAATTGTCGCGGATGCTCGGCAGAATTCTCGCTGCTTGTTAGAAGACATCACTGTAGAAAATGCGGGTAAGAATCCCTTATGAATCTCTATGTTAGTATCTCTTTCTTTTCAGCATTATTTTCTGCTGGCAATGTAGTAATTTTACGATAATGATGCCATCAAGCGATAAGCCCCAACGTGTTTGCGAAGCTTGCTCGAAAAGTTGATCTTGGACAACAACAAAGACGACTCATAAACGGGCGTAATCCGTTGCAATATCATATTGCCAATATGTTTAAATTGACCCAGCTAAATATTTGTTCTATCTCTGCTTCTGTACGTGTTTCAACCTCATTTCACTCATCTCGATGTACCTAGTACCTGCTTCTTCCAAAGATATGAAAATAATAAACGGATAATGTATGATTTAATGTCTATAGTTGAGCAACTCGCGTGATTGCAGTTTCTCATCTCACAAAAACGGAATAACTTCTAGGAAAGGTTAAAGAATGCTTTCTGCTTCAAAAAGATTCGCTGGCTCTATCTTCCGGATTGAAATGTCAAATCCTCCGGCGAACCTTCTGAATAGAGCAACGTTTCAGGAAAACGTTGGCGCATAGACGTCGAGAATTCCGTTAACTTTTTTTTGCTGCTAACTTACAAAAGAAAATATCTGACAGTATTGATCTTATTGACAGCTCACCAGATATTTCTGGCGCGGTTTTATGTTCGAACAATCGAAATGTTTTTACTGCAGGACTTGATTTGGAGGAATTCTACAAGCCTAAAGCGAGCGATTTGCATGATTACTGGATGCTAGGTTTATTGGCTGTATAAATTAGCTTGATATCGAAAGTGATTTAGTTCAACGAACAACGGCAAAACTTTACGGAATGAAGAAGCCTTTAGTGGTGGAAATCGAAGACACTGCTATCCTTGCGGGATGCATGCTCGCCATGGTTGGCGACCACAGGATCATACGAGATTCTCAAGATGTCGTAATCGGTCTGAACGAGACTCGATACAATTTCTCCTGTCCCCCTTGGCTTTGTCAGCTTTTGGTGGATATTGTGGGACGTCGGCAAGCCGAAAAGGCGTTGATCGAAGGACAGGTGTTCTTACCGAAAGAGGCCCTGGTAAATTTTTAGCGAAGAATTACACGAAATGGATTACTGAGATTTAAAGTTCGATTTGAACATCTCGTATTCTAAAAACCTTTTAAGCCGATTATTGAGTCTCTCCGGAATATTTTTTACTCATCGAAGCTTAGAGCATTGGTCTTGTGGATGTGGTGACGAATGACGTAAAAAGATCATCAACTCTCTTCTTCGAGAGGTTGGAAACTATCCCGCTCGATGCTAGAATGCGCACCAAAAACGCACTGAGAGCGGAGATGACTTCAAAAATCATGGAAACTGCTGCTAGCGATGGAGACAGATTCGTCGACCATGTGCTTAAGCCGGCAACACAAGCTTGGCTATTTAATAGCACTAATCCAAACTGATTTCCATTCGGGGTCAATCTGGTTAGGATCATTTTAGGAATAATTTAAAAAAAAGCCAATCAAAAGCTGCAGTTGAAAAAGCACTCGCTGCAAGACGCTGAAAATGCTCAATGAGCATTGCTCACGCAATGGATTTGAAATCGTACTAATTCTCTCTGTGCGATCATAGAAGAGAATTAAAAACATGGTTATTGACTAAATTTCTTTGAAATCTCATTTATTGCATCAATGAACGGAAAGTTACAGCAACGTATCTGAATAGAAGCCTGGCAGGGAAAGAACAGTGGGAAGAAATGATGAAATACGACTGAAATGGAAGGAGGAATTATGGAACTGCAAATATCGATGAGCACCGCTTTCAATAGTTTGGAGCAATGTTCAGAATCGCTTGATTAAGATCAAGCTTGCCGTTTTCTTGCACGAGAAGGTTCTTAAAATGAATTATAGTATTTTGCATCGAGGCTTTAGCAAAACCTTTATGACATTGATTAGATTATCATTGCGTTGAATTCCTTGATATATTGTAGGAAGCTCATTTTGCAGCAGATTTGTCAAGTTCTCCGCATCAAGATTCGTCAAAGGACCCAAAGAAGTTTCATTTAGATCAGAGTTTGAGGCCTTGGAGTTTTTCAAGAAAGCTTCTCGACTTTCTGATTTCGCTGCTTTATTCAGATCGTGGAGCGAGTGGCAGTCTGAACACAGCTTTTAATTTATCTTGTAATTCCGTTGCGAATGAAAATTTATGGCTCGTCATTTCCATTTGGAAAATCCGCACGGGCTACGTCGTTAAACGATTGCGTCACCTTTCTTGAGTTGAAGCGTGGACTGTTTTATCATCTCGATAAGCCGCAATTGTTTCAGAATAAGGTGAAAATAAGAAGTAGTTGATTGGTGTCGCTTTTTCATCAAAGGGAATGTTTTCTCGGCAAAAATCGAGACAAGCTCAGCACTGAATAGACAATAATATAATTGTCCTAGTTTGTTCTGCCCTCACCAAAATTTCTTGAGTCTTAGACGCTGCGCTTTATGACATGCTAACTCAGCAGGAGATGAGGTTCTTGCAGAACGCCTTCTCTTCATGTCAGTATAGATTTCGCTTGCTTGGTCAGCAACTTGACATATTCTTACATGAACGCCCTTATAATTTTGTAACCGGAAATATTTAGCTGGTAAAGTACCTCCGGTAGGCTCAAGAAATTCCTCTTTAGTTTGAGTTTGTCTTCTTCTAACTGCTGGTATTGCTTTGAAACAGTTGATGCTTCTTCACGCAACTTTCTGACCTCGCCAGTAAGTCGCCGAACAGATGCTGTGGAGATATTTAAACCAGAGAGAGTGTCGACTATTTGTGATGAGCTGTTGAGATTTTGGTGGAGGCTCTCTTGCAGGGCTTTCAGTTGAACAAGTGCATGATCTCGCACTCTGTCGACCTTGAAATGATGCGCAGATGCGGAAACAGTGGAATTGGCCTCCTACCTGAATAGCGGCAAAATCTGCTGCTGATTCAATTTGCGTCAGATATTCCACAGTTCTGGCAATATCAAAAAGAGTTCCACAGCAAAGTCGCGCCAGTTGCGTATCCTGATCCACACTCTGGTAAGAGCTTATACTTGGCGGCTTGGCTGTATGTGGCAAATGAAGTGGGCCCTTTTCGATAAGTCCCAGGGAAATAATTGGCTCATCGAGGCGCGATTCCTCTGGTATCATGCTAGACATGCCGAGAAGTTGCCCTCGCCATATAAAGAAATCGAGTTTTTCTTTACTTTTATCTTTAGGCAGCTCAGACTTGGTTGCTTCTTTGAGCTGGGATATGGTAGCCGGAAGTTGGATATAGACTAAACAATTGGTCAAATTGAGCCTTCATACTAACATGGGGCTCAAAAAGACCCACGCTAGGCTGAATGTACTAGTCTGAGAGCCAATTAGTCTAGGTTAGGGATGAATGTCAGCGAAACATGACATACTGTCTGAGATCCCAGACTCTTGGATGAATAGTATTGAATGTGACACATTCAGTTTGTGACTGTCTTTGCTGCATAGACTATATTACAATTTTTGATCTAACCTGGAAGAAGTTTCGAGGTGGCGCACTCAAACACATACACTTGCTTCATCCCCTGAATGCTTTCTGCTTGCACAAAATAGTCATCAAAAGAACACCCGTCCATCAAACTAGCGATCAACTGCGACACAGATTTTCGGAATCTGCCAACAAGTCTACATGTCTTGGGTAGATCATGACCCCACTGAATTTCTCCAGTAGGCGAATGTTGTTGAACCGCCATTATTGCCCCTGCGGGTCTTTCCTTCGTCATCCTTCCCATTGTTTGCGGATTTTTACGAGGACCGTTGAATGGCCTGAAAGGTAGCTGTCCAGTAGCTGCGTGGTAGAATGTAACTGCTAAGGACCAAAGGTCAACAGTAGCATCCCAGCCAGAGGCCTGCCTATTTTGGAGAACTGCCCGTTGATACATATCAGGATGTAAGTATTCTTCTGTTCCGTAAAGGGACTACAAAATGCTAGTATAACTTGATTTAAAGATCACGGGAAAAGTCACCATGAACTGAGCATCCTGATTTAGTTGACGAGCAGCACCAAAGTCCGTTAGTTTCCAGCAAGCTGAAGCAGATCGATCCGAGCGTAGAATGTTTCCTGGTTTGATATCCCGGTGAATAATTTCCTAAAATATGAGAATTTTTTATGATTCATGAATAAGGACAAGAGCTGACCTTTTCCCGTAAGTACGACATTCCGTTAGTTACGTCGGAAATAAGTTTCAGCAAGTGCTCTTCACGAAGGCCGTAGATATATTCTGGCTCTTCGAGAACGTTGTAAAGAGAGCCTCCAGTACAAAGTTCCATGACAATGACGGATTCTTTTGAGCGCTCTTCCTCTTCGACAGCAAACATTTGCACAATGTTAGGGTGGCTAATTGCCCTGAGAATGTCAAACTCTCGATTGTGCACATGGCTGGGTCGTTGGAGGCCTACTGTATTGAAGGTTTTCACAGCGACAGAAGCACCCGTATCAATACGCCACCCTCTGTAAACACCTCCCGTGGCCCCTTGGCCTAGCATATCTGAGGTCAGCCATTGATGATTTTGGCTTCTACGTAACCCCGACATACATTCTTTATCGCATGAAATCTGAAATTGGGGAATGATTCGTGGATGTAGAAAAGTAAAATTATCATGGATATAAAATACATAACGTCTGAGGCACATGGCAGGTAGTGGAAAATGGATGGAAGATAATGATTAGTAGTTGTTCAACTTTGACACAAGCGCCACGCGCACAGCTTGATCATAGCCACTCATTACTGCGAGGCCACATTTGTCAGGATGAAAGTCGATGCAGTTGATAGGTTGAGTGGCGAGGATTTGTTTCTGAATGAGCTCGGCAGTTCCTGCTACGCCAACTTTTTCGCCTCCCTTCTCTTCAACTCTTTTGTCAGGATATTTATACTGCCAGACGTTCATCTATGGAGCGTACAAATTATATTGACAGGTGATTTATCAAACCGTTCCGTTGCCACCAGCAGTTGCAAAAATGTCGCGATTTTGTGGAAGATGAACTGCTGACCAAACTGTTGTGGACGTACTAGCATCATTGCTATGAATGGATTCAGTTATAATGACATCAGTATGATTTCGTCTCTTTTTAGATATTTTCTAAAGCTGAAGCTTACTTCTCGTGACGAAACATGTGATGAGCGAAGCCTTCTGTTTTGTGCTGCGTCCGCAAGTCCCAAATGTGAATTTTATTTTCGAGCGTTGATGCAACCAATTTGTTCATTTCAATATCTATTAACACTTATCGATATGTTTTTCTGATTTCTCTCACCCATTCTATCAAAAGAAAGGCTACAGACTCCATTCTGGACATTCGTGCTCCATTGAATTTTCATCGCCTTCAAGTCGAACAATTTTACGTCTCCGTTGTCAAATCCAGCGGCAATCATTCTATCCTCGGCATTAAATGCATTGCCAAAAGCTACTGCCCAGCAATCTCGGGCATTTTCCTTTTGTCCATCTTCTGGCTCTATTTCTGCTACTGGTACATTTTTCTGTCTGTTTTCGGACTATTACTAATTATTCTTACGAGCTAATTATGTTTCGGATCACCAATAAAATGAGTCCTTGCCTTGGATCCCAAACGCGAACGCACCCGTCTTTGCCTCCCGTAACGATTTCAGGTGCACCGTGGCCTCTTCAAAAAGTCAAAAAATCGAAAAAGCGCAAATTCCTTACCGAGCTCCCCCGCAGCCATCGATGCTATTTATTATGCCATTATGGGCGTCAGAGACATAAACGGGTTTCGAGTGATTTTCAAGATCTGAACCGCGGTGTTATTGCCTACTCATTGCCTTTATAAGGCTAAAATGCTAAAGTTGACGCTTCAAAAGCGGCTCAACCAAAGTTCGCATTTAATTTACCGATTATGCTCATTTTTCCGTGGAAGTCGCCAACTGCCAGTTGACGAGTGTCGGAAGCATTGAATGTTCCGCACCTGAATGCTCCAGTCTTTTCCGTATCCACTGTATTTTTATTTCGGGTCCATTGAGTTCATAGATTTGAAAAGCACCAGTACCCCGAGGCCGCTCTCCAAGTGCCACAAAGCGATTAGATTGGGGTACCCATCGAGCGCAATGAACAGTGTAGTTCAAGCTCTTCTCCGCGTATGTCAGAATTTGTGGCTTCGAAATATCCATTCTGAAGTTATTCTATGTTTGGACAGCTGATGCACGATCGTAAGAAAATAGATCAATGTTTGAGTAATAATAAAATAGAATAATGTGAATGGAACTTTTTGGTATAGGAAGGCGTGGAGACAAGGAAAATTTGAAGATAGAAGGCACAATAGTAGAAAAGAAGAAAAATGTAGAGGAAGAGAGTGGAAATGACTTGAATCATTCCCGTGGGAAAAGGTCAATAGGATGTGATCGTAAATTAAATTACGTAGTTACAGTGTTCTTTAAATGGAAGCCGCCGCCTGTTATGACTGGTCGATCTACCATAACATCGCGGGATCTTTGAGAATGGTAGAATTCTGCTTCTTTGCGAGCGTGTTCTCGTTTTTAGCAGCAAGATATTTCTGCTTTATTTCCTAAATTAAAAATGAAATCAACGAAGAGAATCTTCTGTTCGAACCTGAAGCTCTCGGGCGATCTTATGAATCTCCATCTCTTGCTGCTCCTGCTGGCTTTCAGACATGTTAAGCTCAGCAGCAAGACGCTTTAATTAAATCAAGTAAGAAAAAGACAGGACAATTATTGAATACCTTAAGTTGTTTTGTCTTGTGACGCAGGGCGTTTTTGAACTCCGCGAGCTGCTCAACAACTTCAGGTCCTGGTTGTCGAGCGAGGATTTCTCTTAGCTCCATGTACATTTTCTCTTTCTCCTGGATCATCATGTCGGTCTTTACGACTTCTTCGTTCTTTTCGATCAGCCGTTTTTGGAGAGCCTTGGATTCACTAGGATCAGCAAATAGGACAAATGTATACCTGGACTTTCTGGATGAGTTCGTAGCTAGCTGGATCACTTCCCTCGAGTCGTCGCCATCGATGAATATTCAATGGATTTTCAAGCTCTTCGGCAAGAGCCCTACATTTCGTTCGTTCTTTGAGAAGCTCTTTTTGTGTGTTGAAGATCTCTCGTCGTAGCTCGTCAGCATTTGAAAGAGTATTCTTGAGAATTTGTTTTTCCCTTTGCTGCTTTCTGATCTCAAGCTTCAAAACTCTAGAAAAATTTATCGCTATGAAAAGGGAGATTTTTACCGAAGGTCTTCAAGGCGCTGCTTGTACTGAAGTTCTCCCTTTGACATGGTGGCCTGTTGCAGTTTGATCTTCTCGTAGACCAGGCTAAATATAGTTTAAATTGGTCATATGATCGCTTAATGTGACAAATAAATTGCGATTAATTTGATTTATTGATTTACCTTAACTCGTCGTTGCGTCTGAAGAGCTGTCGAACAAGAATATCTCTCTCGGTGACAACCTGTAAACACTTTTAGAATCAAGCTTTGAAATCGAAAATATAACCTGATCAAGGGCGTTCTTTTGTTTCTTTCGCTCAGCTTCTGCTTCTCGTAGGGAGCTCTGCTGTCGAGCGATTTCTTTTTCGTGGTCTTTCAGCTGCTCCTCGGACTTGCTGTATCTTTCCTTCATCGTCGCGATGAAAGCTTTTAAGTCGTTCTTTTCTTTTTGCATTTTGTTGATTTCTTTAGTGACATCATGATGAGCATTTTCTTTGGCATTGATTTCATATTTGAGCTGGTCGATTTGGTTCTTCAGGAAGTCTTGTTTGCGTTTCATCTCAAGAATCTCATCATTTGCTTCGACGAGATTCTTCGAATACAAATTTCTGTCGGCGCGGCAAGCCTCATACAGATTTGTCTGCTGCTTGAGTTTAGTATCTCCCATGGCGATTTCTTTCTTCAAATCAAAAATCGACATTTCTTTTTCCTTGACTTCATCGAGGTACTGAAGAACTTGTTGGGATTTCTCGGAAGCTTCGTTGATGTATTTATCTCTTTCTTTCTCAAGTGCATAGATTAGTTTTCGTTGTTTAGCTGCTTCATCTCGAAATTGTTGAATCTCGTTTTCCAAGTTCGCTTTTTGCTGTTCATGCAGTTTTACCAAGTTCACTTGCTTCTGAGTCTGAGAGGACGCTTTTTGAAGGGTTTTGTTGATTAGGTCTCGTTCTCGAGTCAGTTTTTCGATTTCCTTTTTGTCAAAATCAGCTTGAATCCTAGCAGATTCAGTGTCTTGTTCAAGTCGAGCGGTTTCGCGCTTCAAATTATCTCGCTGTTCTTCCAGCGAAGCTCTTGATTCTTCCATCGATTTGAGTTTCTTCTCTGCCAGTTCTCGTTGTGTCTTGACTTTCTTTATCTCGTTGTTGAGATCTCGAATTTCGATTGATTTCATGCTCAGTTCTTTCTTTCCGTCATTGATCTCCTGCGTAGACTTCTCATTTTCATGAGCCAAAGAGTCGATTTTTGACTTCAAATTGTGAATTCGCTCTTCGAGAAGGCGATTCTCTTTCGTTTTCTTGTCGCATTCGATTCTAAAATCACGAGTCTGTCGTTCAGTGTCTTGAAGTTGGACTCGTTTATCTGCTAGGTCGCTTTCGAGTCCTTTAACTTTCTTCTCTTGATTCTTGATGTCTTCTCTGGTCTTGTCCAGGTCGCGTTGAATCACATCACCGCGCTTCTGCTCTTGAGTGATATCGTTTTGCTTTTTGAAGAGCTGGTCTCGCATTTCAATCACAGCTTCTTGCGCTTCGAGGTGCTCTTTTTGAATACGCGAGTAGTTCTCATCCGCTTGATTTAGCTGCTCTCTGACTTGGGTCAGCTCTTCGAGCAACTGAGAGTTAGTTTTACGTTCGTCATCGCGTCTGCCAATCAGTTCAGTTTCTTCATTCAAGTTGCTAGCGTTGGAGAGCTTTCCAGATTCAATCAGGTCGGTTAGATTTTGAATTTCTCGCTCTAACTGCTTGATTGTCTCTCGCGCTCGATGTTCTTTTTCATGCGCGCCGTCAACAAGTTTCCATGCTTTTTCTAACTCTGCATTGAGCCGCTCGATATTTGCCTTTTCGGAGGTGAGAAATTCTCTGTAAAATAATCAAACTTTTAAATTCATTATTTCAGATTTATAATTATATTTCTCCTCTCGTTGCCTGATCGTCTTGGCAAATTTTCGTCACTTGCGCTACTTTTGCGGAATTTGATACAATCTCGGCATTAAGTTCTCTGTTCTGCCTTTGCAGCCGTCCATTCGCTTCTAAGATGCGCTTGAGAGCGTCGTGGATTTTCTCATATTCAATGCGAAACTTGGTTAACTTCGGATCATCTGTCAATTCAGAGATGACTTCTTGGAAATCTTTCTCGAGCGAGACTAGCTCAGACTCTTCTGTTGGAAGATTCGATTCTCCACCCATTTTCTTAAAAAATTCGTTCATTTTCGAGCTAGTTATGTACATGCTTATATATTTTTATAAATTTTGATGAGTTTATATATTTTTATATATTTTTATAGGCTTTTAATAAATTTTATATAAATTATTGTTGAAAACGAATAGCTGAATCAAAAATAAAGACAGAAATTGGAGCACAAAGGAAATTACTACAGAAAATCATTTTGAGAGGAATAAAAAGGAACTTATTCGGTCTTCTTTTCGTCAGTATTGCTTCTCTTGAAATATGTACTGATCCAATATCCCACGAATGTTAATGAAGCAAAGCAGATAACGAGACTCGTAGTGTCGAGAAGGAAGAAAAATTTGAAAAAGTACGAAAACAATGACGCGACGAAAACATAAAGATAATTTGTAACGGTACAAACAATGCAACCAGCGCAGCCGAACATTCTAAAAATCGGTTGCTAGGGACGACCAGTCATAGATTTTACTTGTGAAAAGTACGATTCAGCTATTTTTCAATTTTAAACATAAGATGCGTTTTATTCCATCGCTTTCCCTATTGAATCCTAACCTTGAAAAAAATTCCTTGCTTTTTCAAAAATGAATAAAGACACATTCGATAGGAATTTCGACATTTATTTAAAGTTCTTCCTTGACATTAAAGTTTTCTTTTTCTACTGGCTTCTCGCCTTGAAGGATAAGTTTGATTTCTTCATCGTATCCAGTCCATTCGGGGACGATCCTCGCAGCAGCCACAAGTTTAGGTTCCTTTGTAAGAGGATTATTGCAGAGATCAATGGTTTTCGCTCGAGCTTTGGACTCGTCGGAGCACCAAGTGGCACACCAGAGCCATTCTTGCGGCAAAGACTTGATTCCGACTTGATGAATCATGTTATTCGGTAGATCTTGATCCAAGTTTGCGAGCGAGTTAGGATCTTGTGAGAGCCCTTGGTACTGTCCTCGAAGTCGATCCCCTGCAGCAAGTTGACGGAATCGTTTAAGATCGACGACGTAAATTGCGGAAATGTGATACTTTCGTCCAGCAAGATGTTGTTTCCAGTACCCACCTAAATTAGAATAAGTGGAGTCATAATACAATTTTTAATTGACTCACCATTCCAAAATCGGAAGCCATCCATTTCTTTACGATCGTCACAGAATGGTGTGTAACCATAAGGATTGCCTTCCAAATCTAGTTCGACCAGCTCCTTCAAGTCAGCTCTGATGATCTGATCAGCATCGACGAAGATAATCTTGTCCACAGAAAGAGGAAAGAGGACATCAAGGAAGAGAATCTTGTAGCCCCACATTGTTCGTTGCTAAGATAATGAAGAATATGAAAGATATCATAATATACCTTTTCCTTTTGTGCATTCAGCCATCTAGGCCATTTATATTGGACGAACTCGTATTCAAAACCGAATTCTTTGGACACGATTGGTAAAGATTTTCTAAAAGCCGGACTGGCGTAATTTCCTAAGATCCAAAATTTGACTTTAGTATTTGTTTTTCGGACCACTGAAAGCATCATGATTCGCATGAGACGCTCATACATGTGTCCAGAGGCGAGAGAGAAGATATTGATGGTTTCGACCTCCGGTTTAGGCTCTTCTTTGACCTCCTAAAAAACTCTATAAAGTGAAAAAAAAAGTAGTATAGCACCTTCTTAGATTTAAGGCCTACCGCCTCTCCTACGCGATCCCAAATAGACCCCTCATCGTTATTTACTTGTGGTCGATCATCAGCCTTGCCGAGAACGTCCATATCTTCCATTCCCGATTTTTTCGCAACGCCGACTCGGATGCTCTTCGGGGTAAAAGATGTCATCATAATTTCACCTTGTTCTTTTCCGTCTGCCTCGATTTCCTTGATTTCATAGATATCTTTAGACAATCCTTCGCGAAGATTCAGATTCCAAAAGCCAGGGGAAGCTTTAAACTGGAAGTAGCCAAGATTAGCCATGACAAGTGTATCGAGAGCAACATCAGTTTTGGCGAGTTCAAATTGAGTTCCTCGAGGAGGAGAACCATTAGAAACATCAACGGCTTGTCCTTCGAGTAGCAAATGCTGCAGTTCAAAACCAGCATAGACATCTCCTTGATCTACGAGCTTGATGTTGTCCAAGTCATGGACAGCATCGACAGCGGCGACCATCCATGATTCTGGAGGAACGACGGCGGCTGTAAGAAGAGAGTGTTGAGGGAGTCCCTTGAAAACGGCCCTTGTCTTATCAGATTCACGGAATTCATCGCTGATAACGAATCTGTAGAAAGATTTGACGGGGAGCTCAGACAAGTTCTCCTGACAGTTGAGGAAGATCTTTAGCCGCATGTTAACGACTTTACGGAGAGTAGAAATAATAGGGATCATCTTTTGGGCATCTTCCGATGCAGGATCCAAGACAGCGATGACATCGAATGAAGCTTCATTTTTGCGCAAAGGCTCAAAATCCAAGAGCGAGTATTTAGCCGCTGGGAAGGAAACTGATTTCCGGGACTTGATCTCAGTCTGGGAAGAAAGAATGTTGATTGTTTTTGTGATGACATCATTGTCAAAAGACTTGAGCAAGTGAGCGATCTTATTAGCTCCAAATTGAATCGCTAGTGTTTCTAGGAGGGCAAAGTCCGCGGCAAGGAAGCTCTGGGTGTTCTTTGTATAAGCACGGCCATTGATGTAAACTGCATCTTTGTCCAAAGACTCGCAAAGCTTTGACGATTCAGAACAGTTAATAATCGCTGTTCTTGAATTTTTCGATGATTTTTGATGTTCGAGTGCTTCATGGGCGACTTGAGATGTTTCAGAATCAGTTGTAACCCAGAAGGTGCAAATATTTCCGTCGCCGTGATACTCTCCATCGAAGTCGAGTGTTGTCAAGTCGATGTTTAGCACTGGAGCTTTGAGAATATCCTGATTGAAACGAGTAACCACTCCGCCTCGACTGTTGAAGTACTCGGTAAAACTAACTTCCCCGCGATAAGTTCCATAGTAGATCGCGCGTTGAATATCTGGAACTGCTTCGAGCATTTCTTGATAAACAATTTCTTCAATTCCCTCCCCAAAAACGAGATTTTTAATTGCCGCTCCATTGATGAGAATCGAGCTGGCAGTGCCAACGCCGATTCGATCGCCGTACTTTTGCATTTTGACGGCTGCCTGGAAGAATTCAGAGTCTTTCGATGTTATTTCGTCTTTTTCAACTCCTAATTTCTTGATCGAAGCAGAATCAAAATTTTCCTCCAAAAGGGCAATCCACTTGTTCCACGTGTACATGTTCGACTTATTCTTCTCTTTGCTACGCTTCGATAAGAAGTGGAAAATGGCAGAAGCAGCCAGGGATTCATCGGAACTACCAGTGAAGACGATACCCACCCGGACGGGAAGATTATTCTGAGAAAGCGTATCGATAACATCATGAATCGCGTGAATTTCTTTATTGAGCGGATCAGCGAAGACCATCAAATTAAGGTAATTGTAGCGAAGTCGTCTGATAACGCCTGGAAAAGTAGGGCGGAGAAATTCTTGCAGTGACTGGCCAAATTGAACGTATTTTTTATCACTTTCTATGTTGTTTAGCCACACAAGTCCCTCGTTATCACCAGGTATTTTTAAAACAGCTTCGGATGACGATCCTTGAGGCTCGGGAGCTTGAAGAATCGACTGAGCAAGGTCTCCAGTTATTCCAAGTCCAGCTAGTTTTTCCATTACTTTTAGTTCGCCTTTGACAGTCTCGAAAAGTTGGAAAGGATCACCCCACTGCGACGTGAGATCAACGGGCATTCCGTTTATGGAAAAGTACGACTCGCCTTGGCGAACTCCAACTGTCTGAGAAAGAGATTCGGAGATTTTCTTCACCTCTTTTTTAAACGCTGAAGGTACGGATGATCGTGCAAGACGCATGGCCATTTGTGGAAAGTTGCCGCTGATCTTTTGGAGGGATTCAAGACCTGCTTCAGGGCCGTCTTTTGAGAATGCTTCATGAGCGGCAAGACCAGCTTGGTAAGAGAGATCGCCCATTTGCCACTTTTTCATCGGCTGGATTTCTTGAGAACTATCGGACACGTATCTTGAGAACTTCTTTATTTCTTTCTGCAAGTCCGGGAATCGTTTAGAAAGGATTTCAAAGTCGAATCCAGCTGCAGTCTTGACTAAATCATCGTCGTCTTCTTTCTCCATCGAATCATCGGATGCTTTGTACTCGGTCGATTTCAAACGCAACTCAACACCGTAACCAGTTAACGATGAAGTGGCACACAAATCATCGCTAAATTGCCATCTCAAGGAGAGTCCAATGTTATTGCGCGTGCAAAATACTTTAGCCGCCTGCAATCGGTCATAGAAACCGGCGGCTTCAGCGATTCCATGCATGATGATCTTTTTTGATCCTGGGATTAGGACGAGATCGGTCTGTACTGCAGCTGGCTCGCCAATTTCTTCAGGTTCAAGTTCACAAAAAGATGATCCGGCGGACGAGAAGAAGACTGAACTACAATCACTAGGGGCTTCGATCCATTTACTCCGCGTGGCCTCGATTTTAGGGGAGAAAATATGAAGCGAGAGGGCGAAGTTCATCATTCGAATGTCCGCCTTGGACAGTTTCATGCCGTTCACAAGTGTGTTTACTGTATCATAGATCTCGATGTCCGATTTCTCATTGAGCTCCGGAATGTAGCTAACCATTTCGATGAATTTGAACAAAACATCCTGGTCACCGAGAGAAGCGATGTACTCAATAGCTTCTACATAAATCGGAGGAGATTTCCAACCAGCTTTGAGGTTGATGGAAACTTTGGAAGTGGACGCATCTGCCGCCCCAGACACGAGGGTCAACAATGCGGCAATAAGCCACATCCTCGAGGTCTGAAATTAGCAATTTAAATTCGACGGACAGCTCATTTTCGCAAGGTAATAATGCCATCTTAACCCTGGACAAAAATTAAAAGAAAGACTTCTCTCTGTCGTTCTATTCAAAAAAGATAAATCACAAAAAAAGGAATGCCAGTGCCAGAGAGTATAACAAACGCGATTTCGTTGGTTTTGGTGCTCATAGGAAAGTTGCTTTTCGAGAAATTCTATTCAACAAACATTGACTATTCTCCGTAATAAATTGAGATACAACTGATAAAAAAGGGATGGTATCAACAGTTGTAACTTGTCCACTTGCGATGCAATGGTACCTTGTTCCAAAGCACACTAGTCATGACGAGTAAGTAAGGTACCGATCCTTGATAGATTATTTTCTGCAATAACTGTTTTGTATCGAGATAATTATAGAAGATAGAAATATTATTTTATAGATACTCTATCGACGGATTTAACGAGGAACCCGAGACTTTGAAGGAAAAGAACAATCATGTCTTGAAAAGGTAAATGAAACAGAAGTTATTTTTAACCAATTATCTAAAGAATTCTTTAGCAAAACGAACATTCTCAAAATACTCCTCTGTGTTCAAATGTTTTGCTACATTGGTATTGCCCTTGTTTCCTGTCTAGCGTGCTTTTCAGTGGAGAAATTCGTCCAAAGGAACGGATTTTTTTCAGAAGGTTTATTTCAAGAAATTAATTTAAGAAGTGAGTTGGCATAGAAAAGAAATTGTACACATGTTTTGAGAACGCGGGAGGTTGCTAGAACTTGGTTTATTGCTGATTTTAACGGTGGAAATCGAATGCAAACTGAAAAAATCCCTCCAAGCGTCGTCGGTTTGCCAAGGAACGAGATAAAAAGGAAAACTACAGCTGAGAAATTAAGCACGCGAGAAGAGAGCTTTGCCGATAGATTATAAGATTGCTCATAGAGATCTTATGAGTTTTGTCAAAAACGTTTTGGTACAGAAATGGGTTTTTATACAGCACTTGGAAAATTATTAACTTTGAGTCGGGACTTGATTGTTTATGTTGTCTATCTTGTCACAAAGGAAACTGTGGAATATGATTCAGTAAGAAGAAACTGGGAATACTTCTCGCGAGCTTCAACTTTTGAGAGTGTTTTTTCGGAGAATAAATAAATGTCAACGAAAGACTTATTCGATCACGAAATGAATTTACTGCTACGTTCGTCCTTGCGCCACAAAATCCATTCCACTGCGAACAACTTCTTTTTCTTCTTGTTTAGCCATGAAGATTTTCTTTTTGTGACTTTTTCAGGTCAAAAATAAACTGCTCTTAATTTGAATTTACTTTGTTGTGTATATTTTGTGACCAGTGCCTAATAAACCTCCACCATTCATCGCTGGAGTTGTGCGAGTACTCCCTAAGCTTTTGGAGAAACGCGACGAAAGACGCTAGTACTTTTAGCTGCTTCCTGTCTATTTGGAGCTTGATACGTAGGATCTCAAGGATCGTTTCCTTTAATAAATAGATTTTAAAATGGCGATCAAACTTATAGGTGGAAATATGGTTAATTATATTTTTGTTAAAATTTTTAATTCTAAGATCAGTTAAAATATTACGTCTCAGTCATATCTTGATCGACAAGGCAGCGAAAGAGGTTTAATTTGTTATTCACGCGCTGAAGAAAACGACGTAAGAATACCAAATTTTAATACTCTTTGGCTAAAAATTATTGACCCTTGAGATTGAATATTCTTACAAGAGTTTTCGTCACATTTTAATCCCTTCTGTGACAGTAGCTTTCTCTTTTTGAAAGTTCGCTGTCATCAGATGACATTATTTCAAATTCGAACTAGTCCAAGTCGATTGAAAAACTCTATTTCTATGGCGTGGAATTATGCTTATCGCGTTTCGTAACCGGCTTATAACTCCGGCCTGATAAGAAGTTCTAATGGTTCTGTGTGGCATTGGATGCCCACTTGAGATAGGATCTTTTATCGTCGTAACTCAGAGTCACTAAACTACATTGTACCTGGATGTTGCTGAGGATTTTGTAATCAACGGCGCTTGAAATGCCCCTATCAGGCGAAGTAGCGGCGAGGGCAGCGATGAGCGCGGTTTCGTACGAATCGGGTTGAAGTTTCATCGAAAAATCGTCAATGAGCGCGAACATGTGTTCGATCACCCAGTTGCGGAGGCCGGTTCCCTCGAATTGAACCCGATTCGGGGGGATACCGGACAGCGAACGGGAGCCAGATCGAATCAGCGGTATCTCCATCGTTCCGAATGTGATAAGCTCGCGCTTTGTTTCCTCTTGGAGCTGATGCCATCTTAATAAAATTTCTTTATATAAATTTTTCCCTTCAGGAATAATCATTAAAATATATGACAATCTGTAACGATAGTCACAGATCAACTAGTTTTAAATCAACTCAGTTTTACGAGCCCCTTTCATGTATCATAATTAGCCTGCTGACGTGTGCAGCGCATTTTTGAACTGAGATAAACCTGATTGACGGAATCGCTTCGAGAAAGACCAGCATCATCGACGCATGAAGGTTAATGACATCCTTGACGAAGTGAAGACGATCGAGCGCAATGTGGAAAAAGGGATTCGGTTGCTTGATGGTGCTCAGCTTGTTTTCGAAGTTAACGACGACTTCGTAGGCTGTTCTTTGAACAGCACCAGTTGTGTCAAGAGATGGCTAAAAATTTCCCGGTTAGAGCTTTGAAACTTTCGAATGAAGAATTCTCATTAATATATTTCATAAAAATAATCTACCTCATGAGCATTAGCCTGTTTATTCCTGTAAATGATCCAGAAACCTTCCAGGATCGCCAGAAAATTTTCTTGAAATGGGTCTAAAGATTAATTTGATTTGTGTTTTACTTCAGTTACACGCAGATTTATCGACTTCCTGATCGAATGATAAATAGGCCAAGAAAACGGCCGATTACCTAATGTTTCGGAGAACTTCATCATTTGACCGTTGGTCGGAATCTTCTGGATTCGCCTTCTTATCGATCGAATTCGCAGATCGCGAATGTAATCTGCGTTCATGCCCACAAGCTCACACTTATTAAAGTTTCATTCAACTGTCGCGCGTTCTTGAGAGTTTGTAACCCGTCCGCCATCAAGTTTGCATACGAAATTTACTGGCGGAGAAGAAATGTAATTTCTCTATAACGAAAATTGCCCGCAGGCTTTTAATCTTTCTCCTGAAACTTTCCTTAGCCAGGCGGCAGTCGATGCATCGTCTGATGAACTTCCCGTAGCAGGAGCCGCCTCGATCGCATTTCTTTTCAAAAAAAATAATTTTGAGATTGAAAGATAGGGTTACCTGAGTGAGGTTATTCTCCAAAACAGTTCTCCGGAAGAAGCTTTTGCACGGATTACAAGTCAGCGCGCCGTAATTGAATCCGGTCGCTTGCTCGTTGCAGACTTGACACAATTCTCCAGGCTGTATCTTTTTCTCTGGCCCTCGTTCTAACATAATTGTTTTAGATATATTCAAGATACAGTCGTATCAGATCAATTAACAGTAGCGCTTCAAATGACCCTCTTCTTATCAGTAAATAAGGGATATCTTCGAAGCATACTTTCCAGATTAGGAAACTTTCGATTGTTTGAAATATAAACATACTTCTGGGCGTCGTAGCAGCACCACCAGTACTCATTCTCGCGAATCTGAAAATATTATTAGCCAACATAAACTCATGCTTAGGTAGATTAGCGTTCATTCCTACGCTCGTTAAAAAAACGAAATAAGGTAGTCCCAGTGACGTATGCACTGCGGAAGTGCCTCAAGAAGACTTCACTTGGTGTCTATTTTTTCGATTTCTTGGGTGGCGGGAGCGATATTTAAAACGATCGTAAAAGAAGTTGGGAAAGAAAGTAACCGCGTAGATCGATACGCGGGGACTAACGATCACGGCAGTAGCGTGGTGAGCATTTTTGCACTATTACTTTCGTAGAGAAACGAAAAATTAGATTTCTTTTGTAAAGAAAGAGCTCAGGCGTCAAAATATTTAAAATTATACCAAGGGGCAGCAATAACTAATGATCCTGACTGAAAATTGCGCAACATTGAAAACTTCAAAATTTTATAGTTACTTTTCAATAAAAACTGTCTGAAACTTGCAAAATAATTATCATTTATTATAATTTGCTTACTAAACAAATTTTGAGCACTTTAATACCTATTCCGGGTCGTTTTCTCTTTTTTCTTTGTAATTTTGGCTTTGTTTGACTTTCGCGCGTTAAAAATTTCTCAGGGAAAAAATGAAAGTAAATGTAACTCGTCTGGGTTGTGCGCGAGGGAGAGAGACTTTCTCGTTTCGTTCTGCTTTGCACCAGCTCTCGGACGAGGGTGCTAGGTGCGGTCGATGAACCACCGTCGCAAGAAGCTGACGGCGCTATTGGCTCATTGGCGACCCTAGGGTGGAGCCAGCGCCCGCGTGGACTCCCTAAGCCAAAGCCCAGCGGTCAAAAAGTCTCAAAAATACGAGCACGCGTGATTTTGATACCCGCCCGAAATGGGAGGAAATTTACCGTCAAAGAGAAAGCTATTGATTCAATTTAACTCCTTATTTCATTCACTGCATCTTTATCGATTAAAATCTTGGAAAAGAGTTATCTTTAAAATATATTTCCATTGAAAGAAGCCGATCGGCGATCGTTAAAACTTCTAGTCATTAAAAAAGTATCTTGGAAACATTTTACTAGCCTCTTTTGAGTCTATACTCGTAATCTGACGATGTTGAAAGTCAGCATATTTATATAAATTAAATGATACAATCAAAGGACCTTATCTTTGAGTAGGTAATCTACTAGGACCTAAAGTTCTGAAGGAAGATCGCCAAGTGTCAACTATCTTTGTTATTCTTATTAAAAATCGTCAAGAACAAGTTAATAATGTCTCCATAAAATCATTATTCTTATATTTCAAGCATAAATTGCTTCACAAGATCACTCAGATACCGGTATTCCACGTCTTTTGTACCTAATGTAGCGCCCGCACTGTAAGACAGTGGAGGTAAGCATATTTAGCGCCATTTCAGCAACAAAAAATAGCCAGAAAATAGGGTACGCGTTTTTTCTGGCATTTTTGAGAAAAGCGTCTTTTCTGGCATCGCGTTCTTTCTGGCAGTCGCGTCTTTTCTGGCACTGAAGTCTGATTCATTGAATTCTGATATCAAGTAGGGTCTACCAAATCTAATTAACTGTTATTTCCTTCTGAAATTATCTTCAAGAAGAAGAGGCCGTAGTTTTGAATATGATTGAGAGGACAAATTTCTTTTCACTAGAATGGAATAAAAATTATGAGATCATCATAATATATGCTAAAATTCTTTCAAATTTTGTAAATTATCAGCACTATTTTCTTTGATGATAAGAACTTCTAAATCAAATAAATAAGTTTTCCCAGTGGCAAGTTGCTATTGAAGGTAAAGATTTTCTGTTATTCATATCAGCTTATTAGGTTTGGTGGACCCTACTTGATATCAAAGTTAAATGAATCAGACTTCAGTGCCAGAAAAGACGCGACTGCCAGAAAGAACGCAATGCCAGAAAAGACGCTTTTCTTAAAAATGCCAGAAAAAACGCGTACCCCAGAAAATATAGTGACCGAAGAATAAGTTCCAAAGTAGACTTCCTCTAAAGCACTCATGTTTTCTGATACTTAATTATTTATTATCAGATGCCTTCGCCCCTGTACAAAATTAACTCTTCATTGAAGAGCCCCGATTCATAATTTAATAACTGCCAGGAAGGTAGTGACCGCTGAAATTATTAAATAGGGGCGAGGTTTTAATTCGATAAAGTTCATCATTTGAACTTTAATTTTTACCAGAAATCATGATTGACACCCTTTGTTCTGTGTGTAAATGTTGTAATGTCCTTTTTACAAATAGTTTTACTTTAATTTTACGCTTGAATTAATGCTTTCAGGGGTTGTTTTTTACTTCGTAAATAATGAAAAAAATTGTTTAGAAACATACTACTGTCTTATTTAACAAATTGTTTAAATAAGGCTTGGTTTGTCGTTTGACCGAAAATATACTCGATAGCAGTTTCTCAATTACCTGTTGTTTGCTTTGATTACTCGAGAATGAAGGGCTTTTTGCGAATTTAGACCGGACATAAACTTTTTTTCTAGAGAAAAAAATGAAAAAGCGCCGTTCTTTTTTCTTTCTGAACTCTTTCTGTTTCACCGTGCTCGGGTTTTAAAGCAGAAGAGAAGAAGGGTTTTTTGACCGCTCTTAACAGGAAATCAATACCACATGTAGTTGCGTGCTTTGCACCCACAAAATGGCGTCTCAGAAGATTATTTATTTAATTCTGGAAATGCAGCATGATAACCCTCTTTCACTCAGAATTAGTGTTTGCGAGATTGTCTTCAGCAAGGTTCAGCGACCATGCGTTATTGCAGCGAATGCAGTCTAATGGAGATTATGCTCCAGCCCTCTCAAAAACAACACGGTTCGAATTCCGTCTCATTTAAATTCAGTAGCTGCAAAATAGTAATAAAAATACTCGATTGGGTCAAAATCGGTCTTGTTTTCAAATCAACGAAGCTTGGTTCAATCTCCCTTCTATTGTTATTAACAATAAATAAATCTCCATTTTCTCGAATAGACCGATTTCTATTTCGTCAATGAAAAAGGCCCTTTATGAAAATTAATCAACGTTCTACGCTAAAAGAAATGGAAAGGAAAATTGATAAATGTCCAGCGAAATTATGTTTGAAACTGGCCCGAATAAATTATGCTGGTTAAATGTCAGATTAACATCTCAAGCCGAAATTTCGAGCCGTTGAATTCAAAAGAATCCCCGAAAGAATACTATAAAAGCAACAATCTGTATTTGCATTATTCGTTACGTACAATAATTTACGAATCATCGGCAAATCACTCACTCGAGGAAGCAGGATTCAATCAAAACGCTTGAATACAAAAAAAACGTCCGGTTGACGTCGTTAACCGATTATCATAAAAATGCAGGATTCTTTACAAGCCACTCATTGAATAAAAAAATACAATAGACAGAGCTTTCAAACTGTCTATTTTTCATAGAAAAGAGACTAAGTAGAGAAGCATTAACCAGAATTTGAGTAAGAACGTACCGTTATAAATCATAAAGTTGTCGGTTTCTTGCTTCAAAAATTCGATCTCTCTTTGGTCTGTCCTGCGCGTCTGGGTCTCTAGGTCTCCGCTTGTCGGATTTTTTTAAATAAACTTGTGGCCTAGGCTCACCATGACACAAGATTTAAAAAAAAGCTCGCGGCATAATGAATCTGGTTTCAAATGTCAACCTGGGCGGGGATGAAAATTGGCTGCATAAAAAGATCTGCCAGCAGCAAGCAATTAGCGTCCGAGGAAGTTCTAAATTTGCCTGACAAATTATCTTCGCTCATTATGGTTTTGTTATTTCGGGTTGTTCCCGTTCGAATTCCGGCCTTTTTTCTGAACAACTTGTTCTGACAAAAAGCACAACTTTTTCTTGATGGGCAGTTTTACTTTTAGTAGGGTTTTACTTTAGCCTAAGAAAAGTCTCAAAAGGAAATTTTTCACATGAGGCCGTTTATGTGATTTCGGGCATTAGAGAGAGCTCCCGGCGAATCTATCGGATCATCTCAACGGGCGATCGAAGGCGGCTGAATGAGCATCATGCGTATTCGGCTGTGCACTCAAACAACATTCCCTGATGAATTGCTTGGAGCTGCTCCAATGTTTTAACATAAAACAATGGATTATGTTCCACACCCGATGATATTTTTTGTTCATTTCAAATCAGAGATGATACACAACCGTTGCTTTTCAATTTTTGAACGAGAAAAGAAAGAACATTCTCCAGGAATTACATCGATTTCGGGGCCATTCAGAAGAATATTTTCTAAGTACCTGGCTTGTAAATTTGACATCGAAGTTGACTGAAATTTCACTGGAGTTATAATTAATTGAAAACGGTCACGGACTGTAGGACTGTTTGGTGAAATGATGAAAACCAGGGGGCTACCTACGATGCAAATATTTGAATGTCGTCATTGACTCTTGGCTTTATTTCTATGTACCCTCGGAAACTGAACACAAAGGAGAATCGAACACTATGTTTTTGTGTGTTGCGTAACACAATGGCCTTTAAAACAGTCGTCTTTAACGCATTTCCGGTGTATAAATTAAGTCTTCATTCAAAATGTCATTTACTTCTAAAAATAGACTTGTTCAACTAACAGTGAACATTCATTCAATTTGCTTCTCCCCTAAATCACGCCTAATATGGTCAAACATTATGAAAGAAGAAGTTTCTCCAAAGTTTTGTTAGTAAAGTCAAGTGACCAGATAAACTGCCGGTCATCTTTCTTTCTCTCAAGCGGCCACTTTAAAAATATTAACTGAGCCTCCAAAACGAGTCATCCCCTCCCTGAATCACTCAATTCTCCTTATTATTTTTTCAGCGCTTACATACCGAGAGAACATCGTACTATTTGCACACTGTAACAATCAAATTTACTGAACAAGTACTGCCGTCCTGCTACAGTCTGTAGACGCGAGTCCCCTATTGTTGAATTTTTATCTCATAGTTACAAGAAGCACAGCAAGTACAATCACGATTTTACAGGCACGCGGGCGTCTAATAATTATTCTTTCCTGAGAAATTTACGGCTTAGAGATATTTGCGCTTTTCGCGAGGCTCAATTCTGTTTGCAGCAGAGCAAATAGCATAAGTGCGCTCAGAGGAATGTTTTATAAAAATTATGTATTTTTCTTTTCAGAATGGGAACAGATTTGATTTCTCCAGAGCTGAGGAGCTGAGGTACTTCTGAAGGTAACAATGGTGATCTCGGGGAACTACACGCCAGGGAGAAATGTGGCCGCTCAGAATGTTCCCCTGGACCCGTTTGATACATTCGTCGCATCGGAAAGTTTCTCGGCAGGTAAGCAAATTTCACTGATCCCAAACAAACATATTTTCCGAAAGCGCTCGAGCGATTCGAGGAATTGCTTTACGATATTAATGTCAATGTGGACAATTTCTACGGAATCGGGCTTTTGTACAAACTGAGGAAATCCATCACAACTTGGAAAGCGAAGCAGCTGCTGGACAAAATCTGCTCGCGCTCAGAGAACGCCGTTTACTTCCCAACTCGGGCGGATGCGATTCAACTCAAGAAACGGGTAGCTGAAGGGAAGAAATGCCTCATCATCGGAGCCGGGCCATGTGGCCTCCGTACTGCCATAGAAATGGCCTTCTTAGGCGCTCAAGTTCACGTGGTCGACTCTAGGAAAGAATTCTCACGCAACAACATTCTACATTTATGGCCCTTTTGCATTGCTGATCTGAAAGCACTGGGAGCCAAGTCATTCTTTGGGAAATTCTGCTCTGGCGCCATTGATCACGTGCCAATCAGACGATTGCAGCTCATCTTGTGCAAGGTGGCACTGCTTCTTGGAGTCAAATTCACAAGGGAGGTGTTTTGCGATGAAGTTGCGAAGGATGCGGGTGGAAATTGGACTGTAAGACTTAGACCACACGATCCAGGAGCGGGTTGACTAATTTATTAACCATAATTGCCCGCGTTTTTTCGAGGTGAAAGACCGGCAATGACAGCCTGTCAGGTCACGCGCTCCAGAAAGGTCTAACCTTTCTACAGGTCCAATTTTGTTATAACAAAATTGATAGTGTTTCTTCTGTTAACCCTCTCTAAAGAAATCTCAGCTGTACGATGGGATACAATTGTAGACTCGACTGGTGGATCAGCGGGGACTTCTTCAATCCTGTCCCCAGATTTAGCCCGAAAAGAATTTCGCGGCCTCCTCGCGATTGGAATCACTGTCAACTTTAAGAACTTCAATTCGGCGCAAGAAGCGCGCGTTGAAGAAATCTCAGGCGTCGCGTCGATTTACAAGCAGCATTTCTTCAAGCAGCTTCGGAATACTACTGGGATCGACTTGGAAAACATCGTTTACTACAAGGACGAGACGCACTATTTTGTGATGACTGCGCGGGCGAAGTCATTGTATGAGCGAGGCGTGCTCTTGAACCACTCAGACAACTCGGAAACGCTCCTAAGTCGATCGAACATCGACCCCAATCAGCTTCAGAATTACGCGCTGGACGCAGCAAATTTCGCCACAAACTACAAACTCAAGGATATTTTCGAATTCGAAACCAACTCTCGTGGCAATCCAGACGTCTCTATTTTCGATTTTACTTCCCGGTACCATTCAAAATATGCGGCAATTATCAGGAGATGTCGCGGGCGAGATGTTCTCGGACTGCTTGTTGGCGACTCTTTGATCAATCCTTTCTGGCCGACTGGAACGGGCATTGGAAAAGGTTTCTTAGGCGTTTTCGATGCTTGCTGGACATTCCGCGAATTCTGCCTTGGCAAGAAGTCTCAGCAACAGATTCTTCAGGAGCGGGAAGTTATTTACAAGATTCTCGACTCATGTGATCCGGGTAATAGCGCTTCTGCTTTGATCCAAAAGTTCGCTGGATACACAATCGACCCCAAGACGCGTTACAATTTGCTGGGGATCGGAAACAGGAGTGAGAATGTTCCGATTTTGTTTGTCGAAGAAGATCACAAATCTGGCAAGAAACGATCTCTTGCGCCAAATGATCCGTTCAATACGAAGAGGTCTCGTTGTGGGACGATGAAAGATCAAGAAACACAAGTTTTGAACTGGATGAGGGCTGTGATGCCGCTTGAAAAGAAGTACAGAAATTGTGGGTTGCAAGAACTTCCATGGAAAACCGGCACGGTATTATTAAACTTGATCAAATCAATTCGACCAGACTGGCTAGCGAACTCCGAATCACCAAAGAAAATGAGCGCAACGGCGAAAGTGGAGCTGGCCCTTTCTGTATGCGAGGAACAGTTCTCTTTGCAAAAAATTGGCGCAGCAAAAGACTTCGTCCGCTCAAAACCTGACTTGCTAATGCTTATCACGACCTTGACCCAGATCAAAAACGCGTATCAATCTGCCCCACTGGTGAACCCTCAAGTCTCAGATGCTTCAGACGTCAGGAAATCAAGTTCAAAACCCTCGAAGAAGAGCAACGCAAAGAAGAGTCTTGAGCAAAGCATTTCAAAAATGGCGAATTCACTCAAGCGCAGGTCAACGATGGCATCGCACGTCAAGAAATCCACCGAAGAAAAGAGCACTAAAGAAAACGCGAAATTGCCGAAGGATAATTTCGCTGAAGCAGACGCAAAAATGCTCTCTGATCTTGAGCGACAAGATAAAGTTGATGAAATCATCGCGCAGCATAATGTTCCTCAACCGAAACCAAGGACAAAATTCCCAATTCGACGATCAAAAACGGCAAAGCCCTTCACTCCACTGAGTACAAATGAGTCCTTGGACCTATCGGGTATTTCGGAGACTGGAATAAGCGACGATTCGGATATGATCTTGTCAGACGCGAGGAGTAGCAGCGGTAGAGCAAGCTCAATTCATATGCGAGAGAATCGAAGATCACCGGCGGGCTCGCAATTGTCGCCAAGAGGTGAAATCCAGCTGGGGGAAAATCATAACCGTCCTGGAAGCCGGTAAGATAGTGAAAGTTAATAACATGCTAATGAGAAATTCTAGACATTCTATTGCTGCTCCTCCTTCGAGTTCTGCTAGCTCTGGTCGAGTGTCCGCCAAAGCTCGATCTCGAATATCCGTCGCTCTCTCCTCTTCCGACTGGGATCAGCCTGCTACTTCGTCTACCTCCTCGCGTTCATCTAACCGCCTGCCTTTGAATTCTTCAAAGAATCTACCTTTGAACTCTTCCGCTATTTCTATTCGCTCTGTCCGACTCAACGACGAAGAGGACACTCCGAGAAAGAAGATGCCGTCGACTCCTGTCTCTCCTCGAAGCACCTCGCCTTTCGACGAATTCGAAACGCAGATATTAGAAGGCGGTCAAGATAGTCCTCCAGCATCAATGCAATCTGGAATGGCAAGCCTGCCGCATTTTGCTTCGTTTCAGAGTCCACAAGTGACACCAACAAGGGGCGTAGCTAGGAAGACGGCCGTCAGAAGGAAGATTATTCCTGATCCTGTCGAGGAAAGCGTCAAGGGAATAGATAGGATTCAGTTAGGACAAACAGCGCAGAAGGCAAATGGAAATATAAAGATGCGACAGAATGTAAGTGCTTTTTGAAAAGAATCGATTTATTTGCCCATTTAGAAGTCAAGGGTTGTTAGGCCGGTTACTTGGACGCCCGAGAAGGAGCAAAGTTCTGAATCTGATGATGATATTTACGAAATGGAACAGGTTTGATTCTTGCCGAAGTCCTCTATATTTAAAAATCTTATTTTAGCTTACTCGAAGAAGACAGTTGAAAGCGCAGACAGTTCAAAGACAGTTGGAAGAAGTTGCTGTTCGCCAAATGCAACTTGAAGAACAGTCCGCCAACATTGGTTTGTTTCACTCAATTCAGTCAGCTTCTTCAACCCTGTTTTCAGAACGACAGATTCGCAGCGAGACGATCAACGATTCAACGGAACTCATGGAGCAATGGTTCCAAACTATTGAAGAAAAGAACCAGCTTTTGCGCCGCGAGAACGAGCTCATGATCGAGCAACGCTATCTTCAACTCGAGGTAAATCCCGAAGACATTCTTATCGAAACACCGCCTGATTCAAACTCTGCCTGGGTTACAATTACTGTTTGAATGAATATGCGAAACTAACTACTGTTGTAAGATGTTGGTGATACAAGTAGTGGTGATTTGGTGGTGATTTGAACTTTTTGAAGGGTTCATTTTCGGTGAAAATCCGCAGCTTTGGATTTTCCTCTTTTTTATCGATCCCTTAGGAGCGCTTTGGATCAAGTTATATTTTCAGGATCAGCAACAAGCCGTGGCTGCGACGATCAGAGAACGCCTAAAACTGCCCGAGAAGCAAAAATCCGAGCGCGACAAGAAAGAAGACCAGCTTTTGTCTGGGGTCAGAAAGTGCTCGTTCCCTCGCTACCACCAGCTCCGCCGTACCTCCACTCTTTATGTTAAACATATTGAGCATAGCATTGTCTAATAAAATAAACTAGCACTGTAAATATGTACAGAAGTAATAAAACAGACTAGAATAAATAAAGAAACTCAACAATTCTTGTTCTCTTTCTTGATTTTATAAAATCTCTCTTGACCCTTCGAAAAGATCGACCAGTATCAACAGTACGTCGACGAAAGAAACACGCTTTTGATGCTAATTGAGAGCCAGAGGGAGGACATGAAAACGTTTGACGCAGCGATGATGGGCTCTCCTGGCATCGGCTTATCAGATTATAAAAGGAAAAGGTTGCCTGATTAATCAATCAAGGTGATAAGGTTACTTTTGGCAACCTGGACAAGCTAAAAAATACCAAAGCAAGAGAAATAAATAAATTAAAAACCTTTTTGTGCAATTTTAACGTTGCTTTACTGTTGCTCGTAGTTACAGTCAGATTTCAAGTTTCAGTTTCAATCAGAAATACTCCTCCTTCTTCAACTCCCCTTTTTTCTTTACAACTTTACGCTCTCGACTATCAATCATTCCTTTTATTGAGTTCCAGTTTCCGTACTCCAGTTTCATTCTTTACTTAGCCTGAAATTCGCCCAGTATTCAGAACATTTAAATTTACTTTATTGCGCTTTGCAAATACCGTTAAGTATCCTGCGAGCATCTTGAAAATGGTTCATTCGCGGTTCATTTGCTCATTCAGATTTAGCACCGGAACGACCTCTAACGTCCGTTTTCATGTTTTGAAGATCTCCCCTCGAGATCACGGCCGTTGGCAGACACGCTTTTCTGGCGCTAACAAAAGCACCCCTTTCATTATTTTTTTCGAGTTTTTATATATCAGAGAAATCAATATTTCCCCTTCTTTTATTTAATAACTTATAATTACCTCCCATTGTGCCTTGGCAATTCCAGAGACCGTTCCTGCAAACAACTTTCTAACTATTCAGCTTCTTCAAAATTTGATTTCAACCCCTGTTCGTTTTAGAAAACAGCTGATAAACAACAAAAACAAAACGATGGAACAACCAACTACTTTCTCAAACATTCTCAACTGGGACAACCTTTTGAAGAACGAGCAACTCAGACTTGCTCAACAGGTAAATTTGAAATTTTGACCTTTGAGAATACCGGAAATGATTGCATTTGTACACCGATCATGACTAAATCCTTCAGATGCAATTTACAGAGGCGTCAACCTTGGAGCGACTGGTGGAGATCCACCAAATCCGCCACGAACTCAACGGAGTCTTCAATCTTTAATCACCGAAATTGGCGATTCGCCGGCTAACCGAAGTTAACCAGTCAATTGCCGATATTCATGAGCTCCTTGTTTCTCCATTGCTCCCAAAGGTTTCCCTCTTTTTTCGCTTCTTTCCGTATATTTACTTTTCTTGCGTTTGAATGTAAATAGTTATGTACCAGAGGACCTCCCTTTAATTTTCGATAAAACGTATGAGTCTTCTTCTCATAATTTTGTCCAAAACGTACCACGTTTCCCATAACTTTTGATTTCGCCGTGTGCAAGTCTGATCTACAAAGGTACGTGATGGCATAATATACGTAATATACGTGATTTTTGAGGTCACGTCCAAGCTGCTGATTGGCTGATTTTGATTGTTGAGTAATATTTTGATGATTAAAGACTACTACAACTACTGCAGCAATGAAAAATTCCGCGTCATATCCGCGGACGTGATTCAAGATTCAAAATGATCACACGGCGAAATCAAAAGTTATGGAAAATGTGGTACGTTTTGGACAAAATTAAGGGTATAGTCATCGCTCTTTACAAAGTATCAAATTTTTAATCTGAGTTGATTTTTAGAATCCTCATGAAATTCTGAACAAAAAAGTCCGTATGGACTTTTTCTCTATTTCAACCGGTTTCCCGGAAATTGCGACTGAAATTGGCGAAATTTAATGCATTTTGCCCAACAGCCAAATTTTGACCAGATTTAGAAGTTTCCGAGGGGCTTCATATGACACATTTTTAGAAAGCTTATGTTCAGGGCTTCAAACTGGTATATAAACGTCGGAGTTTGGGCATGCCCTCAGGGCAATTAAGGAGGTTGTTTCGGTCAAAAATGGGTACTATCGATTTTCGAAAAAAATTTTGTAAGAAAAAATTAAGTAATCGAAAAAAGCTCTTGTCAGTTTTAAGATAAGGGTCTTATCTTTATAATCCACGCAAAAAAAATCTGGACGTTATTGAAAACTTCGGAGGAGTTCGGCCGTTTATATAGCCTATTTTGGCCGAGATGCCAACTTTAAGGGGTTGTCACGTGGTAAAAATGATGGAATTTCAAAAAAAGCTCTTGTCAATAGTAAGATCTAAGATAGATCTTTAATTCTAGCCATTTAGGCAATTTTTACTACTTACAGGTGCTGAGGAATACGAGCTCAAAGTAGGCCTGAGCGATTACTATACCCTTAAGAGAAGAAGATTCATACGTTTTATCAAAAATTTATGGGAGGTCCTCTGGTATTGAGCCTGATCTTCAAATCTTCAAAAATGCCAAAAAAAATTGAAAAAAATCTTCAAAAATTCCAAAAAAATGTTATTGAATCGTTCCTTTCGCAAATATCAAATTTTCAGAGTGTTACTGTGCATTTTCCCTATGCAGCCCAATAAGGTGTTTTCACACATTTATTGAGCTTTTCCCGATATTCGAAATTTTCGCCCCCTTTTCACCGTGTCTTCGTGAATCTTTTCGTATTTTTCACACTTTCTAAAAAAACATGTCACCATTCTACCTTCTTTTTCACATGTTCATATATTCCCTGCGTTCACCATTCTACTGTAAAAATTTGGAAAAAAATAAAAATCGATTAACTCGAAAAATTGAAAGAAGCGAAGCTTTTTTGAATTTGGCGCGCTCCATATTTTCATCGAGCTTCCAGAACAGCGTCTTTTTTGGAAAGAGACTTTTAGCAGGACTTGAAAATAGAGAGTTACTGATCAAATGATCAAAATTTTGAAAAGAAATACCATTTTTTCAAAAATATTAGCGCACTTTCACCATTTTTTGTTTTTCAGAAGGTTAGAATTTTGTGACGTGAGCGAAGATGGCTCCCAAAGGATCAAAACTCAACAACTATTTGAACTACCGCATGCGAGTTACACTACAAGACGGTAGAAATTTCATTGGAACTTTCAAAGGTACAACTTTCCTTTGCAATGCCTTTCTTATCTTTTTTTTTCTAGCTTTTGACAAGCACATGAATCTCATTTTGGTCGACTGCGACGAATTCAGACGCATCAAGCCTAAGAAAGGTAATATTTTTTCTAGAATGTAAAATTCTAGAAAATGAATTCAGGCGAAACGGCTATCCGAGAGGAAAAACGAACATTGGGTCTCGTTCTCCTCCGCGGCGAACACCTGGTCTCGATGTCCGTCGATGGTCCCCCACCACAGGAGCACGCCACTGCCCGTGTTCCAAACATGCCGATGGGTCGCCCAGGTGGCCCGGGAATGGCCCGCGCTGCTGGTCGCGGTATGGGCGGTCCTGGCGCTCCAACTGGCCTTGGCGGCCCTGTTGCCGGCGTCGGTGGCCCTATGGGCGCTCAGATGAGACCTCCGATGGGATCTGGCGGCGGACGAGGATACGGCCGTGGATACTAAACCGTTTCTCCATAACTGAACTGAAACCTGTTACAGTTATTATCATTTAGACTCAATTACTCTCCCCCCGCGAGAAATAAAAAAACTGCCCGTAAATACCGAAAATACAAAAACTATCTTCATTAAGAATGGGTCGTCGATCTAGATCGCGTTCCAGAGAGCGAAGTCGCAGGAAAAAAGATCGAAAGCGATCTCGCTCAAGGTCGAGGCTCAAAAAAGTTCTCTTGTCTTTATTTATTATTGCAGGATCAAGCATGACGAGCCTCTGGAAGGTCTAGGGATAGAGATCGTGAGCGAAAAAGAGACCGCAAACGGTCCCGATCCCGTGAGCGCAAGAGGGAACGATCCCGATCCAGGGAGCGAGAGCGAAAAAGATCCCGTGATCGGGAGCGACGATCCCGTTCGCGTGAAACTGAAAGAAAGGAGCGCAAAGAGCGTGAATCAGTGAAAGCACCGTCGGAAGTAAAACCCAAAAAAGAAGAGCCCGATATAAAGCTTGAAAAATCTTCTGGTGTTGCAGAAGCGCCGAAGAAATCTCGATTCTCTGGAGGTCTTGAAGCCTGGCGAAAAGCACACGCTATTGATGCGGCAAAGAAAGCCCAGATTGCTGGGGAGATCAAGGAAGAGGTGAAAAATGAAGTACTGGCACCGAACAAAGTTGAAATTCCTGGATTTCCCAAGGCCATGAAGGGCGTGAGTGTTTTCAAGCCAGAACCAAAGAAGGACGATGGCGACTCGTTCACAGATGCTGACATTTCTGAACGCTTCGATCTTGCCAAATTGGCACGAGAGACCATGGAGCGAAGAAAGAATGTCGAACGCTGGAGAAGAGAACAGAAGCGAAAGATTGTCCATGAAGTAACAGAAGATATCCGGGAAGAAAAACGACGTCAGAGACGACAACAACTTCATGACAAGTCGAATCCTTGGGTCGAGGACGGAGAATCAGATGAGGAAGCGGAAGATGTTCAAGTTCAGACGAAGAAAAACGAAGACGATAAGATGCAAGAAGACGAAGATGAAGATCCCCTTGATGCTTTCATGTCGAATCTTAAGGAGTCAATGGGCAAGAACTCTGGAATTGTCATGGAAGAGAAAAAATCCGCTGAATCTAAAGTTTCTCACGTTGTCGCTTCTCGAGTTATTGCTGAAAAGCCAAAAGGTAGCGGTCGTGGAGACCTTATCGAGGCGAACCAAGATGAGCCAGAATACAGCTCAGAAGAAGAAGATGAAACTCTTGGCGATACTCTTGTCTCATGGACTCAGAAACAGCGTAAACTCCTTGAGCAAAAGATTGACCACGGACAGATAAATTACGAGGTCTTCAAGAAAGCATTCTACACCGAGGTCCCTTCCATCGCGAAAATGACACCAGAAGAGGTCAAGCTCTTGCGCGCGACCGAGCTTGATGGAGTGCGCATTCGTGGAAAGAACTGCCCAAAACCTATCAAAACTTGGGCACAGTCGGGCTGTTCCAGCAAAGTTTTAACGCTGCTCAAACGAATGAAATTCGAAAAGCCAACTCCCATCCAAGCACAGTGTCTGCCAGCGATTATGTCCGGAAGAGATGTCATTGGAATCGCAAAAACAGGAAGTGGTAAAACCCTGGGTTTTCTCCTTCCTATGTTCCGTCATATGGAACATCAGCGTCCTCTCGAAAAAGGGGAAGGGCCTATTGGTGTAATTATGACTCCAACTCGTGAATTAGCGATCCAAATCACAAAAGACTGCAAGAAATTCGCGAATCATATGAAATGGAGAACGGTCTGTGTCTATGGCGGCACCGGTATTTCCGAGCAGATTGCGGAACTCAAAAGAGGAGCAGAAATTATTATCTGTACACCCGGGCGAATGATTGACATGTTGGCCGCGAATAATGGCCGAGTCACCAATCTAAGGAGGTGCACTTACTGTGTTCTTGATGAAGCAGATCGTATGTTTGATATGGGTTTTGAACCTCAGGTGAGCAAAATAGTGAAGTATTTTTATCAAAATAATTTCAGGTAATGCACGTATTAAATTCCGTAAGACCAGATCGTCAACTAGTCATGTTCTCGGCTACATTCCCTCGCTCCATGGAAGCCCTTGCGCGTCGCATCTTGACAAAACCCCTCGAAGTAACTGTTGGTGGAAAATCTGTTGTTTGCGACGATGTCGACCAAAATGTCGTTGTTCTCAATGATGAAGACAAGTTCTTGAAGCTCCTCGAGCTGCTTGGCCGATACCAAGAGAAAGGATCAGTAATTGTTTTCACTCACAAGCACGAAGTGGCGGATGCACTCTTGAAAGAGGTCCTAAAAGCAGGTTATCCTGCACAAGCTCTTCATGGCGGCATGGATCAGTATGATCGAGATTCTGTCCTCAATGATTTCAAAAAGGTACTCAATAATTGAGCAACTGATTGTATAAATATGCCTTTAGGGAGTTTCAAGTTTATTGATCGCTACTTCTGTTGCTGCTCGAGGATTGGACGTTAAGAATTTGATTCTTGTCGTCAACTTTGATTGCCCAAATCATTATGAAGATTACGTCCATCGCTGTGGCCGAACTGGTCGCGCTGGTAATAAGGGGACAGGCAAGGGTTGACAACATAGAAACGTTATTATATGGGCATGATTAATTGTTGACGTGTTGGTTATCCGATAAAAGCGTTCACTTTTCTTACCGAAGAAGAGGGAAAATATGCTGGTGATATCATAAAAGCGCTTGAAATGTCGAAAACTGCTATACCAAAGCCCCTCGAAAATCTTTGGGAAAGATACAAGCTTGATCAGGAGAGACTGGGCAAAACGGTTCACAAAAGCTCTGGGTTCTCTGGTTCAGGATTCAAATTCGACGAAGCTGAAAAACAGATGGACAAAGATAGAAAAAATATGCAAAAACAAGCTCTCGGCTATCAGGTTAAATGTACATCTCTTTCGCTTTCTAAAATAATTTGGTCAGGAATCTGATGATGAAGATGCAGGAAATGTGGACATTGACAAGCAGATCGAGATGACTTTCAAGTCGAAGAAGAGTGTCAAGGAAACAGTTGTTGGTGCAGATGAGCAAGGAGAAAGTAAGGGAATTTTCCGACAATAATGATCTTGATTTCTTATTTTCAGAAGCTGATGTCGGACGAGATAATCAACAGAAGCTGGCGCAGGCAAAGAAGATGGCGGAGAAAATCAACGCTAAGCGTGGATCGAATCAGTCAGAGACTCAGCAAACTGCCCAGGCTGTCATGAACGGGCAAGATCTCAAACCTATCGCGGTATTTAAGATTTTTTAATCCAGAACAAAGGATATTTTTCATCTTCAGGCACCTCAAGTTTCGAACAAACTCATTGCAGATCAAATTGCTGCAAAACTGAATGCAAAGCTGTGTTATGTTCCGATGGAGCGACCAGATGGAACTTCGGGAGCAACACCTCTCGAAGGAATGTACACGACAACTTACGAAGAAGAGCTTGAAATCAACGACTTCCCACAGAGCTGCAGATGGAAGGTCACAAGTCGCGAAGCAATTGGAAATATTACCGACTATTCTGAAGCTGAAGTGCAAATTAGAGGCGTTTACTACCCCCCTGGAAAGGTTTAACTGACACAAAACTTGACCAAAACGGTATAACATTTATTCAGGAACCTGGCGAGGGCGAAGAACGAAAACTTTACCTCCTTATCACCGGCCACACTGAGCGTGCAATCCAAATGGCCAAGGGAGAGATCACTAGGATAATTAAAGATGAATTCACACGACTCCAAACAAGTTATCAAGCGCCCAAAGTCGGCCGATTTAAAGTTCTGTAATTCAAAAACTTTCAATTTAACTCAAACTGCCCTGAATAAACTGAAATATTTTGTTTCTTGCATTTAGAAATCGTAGATGAATTCGTTTGAATGAGGCCCCAAAGGTTGATACTTCCCCTCGCAGTTGTTCTATTCAATTATGTGGCGCTAAAGGTACATTCAATTCAAAAGGGAATAAAAATATGCCTTCTTTAGTTGATAAAATGTCATGATCGAAGTTATGCCCACCCGAAAATTGTAAAACATGATAAACCTAAACAGAAACATCACAAAGTCGAGCATGAAAGTCCCGATGAAGAGGTCCACAAGGAAGATTCAATCCCCAGTCCAATAAAGAAAACCCTCGGCAGACATAAACTCGCGATAATTGTCCCATTCCGTGACCGATTTGATGAGTTGATGGAATTTGCTCCAGCGATGCACTCTTTCCTCAAGTAAGAATATCACTTTTGTCATTTTCTAACAATTTGGATTTAGCGAAGCTAATGTGCCCCACGAAATCATCGTTGTCAATCAAGTCGATAGTTATCGATTCAATCGAGCTTCCCTTATAAATGCTGGATTTTTGTATACGCTTGATACAGAGGTATTCGAATCAAAATATTCAAAAGCTATTCGTGTTTAAGATCGACTACATTGCCATGCACGATGTTGATTTGATTCCACAAACTCACCAGATCAAATACGAGTATCCAAAAGACGGTCCCGTCCACATCGCTTCCCCTGATCTTCATCCGAAGTATCATTATCCTAACTACGTCGGTGGCATTCTTATGTTATCGCATACCGTAAGATATCCACAAGACAGACAGAAAAATAAGTTGTGACTTTTAGGATTTCAAGAAAGTGAATGGAATGTCGAACAATTTCTGGGGCTGGGGAAGAGAGGACGATGAGCTGTTTCTTCGAATGAGAGACGCAGGTCTTGAGTTGCACCGGCCCAAGGGTGTAACCACTGGTTATGAGACGTTTAAACACGTTCATGACAAAGTAAAACGTCCACGAGATTATAAGGTAAATGAGTAATATCCTCATTTCGCAAGTGAGAGAAACAAACAATAACGCGTTTTCAGCGTATCGGAGATCAGAAGAAACAGCAATTCAAACGCGACCTCAAAGGCGGATTCCACACGCTGAAGCACAAAGTCGCAAGAATTGATGATCTAAACATTAACAGTACTCCTGTTAAAATTCTTCACGTGGAACTAGAGTGTAACAAAGAAGAGACCCCGTGGTGTGAGAACCAGTGAAACAATGCTTTTTAGTTGAATGAATTTTGCCAACCTCTGAAGATTTCTGTATGTGCTGTATTTATTTCTTTTTCAGTTGACCAACTTACCAATCCCTCTTTAGTTTATTTCCGCAAATATTTCCTTATGCTAATGGTGCAATATTTCCGAACATGACTTTATTCAGTCTTCCAAATGTATATTTTTGAATATTTTCAGAGGTTCAAAAATGACTCTTTCGGATGACGATGTTAACCGACAAATCGATCATATGATCGCCTTTATCAAGAATGAGTCTCAGGAGAAAATCGAAGAGATTTATGCTAAGGTAACTCCTTCTTGATTTCGATGAGTTTTTTACTTTATTTTAGGCTGATGAAGAATTCCAAATTGAAAAAGGTCGGCTTGTCAACCAGCAACGCATCAAAATCATCGACTTTTATGAGAAGAAAGAAAAGACACTGGAGCAACAAAAACGCCTTCAACAATCAAAGTTCATCAACGTCGGTAGATTGGTAAGAAGAATTCAGAAATATTTATTTACATCAAAAACAATTTTGAATTATTGATGAAGATTCCACCAGTTGACTTTTCCAGCTCGGTTGCGGTACTTCTTGAGCATTTTTTCGTATTTTCGGCTGTCAGTTGAAAGACATCGAACGCGCCTCTTCATCATTTTGCGCTTGTCCCAGTCGCAGTTGTTATTTCTATCGCAGACACAGTTTATTTCAGCGACTTTTTTGGTTTTTAATTTTTTATCGATTTTCAAATTTTAATCTAGGAAAGGTAAAATCATTATTTAACCGGCCCTGTTGGAGTTCCGTTGCATGAAAGATTGCATTTTCCTCCAACTTCAAAGTTATCGCATTCCATCAAGACGCCATATTCAAATGACTCTCCATACTTTTCGTATGGATTGGGGCAAGAAAAGTCGTCTAAGCGCGGTCGGGTGTTTCGACCAATCTTTCGCTTGCGGCCGACGCCGTTACCGCATGTAAGACCCTTCTTTTTAACTTTTTTCGCCTCCTTCAGCTTGCACTTGGTTTTACCCTTTTTAGTTTTACATTTACAGTTAAGTTTTTTGAAGTCGGGGGTGAACGATCGCTCAGCACATGTAACTGGGCAAGATTTTCTAAATAGAACTTATCAACACCTTGGGCGGAAGACTCAAACTTACGAGATTATATTATCGCATCCAAGAACAACCCCTTCTCCCATGTATTTGCCAATCTCTTTCTTCAAATTGCAGCCAACTAGTTCCTTCGGTGCATTTGGATCGATACATTCAATTTCATTTTTCTTGAGTTCCTTCCACTCGAGCCATTTGCATTTGGATCCTTTGCATGAGCAATTAACCTCGTTCATCGAGCTTCTTGCACCGCCGGTAACACAGAACACCTTGCATGAGGCGCGATCAGTGGGCCGACCATCTACAGTGTCACATTCAAGTCTTACTTTTGGGAAGCTTGGGTAAAGCTCATTGAGTGCGGCGCACGCTGGTGCAAGAGTTGGGATAGTACTTTGAGTTGTGGTAGTTGGCGGAACTGTTGTCATTCGTTTCTGATTAACGCACGCAATGTCTTTGCCATCCCACTCACATCCTCCATCAGGAGCGATACAGTTACAGGTGATAGCATCGACTCCTGTGTTGATAACATATCCGGATCGGCCACATCGCGGGCTGCACACAGAACCATCCTTGAATGGTGGAAGACATCCAGTGAGAACGACATTTCCTGTCACAGCACCGTCAACCCTAGGGTGATTGCAGAACTGTGGAGGATGTTCGCACTTTTTGTAAGCATTCCCTTCAAGGCCTTCTGGGCATGAGCAAGTCGCTGCCGCTCCGAGGTTGTTTGTACAGATAGCGCCTTCGCCACAAGTACCTTCCTCAAGACATTCATTGATATCAACACATCCAGAGTCAGTGTTTTCGAATCCATCACTGCATATGCAGTCGTAAGATCCCTCGTTATTTACACAAGTTTGATTTTCGCCACAAACGTTTTCCAAACATTCGTCAACGTCAACACACATGTCTTCGTCCAGTCTAAGACCAAGTGCGCAGTCACATGAGAAGCCAGTTTCCTCATCAGGATTAGCATTACAGGTACTTTGAGTTGGACATGTATCGACCCCATCTTCACAAGGATTTTCTCCCTGAATAAAATTTCGATTATTCAGTATTTACTTATTATTTTACCTGGCAAATGTAGCCGGGATATTGAACAATAAACTCATCATTGTACTTTTGTTCAACGCAGACACCTTCACAGTCGCTATCAGCACAGCTAGCTTCGCCGTGAGAAAGGATCTGTTTGATCCAGGCATGGAAATATCCAATGTTGGTTGAGACGCCTGGTGTTCCTTCTTCGTCGCAAGACTGGCCAAATGCTGTTAGGCCGTGAATAACAGGCTGCATCAGCTCATCGACGCACCAGACGGATGCGCCGACACCGCTATTGCAAATATCTCTATTAGAGTCGGCATACGTAAAGCATTTGTGGTGAGTGTTTTTGAGAGCTAAAAACGTATAAAAATGAGAAAGATCGATTGTCCTACCAAATGCTGGGTTCCATTTTTCACAGTAATCCAGTCCGATGTTGTTGACATTCGATTCTCCAATATTTCCATCTCCCTGAATACCGAGTACCTTGCATTGCTTTCCAACGGCAGTTTCAACTTCGTCAGATAGACAAGCTGGTTGAACAAAGTTGTTGAACTCAATTGTGTGAGATAATCGGATTATGGCAATATCTGCGGCCTTGCTGTTGAACTCATAGAATGAGTATAATGGATGAATAAAGACTTCATCGACTGCTTCACTGAGAACTGGTTTCGGTCCTTCCACTCCATATTGAATGCCGATTAAGCTCTTGTCAGTACTGAATACGCAGCTTGCAGTTGTAAGAATATGCCGGTCATCAATAATGGAACCTGTACAGAAAGGAGTTCCAACATTAGACCGACCAGCCTGCATAATCAAGAATGCTGCCCATGGGTATGTTGCTCGAGGGCCTTGAGTGATGAAGACATCCGAATCTCTACAGAATGTTTGAGCGTTCTCACATGATTGGCCATAAAATCCCTCTGGACAAGTGCAAATGTATCCACCGATGTCGTCCTCACAAACGCCTCCATTCTGACAAGGTTCGGCAGCACAGTCATCAATCATTTTGAGGTCAACTCCACAAGTATCGCCGGAGTAATCATCGACACAGTGACAAGTGTAACCGCCCGCAGCATTTTCTTCACAGTGACCTCCGTTCTGACATGGTTCTCCAATGCAAGGATTCCCAACAACAGAATCAATGAACTCTTTCTGGAAACTGATGTCAGAGAAAACAGCAGGGGTACTTTCAAGTCGGCATCCTTCAGACCAAGAGAGAATACCAGCTAAATATGGCATGCCACCATGGAGACACATGAGAGGTCCGCCAGCATCACCTGTGCAGGCACCTCTATGGTCAAAATATCCTGCACACATGTGAATATCATTGTAGTAGCCTCGAATGTTGTTCTGCATGAAGTGATTTTTGCACAAAGTATCGCTGAAAAGTGGCATGTCGAGCTCATGAAGCATGTTGTTGTTTCCGTCAAGCATGGTTTCTCCCCATCCAGCCATGTAGCATCGAGATCCTTCACTGAACTTTATGTCCTCGTCTGGAAGGCACATTGGCTGGACATAGTTGTTAAAGTACATCTCTTGAGCAATGTGAAGAACGCAGATTCCATCAGCCAGATTAATCACGTTTGTATTGCAAGTAATACTTGAAATTGTGTGAACCGCACGAGTAGCTTCATCGGTGTTTATCTGGAATCCGCCAACAATGACATATAAGTCCTCAGGCTTGCTATTTGTGACGCAAGGCTTGGCTGTCAGTACAAAGTGTTTGTCGATGATTACACCTGAACAGTACTGGCCGTAATTGTCAGCAATTTGAACAATCCAAGGCCATGCGCCAGCAACAGATACTTCACCACCAACGATTCTATCTGCCATTTGAGGAATTCCTCGATCGATTCCCATTGACATGAGAGATCTTCCCAGTCCATGTGTCGAGTTTGCAGCTCGTTTGCCTCGGAAACCACCGCCGCCTCCAAGGGAAATCCCAAGCTGTCCAAGTCCAATGAATCTTGTTTCAGTAGATTCTTGGAACATGACCTCGCACTGCGGAACTTCTCGGTCACACAGTCTTCCAGCCCATCCAAGCTCACATTCGCATCTGTAGGAGTTAAGTTCGGTGATGCAAGTGGCATCATTTTTGCATGGATCATCCTTGCAACCGATTTCGAGAGCAACTTCGTCAATTTCACAGTGTCTTCCACTAAAATTCGTTTTGCACTCACATCGGTAGTCCGCTGCTCCAACAAGTGTGCAGACTCCATCGTTCTCACATGGCTCAGCAGCGCAAGCGTCGACGATAATGTTTGAAATGAAATCCAAATATGAGGTTATCCTTAAAATCGTTAGTTATGAATCAACGAGCCACATATTATTACCTGGTGTAAACACCCGGGTTTTTGGCATCGGCACATCCTACTCCAAATGAGACAACGCCCTGAAGATAGGGGTCGTTCGAACCATTTTCTTGCTGGTCATAGCAGACAAACGGCCCGCCAGAATCTCCTTGGCAGGCATCCATAGTTCCTTGCTCATAACCAGCGCATAGATGTTCTTTTTCGTAAATACGCACCATCTCATCATCATACCAGTTTTGGCAAGTTTCGTATGAGATAATTGGGACAGCGACTTCATTCAAGTTGAACTGATTTAAACCCGGAGTGCCCATAGTGTCTCCCCATCCAGCAACTTTGCAGAACTCTCCAATATCAGGACCGCCAACTTGCTCAGGGAGACAAATCGGTTTGACTCTATCTGTCCACTGGATTGGTTTGTCCGTCTTGAGAAGACAAATGTCATTCACAATGGTATTCGTTGCCATTTGGTATTTCTCGTGACAAATAATTTCTTCGATGCCAAAAGCTTGCTCGTATTCTTCGCTGCCGTATCGTTTTTGGACACCAGCATAGAATGAATACCTAGCTGGGTTTGGTTCTGACCAGCTAGTGACATAGCAATGCCCAGCAGAGATCAGCCATCGCTCAGAAATAATAGTCGCGCCACAGAACTGACCCATTTTACCTTTATTGCGATCTGCTGCCATCACGATCCATGGCCACTCTCTTTGATCTGCTGTAATTCCCCCAACGATACGGGAATTGATTCTACGTGCTGTAAGGCTATCGTTTCCATTGTCGAAATTAATTCCCTTTGCACACTGTGGATGGGAAAGAGAACTGCATTCTCTTCCAGACATACAGGTTTCACTTTGTTCTCCAACGCCTTCGCAAGCGCCACGTCCTTCACACGTTCTCCTGCGGAATTTGAGTCCGACCCCGCATTCTCTGGAGCACTTAGACCACTCTGTCCACTGTGTCCATTCAGCAACAGCTTGACCTTCTTTCATAACGGTTTGAATCCACTCGTTGTAAAAAGCCGCCTTGGTGAAATAGTTTCGATTGACCGAAACATCCTTGCATTCTTCTCGCTGAGTGGATATACCAGCAAGGAGCCATTTTCCTCCCACAAAGCAGGTCAAAGGCGATGAAACGTCTCCAGTACAGACACCGATGCCTCCAGTTCCCGAGCAAAGAGTGTCTTCAGTCGAGCAAGGCCTGTGGAATGAAATTGGGTACTGTTGAAGTCGTGTTGGATAGAACAACGCTTCGTTCTTGGCAGATCCCCATCCAGTTGCCACGCAGAGAATATCTGGAGGAATTTCTCCTTCAATCACACAAGCTGGGTTCGTCCAAGAATCAAGCTTCGCTGACCATGAAAGCCTGACGAGAGCAATATCATGTGCGCTTGTATCTGGATTGTAATCAGGATGAATGATTGTCTCTTGAACGCAGATTTCTTGATGATTATTTTCTTCGAGATTATGCAAGCCCATGACAGCGGAGAAACCTTTATCACCCATCATTGATGCACATTTGGCACTTGTAAGCACATAATCCGGGCTAATCAGCGAACCGCCACAAAAATGCCCACTTGGTCCTTGTAAAGAGACTTGATGAGGCCATGAGCCAGGGACAGCCTCTTCCACATGAACGCCTCCCATGATTCTGGAGAACTCCTTGTAATGTTCACTCGGGCTAACAATAGATCTTGTGTTTCCTTGAAGGCCAGCAGGTCCGACGGGAGTTGAAATCTCAGGGTGTACTTCTGGGAGACTGCATTGGTAGACTTGGCTCTTCGAAGCTCTCGAGCAGCCAATATTGATCGCTGACTCGATGAATTCAGCTCTTCCTTTAACCATCTTTGCCATTTTCAAGGATGAAATCGCCATCGCAGGGCAATCAACCGACTCGTCCAGGTAACCGTGGACTTCGGAGTCGTACATGCTTGTAGACAGAAGCCATTTTTTGAAACGACGATCGTAGTAGAAATACACGTTTCGTGACTGATGTCGATAGTATCGACCGCGGTCGTTGTACACGTAACTCCCAGTGACCATACTGTGATCTTCGGCATTTCCACAAAGGATTAATGTGGGGCAACACCCAATATTATTTGTTGATGCAGTGCCGCTTTCGATGTCATCTGTACTAGCAACCGGTCCGGCATCGAGTTCTTTCTCTTCGTCGCTTTCTAACTGATGGAAAGTGTTTTTCAAAGTCTGAGCTTCATCGCATGGAGTTATCTCACAAAACTCAACGGTTCCGTTAACATAGCACCATGGTCGGTCCGCGTCATTGGGATTTCGGCAAAAGTTATGGTGGATTGAATCGGTAGGCATATGATGATCCTCTTCAGAGAGCTGATCCCATCTATCACAAGTGTTGTAATTTTCTGTTTTGAAGTTAGTGCCGTCGTAGTCAGCTCCATTTCCATTTAGACAAGGGGTTCTACGAGCACAGCTTCGGTATTCCTATTTATGAGTAAGGAAACAGTATTGTTTATTTTATTAACCTGGTAGTGTCCGCCACAAGCATCGTTGGCAACTCTGTTGAAAGCTCTCCCTTCTTGCATATTGTGACATCTTCTGACCCGCTTGTAAACACCCTTCTCGCAAGCCGACCATTCTGTCCAGTCGGACCACTCGTCACTCTCTTGGGCTAACGCGCCGAATATTAGAGCTCCGAGGACCCTCATCGGCGTGAAAAAGTCCTGAAGTCTGACTTTCGTTTCAGCATTCAGCTTGGGGGTGAGCATCCCGACGCATCATAACGCAGAGTTGCGGTTGATTTATTTATCCTTAGAACCAACAATCTTGCTGTCATTGACTCTTTCTATTCCGCCGCGTTGTTAGACTTATCGCATGGACGGAAATACAATAACAAATCTAACAATTTCATAATTTAGGAAGTCCTGAAGGCTCGAGAAGTCCATGTTGAAAACCTCATGAGTGCAGCGCAAAAAGAACTGCTAAAGATCAGCCAAGACAAGGATGCCTACAAGAGCATGCTCGAGAAACTCATTGTTCAGTCAAGCTTCCAGCTCTTGGAAGATAAGGTCTACGTCATTTGCAGAGAGTGCGATAAATCTACTGTTGAGGTTCGTTTTACAGACCGCCAGACATCCACTATCTTATTTAGGGTCTATTAGACAACGTAGAAGCAGCATACAAAGGTGCTACTGGAAAGTCTCTCTCAATCTCAGTTCATCCTTCAAAATCCCTTCCTAAGGACTGTGCTGGGGGTATCAATCTCTGCAACATCAACGAGTCCATTACTGTAAGTAATTCAACAAATGTGCTACTCTCACGGTGCTTTTAGATTTCCAACACCCTCGAAGCGCGACTGGATATGTTGGCAAAAGCGGGCCTTCCTCAAATGCGCGAAACTCTCTTCGGATCAAACCCCAACAGAAAGTTCAGAGACTAAATTCTGAGAATTTTACTCTCGGCCGTACTTACTTTTCAATAAAATTTCTTCATTATTGACTTCTCTAGCATACAATATTCTCCACTCAATTGCATCATCAAATTATATACCCGCGTATTTCCTTGTCCATATAACTATCAGTTACAGTAAAAGAAAGTTCATTTGTCTATTAATTTTTCAACACTATTCATGTCATTACAGTATTATCGAAATGTGCAATAAAACAGAAGGAAAAAATTCAAAGACGTTTGATTAAAGATAGGATTGAAAAATGTCTTTCAACATCGATCAGCTCGGAAACCCAAATATGATGATGGCTGGAGCCGCCGCACTTGGTCAGGAGGCGTCTGCATATGATAATACATCTGATGTTGAAGGTTGAATAATTCTTGTTGAGTTGATAATAAATGTTCTGTAGCAAACTGGGCGGCCAGAGCTTTTCAGCAGGCCGAAGTTCATATGAAGCTATTACTCGCTGTTGGACCGGACAGAATGAAATTTAGTCCGTTAGATGACGAGCTCTACGCATCGTTCCGAAAAGAATTTCCCGATTTCGATGTTGTCAAGATTGACGAGGATGCCATGAAGGTTTGCGACTTGAAATTCAAACTCTATTGACGATAAATATTTTCAGAGTAAAGAAGGCAAAGAACAGTGGCGCAACTGGGTTAATCAGTACAAAGATACTCTCAAAGATTTCAACTTTGGTAGCCTTCTCAGAACGGACCCAACGCAGGATTACTCCGCGGAAAATACGGTACAGACTTCATTTCAGTTTTATTTTGAGTAATTAAGATTTTCTGTTTGCGAGCTCAATTTCTCGCCATTGAAATTGCACGAAATAAAGAAGGACACAATCAGAAAATCGTCGATGACTCGAAGAAGCAATCAGCTGGTTCTTCTGGTGGCTGCTGTGGATCATGTTAAAACATAAACGAAGCCGCGGATAATGAATGATATTTTTTCTGTAAAAAGCGTGTGATTCAGAAAGACTTCCGAAAGATTATGTATGCAGAAATATCCCTCTTCAATAATGATTCCGATTCAGAGAAATAAAGCATATTTCGTAATGTGTTCGAAATTAGAAAACAAAATTGACTCGTTGAATAACGATGCCGAGTGGCTTCCAAAAGCATTCCAGCAAGCTCAAGTTCACATGAAGCTTCTTCTCTCGCTCGGCCCGTGCAAGATCAAATTCAGCCCTCTTGATGAGAAGATATACGAGTCGTTTCGAAAGGCATTTCCTGATTTCGATATAAGTAACGTTGACGAAGATCTTCAAGATGAATTGATAAGTGGAGACAACAAGCTTCAGTGGATAAACTGGATGGACGAGTTAAAAGCTGATCTAAAGGATTTTGACAGAAAAAGTTTGCTTCGAAAGAGACCAGACGGAGATTACACATCCATGAATACGGTTAGAAGCTGAAACTAATCTACTAAGAGTTGCATCAAAATCGTTTTAGACATTCTGTCATCGAGCTCAGTTCTTGGCCATAGAAATCGCTCGGAATAAAGAAGGTCTCAATCAGAAAATCGCCGATGCTTACAAGCAAGCAACTTCTGGTGTACGGGCATCTGGTGGTTGCTGCAGCCGATGCTAAAGATCCCAAATTTGCTGTTAGAATTAAATTTTACCCTGCCTCAGTTCAACAAAGCCAGCAGTTGAATTTTTACTTGTATGGTACAATAAACTCACTCCTTTTGACACTTAGAATGGACGCGAGTCACGCGACAGTATTCCATTCTTTTGGAAAGAATCGAAAACTTACTCAAATAAAATTTGAAATCACGGAGCAGCAAGTAAAAATTGGCAAGCGAGATCTTCTGCGTCGAAATATTATTGGAGTGCATCATGAAATCTCAAAGAATCCTGATGATAAATTCAGCTTTCTCAAGTTTTTCTATTACCCATTGGATTTGAAACCGAAGCGTTGCATCACCGAAAAGCGAGAGGTTTTTACAGTTGTTGTCTATGATAAGAATAAAAGTAGGTGAGTAAATCAGGTGATCTTTCGAACTCTATCGTTTATTTTCTAGAGAAGAAAATGAAGAGCACGCAGAAGAGCTGCTAAAATCCCTGTCGCGCCCAAAAAAGAAACTGTTCATAATTGTTAACCCCTTTAGCGGGCGAAAGAAAGGCGGCAAAATCGCGGATAAGCTCTCTTCAATTCTCTTAGAAGCCGGTATTTCGAATAAGCTCGTGAAAACTACTCATGGGGGTCATGCGGAAGAAATTGCGAGGACAGAGAGCTTTAGCGAATACGATGCTCTTGTCACCGTCTCAGGCGATGGATTAGTTAATGAAGTCGTCAACGGATTACGGCAGCGGGAGAAAGACGATGCTCCCCCGGTTGCGCCAATTCCAGCAGGTTCTGGAAATGGACTCGTCGCTTGTCTCGGTATGATGCTCAAATCTCATCATGTCTTATCTTCAATCTAATAGTTTCAAAAGTCCCTGGCAAGCACTCATGCCTATCGAAATCAATTCATGCTCTTATTCTCTCTTCTGAATCTTTCTCAAAAACGATAGATCTGATGAAAGTCGATTACAACAACTCGTCTCGTTTCTCTTTCCTCGCCATTGCGACTGGCCTCGTCGCAGATATCGACATCAACTCAGAACGCTTACGTTTTCTCGGCGGCGAGCTGAGAAATCTCATTTACGGCGTCGCATACATTATCAGAAAAAGAAAGTATCCTATGGATCTCTCTATTGAAGAAGAGAGCCAGTCGAAAGATGCATTGATCTCAATGGTAGTAGCAGTTTGCTCGATGCTCGACGAACGCGTGACCTTCTTTCCCGAGATAGATGAAGCACCCGGCATGTACCTTCATCAAATGAAATCATCTGTCACCAGAGGCCAGCTAGTTAAACTTTGGGATCTCGCAGAAGATGGCGGAAAACACGTGGAAGCATTTCCAGAACTGGCAAATAGACCTATCAAATCAATAAAAGTATGCGTCCTGTTTCCCGACCGAATAATGCATATTTTTAGATAAAATGTGAGAAAAAACAACTTTTTACCATCGACGGAGAACCGTTTCACACAGACGAAGTGCGGATAACTGAATATAAAGACGCTTTAAAGATCTTTTATTAAACCTACATTCCTTCTTCAATTTCTTTGTATAATTTTCTTCATGATTCTTTCTGATAACCGATCCAAATAAAAACTGATACGAAAATTTTATGATCGTTCTTTATCAGAATGGGCGGTACGGAGGAAAAAGAATTTCCAACTGATAAAGCCACGGAAATTATCAAGGCAAGACTTTTTTTGTTCCTTCTTGGTATATGATTTGTTTAGGAGCAGATAACATCCGTGATCGGAGATCAGAATTACTCAAGATCGCATGCTGAGCAATGGTCAAAGTCAATTTCGGAGAATATTGCTGATGAGCTAAAAAAGCTCAACTTGGATGATATTAAATTCGTGATCAACATCACTCTCTTGGAGAAGACCGATAAATGCTGCTCGGTAGGCACGGATTTTGTAACGAAAAGTAATTTTTTTAGACCGCCTCTCAATGCATCTGGGATAGTGGGCGAGACCGTCAAATCAAAGTTAGATGGGAGAATAAAGGACTGCATGTATTCGCCGATATCTTCGCACTTTCATTCGTTTACTGAAAACTTCACTACTAGACTACTTACCAAGATCAGTTAGAGATCAATTCCAAAAACTTTTTTTCTGTTCAAGATCAATAAATCTTCACATCTCGTAGAAAAATCAAAACTAATTCTTTCAGATAAAATGACGAGGAGGTTTGAAATGACGGATGTTAGTTTGGAAATGAAGGATGCAAAAGATGAGAGGATAGAATCAGTTCGTCCAGAGAATCAAGAGAAATTCAAAATTGAAAAGAACGACCTTGAGATATCGGAAGAAGATAGACAAGAACTTGAAGAACTGGAAGAACTCTGGAAAATAGCCGGCGGACCGCGAAGATTGACGATGGAAGACTATCACGCGGGTGCTTTCGGTCTTTATGAAGATCTGGACACTGAGAAGGAAGAAGCTAATTCAGACATTGTTACAGATTTGACTGATGAAGAATATCTTTTTTGCATGGTAAGGTCTTGTTTGCATAATTTATGATTGATTTGTATTTTAGAAAATGAACGACTTCAAATACGAGTACTCAGAAGTTAATGGCAAGAAAGTGCTCGAAATGTGGACTTACGCTATTCCGAAATTTCGGAAGCAGGTCGAAGGGGACTTCGATCCAAACATTGCCAACAAGCGAGACACTTTAAACAAAGATTGCATACTGGTCTTCAAGGAGTATGTGAAGGAAAACGATCTTTTGAACAAAGACCCTGAATGTATTCTCCGACAATACAAGCTGATCTTCTGCAAAGAATACATCGAGTTCGTACGCAAGCCGGGTCGAATTCGGACAGCGAAAACGGGGGGAGTATATCAAGCGACGATGTTCTGTGTTGATCGGTTGGACTAGTTTCGCGCTTCTGATACTAATCATATTTAGAATTTTCCTTGGAGAAGGACAGTGTGCGGCAGATGCTGTTTCAAGCTGCATTCGAGTATCTTACAGACTTTGGCTGACGAAGCGGAGCAAGAACATCAAATCGATACGAAAGTTTTTCAAGAAGCCGCCAGTGGAAGACGGAAACTTGCATGTAAAACTTCTTGATAGCAAGGAGTTACTAGAAAGTGTGCGTGAAGAGCTAATGATGAGCAGATACTTGTTGATTGATTTGGAGGGAGATCAGCTTGGCCCTAACGGAAAAATTACGCTTATTCAAAGTAATAAATGCCGTTTTTTCTAGTTACTATTTTCAGTTAATAATTATACAAGCAAAAACTGCTACCTTATTGATATTCTGGCCATTGGCGACTACGCACTGAGAGAAAAAGATCCACAAGTCGGCTGGCTGAGAGACATCCTTCAATATCCAAGAGTGATCAAGTTTTTTTGGGGCGGAGTTTCTGATACTGCGAACTTGTATGCAAGCTATGAGATTAGCGTCGCTGGTTTTATTGACCTTCAAGGTAAGTTTTAGCGAGTTTTAGTTGTTCAAGTTCAATAAAAATCTTAAGTCGTGGAGCTGCAATATCGAGAACGATTGATCTCCTTGACGAATGGTCAACAAGACCCAACGAAGAAACACCCTCTGGGTCTCGAAGCAGCATATGAATGTAACAATATATTTTCATTATTTTTCATATATTTTCTTTAGTTTTCTCTGACAAAAGCTTGCTCCGTTTCAAAGCTGGTAAAGCGAAACACAAGACTGACTTTCACATCTGGAGTCGTCGGCCTATTTCAAGTCAACTTCTAAAGTACGCCGCTTTCGACGTTGCTGCCCTGCGTCCTATCCTCCATGTCTTCGTGAATACACTTCAGCTGTGGAAGTGGGGTGCTTGGATAGGAATTATTTCTAAGTCGGGGATGACGACGTATCCTCGACATAGGACTTGCTACTACTGCCTTGTGTAAGAGATGAGCCGCCTTATCTATTTCTCATAGTTATATTTAGAACCTTGTCGATTGATTGTTTCTCAAAAACTCAGCAGAAATCTTACGGGATCTGCAAAATATGCACAGAAGAAAGCCATTTGAATGAAATTGAAAACAAAGAGAAAACACCAAAAAATTACGAGTCTCTTCCAAAAAGACAGCCGAGTGAAAGTCGGACAGAAGTTGATCCAAGTTTAGGCGAAATGGAAATGCCCAACCTCACTTTCATCTCAGTACAAACAGACCCAAAAGCACACTTCTACCCAAAAGAAACTGTTCTTCAACGAATAGGATTCACTCCAAAAGATTACTGAACTGCTTGTAGATCTTCATTTTATACTGTTTCACGTTCCTGGCAATCAGTTCACTCGCCACTGTTCACTAGTTTAAACGTTAAACTGCCATGTTAACGAGTTGATTTTAATTTTCAGAAAATATCGAATGAAGGAGTCAATCTCAGTTTACTGCCGGGTGAAACCTACAAAAGACACTGCTCGACATGAGGCCTCACTCGTCGATAAACTAAAGCAGCTGGAAATTGTCGTCCCGAAACTAGATACTGATGGACATGTGAACAACAAAACAGAATTGCATAAATACAAATTCAACGAAATATTCGAACAATCGGCGTATCAAGATCAGATCTTTAGCAAAGTAGCAAAACCAGTCGTCGACAATGTGCTTAATGGATACAACGGTACTATCTTCGCTTACGGTCAAACTGGCTCAGGAAAAACTTTTACCGTCACTGGTGGAGCGGAGAAATACGCAGACAGAGGGTTGATTCCTAGGACACTGAGCTATCTCTTCGAGCGATTCATGGTTGATGACGAAAACGATTATAAAATGCAGATTTCCTACCTCGAGTTGTATAATGAAAACGGTTACGATTTGCTCTCCCCTGCTCACGATTTCAAGGGACTCGAAGATCTGCCAAAAGTCACGATTCTTGAAGACCCAAACAGCGGCATAAAAATACGAAATTTGCAAACATTTCCGGTTGCCACGGAAGAAGAGGCAATAAATCAGCTCTTTGTTGGAGACACAAACAGATCGATCGCAGAAACACCGATGAATATGGCCTCCACTCGGGGTCACTGCATTTTTACAATTTACATTGAATCAAGGAGATCTGAAAGTTCAGTCATCAAGCGATCAAAGCTCCATCTTGTCGATCTTGCTGGTTCTGAAAGAATCGGAAAATCTAGCGTGGAATGGAACTCGCAAGTTGCAAGAGAAGGGAAGTACATAAACCTTTCCCTACATTTCTTGGAGCAAGTTATTGTGGCTTTGAGCGAGAAGAAAAGAGATCATGTGCCCTACAGAAACTCTATGCTCACATCTGTCTTGCGAGACTCCCTCGGCGGCAATTCTATCACCTCTATGATTGCCACTGTCTCACTAGAGCCAGCGAACATACAAGAGTCTCTTGCGACTTGTAGATTTGCCCAACGAGTTGCAAAGATTAAAAATGAAGCTGTTTTGAATGAAGAGCTTGATCCAAGCCTGCAGATTCAACGGTTAAAACGAGAGGTCAATCAGCTGAAAGAGCAATTAAGACTTCAAGGTGAGTCATTCTTGATTACGGAAATTAACAATTTTTAGATGGAAGCCCGAACGCCGGAGAACTTCTGACAGAGTCCGAAAAGCACGACCTCGATCACCAAATACAGAACTTCCTCAAAGACCCTGATCCTGAAACAGTACTGAATCTTGACGGAGATATGCGAAAAATCAACTACTCAATCAAACGCCTCAAAAAATTCGCCAACTCTTCTGGTCGTCCCGAAGGAATCGTCCGCGAGAGTGGTGAAAGTGCCAATGTAAATTCTAAGCACAAGCAGTTTCAAATCACACCGGAAGAGCTTATCAGATTGAAAGAGATCCTTGAGCAAAGAGATACAGAAATCGCTGTTCTGACACAATTATTGAAAAAAGAAAGACGCAAGCCAAGGAAAAGGTTAAATAGCACTAAAGTGCAGTGATAAGAGCTCATCATATTTTTAATCTTGTATCAGGCAAACAACTCCATATGAGCCAGAAAAATACACAAATCCTCCTCTTGATCATGCCCATTCGAGCACTATCGCCGTTTCTGAAGATCTCTCCTCAAACACGCTGAAAATGACTTCAAACAATATGTCCGAGGGCCGCAAAATGGCCTTTGAACGTTGGCGAGCTGATGTCTATGTCGAAGATAAAAACTACAGGGCGCAGAAGAGCGAGCTCGGCGATTTGATTTTGCAAGCAAAGGAATTGGTTAAAGAAAATCACCAAAACTTTCTGTAGCGAATCGTGCACGTGATTAACCACTGAAAGGCAAAAGGAACTAAAATACATGAACATCGAGCAGTTGTAAATCGATTGAAAGGCGAACTTGCGCATGTCCAGGAACAAATTGCCGTTCGAGAAGCAACTGGGCATCTTGACAACGAGATGGTTCAAAAAGCTAATGATCTTAGACGAGAGATAGAGGTTAATCGGCGGAGCTATCAAGGTGAATTTTTGTCATTATAAGATTTTAATGGATTTTAGATGCTGTGCTTGAGCTGAAAAAGATCAAGCCCGAAGTCGAACATCTAAAACACTCGATCGAACGACAACGCATTGATATGCATAAGGAATTCGACAAATGGTTCCAAGATCAAGCGGAGCGAACTTCCCTTCGGTCCTCTTCAGCTGCCTCCTTTGCTGCCGAGCAACGCTCTCGTCCTGTTTCTGCCGCTTCTCAAGCTACAGGCGTATCTCTTACTGGTGACGCGCAAGCGGATTCTGACATTCAAGCATTCATTCAAGCTCGACAACGGATTTTAGCCCAGAGACAATCCTAGACATTTTAGATCACCGTTTTGCCTTTTTTCACAGACACTTCTCATTTTACTTTTCTACCAATAAAACATATTTTTACAAATGACAGTCTACTGTACTCTTTTGAAGAGTTTCTTTAATACAGTGACATTCTTGGTAGAGTTGATTTATTCAGGTGCAGTTTAAATCTTCAGTAGAAAACGGCAGGTTGATTGCATAGAAAACAAATTTTCGCAAGATTTCCCACGTTACGTAGAAAAAGCAGTATTTGGAGACCCTTGAAAACGTCCATCGTCGCGGCATGGCTTCGTTACTTAAATATACAGAAGTCAGAGAGTAATATATGAATGAGATAAATTTATATATACCCAACAGGGATGTTTTATTGCAACGATCGAAAACATGCACCTCGTCATTTCTAGATCAAATATTGTTGGCTAAAATCGAAGATGACAGCTCATTAGTTTTTAAAATGCGCCCAATGAAACGAACACACAGTCAAGCTACTGTAACGCAACAAGTATCCAACAACGATTCTCTCAAGGAGGCACAATGTATCGTTAGCAGGAGAACCAGGGCTGATGGCGGAACGCAGTATTTGGTCAAATTGGGGAGGACTACAACTCCAGCTGGTTTGATGAGGAGATGTGTAGCGAATATCTTTCGGACATGATCAAGGACTTTAATTCTAAGGATCGGAGCTGATAATTTCCAAAGAAGGAGGATGAGTAAATTATTTACAGCTCAAATAAGTACTCGAAAACGTCAATGAAAAGAAGTAAGAAGCTGACTATGCTGGCCACGAAGGAACTCAAAGCCCAAGGAGTGAATTTCTCAATCGGCCCAGGAGGCGATAAAAGTATGCACCACCAGTTCGTTGAAAATCTGGGGAAACACGGACTGCGAGTCTGGAAGGATGCGCACGCAGATGGGAACTGCTTCTTCCACTCGGTCGTATTTATTCTGGAGCAAATTGGAAAGAACAAGGAACGTTTTCGCGTTATGACAGCATCAGACACTAGGGCATCTTCGAAACGTCAAAAAGCGAAAATTTACTTACAAAAGTCTACGTCAAATTGCATGTAAAACACTGAAGACGAATCTTTCGGAGTATCAAGAATTCCTTGATGAAGAACCAAAGGAGTATCTCAAGGTAACAATTTTCGCCCTTTCTTTTACGAAAGCTTCAGTACATGGCTCAAGATGGCGAGTGGGCCGACCACGTAATCATCCAAGTTTGCGCTGAAGTTCTCCGTCGACCAATTCTCATCGTCAACTCAGACCCTTGGAATGAGCTTCTTTTCGTCAAACCAAGAACGACCGACAAAGTTCACGGCCGTGCTCTCATCCTTGGCCATCTTAACAACGAGCATTATGTCGCCCTCACCATTAAAACGCCCGAATGTCAGTGAAAGCTGTTAATAAACTTTGACCCTTTTTAGTTATCGACGTGTTCTTTCTTTCGTAATTTTGTGAGTCTAGACTCCGGAAAGACTATCAGGAAATGTAGGGCCACTTTGTCAGAAGTTTGTTTTCTGCATAAATTCTTGCATGCTGAGTAAATCGACTGAAGCTTGAGTTGAAGTGATAGTAGGTCGGTGTCCAACTGTATCAATAAAAAAAGAAAATTCCTACTCGTGTCAGTTCCCTATCAAATATTTGCGCATCGTGTTCACTCGTCGTATGTTAAACTATTTGCAATCCAAATTCTGATTCTCCCATTTAGCATTTTCTCAATTTTTTGATAGAATCAAAGAAGATAATTTAACATCGAGTATGAGTACGAGTAAATCAGATAATGAGGAACTGAGAAGAGCAGCAGCTAATGGACTCGTTGAGACAGTTGAGAAGCTTTTAGCGCTGAAAGCAGGTTTATTTCAACACCTTAGATTTTTTTGACATTTGCCTATTTATCTTGTCAACAGAACTAGAAGATAAGAATAATGAATTGTTTAGTCACTAACTTGGATGACGGAGGTGTTCATGGACAAACAGCCCTGCATTGGGCGGCACAGGCTCGGATATTTTTGAATTTTCCTGTTTGCCAAGTTCTTTTGTTGTCAATTCTGACAGCTTTCGGAATTTTAAATATCCTGGGTGAGTCCGGAAGTACGAAAATCTGTCAGATTCTATTGAAGGCAGGCGCCCAGCCAGATCTGGCGAATGAAAGGGGTTGGAGTCCACTCTTTCATGGAGTTTCGGGAAATCACGTGGATATTTCGGAGATTTTGATTGCAGCTGGGGCGAATTTGCACAGAAGATCAAATACTGGAGATACAGGTAACTATATATTATAGTCGACGAGCAAAAAATCAACCCCTAAAACCCCTTCAGGTAACTGCCCGAAACTTTGGGGCTATAAGTATTTTGGCCCATCTTAAAAATTTGTAATTGAAAATTTTTTGGTATGATCACGTGATCATGTGATACGGACCCTCGAAAAGCTAGAAAAGCTTGCCAACCTCGATCCCCTGACTGCAGGTGATCATAATGTAGCTCACATGAAAGAGCACAAAAAGTTCTTCCTATAGAATCCAAAACATTTTTGGTGGCGAGATCACATGACTCGCTAGAGGGAAGTGAAGCGTCCAAAATGGCCCTATTTTCAATGTATTTTGGCCTGAGTAATCCGTGAAACCTGCATTTTTACCTCAATTTTAGCGAGTTTTGAGTCCTTACATAGCTTCTAGCGTGTCCTGTAAAGACGACACCAAGAATTTTTTTGACTAAACCACTAGAACAAACGAAGACCTTTCTTTTTAGCCTCACGAGAAGATGATGCCATAAGGGGATCAAGCTCGGCAAGCATTTCTAGCTTTTCGAGGGTCAGTAACCCGTGATCACGTGGTCAGACCAAAAAATTTTCAATAACAATTTTTTTAGTTTGGCCCAAATACATATTCCATAAAGTTTCAAGGCTTTACCAAAAAGGGTTCTTGGGGTTAAATTTTTGCTCGTCGGCCCATATAGTCTATATTTCGAGCTCAATAGTTGTTTAATTCGCAGGAAATCCTATTATTTGAACACTAGTTTGTGATTTATACGTGCAACAAATTTTATATGCTTTGTAAATCCGATTTGAACGTTGTTTTAGTGCTACACATTTGCGCTAAACGTGGCCTAGTGGAAATGCTCATGCGACTGGTACAAGCAGGCGCTGATCCAAAAATACGGAACAATTTGGGTCAATTGCCAGAGGTCAGTCTTATGTTCATTCTGGATTGAGTAGATTTACGTGTTTGCTGTCTGATCTTTCTTTGCGTTTACTTGTTCGGATGTCAAACTATTAAATTTATGATCTTGCGTCAGAGACAGAACTTCTGTCAAACCAGAATATATAAAGAATGTTTTAAGTAAGGAATTTTTCTAGGAAATAGTTCCAACTACAGTTGAACGGGAAATTGCGAGCTGGAACAATGAGCTTGGCAATGCAAGGTTTACAGATAGCATCGGTAATCAACATCTTTAGTGCTTAAATAATTGTAATCTTAGAGTACCCTTCTCCTCGATTTGCTCAAAGACACTGGTCAGTGGACTCAAACGGATTCAATTCAAATGGGTCCTCCATTGAATCACAGAATTCAGGAAGAAATTCGCCTTGCAGGTTAGATTCGTCTTGTGTCCTGACTTAAAAATTCTTAGTATCATCTCTCTTAATGAAAAGACAAGAATACCAGCTTATCGATTCGCAGACGATTTCCGAGATACCTACTGTCCATCTTCAACTGGAGAAGAGAGAGCCAAGGAAGGAACTATCGTTGTCGCCAATAAAGAAGATCTGACGCCGATTTCCCGGTACGTTTTCTAGCGATAGAATTTTTATCAAGTATTCAGAATTTACTTAAAACATCAAAATAAACCTTCGCCACGACTTGAAAGGCTTTTGAATCAGTGGAGAAAGCATGAAAACTTGAAGGTAAAACGAAGAAAATTAATTTGCCTGATTGAAAATTGTAGATGCGACTTAGAGATTTGATCAACGAAGAGATTGAAAGCGAGCTGCAAAAGATTCACGTTGAACATTTTTGAATGTGCTCATTTTTAAATTTTACTGTATAAAGTCCCTGTCATTGAAATATAACTCCAGCCTATCAAAATTTGTGAAATCAAAGAAGACTTTTTCTTGTATTGACGACAGCGAAGTGTAGATTCACTTGTAAAGCAAATACTCTGACAATAGTTATTGTCGAAAAAAAGTTCCAAAAGCGCATTGTTCACCCACTGATTTCGTTCAAATTGAGATAAGCCATGCGACTTTGGAGTCTTTTACTTTTTTCAAGTTTTCAGCAGGGCAGTGAAGTTCAAGGCCAGGCGGTGCTGAACATATTTGATGATACGGTTGAAGACTTAGGTACTGTTTTTGTTTCATAATGAGTATAATACGGTATCGATAGCGGCGTGGATCGAAGTTTTGACTCTTACAAAATATTTCTATGGAGATACAGTTTCAGCTGGTAATCAGGAAAGGAAAATTTGTCTTTGGAAGTAGTGTCTCTTTATGATATTCAAAGACATATTTATCTCCTTGATTAGCTAATCTACGAGAGCAGAATCCTCTATGATCGCGCGATGGTGAGATTTCGAACAGTCCCAGGCTCAAATATTCCAGGAAAAGTTCTGAAGATTTAACGAGAGGCAAAATCAATGATTTTGAGAGAACTTTTATAAGTGGTCTGGTGGAGAGGAATATCTTCTGAAGATATTATTGATACAAAAGAGGATTTGCAAAAGTATTTCTACGCTATTTATAGATTCATCGCGAGGTTTGTTGATTACATAGAAGACATCGCCATCGCAAGCTGCAAGATCGAAATTATCAGGGCTGCAGCTATTGTTATTGATCCGCTTTTTGGTAGAGAGTACCTTGTTTTCCGAGTTCTCAAATTTATTTAGATGCCTTGGAGGGTGATTTATTGCCGAGCTCTAACTGGGATCTCACAATTTTACCCTTGAACTCTACCATCGATCCATGTGCCTTTGCTGACAACGGGACCAAAATGAACATCATGAATCGAGGTAAACAGGTTGTTGCTTATCAATATATATTTTCAGCTGTCAAAATCATCAACGCTGTTGACTGGGTTGATGATCAATTTGATTTTATCGAGCTTTTCTGGAAGGTGTACGGTCAGTTCTTTTCAATTTAACTGTTAAAATAAGTTTACTGTTTCTTTTTTTCTGAATACATGTTTATTGAATAAAAAAGTCTCGCAGATTTATTTTCAGTTTCTTATTTTTGGAAAATGTAGCACCAAATGTTTAGGGACCATGTGACATGGTCCATGTCCTATAAATTTAAGTATGCCTTGAATAAATTAATTAAGTTAGGTAGATCAAGACTTTATCTAAGAGACTAGTCGCAATTTGAAGCATTCGAATAAGCGGCATCTGATGTAACACTGCGCACTCTAGCACCATCAATTAGCAAAGGATTCCCACGAGACCTATTCTGCTGCATTCTGATTTTGTTTGAAACTCAAAGCTAGCTTCTGTCCTTTTCAAGAGCATCAATGAGATAAAATGATGTCAAAAGAGATCAATTCAAACTTTTCAAAGACAATTTACTGCTGATCTCTTCTTCGAGTAGCTAAGCTACCGTAGCTATTTCTAACAATACAGTGCTTATGAGCTCCCTGGGGAGACACCGCCTCTCTATTCTCGAGCGCGACCTTCCATTTGAAAGCGCACAGACGCTGTCGAGCGATCTCCCTTTTCAGAGTTTTATTTTTCAGAGTATCTTCTTGCATTATGGCAGACTATCCACCAACTGCGCTTTCTGAGGGCGTCAAGAAACTCCCCGAGGTAAGAATAGCTGTTCATATCTTGCCAATATAAATGAAGAATATAATCAAATATAAATTTTAGTGGATTCAAGCTGGATGCGGCGACAAAGAATACTACTGCGAGGAGAAAGGTGCCACTTTTCTGGCTGAGAATCTGCCTGACAAACTCCCGGACCTGTCCGAACATAAGTAAGCCGGCCGCAGATCGATTGTTCCATTTCGTACCTTTTTAGCAACATCTTTGCCGAAGCAATGCGCGCGAATCCAGGCATGTACGACGAGCTCAAAAACAAGACGACCAAGTTGGGAGTCAACATTGGCCACTGCATCAAAACTGGCATCGATAACAAGGGCCACCCTATGATCAAGACTTGCGGCCTTGTCGCTGGGGATGAAGAGTCTTTCGAGCTTTTCAAGCCAATCTTCGACCCGGTAATTTCCGCTCGTCACAATGGATACGCGGCCGATGCTAAGCATCCCACCGACCTTGACGTTGACAAGATCTCGTGAGTAAATTTATTCGCCTTCTTTATCGAGTGAAGAGAGTGTCTCTTGAAAAGATAAGAGCTACCCAGGACAAGTTAGAATCCCAAGCTCATCAAATATTATTATTAGCTCTCTCTCTTGAAAAATGAGCTTTCTTTCAAAAATGATAAGCGCTTAGAATCGTATTCTTATTGATATTTAACCATCAATAACTATTTTTAATAGTGATACAAAGATCGATCCGACTGGCAAATACGTTCTTACTTCACGCTGCCGAACAGGTTAGCAAATATACAAAAAATTCAATTTTCCAGTGGGCGTGGAAGTCTCAACGACAATAATTTTCAGGACGATCTCTTCGAGGATTCCGACTCCCTCCTTGCTGCTCATTTGATGAACGACGGGAGATCGAACGATTGGTCGTCAAGGGTCTCAAGAAGCTCGAAGGTGATCTTGCTGGCGACTACTTTCCCCTTGCTGGCTCTCGATCTTATGGCGAGAAGCCGAATGGAATGACCGCCGAAAAGGAGGAATACCTTCGTGAGCGAGGAAACCTCTTCCAGGAACCTGACTCAACTCTTTTGCTTAGCTCTGGTTGCGGCCGACACTGGCCTGACGCTCGAGGTATTTCAAAATCATAAATCCAATTTCCCATTACTCAGGTATTTTCCACAACAACGATGAGAATGTCTTCGTCTGGATCAACGAAGAAGATCACACCCGACTCATCTCCATGGAAAAGGGCGATAACGTCAAGCAAATCATCTCGTAAGCTTCCCAGAAGATTATAAAACGCTAATTGTCTTTCAGTCGATTTGCAAAGATAACATCTTCTCTCAAAGATGTTCTCAAGGAAGAAGGCGTTGAATTTATGCACTCTGAGCATCTTGGCTGGATTTTGACTTGCCCCTCTAACTTGGGAACTGGACTCCGCGCTGGTTCAATGGTCAAGGTAAAAATCATGTTTTTGTAAAAAAAGAGCCGGTTTGATTAATAATTCAGGTTCCACTCTTCTCCGCCAGAAAGGATTTCAAGGATGTTTGCAAGAAGATGGGTCTCCAGGTTCGAGGAACTAAGGGTAAGAAAGGGCGCCAATGAATGTTTATGACAAGCTCTTCAGGAGTTGACTCTGCCTCTACTGGTGGCACATGGGATATCTCCAACGCCGACCGACTTGGAAAATCTGAAGTCCAGCTGGTAAACATTTTCATCGAGGGTGTTGCCCAGATCATTCGATGGGAACAGGCCCTAGAGAATGGCGAAGATATCGAGGAACAAGTTGCCGCTGCTTCCTTCCCAGAGAAGTACTAGGCATTCACGAGTGTCGACTTTAGAAGAATCGCGTAGAACAAATTTCGTCAAACATGTTTCCACCGCTCTTTAGTTCCTCATCATTCATTTTAATTTATTCTTACTTTCTACTTCTTCGTTTTCTAATTCTTCATTTTTTACTTCATCACGCAGTTTCACTTTCTTAAAATTTTAATTTCAGCCCTTCCCAGACCTATGACTTCACGAGAAAAGTGACTGTTTTCTAACAAAATAAATTCGTCAATAGAAATCCGATCATTCACGTACAGTTCGACAAACGTGAAAAAATGAAAGTTTATTTGTGCAAAAATATAGCCAGCAAAAATAGTTTCAGTGGTACCCTTAGGATTAAGCTTCGGATGTTTCTTTTGCTTGGTTGAGAACGTTGCGGAGAAAATTTGCTCTCTGCCCGGCAGCTTTGAATGCAGCCAAAGCAGAAACTTTGAGAAGAGATCGTCGGCAATGCTTACTAAATAATGTAAATTTAATTAGTTTCGTCATAATAAGGTACCGGGAAAGCGCAAGATCAAGGTCTCGTTTTGCCAGAGCTTCTGCAAATTCTGGTATCAAAGCAAACAACTCTTCAGCTGTGTGATTTTGATTCATGTTAGACGCCACAGAAGTGAACATTGAAGAATTCTAGATAGATATGTGAGTAAGATATTATAATCAATCGGTTGTTTTACCTGAACAGTTCCATAAGTCTCAATAAGAGTCTGAAGGCACTCCTGCAAAGTGGGGTGCAGAATCTCGCAAGTATACTCTGCTTCTCTTGTGAGTGCATTCATCTTCAATATCTGGAACTTGAGACGATGAGCAGGTGCGAAAAGAGGCACCACCGCGCGTGATTGCTCAATCACATCACATGCTTCTCTAAGGGCTTCGACAAAGCGCTCGTTATTGCCAACAAGATAGCTCTTCCGATCTAAAGTAACAAATTGCCTCAATTATATCCGTGTTAAAAATAGTTCTTTAAATAGAACAATGTTCTGCTTCACACGTTTTTGTCAACGATTTCAGACACTCTCTGTCAGTGTTTTGCAATAGCATAAACGACCCTAAGGTTCGACGATTAAAGTGTAAAATAAACATCGTAATAACTATTGTGTAACAACTAATCTGGAAGATGCACATTGTCAAAGTGACATGTTAACATCGTTAGGGGCCACGTTTTGAAATGTTACCTTTTGAGTAAAGCGAGGGCCAGATTCTCCTGTGCCTTGACTTATAAATTGCGTAGAAAATCCATCCCAAGATAAACAAGAACCACGACAAATTGACCATAATTAAAAGAGGTTTCAGATATTCAGGATCTTGGAAAGGCGACTCCAGGCCGGGAATATTCAACATCAAGCCAAAAACCGCGTTGCAAAATAAAAATATCAAACAGGCGTAGTTGAGCATATTGAGCAGCAAAGTACGAAATGGTTGGTAGTAAACATCATAAAAAAACTAGATTTGATTTTTTTACGTTCGTTTTTTTCACGAAATTTTACCTTTACGAAAATGATTGAAAATAAAACAGATGTGGAGATAAGCTTGCCAAAACTTCCCAATGACTCATTAGGTTCCTTTGAAAGCTTGAAAAATCCGGAGTATGCAATGATAAGCGATCCTTTGAAAACCGCATCTGTTATCAGAAAATACGCTCGTTTCCGTTTGAATTGGGAGTGGTAGTATAAATTATCCAGGAGAAGTTTTCGGTTGATTCCAAACTCAAATTCGAGTTCGCGCCTTGGTACGTGCTTTTCATTTTTGAACATGAACTGGTCAAGAAAAACGTTAATTAGACTGTTGTTGGGAAAACAAGCTTCAATTATTTTTGGTTCGTTTTGATGATTTAGGCTAATGGGATATTTTGATTTGCACGTTGCCTGAGAAGGGCGTTCTCGTGAGCCCGGACGTACGGAGTCACAATCCCAAGACTGATCTTTCTTGCGTAGAAAGTTGGAACGATGACGAAATGAAAGAGCAATGAAGCTGTTGAGATGATAAAGTAGAGAATGGATGCTCCGCTTTTCAAGCAAAAGAGCTCGTTGTCCACGTCCATTTTTGATCCCGAGTTCGGAAGACACCAGTAAACTGAAAAGTAATAGTTGTTCTCTTTGAAGATTGACTTTTACCTTTCGAAAAATTGACCCCAACAGGAATGGTCATGAAATACCAAAACCCGAGCAGAAAAACTTTCAATCTTGGCAGAATCGTTTGTTTCTTCGTTGCCGAGCTCTTGAAACAAAAGTAGACGACCATACTTATTACATAAGTACACCAGTAAAAGAGGGCGAAGAGCGAGTACCAGACTGCAAAGTGATCGCCCATAACATCTTTAGATGGCGTCGGTTGTCGTGAAAAGGCCTTGTACCCCGCGCTGTAGACCTTCGCAAGTTCCCAAAAGTCGAGATTGAAAATGAACACCCATCCCGTCGCGATGGAATAATCCTTGGGATAAGGCCACGTTAAAGAAAGCGACGCGAGGAGAGCGTAGACTTGTATGTATGTAACAATAAGCAGTGAGGAACACGAAACAAATTGTCGCTTGCCAATTTTACTTTGAGACCATTTCTCTTTCTTGCTTGATTGAAGCCCATCATTCTTAAACGAGTTTAATATATTTTATCGACTTGAACTGAAACATTTTCAATTTTATTTGACCAAAAAACAAATCAGCAATAAAGTAGATGAGCAAACAAAAACGTTAATTGAATTTGCTGGCATCCGTAAATTAATTAACCTAGTAAAAAGAACGAGTTTTATCCTAACCTTTAGCAAAAGTTCTTGATCATCAGAATCGCTGGAAGACATCTTCACATTTTTCTTTCCTCTTTACTCTTTTTGATCTTCAGTCAAACAAATTAACTTATGAAAATTGAGGAATCGAGGGCGAAGACAAAAGCGCGTTGCCACAACCACAGTCATTGAAATGCAAATAAAGATGAGAGCAATTCTATTTTTCTTTCGTTTTTCAAAGGCTTTAACCAAAATGCCCGAAAAATAATAAAATTGCAAAAAGTTCAGAAATGCCAAATAAGTTCACTGTTCTAAAGGAACTGTCTGGCAGCCAAATGTTTTAGTGATAAGGTACTTTAGATAATGCGGTAATGCACACGATTTAAAACGGTAATCGTCAAGGGCGAATTAGAAGATAACAAAGAACAACGCATAGGCTTTTTACAATAGACGTTTTTTTATCTTATTTGGAATAAGTTATTCCGGTATCATGTTTTGAAACGACTCATGAGTCCGCTCTTGCGCCACCTGAGCTTCCCGCACGATACTTTTTTACGCATCTGTTAGACGACAAAACCCAATTAGAGATAAAAATGCTGCTGAGATTGATAATTTTTTCTTGTGTTCTTGACATAATAAATAGTAACAGTACAACGTGCAGTACATGTATGAGAATGACGAGAAGTGAGAGAATTTGCCAGGCGAAGGGATATTGTCAACGAAGATCTTTCATAGGCACGAACTATGGAAGCCATCAGACTTATACAAATCTAATGCCGGACATAAAAAAATCCGGCGGGCGATCTACACGACACACTCAGCTTTCTCAAAATAATCCAGTAAGAGACGCCTGTAAAAAGTAAGTAAGTTGTTTATTGGATCCGTGTTTCAAAGAATTTTAGATGCTTCATTCTCAAATCAAACAATTTCGACGGCTGCCCGAATTACTGTCTCTGCTTTTACTACGAAAAAAGAGTGCAGTCGCCCGATGCTAGTATCAACGATTGGAATCAGTTCAAAAAGTGCGTCGTTTTGATGCGTCTCCGAAAATGAATCCACTTTACTTTTGCTCTATTTTTTGTATATAAATCAGAATCGCCTTTGAAAAATTTATTCATATTTTGTCTATTAATCTGGGTACCACGGATCTTAATATTTTTTGTATAACAAAGAGATAAATCTGAGCTGTTGTCAAATTAAACTAAGCGGGACTACGACTTGTTTAAAAAAATCAATCAGATCTATTCGAAATAATTAAAATACCGAGTAAAAATAATAAAATGGTTCAGACAATTTATAAAACACATGATTGTTAGGAATATTTATTATAGCTAAGAGAGAGGCACTTATCAAGGTTTTGCGAATTGAATTGTGTCAGTTCCCCAGGTTGCTGAAGTTTCTGCTCGAAGCCATTCTCGGACACTTATGTAGTCTTGCTCGAAGCTTGATGCTCGACTGAGAATGTTGAGCAAGCAATTATCACGTGTTTCTCTGATATTGACTCCAGAATCATCGGTCCAGTCAAGTAATTCGTCTGACCAGCTATTTTGAAGATCGTAGTCGGATTGAATGGTCATGTAAGAACACGAATTCGAAATCAGACTCTAAACGACAAGAATAGAGAATGGTTGCTCATAGAAAGACTTACGTTAAGCCGTCCAGGAGTTTGTAGGTAATCTTTTACTTCTTGTGTTGTCTTTTTAGTTGCAAAAGAATCAACAATGAAACGGTAAAGATACTTGTTTGCCGCTGCGTCCACAGTATAAACTGGCTGAAGTTCGACCGGTAGCATTTTGTAAAGCTTGTAATAGCCATTTCTTGTTCGAATGGACCTAAATGAAGATTAGAATTCGTCAGAACTATTCAAATATCTTACAGTAGAGCGTTCCAGTATCGATGAAGCTCACAATTGAGATTCTTTTGAGTACTGTAGAGTGGGTAGCTCAATTGAGTACTTGAGCATTTGAAGTCAGTATTAGTCTGAGATTGAAGCTCGTTGACAAAATGGTTTATAACAGGGGCATCAACAGGGTCGTTTATAAAAGCCGATTCTTCTTTGATGACTGCACCGATAAAAGTGTCCGGTCTTGTATCAGCAGATTGCTCCAAGAATGGAAGTGCTCCATTAACAAGCTTATTGGCCAGTCGTTCTGCTTGATCAAAGAAAGTTTCACTAGTTGGAGCGTAGTAGAGTTGCGTTTGCGTTACATATGGAGCCATTCGTGCCTGAGAAAATCACGTTATAAATGTAGAACGAATAAGCTACAATTATATAAATTTAGTTTACCTTCGACTCATCACGGGCATGGCCTTCATCTTCATCAGGGTAACATCGTTCTGCATTAACGTTGTAATCGTCTAATGGATCATGGATAGCATTGTTATTCGCCAGGTCAAACATGTAGCTTCTAAAAGCCTCTGCGAATTCTGCCTGGCCGGTAGTTGAGTCTTCGTCCATTGTTGCAGCAACTAGGCGAGAAGCAAAAGTATTCAAGTAGGTCATTTCTCGGTAAACGATCCAGTTTTGCTTTTCAGCTGGGAACTTGGCAAAAAGCTTTGTTGCCTGCATAACATCTGCATATTTGACGACTCCGTTGTATCGTGGCGAAACAGCCATTTGGTAAGCATCTTGGGCAATTTTTGCGGCTTGACGCTTGTTTACTTGGTCGTTTTTGGCATAGTCACTGAAATAAAATAAAGAACGTTAATTTTGGTTGTGTTTACGAGAGGATAGCATCAGAGAATTTGATTCGAAGCCATGTATTAGCATTGGGATCGATGATAGCGTTTTCAAAGAGGGTCAAAGTTGTAATGGTTTCTTTACACGCTGTTTTTATCCATTGAATTTTTCTATCACCACCTGCTGAATTCGTGTAAATGACCGGAACGTTCCACTGGTAGCCAAAGTCACTGTCTGGTTTAGAGAGGTCTCCTTCATTACTCATGAATCGAGAATGCTTGATTGTGTACTTGTTTCCTGTATTTTTCTCAATTTTCAAGAGAGGATAACCCATTTGTAAGAAATATGGCTTGAAAGCTTCTGTGATATTTTCTGGTTTGTTGATATCATTTTCGCCGTAAATTGCATTCGTTTTGAAATCTGGAACAACTTGATCCCAAGCAAGAAGCTGCTCTCTCCAAGTTGGGTTTGTATATTGATTATCTTTCAGATATTTTCTGAGACCTTTCTGCCATTTATCTTGGCCAATGACTTCTCTGATCATCATCATGACGCTACCAGCTTTGTTGTAAGCAATACTATCGAATTGAATGCTAATTTCATTAGGTGTTTCAACTTTAAGAAGACCGTTGTTGGCATTGTTGACCATTGGACGGCTTGTGTTTCTGCCATCATAAGTGAAACCGGTGTATCCCTGGGTCGTTAGGTATTCATCTTCCCATTCGTATTCAACATTAGCATTCGATTCAGCTTGTTGAAGACCGAGATATCCTCCAATCGATCCCCAAGCTTCATTGATGTAAATCTCATCCCACCATTTACAAGTAATGAGATTACCAAACCATTGGTGGATGAGCTCGTGGCCAACGATTCTTGTGACGGTTCTTCGTACAAGATTGTTGTCTCGCTGAGGGTTGTAATGAAGATAGTACTCGCGGTATGTTATGAGACCCCAGTTCTCCATGGCACCAGATCGGAACTGCGGGATTCCGGTTTGATCTGTTTTACAGATAAGCTCTCCAAGAGCATCATTCTGAGGATTTTCTTTGAAAGCGTGGCAATAGTCCCAGTCGAAATAATTTGAGAAATTATCGACTATACTCTTGGCTTCATTTAGTGCATATGTTGTATCATCCTTCCATTCTGGTCTTCCAAGGATACGAACACCGGCATTTATTCCTGGAGAAATACCTTTTGACTCTGTATTGAATGGGCTAACAAGAATGGCGATCAAGTAGGTCGGCATTGGCATGCTATTAAAGTAGTAGTTCCTCCGGCGATTATTAGGTAAAGCAACGCTGTTTTCAACATCCATGTTATAAATTGCAGTGTAATCTTGTCTTTTGCCTAGGTCAAACTCAATCGAAAATTTGAATTGCGCCTTGAGCTGGGGCTCATCAAAGCAGGGGAAACATTCTCTAGCATGAGTAGATTCAAACTGAGTAGCAAGAAGATAGAGTGTTTCGCCAGTGTTTTTGTCTTCGTAATTGCTGAGGTAAAGGCCTTCGGTAGCAGGAGTAAGCTGGACGTTATAGTTCATGATCAGTGAAATGGGTGTTTCAGCAGGAATTGTTGCATCCAAATAAAATGAGAAAAGGAATCGGTTAGAATTGTGGTCAGTTTTTCGGACGGGAACGACTTTTCCATTTGCTCTTACAACGTATCCAGTGATTTTCATGAGCTCCTCTTTGTCCACGTGAATGTGGATGGAATCGAGAGCTACGCTGCTCGTGAATTCAACCTGGCTTGTACCATCGTAGTAGAAGTTGCCTTCTTCTTGAGCGCCATCTGTCAAATTTCGAATATTCAAATCGACGTAGTATTGGGTAGGCTTGTAGTGAGATTCACCCATTGAATTCTTGGGAAGATACCAAGAGTTATATGAGGAAGGAGAGCCAACGAGGTCTTCGCCACAACTCAGAGTGTCCATTTTGCAGTAGAATCTTGTAAATGATTCGTAGTGAAGATCCATTAGCTCTTCGTTAGCTGTTATTGTATTTTGGCAAATTGTGAGCGAAGCTGACAGGCTGCTTCGGAACTCCGCGTTCCATGCTTTGTTCGACCATTCTCGGAGAAGTTGCCTGTGCTCCATCGTCGAAAAGTAGTTGCAAGAAGTCTCGACAAAGCTAGTAAATTGACCTGAAACCCAATTTTTCTCAATGTCCATTGCAGACTGGCTCTGAATATGGCGAGTAACAGATACTGCCATGTCATCTCGCGCAGCAACATTGATGTAGTAATATCCAACGAGATCTTTGGGCAGTTTTGACGCGATATCAGCAACAGTTGTGATATCCTTTGAGAAACTCAACGCGATAAAGTAAACATTTTCTCGGCAGTCGCCAGTGTAGAGGCCGACGGATACAGAGCTAGCGCTGTCAGTACTTCTGCACAATCTGATGTAATTGATGTCCATTCCATTGTCAACAGCTTCGTTGATTTTATTAAGGGCAAATTGAATCGTATCCTGATTGCCTGCTTGGACGGCAGCATAGAAGGAATCAGCTCTTGAGTCAGGGGACAACTCCATAAAGTCATTAGAACCAGAAACCACGGGTCTTATATAATCAATAGCATCAACGGCGAAAGCAGCGGAATCGAATCGACGTGCAAGAGGAAGTAGGAACTGGTTGAGTCTTGACCAGTCTCCATACCATTTGTCTTCAGCAGGATCGTTAAGTTGAACATCTGGATAGAGACCATCTGTCTTCCAGAAACTGACGAGGCTCTGAATATGACCTGTGAAAGTCTTGTAAAGATCTTCTTCGACTGTTCCCGCGTCGACATTTGAAAGGTAAGCGATGAATACATTCCAGACTTTGCTGTTCATTAATTGAGAGAGCTCAGCCCATTGTCCCCATCTTATCTTCTTATCCGAAACTTCTTCAGTAGGATCGATCAATGCAAGCAAAGACAGTACTTTTTCAAGATCCACATCATACTCATCTCGAGTTTCTTCGGTCAGGAAAGTCATGTGATCACGGATCATTTTTGAAATTGATCTGGCTTGACGTTTTCCAGTCAAGTTGGTAACGCGGTCGATGTATTGTTGGTTGAAGTTGATTCTCATCCAGATATTTGACTCTGGGTCAATGACTGTATTTTCAGAGATATCGAACTCGTAAACTTGGTTCGTTTCACCAGCTTTGATCCAGTGGAAGGTGTCGACGCCATTCTCCCGAAATACGACCGGGACATTCCAGATGTATTTAAACGAACTTGAGGGGTGGAGTTTATTATGTTTGGTATTCAAATAACGACTCGACGACACGGAGATTTTCAAGTTTCCAAGTTCGTCGTAGAACTCGTTAATCTTAAGTGCCGGAAGGCCCATTTGTTTGAAGAACGGCTCGAAAGCCTCTGATGGAGTCATTCCTCCGAGTTTTTCTGCTTTCACTTGATCATTAACGACGCCATCCCAGAAAGTCAAAAGATTGTCACCAGTGGAGACATCGAATTTCATCATTTGTAGGTAGTTTCGAAGTCCTTCTGTCCAGAGATCATCACCAAGAACAGCTCGAATCATGAGCATGACGCTTCCAGATTTTGGATAGGCGATATTGTCGAATTGATTGGAGCACTCTTGGGGAGTCTCAACCTTGAGCTCGCCATTGTTGACATTATTCACCATCGGTCGGGAGAGAGCGGTTCCGTCAGTGTACATGCCTCTGTAACCTTCATCGATCAAGTACTCGTCTTCCCACTGGTAGTTGATCTTTTCGTGGCTCTTCGAATAAATTAATCCAAGATAGCCACCGATTGACCCAAAAGCCTCGTTGATGTAAATTTCATCCCACCAAGGGCATGTTACCAAATTACCGAACCACTGATGGATGAGCTCGTGACCGATGATAGATGTAGAGTAGTACTTTCTTCGGAAGGGATCACGAGCTTGATCAATATGCATGTAATATTCTCTGTAAGTAATAAGACCCCAGTTTTCCATTGCACCAGCACCGAATTGAGGAATACTGGCTTGATCCGACTTGCAGTTACCGTTAGCCCCAGCTGATCCTGGGAAAGAATCGCAATACTTGTAGCCGAATTTTTCGGAAAGACCATCAACGACTGCGAGAGTATCTTCCAAAGCCCATTTTGTCTCATTTGCCCACTCAGGTCGACCGAGAATTCGAACTTTGACTCCATCAGCGCTTACGCCCGAAGATTCAAGATTGAAGTCGGAAATGAGCATGGCAAGGAGATACGTCGGAAGCTTCATTGTTCGCTGATATTTGACGGTGTATCTGTCCCCGACTTGTGTTGGTGGTCCTGCTGGATCCATATTGAAGATTGCTGTATATTCTTTGTACATGTAGCTTATCTCAAAATCAAAGGTGGCTTTGAGATCTGGTTCATCGAAGCATGGGAATGTCATTCGAGCAGCAGTTGACTCGTACTGCGTTGCAAGGAGATATCGCTTCTGTCCAGCGGGGTTAGTGTAGTGCGACAAATAAAGACCTTTAGTTCCAGTAGGAATTTCATTCTCGTAGTGAACAATCGCGCTCACTTCAGAGCCGGCAGTAATTTTGTGATCCAAATAGACTGTCAGGTATTGGTACTCCGCGTTCAGATTAAATGTGACAGGGACGTCAACGCCGCCAACAGTTAAGATTACCCTAGACACTTTTGGCTTCACATAGGGCTATGTAAACAGAACTATGAGAAAAATCAAATGGCCTTATAATTATGAGTAAAGAGCCCTAGCTTATATTCCAAATGCAAACTGAAGAAACAAATGTCTTCATTTGCCGTAAAAAGGACTTCGGTTTCGCCAGAAAAATGAAACGCACCATCAATTTTATCTTCTTCGTACAGACCGGGAAGATGAAGCTTGACATTGTAATGGGAAGGCTGAGTGACAGCTTTGCCATCGGCAGTTCGAGGGAGTCGCCAGTTGTTGTAGTTCTTCTTCTCTTGCTGGCAGACATATGCGGATTCGTCAACGCATCCTCCGTTGTTAACCCATGGGAGGGAGATAGAGCCAGCAGAGCATTTACATGTGTCAAGAGTTGAACCAGCTAAAGAAAATAATTCGATTTACTTACAGAAGTTCCTATTACAAAATAAGTAATAACTTATTACTAATAACGAACCTGGGCATGCGAGTGATCCTTCGATTCCCTCGATTCTCTTCGTAAGAGAGTCAACTGTAGATCGTAGAGCTGCGATATCGTTTTCTGAAGAGTCAGCTCTTGTCTTGAGGTTATCTACTTCAACTTCGAGATCGTCGACAGTCCAGCCGAAGAGACTCCCCGAGTCCTTCGAGCAGGCGGTCGCCAAGCCCAAAAGGGCGAATATCGACCTCATCGAAAAAAGAGAGTCTTGGACTTATGAAGAAGTTTCTGGCAGTCAGATGCATTTTTATCGGCGCTTGTTGGTTCTTGTCATTTACAACGTTTGCCAAGGTGGCAGTGGCGCACTCCTGCCGCGTTTTGAAGAAAATAGAGTTGGGACTTTTTCATGCAAATATGTCGACTTCTGGAAAACGGTTATGTCAGGATCATAATATATGGCCACTTTTGTTTTGCTTCTGCGTCGCATTCTCATGCACACAGTCGGGGAGTCTTGTCTTTAATCTGACGCCAATAACTTGAAGTAAACAAATATTACTTATCATAGGGCCAGTTTTATTGCGAAATATTCTGTCAATCAAATTTTGTACTTGGGGATCCTTAAATTATACTAGTTGGCCTGTCTGATTGCGGGCTCTGAGAAAACCACATTGATAGAACGACTGAATTTGCTATCTACCCGCATAATAGAACATTTATACTGCTCTTAAACTTCTTTTGTAGCTGGTTAAGCACTTTCAATGGAGGAATCGTGAACGCCATAAAATATTTCAGAAGAAATTTCCTTTTCACCGGCTCCTTTATGAGGGTCAACAATATGCCTTGAAAGCAATTAAATGAATTTTGCTTTGTGACGTCTTTTTATATTTTATAAAATTTCAGCAAAAAATCTTCCGTACAGAAAAGATTAAAATATACAGTACTCTAATACTCGACACACCATACTCGTGCGTTTTCTTGGCCTCCAAGTTTCCCTAGTCTTATGCACTTTTCTGACTGCTCTTGGTAATTCTGAATATGAAATCAACAAAAATGAGATCAAGGAAGAGTCTTACCCATGCATTTGCCAGAATTCCTTCTTTTGTTTGCACTACCCATCCGCTTTCTTCCCTTCTTATGTAAAATGGATCAATGAAAGGTTCGGACATAACTGTCGATTTCTCGATGCGAGTGTATTGTCGATAATATGACGTTCCATCTTCATCCTCTTCGATTATATATCGCCCATGAAGTGTGTTATTGAAATCTTTGCCTACGTTACCGACTGTTTACGGAATTAATAGACAAAGCCTAAATCAAGCTTGATTTTTCATTCCTTTCATGAAATCTCAATATGTTTGCAGCAGAACTCCATTTCTTTCATCTCCTCTGTTCTAGCATCAAAACAAGTGTCGCAAGCACAGTGTTGATGGGTAAGTCCACAGAATCCATTTGGAGAACAACAAGGACCTGAGTTTCTATTATTCCAATCTTCTTTGTTTTTATAGCAAGAAGAAAAATTGAAACTTCCGCCACATCTTCCGTAGTTTTTGTCATCCTCGCCGAGGGGCTCCTTTATGTTCGCAGACTCATACCAGAACTGAATTAATGATTTTTCTGTAGGATTATATCTTTTACCATAACTGGATCGCAAACATGACCAACATTTTGAATTTTCTTCTCTTCTTCAGTCCCACACTTGTTTCTATGTTTCATGAACAGAGGCCAGATGCATTCGAGTTGATCCGGTTTGAATTTATGGATCGCTTTTGAATTTTCTATTACACAGATATCCATCTTTTCGGCGCCGAGAAACTTAAAAATATCAAACCTTTCTATTATTTAATTTTACTTTTATCATATGAGGGACATTAACGACGTGATTTCCGCTGTATCCACCCTCACGCAAGCAGATTCCAAGAAAAGCATCGTCAATCGGAATCATTGGCATTTTTCGAATGTTCTCTTTTATAACATCCACTGCTGCTTTGTTCATAAATAAGCTTGCTCCAGAAACGTATGGCGGATAGTAGTCTTCATTGAATACGAGGTCGACGTATTTGTCCCAGCCACTTCCGATATAATCTTCCCTTTTTATGGGTTTGATGACTTGCTTATAAATCATGATTGAAAAGGTGTAAATGAAATTTTGATTTGAAATTTGAAGAAACATATGAACCCCGTTTCCCAAGTCGTGGGCCTTGGCCTCTATTCCCCCAGAGAACAGGATCGACAACATGCTTGTGGCTGAGTAGGACCTCTGAGAATTTAAATGGATTGAGAAGAATATCATCATCCCCCTTGTAGCAGAAGAGAAGATTCGGCACTGCCTCGTAAGTCCAAGTAAAGAACATTGAATCCTTGTAAGTAAGATTTTGGAAGCTGTCGTGGAAATCTCCGACGATAATATCATCGTGTTCTTCAAGCTCTGATAGATAAGAGCCATTTGGTGGCAGCCCGAAGAGGAAGACAAATTTAGCCGTGAATCCATATTTTTTGTAATGAACTGGGTTTCCATAACTAAGAATAGAAAGTAGAGTCTTGGATGTTTTAATTACGTGTTTCTAACAGCATCTCGTCGCTCCCTCTTCTTCCATTCAGACTTGACACCGAAGATTAGATCGGTTGCTTCGTCAATATACTTTGGTTTGTAAAGAATTTCCGTTTCGATCTCCACCGATGTCTTATTCCAGTATGAACCAGTGTTAACGTAAAATTTTATATTTTCTTCTCTTTTATCTGCCTTCGTCATTTCAACGTTCTTCTCTATGTTTTTCTCGAGAAACGATTTCGCGTATTTGGGGGCTTTTTCCGGCTCATAATGAAGAACTGAATAGTAAGGGATGAGAAGGAGAAACAGAAAAATTATAAAATATTTGTTTGAATATTCCATTTAAATCCGAAATATTGCCGGTTTATTAGCGAAAGGGGCATTCAGAAAGCCTCTTATTACATGAGCACTATTCTAGCTACCCGGATATTTCCACCGCACATTGTTTTTTGGTTCACCAATGGATTCTTGTTGTCACTGAAATACTAACAAACTAGAATTATTTAACCATTCACATTTGTCCCATAAAAGTCCAATTTAAATGTCGTAAAATATCATTCCTAATCGTTAATTTATCGACCGCCTCAGAGAAAGTCAGATTGAAAAATAGAGAATTATGAATTTTTTACAAAAAACTATTGCATTCAGCCTCGGTTTATTTGATGCAGTTCTCCATGTAATGCTGATTTTTGGCTGGAGCGCACATACAGCAATGTACAAAAAAGAAGGCTACTTTAGGCAAAATTGCCAATCAGACGAGATAGAAAATTGTCCATCGCAAAATGCGAAGATCTCAGAAATCATGGTTTATGCTGCCTCTTTTTGTGGTATCATTATTTTCATCCTCAAAGGCTTTATTAGAGATTTAATTGGTCCTGGGTTTTCTGTTATTATCACAAAACTAGTTTTGGTGCTTTCATATTTGCTCATGTGGCAAGCAGTTCCCGGAAAGTCCGATAACCTTCTGTATGCTTGGGTTCTTCAGTATGGCGCCGGAATATCTTTGCAAATAGGAATATTTCCTAATGCGCGCTTATTCAATTGGTCTTTCTTTCTCATAACAATGACGACCTCCGCAGGTCACCTGGGCCAGTTCATGGGTCAACTCTGGGAAGTCATAAGCGACAGAACAAGTTTAACTTCAAGAGAAATTTCTCTCATTTGGGCTGGTCAAATATTTCTTTCTATTTTTACCGGCGCCGCATTTATGCCATGGTATACTGTTACGAATGAGGATCGAAATGGAACTACGCTGATTTCAGTCATACGAGCAAAGAAACAACTCGTCGAAAAATTGAAAAACTCGCCATTTACTAATTTCAAAACGACTCTGAGATGTCTTGCTTCGCCAGTGTTCTGTGATTGTTTTCTCAGTTTGTAACTTTGTTTCACACCTGACTCTCTCACTCATTAACGATTTCATTTACGATAGAAAGGAAGAAATTGAGTCTTCCGGCAGCACATATGAAGATTATCTGAGCCACTTCAACATCACCAAGACAGTTATCGCGACAGCAGCATCTCCTTTCCTTGGTTTTACGATGCAGTTTCTGAGGGACAAGTATAACCAAGAAAAATATGACTCGAGACTAGTCCAGCTGATATGGCCATTTTTATTATTCTTTGTTTCTCTTGGATTGATGATCGTTGGAGTTATCCAAGCGTCAGTCGCTAGTTTGTGGCTTGTTTTTATTTCGTTTTCAATCGCAATGAGAATCGGGTATTTTTACGAAGTCTTCAGCATCGAGATTTGCTTCCCTTATTCTACGATGGGAGTCGCGTATGCAATTATTGAAATTATAGGAGGACTCATCAATTTTGCTGAAAAACCGATCATCGATCGCAGAAGATCTCTTGGAGAACTTGACGGGTTCAACTTTACTATTGTTGCTGGATTAATTGTATCTTCACTGGTTAGTTCTGAATTAATCGAATCTAATTAACAATTTAAAGCCCTTCTTTCTCCAGTGGCCTTTGACATTCAAGCGCGATTCAAAATTCCACAAGGCTTTGGACCAAACTCGACAAAATATGCTTCTTGGAACAGAAGAAAACAGAATGTAACAACCTTCAAAGATGTCAAGAAAAATGAGCCTGCATCAAGAAGGACCCCATAAAGAACCAGAATTCAATTGACTTCAAATCCCGAACTTTAATAAATCAGTGAAAAAGATACGAAGCCAGCTTAGCTTTGCCAAATAATTTCTCTATCAGTAAATACACATAAAGCAGTGATAAATATTTGTTCTACCTTCGAACTGGGTACTCTGGCACGCGACTCACCCCCTAACCGCAGAGTCTAAATTATGTCGAAAAAAGGTACAGTCAGAGAGTTTAATACGACCGTAAAAATGCACCTGCATTTTAAGTTTCTGGGTTTGAAACATGATAACCATAAGTCGATAAGATTGAAAAAAAGGTTGGACTTTTATCTTAAATTCTAACTTTATAGAATAAAATAGTCGAGTGATCTTATAGATCTGCTAACACTTTATTTGAAATTCGGGCTAAGAGCCCTTCCTTTTTTCAAAAACCATATCTTCAGTAGATTAATCTGAAATTAATAATCTTCCTACTCGGTTGTTGCTGCATAACAATACTTAAGAAAATTTCTGTACGGCGAGTAGGTACTCGTCAACTAACCTTCAAATTCAGACGACCAGCTAAGCATCGATGATGCTAGTTCGGTCGAAAAGAAAAAGTCAAAGATCTCGTTTCCATCGAATCTTTACTACATCATTGGAAATGAGTTCTGCGAGCGCTTCTCTTTCTACGGGATGCACACTGTGCTCATCTTGTACTTGACGATCTTTCTGAAATTCGACAAGGACATTGCCACGATTATTTATCATACCTTCATTGCGCTTTGCTATTTTTTCCCGCTCATCGGTGGAATTATGGCGGATTCGTGGCTTGGAAAGTATAAAACGATTCTTTATCTTTCTGTTGTTTACACAGCTGGGATGATTTTGAATGCAATTTCTGCGATTCCAGAGTAAGTTTTAATTTCGCTATCATAAAAAATATGAACATTTCAAGTCTTGGCGGTTACGGGGAAACCCTTTCGGACAACGTCGCTCATGTGACAATGCATATCATCGGGCTAACACTGATTGCCATTGGAACCGGAGGAATCAAGCCATGCGTCAGTGCTTTTGGCGGTGATCAATTTGAAGAAGGGGAGGAAGAGTCTCTTTCAGCGTTTTTCTCATTTTTCTACTTCGCCATCAATGCTGGTTCCCTTGTTTCGACATTTGTTTCGCCCCTTTTGCGTGAAAAAGCTAGCTGCTTCGACAGAGAAGACTGCTATTTTGCAGCTTTCATGCTTCCAGGTTTGGGGAATTGACTTGCTTTTCTTACGTAGTTGTTCTAGCTGGACTCATGGTTGTTTCGATCATCCTCTTTATGATCGGTCGAAAACAGTACAAAATCCGTGAGCCTCAGGGAAACGTATTTTATGAGTTCTGCGCTATAAGTTGGAATGCAATTAGAGGGAGATGCAAAGGTAAGTCATTTCCTTTAGACATTCATGATGAAAATAAATCATTCTAGCTTCAAGGGATGAGAAAAAATCGTCAGAGCATTGGCTTGATTTTGCACGAGGAAATCCAAGATGGTCTGATCGAAAAGTCGAAGATGCTAAATTTGTCTATCCGATTGCTGTTGTGTTCTTGCCTCTTCCGTTTTTCTGGGCTCTGTTTGATATGCAGGGCTCAAGGTGTGTTTTCTTCTTCAAGCTTTCAATCAAATTATTTTAGATGGACGCTCACTGCTGCTCAATGTAACGGCTATATCTTCGGCGACGATACAGATGCTTACATGTTTCCTGATCATGCTCAGATGATCAACCCGATTCTCATCCTAATTCTCATTCCTATTTTTCAGGTTCAGTTTAAACAGTAGGTAACAATTCTAGCGTTTAGCTTATTTACCCTTGCATCGATCGAAGCTGTTGTCGAGTCACTGATCTTCGGAAAATGTCGCTGGGAATGGTCATTTCTTCCGTTGCTTTCCTGATCTCTGGCTTTGTTCAAATTGCCATCGAAAAAGAACTTACTGTCGTGCCGAAGTCTTATCAATACTCCACCGTTTTTTACAATCCACTCGAATCTGATCCGATTTTTGTGAAAGGAAGAGATTCTGAAGGACGCAAAACAACATGGGAAATTGAAGCTATGGGAAGAAGTTTAACAGAGGAAATAATTCTTGAAGCTGCCAGTGATGCGGATACGTTTTTGACAGAAACAGAATATTCGTTTGATAATAAGACCTGGATGAAATACGATGTCACGAACGAGAAAGGGCAAATAAATCATCATCGTCTTCCACTAAACAATGATCAATTTGACTGGATTGCTTCTAAAGACAAATCACAAGATGGAAAAGTCATTTTCGATTTCATCAATCCAACAAAATACGACGCTACATTTTCCTTCCTGAAAACGAACAAGGACGATTGGACACAAATCGCGTTGAGCGCTAAAAATACGACACAGAGCTACAAAACTCAAGAAACGCTTCAAGGAGAATACATCTTCAAAGTATCATCTCCAGGATGCAAAATAATTGAGCCAGCTGATAAATATAAGGAGTTCTTTGCGACTGGCTCTATCTGGAGTATCGTTCTTTTCCGCAATGAAAAAGACGAGTGCCAGTTGACATTTTTCAGAGACAACACGGAAAATAAAGTAAGCCTCCTTGCACTCATCCCTCAATTCGCCGTCATCACCATTGCTGAAGTTCTGATCAGTGTAACTGGCTTGGAATTTGCTTACACTCAAGCTCCTCCGTCAATGAAATCTGTGCTTCAGTCATTTTGGCTCTTGACCGTTTGCTTTGGCAATATTATTGATATCTTTATTGTGTCCATTGATTTTACTGATTTACAGGTACTCTAATCACACGATTTCTTTCTCAAAGATTAAGTCAACTGAATACTTCGTTTTTGCTGCCTTGGTATTTGCTGCAGCCATTATTTTCATCCTGATCTCGATATTCTACTACGAATATGTCCCCGAAGGTCAATTCTCTGAGAATGTCTACAAAGGCGATGATAACGATGCATTCGATGACTTCGAAAAAACGGCTCTAGAAGAAAACGATCCGGAGAAAAAACCAAGTGCTTTTGACTTGAATGATGAAACAACAGACTTGTAAAGTATTTTGTAGTTTTAACAATAAAAATGATTGACATTTTTAATGAAGCTTTATTCTTTTTGTGTTCGTTTTCATTTCTGTAAAATGAGGAGAGTTTTTACAAATAGTGATTGGTGATTTTTGAGAAGAAAAAGTGCGAAGTAAATGATTGTGTAATATTATGTTGCTTATCGGATGAGATGATGAGGAAGTGTAAGAGTGCAAAGTCGAAGACCAGCAAGGCCACGAGGAAGGTTTCCTACGCGCTCCCATGTGTCGTTCTCCGAGTCGTATGTCTACAAAATTTGACGAATTTGTATGATGAAAGGTTCTAACCTGGATGACTTTGATACATCGTCTGGCAGACCAGCAATAACCACCGACGATGAAAATTCTGTCGTTCACCAAGCAAGCTCCTGCTTCAGACTGGCCCATTGTCAGAGGAGCAACAATTGTCCACTGATCGAAGTCGGGCGAGTAAACTTCAGTTTCGATCACATCAATACGCTTGTTGATGCCAGAGTTTCCACCAATAACGAAGACGCGATCTAAAAAGGCTTAGCTTTATAAAACTCCAGGAATAATACCTTTGATAGTGACCATTTGATGCCATCCTCGAGGATGCTGCATAGGAGTTCTGCGCTCCCAAATATCGTGCTTTGGGTTGTAGCAGAGCATAGCGTCCGAGAAGTGACCATCTGTGAAACCTCCAGAGATGTACATCTTGATCATGTTAAATTATGTTTATTCTGAGTCAACAAACCTTATCTCTATGAACAGCTCCAGCATGATCACAAATAGCATGTTGCGTCGAAGCAACATACTTCCATCTATCTTCTTCGACGCAATAACATTCTACTGATGAAAGACGGCCAACTGAATTGACACCGCCAACTGCATAAAGTCGATTATACGCGGACACGGCTGAGACATGAAAACCAGCTCTTCTTTCGTTCATTGAAGCGATCTTCATCCAAGTATTGAAGCGGGGATCGTAGCGGGCAACAGTAGCGACAGCAGTTTTACCGCGCTCTTCGAAGTGATTTTGACCGCCGAGAATATAGAGGAAGTTGTTGAGGACTGCGACTGCATGAGAATGAACACCGGTTTCCATTGACGGGAGAAGAGTGTAGGCCGTAAGTTCCTTGTTGAAAACTGAAGAAGATTAATACATCGAATGAGCTAACGCGGTACCTTTGAGCTGATTTGAAACCTCATCAGTGTTATCCGCACCACCAACAACAACTAGCCTAGAATCATTCGATCGTACTCTGGTACGCGAAGATGGAACAATTGGCTTCATGGAGAATAAGCATGGGCTTTAAAACATGGAATTACCTGAGAGTGGGGCAGCATGTGATAGGAGGAAGCTTCAAGAAGCAAATCATTGCATTTTGTTCGCATGAAGTCAACGACGTTGACGTGAACCATCAAATCTCGTGGTGGCATAAGTGGAAAGCGAATGCGCTCCATGAGTTTTCTAATGTACTGCTGTCGCGCTGGGTCGTACATTATCCATTTCAGCGTTGCTGCGAAAACATCCATTTCTGACATTGCTTTCAAATCGTTAGATTCAAGGAGAGCGGCCATATTGTCGAAAGTAAGTTTTTGGAGCTGAGATGATTTCATGAAATCGGGGAATCGGTCGAGCATAAACGATGTCGCTTTGTCCTCAAGTTGAGGCATTCCGAAGACTTCGGCGATGTGGATGATGTCGACGCAAGTGTTGACATCAATCGCAGAGATTAAGAATTCCATGCAGAAATCCAATACAGCCTGAATCTGCATGTGCCGCGAAACAGCGAGGATATTCTGCACTGTGCTCATTGAGATCGGGATGCGTCCAGTGTATATAAACTCGACGATATGACGAAGACCTTCCGAGCTGATGCCTCGGAGCTCAATGCTCTCGGAGAACCAGGTGTACTTTGATCCTTCCGATCGACAAATGGTGCTGGATTGAGCGTCTTTAGTGAACATACTTCGGAAATAAGGAGAGCATGCGGCTAGCAGAGTTCGGTGTACTGGGAATTTCGAGTTTCCAGCGATAAGGGTAACATCACAAAGATGAGCGTCGTTTCGGAGCTCGTCAAATCCTCGCAGGAGGCCTTGGTGGTAAGTGTTGCTAAATAAAGTATGAGAAAAAGATTTTTACCAAATATTCTCTTCTGATTTGAATTGTCGATTTCTTGGTTGATTCTCTTTATCGATACCTTGTGAAAGTTGTCTCTGGGTAAGCAGAACTGGCCGTTACAGAGTGGCTAACTTCTGATTCTGTTTTAAAGCTCGAGTACGAGTTCTGAGACTCGAGTTTGCCCGACATTCTTTGCCGAATATACTGAGGATCCGAGCTATTTGTCTTTTTCTTTCCTATTCTTCTGGTGGCGCTGGGCCGCGGGGCACCGGAGCGAGCATCGCGCATTTTTACTATTGGAGCATGTAGTAGAACTCGCCAGCGCCATTGGGCACCACCGCCGTAGTAACAAACGTACCTCAACAAATACCTTCCCATCAGCCCGGAGGACCCTTTAGATACTGATAAGCGCGCTCACTTACACAAAATATACTTACACAAATATTACTCATCGTACTGGTTGGAATTTGACAATAAAAATTATATATTTTGGTCTATCTAAAACGACGAAAAAGTCTCAATATAATATATTTGAATAGTTACTAAATAATAATTAATAGAAATTATCAGATCAATAAAATAATACGAATCTATTGAATTCGAATGTTTTATTCGTCATTCTGAGTTTATCTTATAATTATTAATTTAGTAATAATTCTTATAATATTATAACCAGGAATCAAAAATAAAGGGTTTGTTTTCGAGATCGTTTTTTTTCACTAAAAACTTGGGATCGCGATTCAAAATCCCTGTTAGGGTATTCAAGAAGTCCTGAAAATCACTTTCTTTCGCGGGAGCAGCTTAGAATGATGTTTATCAGCGCTGTTTATGACCTTTTAGAACTGTGAGATCGTCTCTAAAGAGCGGAAATTACCGGCTATGATCCGAATCACAAAGCAATAATCTCACTTTGTCCTGCAAAATTTCATTCCATATTTTTGCAATGATTTTATGATGATGTGCATCAGTGACTTATTTCTTTCATCTGGGCGGAAGTAATTTTGATTATATTTTTAAAATGAGCGAGAAAAAAGGGAAGAAGCTTTTTATTCAAAAATGCAAGCAATGTCACTCATATGAGCCAGGAAAGAATAACCAGGGCCCATCGTTAGGAGATGTTCGAAATGAATCGGAAATAACCAAAGTTAGTATATTTTTCGAACTTATAAAAGCTGGTCTTTTCGGGCGACAATCAGGAACAGTACCCGACTTCAAGTATTCCGATGCTAATAAGGGAGCAAAGGTGACCTGGACAGAAGAGACTTTTGATGAGTATATCACTGATCCGAAGAAATACATTCCAGGTCAGATAAATGTGGCTCCTTCATAAAGCCCGATTCTTTATTCAGGAACGAAGATGAACTTTGCTGGGCTAAAGAAAAGAAGAGATAGAAAAATCTCATTGCTTTTTTGAAGACATGTATTCCTGAAGAGAAATAAACTTTTTATACATTTCGCTCTTCCCATCGACCAACAAGAATCTTAACATATCCGTTTGACTGAATTACATCTGATATTCTGGTCTCCTTCGAACTCTTCTGTAAATCGAAGGCGGGGACCATTTTCTGGCGCTTTTCGAATTTTTCGCATTCGTAATAAGGGCAGGGACATCCATTTAAACAGTATTTCTGTGTCGGGCACACTTCTCCAGCAGAATCAAAAGATCTAGTCAGCTGGAAGCAAATTGACTCACAGGGTGAAATCGGGTCTCTCCTTGTTGTCTCCAATACGAGGGTGTTAGAACAAAGATGGCGACAGATTTTTTTATCGTAAAACTGGTTCTTCTGGCAGCGGCGGAGATTAACCTTGTTTTCATCTTCGGAGAAAAAAATGACTTCTTTTTCTTCCGCTTGAATTTTAGAAATAGGTTCTGGAAGATTGAATTCTTCAGTAACAAAACATTGCTTCATCAAATGTCCGCAGTAGTCCATCGTTTCAATTCGAAGGCATTTTTTATAATTTCGATTGCACGTGAATGTCAAAAAGGTTGTCACGGCTCGTGATTCTTTCAAAGAGTACCAATTTGCTGAAAATATTTATAGAAAACAGTCGATAACAGGAAATAACTTACCAACAACCATGACTGTAATCCAAAAAATAGAACCGATTGAAAGATATGATCGCATTTGTTGGTCTGTCGAAAATCCATGTTTGGCCAAACTCACTTTGTGCGTGAACCTTTTCTTCCATGGTACACTCTTTTTTGAATAACTTTGTTGGACGTCAACCGGTAAACTTGTATCCTCTGATGACAGGTAGACTTTTCCGTTTTTCTGCTTTAGAACGCCAATACAGTTGCAATCCAAACACTTTAATTCGATAATGAACTTGTTTGTCAAGCGAAAAAATACAAAAGTGGAATTTATTGAAGTTACCTGAACTTGTGGCTGACTTCTAATTTTAGTAGCCTCTATTATTTCTTCGATATCCATAGCAAGGGGAAGAGTCTTTTCTGATAATAAAACGAAGAACATCGCGTTTATGAGGATACTTGTTTTGACGTTCATCTTTTTTGACATTTGAATTAAATTCCTTCCGAATCCCGTTCCTGTGCTTTCCCCCAGCAAGTATGAATGATGGTAAAAGATGAAATTGGTACGGCGCGCCTTCCTACAACTTGAAGTGTGATTTTTTTCTGGCGGGTCTACTTGTAGTAGGTTGGGGAAAAAATAAATTTTTCGAACCCTGAAATATCCATTATTAACGAATGATAAATTATCATCAAATTATGGTTGCTCGAAGATTCGAAGAGTCGCCAGGGCCGGTTGTTACATGCGTCGAAGTCAGATGCGTTTTCCAAAAATTAAATGTAAAACAAGCTGCTCACCTGGGGTTATCTTATCTGCTCAATAAAAGCGCGAGTCCATTCTGAGACCGTAGTCTTTCCTTGGCCATTATGGGGACGTTGTCTCCCTTTTTGGCTTTTCGGTTGCTCGCCTTATCGAGGTAAAAAGAGATCTATAGAGAAGAGAAAATTTAAAAATTTCCTAGGGCGGCTATAGACAATGCAGAATTCGTCTCTGAGAAGGCAAATAAATATGAGATCAAAATCCAAGGAAACTTCAAAGGAGGATCTTCCTCGTTCAACCTCGTTCCTGTTGACGCAGATTCCGAACGCTTCATCCCATGCCACTATGAAGGAGGCTTGATTCAACCGGCTGGTTTGATTCTTCCAACCAAGCGAGAGCGAGCATGGGCTGTTCAGAGAGGCATGACACACACTATTGATGCTCCTGAGCGATTCAAGACGGAAATCACTTGCTATGCTTATCTTCCGGAGGGCTCGTACTACGTTGCTCAGGGACGAGATATCTGTAGAGATGAAGAAAACTGTCTCCTCATCGCTGGAAGCTACGAAGACACTGATTACTCAAAAATCAGCCGAAATAGTGGCCCCGTCTTCAACTCAATCAATCCCGATCGAGTTTCCGTTCATGGTGGTGGCATCTTGAGCATCCAAGGAAGTGGTTTCGGCACGAATGCTGCGTACAGTTTTGAAGGCGACGAGGGTGGAACTGGGTACAAAGTCATCTTCATCCCTAGAAATGGACAAGAGGTTAAAGAAGGTATTCTCATTGAGCACAAACACCGAGACAACTTGATGGAAGTCGAGGTTCCCGAGTGGGAAGGACGAGAAGCCGCTGATACCGACGTTGAACTCTATTATTTGAGTAATGGCGCTTACGAGAAAGTCGGTACGAAGCTTTTGCGACGATACAACGACAGAACACCCATCGTAAACTGGATGTCTGTTAATGCCATGAATCCTTTCCGAAGCTCATACTGGACCAGTTGGCGATCCCTCTCGTCTGGTGTAAACGACGATGAGTGGGCAGGCAACCGATATTTCCAGGATTTTCTTCTTGGAGAGGGAGATATGTGCCAGAGCCCGATAGGTATCCAGGCTAGACGTGTTGATACTGGCGAGCTTGCTCAAAAGACAGATCAAGTTTTCCGGCACTACAACCCTTACGTTGGTTTCCAGTGCGTCGGCGAGGATCAGCACAGCTCAGAAGAATCTCAATTCAACTGCTTGGACTACGAAGTTCGGTATTTCTGCGACAAGGGTGTTCAGATCAATGGCCAACTTTACACTGGTCGATATGGTGAGGAAGTTGAATCAGGCAACCGACTTCGAGGTCCTGCTCTTCTCAACAACGAATATGGCTACTCATACGCCAACTGCGATTACGCATGGAGAGATCCCGATACTGATGAGCTCCACAAGTCCTATGCCACTGACTCTGTTGCTGTCTGTAATATTGGTACGAAAAACCCTAATGCTGCTATCGGTAACCAACGATTCCGAACGGTGACATATGACCAGGGCCGAGGAGGTGTCAGAACGGCTGGTTATTTCATGGGTCCAAGCCCAGACTATAAGCTTTTTGACTTTACGATACATGGAGGTATTAATTCCGTTACGCCTGCATCTGGTGGTGCTGGCGGTGGACAACTGATAACAGTCCAGGGAGACGGATTGAGCAACACGACAAAAGTTAATCTTGGTAATCAAGAATGCGCGTTCAACTCGTTCAACGACGAGACTGGCGAGTTTGTTTGCACCACACCATCTGTTGATAGCTGCGCAAGCATGGGTTCTTGGTTCCCAGGTGCTCGAGGATTGACCGCAGAATGGACCAATTCCGCTATGAATCCGGGCGACAATAGCTGGAGAAACTGGGAAACTTCCGTCACAGATATCAAACAGTACGTTATCGAAAGCTCGATGCAATCATACGTTGATGGCAAATCTATGTTCTCTGGAATGACTTTGTCGCAAAGCACACATCGATTCACTGGTTACTTCGTCCCGCCATTTTCGGGATGGTTCACATTCACTGGCTCCGCTGACGATAAAATCACTATCTACTTCGATGGAGTTGCCGAGGGATCATCATCTTGTGGTTCAGACCACAGCAATATGGAAGAACTTTTCAGAGGCAGCTGCTGTGCTGGTACTGACTACAACAATGGCAATTACAAGAAGTCGAAAAAAATTGAGCTCACTGCAGGAGAAAAATATCCGATTGAAATCATTTACTCTAACCACGGATCTGGTGGATATTTCTTCGCCGGTTTCGTCTATCATGGAACAAATGAGGCTTACAATCTTGAAGAAACTGCTGGCGACATTCCTTATCCTAAAGGCGATTTCGGTTCGTGCATGGACGAGCGACAAGATATCCGACTCATCTCACACGAACAACGAGAAAACATCGCTGTCAAAGTTGAGGGTGATTCAACTACGGAGTTCAATCTTCAGTGGTGCAATGACGCTGGAATCTGCAAAGTTTCTCGTAAAGCAATGAAGGGAGATAGCTCTGCAAGTGCCTATCGAAGCTCTGTTCAGGATCTTCTTGACTCTCATATTGAGACCAGCGGTTCTTTTGACCCAGTTTACGAAGTTGACGGAGATTCTTCAGCACACGGTCCTGCTTTTGAGGGCGGTTTTATGTACAACTGGAGAAACGGATGGCAAATCATGAACAACAAGGATTTGAATCTACAGCGTGACGCAACTGACATCTGCATGGCTTACAAAGCTTCAACTCAAGGTGTAATTCGACTCCACCTCTCTAACGTCAAATCTGAGAGATTATTCGATCCTGAAATTGCACTTTCTGAACAAGACCCAAGACGATCATTTACTTTTGACTACGATATGGCGCCTCCAAATGGCGTTGATTGGACATTTTTCTGCCAGGAAATATATACATCCGTCTACACAAAGCTCAACGATGAAGATTTGATGAACAAAATCAATCCTGACATTCGACTTCACGCTGTTGAGCTGCGAGGTGACTCGTGGTTCAAAGTTGATTTCTTCAAAGTTGGAAATGACAACAGTTTCTCCGTCACAAGTCGAGAAGAAGCTATCAATCCCAATATTTGGATCACTCAACTCCGTAAGGAATCTAAAACCGATGGTGTCTTCAATGTTGAAATGATTGAGTCTAACTGTGGTTATGAATTCAACGACTTCGAAATTGTCTCTCTTGCCGGTCTTGAAGTTACATCTTCGTCTACGTCTGTCGTCAACGTTGATGGACTCACCGTTCCCGCTACAGTCTACACTGTCAATGGAGTAACTACCGTGACAGTTTACGAGAATAAAAAAGTTAGTCCCGGTGTCACCGGATACTACGAGCTAGACTATGGACCACTTGGCAAGGCTGAATTTGATGTCACACTTGATGCGAATGGTTTCAAGAACATCTTCTCAAGCGCATTCGGTCAGACTTTCTCTTGGATCAAAAAGAGTGGAGATTGCAACACTGGTTTCAAATACGACTTCCGATTCAATGGTTGTGATGACATCCCTACTCCGGTTGCTGTTAACACAGGTCTCTCCCGACCTGAGCTCGTTCCTACTGTCACTGATCATCGAGATGGAGGTATTTTCTTCCAGTCTATTCCTGGAAACTACTTCCGACAGCGAACAAAGACTCCTAAGTTGAGCGCATTCAACACCGAACTGAGCATTCCTTACAGTTGTGAAGGAACTGGCTGCGACTTTGTATATGCTGATCCAGCTGATGCACCAACTATCTCTTCAATCAACCCAGCTACCTTCAATGGCGCTACCACTTTCATCCTTTCTGGTGAAAACCTCGACACCGCAAATTTGGAAATCTTCATCGGCCATGTTAAATGTACTCTCTCATCTGTTGTCACTTCGTCTGCGACTTGCGACATTTCTGACCTCTCTCTTCCTGGCGGAAATGTTCCCCTCTATGTAAGTAGCACTACTTTCGGAAAAGTCAGAACAGCAACATCCCTTGTTGTTAACCCAGAAGTCACCTCTGTTCTCCCTGTCGGAGGATCTGAGCTTGGCGGACAGCTCATCACTATTGACGGCGTTGGTCTTGGCGGTCTCGACTCTGTAGAAATGAACGGTGTTGCGTGCGAGGTTATCGATACGATCGGCACTTCTGTTATAATTCGATCTGTCGCTGGTGCTAACCCAGTAACCTTCACTATCAACAGTTGGGGTAGTGAGCCATACAACTTTGAAAGCACCGGCTATATGTATGCCGCTCCAGCAACCCTTTCTGATAATAGTGGAATCATTGGAATCCTTTCCGTTGCTGGAGGACAAACAATGTCTGTTTTTATCGGAGGAACAAATGATGTAGGAACTGATTTTGTCGCCATCATCTCTGGTAGCGAGGAAAACGACATCGAGATTATCGATACTGTTGCCGTGGGCGAATTCTACGACTTCATCACTCCTGTCAAGGCAGCTGGAATTTACAATATTCAACTTCGATCAGATATCTTTGGTTTGACAGAAGCTATTCCAGCAACTTACAGATTCGCTCTTGAATCTGCTTCTTCTGAATGGGACAATGATAATGCTTCACCTGCAGGCCTTGGAAACCTCAAGATTACAGTCGCTGCTGGTGGTCTAGCAGGTGCCACTGTTGATAACCTTGCTGTAAAGCTCGGGGTCAAAGACTGTATTGTTGAGTCTGTTGGCATTACTGAGTTCGAATGTGTCATGCCATCTTATCTAGATGCATATGATGTTACTCTTGAGCTCGATACTGCTTCTTGGAGCCCACAAAACATCGAAGTTCACCAGTATGCTAAAATCACTTGGCTCTGGGGATTCTCTCTGGCTGACGGAACTGTTCCTACTTTCCAAATGCGTGAAATTGACGCCGCAACAGGCTTTGATGTTCCTGGGGGTTTCTCAACTGAAGCCGTCCAGAGTAATCTCGGGCTCGTGAGCCTTTTTGCAAGTATGGCCCCAGGAACTTATTCGTACTCGTCTGGATTCGTCGATGGCTTTGCTGGAACTGCTGAATTCCGAGGAACTATCACAGTTCTTCCACCCAAAAAGCTCGTTCTTCCTGTCACCGTCACTCTTGCTGGACAAGAAGCAACCACTGGTTTGACTCAGCGTAAGAAAGATCGTAAGAAATTCAAGAAACTCCAGAACCAGCAAGATAAGGCAAATCAAGAACGAATGATCAGATGTGATCCGACTCCTTATGTTGATCCAATCAATGGTGCTGCTGATGTTACTCTCATTGACACATCAGAGGCAACCAAGCTCTCTTTCGTTCTATGTCCTGGTTGGGCTCCAACTTTGACGAGCATTGTCCAGACAGACACAACTATTTCTGTGGATTACAGTCCAGTTGTTGCGGGTGAGTGTGCTAACAACTACGAAGTTGTCCAGACAAGCCCATCGTGCGTAGATCAACTCAGCTACACTGTTGTCGGTACAAATGTAGATAATCTTGACATTGAAGTCGCTCATAGTCTTCCTCACCCAATTGGTTCCAGCGTTGAATTCAACGTTGTCCAAGCTGGTAGAGGTGCTGCTTTCAAAACAACGGCAACTAAGATCACACTTGAGCCCAGTATCAACACTGTGAATCTTGATGATATGAGTCAAAACCGATTTTTGTCCCCTAAGGGAGGATCGAAAATTGTCGTCAAAGGATCAGGATTCGTTTCCAGCAGAACAATCGCTGTCACTGCTAATATTTGTGAAGTCATCAGTGTTGACTGTAACGACGCCACTGACTGCACTATCGAGTGCGTTGCAAATCCATCGAGCAATGGCGATAGCCGAGAACTTGAGCTCACCTGGGAGCTCAGTGCCTGCACTGGCCAAGCTACGTCTTACACTCTTTCTTCTGGATATGAATTTGTCACCAATGACGAAGTCAGCATTTCCGTCGATGCTGCAAATGTTGATTTCGCAACCGAAACTGGCATGGCTTCTATCCAGTTTTCGTGCACTCTCAATTGCGCACTTCTCGAGATGGGATTTTCATCTGGGGATTTTGATATTGACTTGAAACAAGGAGAATCTACAATTGCCCTCTCAGACGTGGCTTTCAATAAAATTGACAACACATTCATCCTCACTTTTACCGCCGCAGATTACGCTCCGGGCGCTGTTCAGTTTTCTCTAGTTTCTTACTACCAACACGGAACTATCGTATCTGTTGATGATACTGCCGTCGCTGCTGCACTTGAACGATCTCTTCCAGTAGCATCTTTTGATGCGTGCTATCAGGATGTCAACTGTCTCACAAGCGGTTATTCGATATATGGTGGTTCAACTGCGACCGTTGTCTTCTCTGACGAAATTCCAGAAGACCTCCAGATCAGCATTATGGAAGGACAGAACGAACTTTGCCTTGACGGCTGTGGACTTGAATTTGCAGCTGGAACGTACCAGGCCACTTTTGTTGTCCCTGCTAGCGTCGTTGCAGCTGACTCGTCTGCTAAACTCGGCTTTGCTGTAAATGGCGGACAATTTGTTTATGCTTCTGCTTATGAAGTTGTCTACAGCGTGGCTGCCACCCCACAAATTGACACTCTTACTCCATCGAAAGCATCATATGCCGGTATGGACACAATCACGATTACTGGTTCTGGATTTGTTAATGCTGACGAGAGTGTTATCGGTAGCAGAAGTCAGCAAAAGACGTCCGAAAATGAAAAATCTCTCCTTGATTACATCCGAAAGAAGAAAAAGAAGAAGAAGCCACTTCCACAACTTGGATTCTACGAAGAGATGACAGCTGGAGCCCGATCTCTTGGTTGTGCTCATTTGACCGTTAAGATTGGCGAAGCTGACGCTGTTGTCAATGCTTGCTCAGCTACAGAAATCGTCGCCGACCTTCCATTTGCCGCCGCGGGTACTCAAGCTCTGACTGTTGTCGTAGATCAGGTTGGCCGAGCCCTTGATAACGTCAACCAAGCCTTCAACTTCGACTTTGAAGTTGTTGATATTCAGCCAACATCTGGATCACTTGGTGGTGGAACTAGACTGACCGTTATTGGTTCCGGCCTATCTAACAATATTGAAGTACTTGTTTGTGGAAAACCTTGCACAAACTTTGATCAGACAGCTCTCAAGGCTGGATTGATTATCTGCGATGTTCCAAAGCCAGACGAAGGTACAACTACTTGCTCTGTCACTGTTAACGAAATGGTCCGGGGACGCAAGGGACGAAATACCTTCAATTTCAATTTCTCTGCGGATCAGACTCCAACTGTCACTGCTATCTCTAAAACAAAGGGAGGTACAGCTGGTGGAACTGAGTTGAATATCTCTGGTACTGGTTTCTCTGGTTCTAATGATTTGGCGTCTATGGTAACCATTGTTAATCCATCCGATCCGAATAATGAGAATACTCCTGAATGTCTTATCACCGACTTGACTGATACTCAAATTATCTGTACTACTCAGGCATCTGCACTCGGTAGTTTTAAGGGTGTTGTCACTGTCTACATCGAGGGCAAGGGTAACGCACAAGCTGATGAATCTCTTGTTCAATTTTGGTACATTGACAGATATTCAAGTACATACACTTGGGGATGCACTGATGGATCTTGCAAGCCAGTCGCCGGAGATATCGTCGTTGTTAGTACTGGACAGACACTTCTTCTTGACGAATCTACTGAGCTTCTTGCTGTTCTTCTCATCGACGGTGGTACCCTCATTTGGGACCGACAGAGTGGAATCAAGCTTCAAGCTGAGTACATTATTGTCACTAAAGACGGTCATTTTGAAATTGGTACAGAAGAAGATCCATTCTGCCTTGATGACGATGGAAACCGAATGACAGCCGAAATGGTTCTCTTCGGCCACCATAGAAGCATTCGATTGCCAATCTACGGTGCTAAGGTTATGGCAGTTCGAAGCGGTACCGTCGATATGCATGGTTGTGACGTCATTACCTGGACTCAACTTGCTCAAACTGCGAACGCAGGCGACAACGTTATCAAGCTTGAGGCTGATATCAGACAAGGTGCCGCTGGAGGATGGCACGTTGGTGATCATATTGTTGTTGCTACAACTGGCCCTCGACTGACAATGACTCAATCGGAACACGTCGAGATCGCAGCTATCAGCGCTGATGGTACAGAAATTACGCTGAACCGAACGCTCAATTACATGCATCTTGGTGTCGAATCCTTCTGGGAAGGTGCCAATGGACAAGTCAAGCTCGAGCAGAAGGCTGAAGTTGGTCTTCTCACTCGAAATATTAAGTTCCGAGGGCACAACAACGAAGAATGGATTGAAGATCTCCCTGAGTGCGAAAACGAATTTGACTCAGCCCAGACTTCCATTCAGAACTGTTTCTTGAACAAGTTCAACGATGAAGTTGGCAACGATAAATTTGGTGCTCATTTGATGTTCCACAAGCCCACTTACGGCAAGGTTGAATATGTTGAGTTCTCTCACACTGGACAAGGTTTCCACCTTGGTAGATACTCGCTGCATTTCCACATGTCTCTTCATCAGCCTAACTCTTACTTCCGAGGTCTTGGTGTTCACCACACTTTCAACCGAGCTATGACTATTCACGGAACTCACGACGCGCTCTTTGAGTGGAACGTTGCTTATCGATGTGAGGGTCATAACTTCTTTATTGAAGACGGTTGGGAACAAAACAATACTATCCAGTACAATTTGGGTATCTTCGCGCGACCATCTTCTTCAATGCTGAATACTGATCAGTCCGCCACTACATTCTGGGTGACCAATACGAACAATCGAGTTCGCCATAATCATGCAGCTGGTGCTGCCTTCTTTGGATTCTGGATCAATCCACCAAGCAGCCATCATCACGCTGGTGAGCAATGGTTCCAGGACTCTGGATATGCCAAATGTCCAGACTCTCAGCCTGTTCTTGAATTCAGAAACAACACTGCCCATAGTGTTGGTGAGTACGGCTTTTGGATTTTCTTGGAATACCGACCAAGAGCTGAAGATTGTGGAGGAACCCGGGGTGGTGATCGACAGCACAACTTTGAGGACGTTGTCGGCTGGCATAACAAGCGAGGTTTTGAAATCGCTTCCGCTGGAAATGGCGTCCGAGTAAAGAACGGTGTTTTCTCTGACAACTCTATCTCCAATTTTGCTTTCATGGAGTCAAGAGATGAGCTCTTCGGAGATCTCTCGTACGGTATGCAGGACGGTATCTCTATCGGATACTCAGGCGCCCACGAATCTCTTAATGACTGTACTTCCATCGGTCTTGAGACCCCATGGATGGTTGGTTCTACCGACGTTGATGGAATACGATTCTTCAACTTTGATCACAGCAAGTGCAAGGGCATCGACGCTTGTTACGCGTCTGATTTCGAAGATTGCGGTTTCACTGCTGAGTTTAGACGAGTCCAATGGAACAACTCTCCAAATCGATTCCGAGCTAAATGGCGACATGTTACTATTCTCCACGATACTGACGGAACTCTATCCGCACCATTGAACTCTGAGGGTAGTGGTGGTGACGGCTGGCCACAGCGAATGCTTGGACAACCCGGTGCCAAGGTTGTTGCTTCTGCTAGCAACTATGATCCAGGATGTACCTCCGATGCTTCATTCTCACGAGGAGCAGACTCTTCTATTTGCCCACCGGCGACTGCTTTCCATCGACTTGGTTTAAATAATATGCCTGCAGTATTTTCCGGAACACAAATGAATATGACCTCTATCTATGGTGAAGAACGAGGAAATTTCCAGAAATGCCGATCTACTCATGGCGGTGGATGGATGGTTTTGTTGCCAACAGGAGTTGAAAACTACGTCCATTGGGTCGGATTAGGTCACGTGAACAATATTTCTTATTCTGCAAATATGTACGATGTCGGAGAGACGAAGGAAGTCTGGCTTTCTCATGAAGTCCAGAGAGTTGATTACGTAACTGGTCTTGGAGAAGAAATGGATCGCCTTCCTCAAGCCGGCGACGGAAATAAGAAATATTACTACGGTAATGATACACTTACTGTTCCGGGTGCCCACAAGGGCCGACTTGCAATGATGTTCGATCGAGCTGATTGCATTGCTGGTTCTGAAAATTCTGGTACCCCTGACAAATACTGCGATAACAGTTTCAACATGAAAATGTACAAGTGTTTCTGGGAGAATTGTATTCCTCCACCAACTGATCCACCACCAGTCAATCCAGATCAAACAACTTGCCGCTGGTCTGTTCCAGAATGTTGGGAAGATGGTATCCCAGAACCGGGATCTAATGTCACAATTACGGGATCCACTCACATGCTTATCGATATTCCAGACGTCGATGTCGATCTTATCTTTGTGGAAGGAGCACTAGAATTTGATCAGCTTGCTGGAAAAGATTTCACCATTACAGCTCGACAAATTTTGACGAACACTGGCGGTGGAAACTTCACTGATATGATTGGAAGATCGTTTGGTACTGTCGAGAACATGAAGTATTCCAAGGGTATCGAGGGCAGAAATACTTACTTTATGTCGCAGTCCGCTTTCAAAGTTGGAACAGCTGAGAACCCATGGCCATGCGATGGTTCAGTCCAGATTAGTCTTACCGGAGATAAATGGTCTACAGAAGTCGGGTCTCCAGAGGCTGCTATTGTTATTGGAGCTAAGGCTATCGCGGTTTTAGGTGGTCTGGAAATGCATGGTTGCCCCCGGAATTTCACTAAGACATACCTCAAGAACTTCATCTTACCTGGATACAGAGAGATTAGGACAACTGACGCAACAGGCTGGAACGTTGGCGATCGAATCTTCATCGCTCCAACCAGTTTCGATCCACGAGAGGCTGAAGAATTCTTCATTCAGGCTATCGATGGAAACCTTATCACTCTGGATCATCAAGTTGAGTTCAGACATGCTGGTGTTGACGAGACGCGTACACTTAAATATGGCTCCGATACTCACTTTGGCGCTGAAATTGGTCTTCTCTCCCACAATATTGTCATCGACGGTCATAGTGACTCCGAGGACATCTTTGGTGGTCGTGTTGTTGTAATGAGATCCGCCGAAGCAAACACAGGGGCTCTGCGATATGGTTGGGCACAAATTCAAAACGTTGAGTTCCGAGGAATGGGTCAGTTCGGTTACCAAGAAGAAGATGATCAGCGAGTTCCAGTTTTCCTCTGGGGTCTTCAAGATGCTTCTGTCGCCGATTCTATTTACAACATTCAGCCATCATATGTGAAAGACTCTTCTTTCCATCATTGCTACAATGGTGGTATCGCCACTCGATTTACAACCAACTACGAGATTAGTGGCAATGTCATGTATGATATGCTCGGTGGTAACCATATAATGAATCTTGACTCGCCCGTTGGTTCTACAATCACAAACAATCTTATTTCAAAGATTCAATTCCACGCTATCTATCCAGCTACAGCTGAATTTTACAAATATGAGGAAGACACAGAACCAGCCGGATTCTTTATCACAGCCACTCGCGATATCGTGTTTGATGGAAACACCGTTGCCGGAGGAGATGGAAACGGATTTGTGACACAGTTTGATGCCTGTGACGCGACTGAGCTTTGCAGTTATGAGAATTCTGGATCTGCAATGGGACATAATACCGCTCATACTACGCTTAGAGGTGTCCACTGGAACAATAATGGACCAGGTGACTGCGTAAAGATTGCTAACTTCACTTCATGGAGAAATATGCATCATTGTGTCTGGGTTCAGGCCAGTTCTGGTGTCGTTGTTGAAAACGTTCTCTGCGTTGATAACTGGTCTGCTCTTTGGAGTTGGAAAATTGGACCGAGCCCAGTCGGCCATGGAATGGATAATCAACCATCAACATTTAGAAACTTCATCATTGACCAGTTCTCTGATACATTAACATGCAATGATTACATCATTCGTGAAGCAACGCAAAATTACAAGGAAACTAAGAACTCCCGCACTCCTGGTACTCGAACACAGGGTACTTACGGTATCATGGTTCCACAGTTTGCTAGCAGCGGCATGAAATGGCCCGGAAAGCCACTTGGTGTTGCTGAAGCGTATGCTTCTCTTTATGGAGGTTCCTGTTTCATGGATATCCAGTTGATGAACTTTGGAGAAAAATGTGGCCGAGATTTCTACGGCATCGGAACGAGCAGCAGATGGTCCGAACATCAGCATATGATGGAGTTGCAGTTCGTTACTTTTGACGGCCCATCCACCCATCGATACCAGTTCTCAAGACCAAATCTTGGATGGATCAGCATTGCTGATTGTGTTGACATGGATTGTGATGGTCTCAAGCGATCCATGCTTGTTGATCTTACCGGTGACTTCCTCGGTATGCCATCTACCTACATCATGGCACAATCGGAGTATCACTACGAGAAGTGGGTTGAAGAGTCTCCTCACTACTACCAGGGCACTTCTGACTTAGAAGGAAACGAAGACTGGCCACAGTCTGACGAGCGACGTGGACTTGGTGACTTCAGAATTCCAAAAACAATGGTTACAACCCTCGATGGGCATAGAATTCCATTCCCAGAATACGCACCTCTCAAGGGCACAATCCGAAACGATCAATGCACATGGAATCCAGATGCTGACGGCTACGAATGTCCAATGGGTAACTTTGCTCAGCTTGGTTTCGAGTCTTTTGACCACGATTCTTCCACTCGACGAGTTGCTCCTATCGGTCTTCGCGATAACGAGCGAAAGCGAATTGATCTTTCTAATGGTGTTATGGACGTTTCTTGTTGCTTCGGTTATGCTTGTCTTCTCCGAGTCACAATGAATTTCTTCAACCTTGAATGTGGTCACACTTACCAATACCATACTTCTGGAACTCTTCCAAAGCATACTCGATTCCATATGTTCGGAACGAAGTCCGTGCCACAGGCTGAATGCAAGATTCGAATTGAGCTCTTTACTTTCCGACAGAATCGACAGATGATTTATCTCAATGGCGAGTACCAGAGAAGCAACCAGCAATACACCACACCAGATGGTGGTGAAGCATGGCACTTCCCAACCGATGACTTGAAGCCTGAGTTGACCGAACCTGCTGGCGCTAACTACTTCCAGCGAATGGAACAAGTCGTTTACTTCAACATGGAACCAGGAACATATGTTGACGTCAAGATTTCGGATACAATTCTTCTTGAACTCGACGTTGTTATGGAATTGACTATCGATGAGTTCTGGGATCACACAGAGCTTCCACGTCTTCTTGCTGTCATGCTTGGCATCCACGAAAGTAAGATCAAGATGATGAATGTTATCGCCGAAGACTCTGATCCACAACGACGACGACGATCCCCATACAACCGATACGAGAACCCAACATTCGATCGACGAAGACGACAGTCAGGAAACATGTTCACAGTTCTTCTCGAAGCTGGCTCAGGTGTTTGCAATCCTAACTGCCCAGGTGTTCGAGTTACGGACGAACGACTCGAGGCTATCGAAATCGGTAATACTCTCCTTGCAAAGCTCGCAACTGGTGAGCTTGATGCTCTTACAAACACTACAACTGAGTCTGTTGGTATTTCTATTCCCGAAAAGGATGCTGAAGCCCCATCTTGGTTCGATCCTGAGACTAACGGTTAGCCAAGAAAAATATTCAAACAATTAATACTGAATTTCAGAGTCGAATTACACCATTGCCACTGTTCTTGGTCTCGAGGGAAATGCTACCCTTCAGGAAGTTGAAGCCGCACAATTTAATCTTACTGGAGAGGTAATCAGAAATTAAATTTCAAGTTTTAATCGAAATTCTTCAGACTCTTGATGATTTGCCTACATTCGTTGATACTCAAGAAGTTATCGAAGAAGCACTGGCTGCTGGTGCTGAAGTTATCACTTACACTGCAAGTGATCTGCCCGATAATATCACCATCGCTTCTTTCCCAGAAGGTAAGCTAAAATGGTTCTGAAAAATATTTCTCATTCAAAAATTCAGAGATCGTCATTGGCGAGCCCGTTTACCCACCAATTGTTCTTCACGCCTACCGACAAGGTGTCCGCATGGAGCGACCAATTGGTCTACTTGCCGATCCATGGACAGTTAACGCGACCGCTGTTCTGAGAACGCGAACTCTCTCGCTCTCTGGTGATACCACGTGTGCCTTTGATGCCCTTGGCAACTGCACATTCTACAATTTGATCTTTGACCAAGTTGCTGAAAATGTTGGACTTAACTTCCAGGTCATTTCACCAGCTTCAGCGATAGGAGTAGTTGCCGACCCTCCTGTTAGCGATCCATTCGTTGTTATCGACCCTACTGGTCAGTCAACACCAGCTCCAGAGACAACAACGGAGCCAACGACGACCACGGAGACTTCAACTGTTTTCATGCCAAAGGATATCTCCTGCTCCCTCAAGAAGGGCAAGACACTTGGCTGCTCAAAGCGAAACATGCATACCGGCGAGAACTTGGTTAAACTGATCATGGCTATGACGCCGAAGCAGCGCAAGAATGTCAAGCAGCTCGACATTTCTGGAAACCCAGCGCTTCCAATCGAAACACTCAAATCGATTCTGACTTATCTCCCAGGCTTGACCACCCTTGATGCCTCCTATGGTCGATGGACAGTCATTCCATCGGATATGTTCAAATTTAACACGAAACTCAAGACTTTGGATATCAGCAATAACAAGATTCAATGCATTCGAGGCGCTCTTAGCGGACTCAAGATGAAGTCGATGAAGTTCGCTAACAACGATATGCTCGTCGAAGTTGCTGGTGGCAAGACCAAGTCTAAGAAGGGCAAGCTCGCCAAACTCATCAAAGAATGGAACAAGATGGACAAGGGCTTGTGCTTCTACTACAATTAAAAAGGTCGCCGACCTTTCATTCATTGATGAAGTTTCGTACTTCGGAGAATGCCATTAACCTGCATGAACAAATTTAGACCAACAAAAGAAAAAAAAGTAGTGAAAAATATCATAAAAATGGGTGCTGTAGAAATGTCCCTCGTGAAATCAATTCGGAAAAAATAGGAAAATCAATCGGGCCACGAAGCTTGAGAGGGCAAATCTACGCCATTGACGATGAAAATAACGACACTTCGAATATATCCGAGGCGTGTTTGTCTGTTCTCGCTAAATTATCATAAAAATAAAAATCAAATTCGCCTCAATGTGTTTATCCTGCATAAAATATTCGCATTTCAATTGAAATTCGACTATGGGCAGACTTTCAATTTCAAAATGTCAATTGAAGATATTTAGGTCTATATTGTGAAGAACATTGAATGAAAGTACTGTAAAATGGCAGCGGTAATATACAGTTTCAGGTAATTGACGGAAGAAATGGCAGAAACATGCTAGGTACTGTTTTAGGTAGATAGGTAGGTAGTGAAAGCAAAGGATTTTCAATAAAATTCAATATATTATTTGATATATTTTATATCTATATAAATATGGCCTCGTAGTTGTGAGCTTGCCGCATGTTATATTACGGAAAATGAACGAGAATAGGCGCGGGAACCAAGAATTTATAGGTAAGTAAAAGATTTTTTGAAGAATTTGTTGCACTATTTATGAAGAAAATAAAACCGTTTCCAATATACATATGCTGAAGAGATTCGACGGGGAATAATATAAAAGGGGGCTTTGAATAAAGGTGGAGTTCATGCTTTAGAATAAAATAAAAAAATGAATGAATTCGGATGATTGAGCAAGAAAGAAGTCCTTTGATTGTGCGAGCATGCCGAAATTTTTTTTTTATGAAAGACGGGGAAGCAGGGTCGTAGCTAATCAGCCAATTGTGTCGATTGAGAGCTGGCTACCAGTTCCTAAACAAGCGTAAAAATGCGACAGGAACGAGCTGAAATACCTGACAAAGAAGGATTAACAATGCTCGACGAGGGAAACAATCTGTACCAACCAGAAATCGAAGAGCTTGAGTAATCCAAGGAACTCAACTGAAAAGCATGAAAATCTGAAAGTAAGAAAAGGAGATCAACCTGAATTTGAGCAACTCCAATGAACGCCTTTTTATCGAGTGGCCCGTAATCGCCCCATACAATCGCCTGGAGAGCGTCGAAGGATTCATTCTGGTCGAACAGACAGACCTGGTGAAACTGTGGAGACAGACTTTTCGAAGCTTTTGGGATTCCTTGCTTGGCGACGCGTCGCGCGCCAAACATCAGATACAGTTTTACATACGCAGCGGGAAGACTTTTTGTATTTCTAAAGATTTTATAGTTCGAAATTAAAAGCTATCGACATGTACCTTGGGGATTTGAGTGCACGCGCTTGATTCACATTTACAACAAAGGCATTCTGTCGCTCCTACAAAAAAGCATTAAAATAACAAGGAAAAAGGAAGGGTTACCTGAATGGTGAGGTGTAACTCTCCCAGGGACCCGGCTCCAAGAGCCTGACGACCGGCGACCTGACCGGGTCCGAGACCTCCAACAAACTCGGCCAGAACTCGCGAGGGCTCAAGATCGGAGTTTGAACTTCCATTGTTTGAATCTTGAGATGGCTCGCGACTAGTAAATGATATCATTACTTCTGGATGCGAAAATTCAAACCTGAGTAATCTGTTTGAGGGCAGTAATACGGGCTGAGATGAGTGCGAGGGAATTCCGGCCACTCTTCGAAGTTGCTGGTTTGGGTTGCTTGATTGTTGAACGACTGAGCTGGAGCTTGATGTTGGAATTTGTCTTTTGGATGCTGATTGGGCAACGCAATTTAGGGTTAAAGAACATGATTGTCGAGTGGTACCTTGAAGCCGACCGGGCGGTTGTAGGGGGGACATATTATTCCGCCTACTGTTCGACTCTGATTTGGAATTTAAATTCACTGCTCCAGAGTCGGCGTGTTGCCTGCTGGACCCAGTGACGATTTGAGAACCGTCAAGAGCTTCAAATCTGGTCACAAGATGTAAAAAATGAGCATCATCAAAATGATCATTTGATTATGCCGATCGGAAAAATACTGATTGAAATCAAGGAGGAGATCGACTGATTTGTAGAAATCCTTGATTTTAGATATTCAAACGAAAACAAGTCAAGGAAAATGGAATAATAGGAAAATCGTGTTAAAAAATACTATAAAAAGTATTTTTCTTTCTCACTGAATATCTACTGTACTACACCTGGTTCGCGGAAATAGACTGAGTGTGAAAGTTTGTGACCGGTAACTGATTGCGTTCGCATAGGTCCAGCAAAAGCTGGTTCTCTGCTCTGATTCGAGAGACTGGAGATGTTTCGAGGAAGTTGGGGCAGTTTTCGGCGAGGTCTTCTATGTCTTTCGTAATCGTCTACTCGGCTCATTGAGTGGCTTAATATAATCATCAATGAGCTGTATAAAAATTTTAACCCTTTTTTCTCTTCCCGATGAAGTAAAGAGAGATGGAAGTTAAATGTAAAAGGAAAAAAGTTTTGACCACGATGGGACTCGAACCCACAACTTCCTGATTCGAAGTCAGACGCCATATCCATTAGGCCACGCGGCCGGCCGAAAGAGGCCCTGGAACTGTACTCTAAGAATTGACTCTTACCTAGAGGACCAAGGATAGAGCTTGTACCACTTCGCCCTGGCGTCAAAGTTGACGTCCAGTAATCCAACTAGAGCTCTGCTGAGAACATTTCTTTCGTCATCGCATAGACTTATCTCCAGCGCAAGTCTAAGAATTAATTAAGCCCTGAGGCAACTTTTGAGGCGATACCTTTGAAGAGCTCGTTTGGGCAAAGGCCCCCAGGCGATTGGTGGAGTCTGACTTGTCCAGCACCATCCACCGTCTCTCGTTTCAATAGCCTCATTTGCCGAAGCAACGGTGCGTCTTCTGGAAGCTCTGCCTTTTCCAGGGTGGACTAGACACAGGCGCACAGCTGGAGGACCTCGATGCTGATAGACTTGCGATACGCGTTCTACTGCTGAGACTAGGCGACCATCTCCTTCTCTTGTTTCAGCCAAGTTCTCCCACCAGAGTTTTATCAACACTGCGGTGGAGTCCATTTCGAATTGGCTCACATGGTCCCTACTAGCAATGATAAGAAATTGGAACAAACGGATTCCTTACCTTTTACCGCCATATGACGACGTATCCGAAACGCAATCTGACATGTCAAAACTTCTCTTGTACCAGCTCTCGTTGTGAGCAAAGAAAGGATCTTCTGCTTCTCGTTTTCTTTGGCCCAGAGGTGATTCCTTCGTCCGTTGATTATGTCCGAGCAAATCTGGCTGGCTTCTATAGTTTTTCTGTGATGTAAGGCCCAGTTGACCTTCATTATCTTGTGATGGGTCGCGAGGAAGCACCCGTCTTCTAGGGCGAACCTTGCCATTGGAGGATCGCTCGGGCAGTGTCCGTGATTTACTGCTGTCTTGCTCGTTCAGCGACATATCGTGTGGATAGTGTTCCATGCCAGAGTTTGGATGATATGTTCCGGTGTCGATTGGATTGCCCTCTTCGATTGATAAGCTCGCAATGCCAGAATCCAACTCGCCAAGGGGAGGTGACCGCTTTGCCTTCCGCACGCTTGGATTGTCTCCAGGCGTGTGGCTGCTCGAATGACTGGTAATACCTGAAAGCAGTTAATAGGGAAACCTCCATAATAAGTACCTGATCTAGGCATCGAATGGGACTCCTTGGGAATCCTGAAGTTTTGCTTTTCTATGCTTTCCGAATCTTGCCTCGTTAGACTTGGCCTTTTCAGCGGACTTGGAAGCGTCTGAGTCTCTGCCACATTCATTGCATGGACTCTTGTTGATTTCTTCTCAATGACCTGGTCGTTTAACCTCAGACCAGCCCCAGAAGGCGGCTTTTTTCGGCAAGAATTGCAAAACCAAACCATTCCACTGGACGTTTCGTTTTTAACCTAAAAGAGGATGAAAAGGTAGGTCGAGTAAAGAGGCCATAAAATTGCTCGTCCCTTTGAAAGGCAATTTGTGAAAGTGCGGCTAAGTTCCGGCGCGCTACTGAAGCGTAATAATGATCAGCTTATCACTTGAAGATCAGAGCAGGCCTGATGTAAATATTTATCCGGTTCGAATGTGCGATGCAGGTGCATCTTCATTCTTTCAAAAAAACAAGAGCGGAGGAGAATAGAATCTCATGCTCGCACGCCACCAAGAGAGGACGCCCTGTACTGAATAAATAACCGCCCAACCAAAGTCAACGAGACACAATAGGAACCTTTTAACCGCATCAGTTAAAGAGAATAGAGAAAAAGTTTGGGCACGCGGACAGAACTCATTTGGCCGCAAGCCGAGAATTTTTTCAAAAAATATGAAGGCTCTCCTTTTAAACTTTTTGGTGGCTTATGCTGCTCGTCGAAGACCAAAAGTAAAAGATAGCTCCAACACTGAAGAATCCGGCCTAGAACAGTTAGTTTCGAAAGAGATTAGTCAGGTAAATCCCCTAATTTTCTGCACAAAGAAATACTTTGAGTCTAGTATGGATGGCCAGGGCAACACGAATGCGTAGAAATACCAGAGGAGTTCGAAATTTGTCACAATATCACTGGCTCTGGAAAGTTTTACCGAACAATGTGGCTCCCAAATTTTATGAAGCATGAGACCATGGGTAAGTAAAGGCTCAAAAACTATCATTGACCTTTTATTTAGACGAGGTTATTCAACAATCACGAAGTTGGAAGCCACTCTTATCCCGGCAGAAGTACGAGGTCAAGGAGGTCCAGAAGTTTATCTGTTCAATGTACGCACCAGTCTGCCTGCCAAGTGGCCCGAAGATGATGATTCCACCATGCAAGGAGCTCTGTGAGTCGGTCAAAGATCAACTTTTACCGGTAAAAAGAAATAAAATCAAAACACATGTCGACCAAGTATTCAGAAGCTGCAAGAGCATCGCTTGGGCTGGCCAGACTCGCTAGCATGTGATCGTTTCCCTCGTCAAAACGACAAAGGTGGTCTTTGCATACCGCCCGATGAAAAGAGACCATCGAAACCAGCAGTATCCGTGAATGACCATTTTGGATCTTCGAAATGCAAGGATCCCGAAAGTTTCTGCGTTCTTGGATCAGTTGCGGTAAAAAACTAATGATAACGGCTATCGGAACTCTATTTTAGGACAATGACGAGATGACGATCCGCGAACATTTCTGCAGCTTTGACATCGTGTTCATCGCAAAAATCAAAAGGATCAAGGCGAAAAAAGGCCGTGCTCACGTCCAGATAAAGTTCAAAATCAGAAAAGACAAGGTGGAAGACAATTTTACTGCAACGAAAGAATCGAAATTGAAGAAGTGGTTCTATTTGGCGGATGCAGGCGATTGCTACACATCGAAGAAATGTATTGCCCTCGAAGAGGCAAGGAGAAATAAGAAAAGTTTACTTATTATGGCCAACGATTATGGTATGTTTCGAAAATACCTTGAAAAATGTTAAGAATAATTTTAGAGAGCAAAAGAAAAAATGTTATTATGCACTTGACAAACTGGGATAACCAGTCGAATTTGCGCAGCGTTCTCAAGCTCGATCACTGCTGTAAAAACAACTCTTGCAAGCACTGACTTGAAGGGTATTTACTGTAAATCCTTGTAAATAAACAAAGCACCACTTCACAATTTGTTTATATCTCTATTTACCTGCCACTTGCCGCCACAGCGCGAGCAGAAGACCAACTTGCAGAATCCGCAGCGATGTCCACACCCGCGGGCGAGTTGCGTCTTCCTGCAGATCGGGCACAACCCCGGAGGCACTGCTTCCTTAGGCGGCGTGTTCATACTCTTTTGAACTGGAGGAGGGGGCTGGGAACTCTGCGCTTTCGGATTCGGAGCGGCTCCGGATAAGTGTTTCTCTTTTAAAACTGCCAGATTACGCTCGACTAAAACGCGAGATATAAAAATCCGGCCTGTAATTCGAGGGGAGATTACCTGATTGATACATGGATTTCTCTCGTTTCTCTTCTTCTTGTTGCCGTTGCATTACTTTCATGATAGACTGGCGCTCGTCTTCAGTCAAATGACTCAGATCGGGCATAGGAATGGTGTCATCCATGGTGGTCTAGGTGGAATGACCCGATTCCCGAACAGTCTAAAGGAGAGAATATTTTTACTGAAGAGTTTTGATCTTAGTGAAGGAGTAAACAAAGCTGATTATAAATTTTCGCAGATGAGCTTATCCGCAAAGGTAGTTATCTTAGAAATAAACAGAGATAAACCGTCTGGGAGAACAGTAATAAAGTAAACGAACAAATCGCTTATTTCTAAAATCCTCGACCAAGAGCAAGTTTATATCGAGATCTCTCTATGTCTCTAATCTCTGCAGACTTCGTGTCTAACTTCATCTTCTTCTTAAAATCTTATGTTTATCCGTTCACTCAGGCTTGATTCTCAATCGTTGGTTTCATTCTTTAAAAGTTATTCGAAGAAATCTTTGCGCCTGGAGTGAATTGATTTTCGGACTTCTGACGTATTTCCTCTGAACTTTACGTAGAATTATATAGACATAGATATACAGATATAGTTTATCAAAATAATGCTCTCTCAACTAGTCAATTACCGATTATATCGAATTATCAAGTTCCTGTATTCTGCTGCATAGAGATTTGCTGAAGTCAAGTCAATAATATTGCATATTCGGATTCTTAATCTTCCTAAGTCGGCTGAATTTCCCTTCGATCGATGTCAAATTTTTCTCAGGTCGCGGCGTGATGTTCTGCGGGCACTCGCCAACGAGCGAAAAACCAATAAAATGCGTCTCCCACTCTTCGTTTTCATTCTCTGCAATGACCCTCTTTAGGTATGCGAAATTTCTCTTGCTTTCTTTCGTTGTTTCTCCTCTTTAGCTGCGTATTTCTCTATCCTACTAAGGCTCGATTGGGCTAGTGGCTGAGTCAGATTCTTGTTTAGAGCGGGACAATGAGCCCCGATTCCCCAGGGACTTGCTTTTTCTATTGTTAAATATTCATTATTAGGACATGGTATCGTAGCGAGAGTAATTCGACCAACTTTCACACCGTTCCATGCATCTGGATATTGATGCTATATAAGTTTAAATTTAATCATTCTTTAGTAAACAATAACAACTAAAATCGCGCCTTTCCTTGGGGAAGAAATTGATAATTTGCGGCGAGGAAGTCAATTGCAGTCATAAATTGAATCCATGTCTGTGTTCGCGTTTTCGTTCGCCAGTTAATTTTTGAACTTGCCACGGTTTATTCAATTAAAATAGACTAATTGACACTTAACTTCTTTTGGTCCAGTCTCACCGTCTCAGAATTTAATTCTAATACAATAGCCTGTCTAGCGCTCGATGTCTAGTAGGAAAATAAACCCAATCCTGGAAACAGAACATGCAATTTGCTTCTAATGACGTAAAAAGAAACACAGATGAGATTGCTCCTCCAATGATGACGTTCTTCAATCAACGAAAGACTTTTAATCCCTGCGTCTTAGGAAGCCGAGGCGCTTATTAAAAATGCGCTACTTGAACTCTTCCTTGATTCCAACAGATCTTCAAGAGTTTACATAAATGAACCACGAATTCTTGAGGAGTTATTGAAGCATCACTCAAAGACTTACTTATTCATTTTGAGTTGAGTCGCACGATCAAGAAGTGTCTGTAAGACGAGCATTCTATGCATGGAAAAAGTAAAAACCGCTGAATTAGATATATAAGATTTATTTGTTAATGCTTTTAAAAGAGTAGCAAAATAGACTCTCCAAAATTGAACCTTCTGAAATGCGTGTTCAGCCAATATTAGCTCATTTGGAAGTCTGGCTCTGTAAGCGGGGCTTATTGATTTCTCATTTTTTTAAAAAGCGAGTTCTTAATTTTTGGTTATGGAACTGCATGCGAAGTTAAATGTATATATTTTGAGTCTCAAAATATATACAATCATTTCTGGTCCTTAGAATATGAAATAAGTATCTGTGATTGGAATGGGTTAAAAAAGTTGAGCCACGGGATAGTAGTAATTATTTATTCTTTTTGACAGAAGCGTACATTACAGTCAGCGCAATGATAATCAAATCTAAGGAAAGGCTAACACCAGCATTAACATAAATTTGGCTCAAGCCGCCCTGAACCAAGTTGAGCAGGATAATCGTGATATTGCCCATGAGCGATAGGAAATTCGAGGAAAGGGAAATCGAGGTCGAGTCTTTCGAGGAATACAAGGATGATACGACTTTGAGTTTGAATAAGGAGGTTAGCAGCGTTTTTGTCAAAAGACCGACAGTTACTATTTGCGTGAAATGCACGAGCGAATAGACGAAGGAAAGGTGTAGGAAAATGTTTGCGATGAAACTGGACAAGGAGATACCTTCCGTTTTCGAGCTATAAATCTAAATCAAGTAGAAGTAGTTTTTATGTCTTTCTTACCAAAAATACATCATCATCGTTTCTTGGATGATAGAAGAGATCTGATGGATCCAGCTCAAGATAGGCACGCCATTTTCAAGGTAGTAAAAGCTCGCTAAATAGGCACCAGTGGTTTTGATCATGATCGTGTTCATATTAATAGTTGAATTGCTCGGCGTTGGTTTTGCAGAAGGCGTGAGCTTTTTGTTTTCGTTTTCATCCTTGTTTTTGGAAAGGTATTGACGACCTAGCAGAATGACTTGTGGAAGTTGGAAGAAGCAGTTGATGCCGACATTTAGCAGAGTTAAAATTTCAACAATCATTCTATAATAAAATAATTCGTAATAACAATCAAGTTTTTTTAGTTTCGAACATGTTTTGGGCACGTATTAACTGAATTAAGAGGTAGTAAATGCAAGTATACAAAAAAGGATTTTCTGTGGTAAAAATACAGGAAGAACTTTTGGGATGGTTTGTTTTGATGGTTGATGAGTTGAAGCTTGGAGAATTTTTTTTCTTGTTGTCCTTCTCGAACTACGGAGGCTGTGATGCTTTGCGAGGCGAAGGGGAGTTGTTCCAGGCTGTTTTCCAACGGGAGATGATCTCTACGCGCTTGCTCGACGATAATGTCTTGAACATACTGAAAAATGCGGTTTGAAATCGCCACCGGAGGAGTTGTAAAAATGGCCCCATGGGAGCGATTACCTGCGAAGCGAAAATAACGAGTAATAAACACAAAAGATCATTTGATAGTATGAGCCGACGAGAGCGGGCGAGCCGGAGAAGTTGATCGGCAAAGGAACTCCTGCCAGTAAGGCACATAAAAGTGGAATTGCCGAACAAAGAACCAGGAATAAAATGCACTAAACATAATAATTTCAGTGCTATGAAAACCTTCTTACGTGTAAAATTAGTTTATGAAGCGGCGTGGATATTTTCTGCGGCAAAATTTTCTCCGGCAACAGCCTCTTGTAAAAACCCAGCATCGCAGATATCGCAATCCAAATCGTTGCGATAAATTTCAGCGTCGCCGCAAAGAATTCTATGAAGCGGATGTTCCAAAAGATGAAATTCTTTCCAAGGGAGATGGCGCCAAAGTTGTTGGCGGAAAAGGCAAGCTTGCTTTTGGCATCGGCGACGAGGAGAATTTGGAATGCGCGGTAGAAGCAGGCGGCGATGGTGAGGGTCATTGAACAGATGATGAGGATCAGATACAGCGGCCGAAGAAGAAATCGACTCAGGCGAGACATATTCAGCATTTCTTCGAGTTTTTCCGACTCGGCCTAGATATAAAAGTCAATTAACTTACCCCGAAAGAGGAATTCATGCTTTCAATCAAAAAAAAATATAAAGATAAAAAATCAAATATTAACCTGGAGTGCTTTCTCGCGATCGATGAGCTCGCTCGCCGCGACGGAGCGCCTTCGTAATCGTGGACGAATACGCGAGATCTGAAAAAACACATCAGTGGTTTTGCACTCACATGGTACAGCTTCCACGATAAATTCGTAATGAATGTTTAAATGCGAAGGTGTTCTGAAATAAAATTGCTTTGTATTTGCATGGCTTGCTTTTTGAATATAAACTCCTGTTAAGAATTCATGAATGCCTTCAAATACAACAATAAATGATTTCGCGATAACTTTTCTTTCTTTGAAAACTTGCGATATACATTTTCTGCAGTTTCGTCTTGATTTTGCATCTCTAAGTCTGCGCTTTCTCCTTGGTTTCCGTGAAAGTAACTCACTCGTCTCTTGATATAACCCCGCTCGAGATTGATTTCGTCTCGCTGCGCCTTGATACTTCCATGCGGCTTGAGTAGAAGCGGATCTATCGTCTTGTTCAATAATTCTTGTTGACCGAGTGGGAGGCCGAGAAGAAGTACGATGATTGCTGTGAAGCTGATGGCCGTTCGAAGCAGTGGGGCGCTTTCCAAGACTTGGTAGATGCCCCAACTTGTCCAGATATCTTTTCTTCCAAACAGGCCGAGCTGAAAATGGACAGTTAGGTCTTTATTCTAAGAATGGTGCTTACGAGGACAACAACGAAGAAAACAACCAAGACCAGCAGCAACAGACAGGTTATGACGGTCTCATAAAGCCTGGCGCGTATTCCTTTAGGAGGGCCCCAGGAAAAGCCGTCTGCTTCAATTAAGAAAAACGTAAACGGCAGGACCAAAAGAAGAAAGACTGACGTGAGAACGGAAACACTAGATGGAAATTTAAAATTACGCCGTTCAATTTGAAACTTGCCGACTCCAGCCTTCGAGAATGAGATCAGCAGTGAGCCATTCGAACCACCAGTAGGGGCAGACGTCGTTCGAGCAAAAGACTTTGATTTCGTTGCTGAGGACCGAGAGGGGAAGAAGAGACAAGCAGCAAAAGCCGATTGAGACACCGAATGTACAGGAGATCTTTAAAACAAGTTTTATGAGCTTGAAAGGTTAGAATCAAAGACAAGCTCGTTTGACTTTTAACTCTCCGAATTTTAACGTTTCTTTAGGAGACTTACTTGAGCGATGAGATAGACAAATTGGTCATCGCGGTTGTTGTTTTTTAGGACTACATCGTGAATGTCATGGAGGTGCTTCAAATCTGGAAGTTCAGCTTCCAAAGGGCGGCGATAAAATCTGAAGGTTGATAAAGCTTGATGATTTGATTTCGTAATTTGAAGCGGTAGATAACAAAATAACTCTAGCGACCTTTAGTGGATTCATTGGAACATTATTTAAACCTAACATGGCTTCGATGTTTTTCTATGGAAGCAATAGTACTTTAAAATGGTATTATCCTAATCCGCATGAATATTTGCTTTAGATTTTAGATCGTCGCTATTATCGGTTTTGCTCGACAAATAAATTATCTTACTTGAGAAAAAAGTGTCCAATGACAAGATGAATTCCAATGAAGATGCATTCTAGCACCAAATTTCGCACCGAATTATTGAACACAGTTTCGTATGGCGTCCATTCTCTGAACTCGTCCGCTTCGAGCCTGATACTAGCAGAATTGAACCCGTGAGCGTCGCCCATTCCGGTCCATATCTTTAAAAATCAATTTTATTAAATAAGGACAGAGAAAGACAAGACAAAGTCAGCTGACGTCTGATCCGAAAGCTTGAAAATATTATTTTTCTTTTATTGAAAAAAGGTTGAACAAGAGAGAAAATTTGAAAAAAACAGACGGGTTGGTAAAAAATAACAAATTTCAAATATTCAAATAAAGACTGTGAACTATTGGAACGGATAAGCGAAATGAGGAAATAAAAAAACGTTCGCATTGAACTTTTTCGAGGCTTTTTTCGTAAAATTGAAATTTTAAACGGACGAAAATTATAGAAATGTAAAAGAACTAGAAATAGATAATGATACGAAAAGGGGGTGATAAGAGAAAAGGAAGGAGGATAAGAAAAGGGAGGAAATATAAGTGAAAGCAAAATTGATAAGTAAAATTTACCTTTTTTATCGACTTTGAAAGAGAAAGACTTTGATGAGGTATGATAAGAGCTTCTCTTTTAGCTTTTTGGTGAATGGCTACTGTATAGAAACTGGACTTGTGCAGAAAACAGGAGACTTCTCTGATGCCTGGAAAAAAATGAAAATCAGGTGTAGATGCGATTTTATTCTAGAGACGGCGATTTCAAGCGAAAGGTTCCTCTGATTAACTCATAAACTATGGTCAGAGTTCAGCAGGGGCTAACGACCGAAAATAAAAGCTGATCAGAACAGCCACTTTCTCTGCCAAAACGCGTTAAATCTATGGAGTAATAAAAACTCAGTAAAAAAGTCGAAAACAAGAACTTCCCGCTTTCTTTTCGAATTTGAAGAGCTCTCAAAAATCGCCACTTATCTACCTGGTTTGTTCTTCTCCAGAATCCCTTTTTTTTCAATTTTTTGATTAATATTGATTCATTATAATCATAATCAAGAGCTTCAAATTAATCCGACTACCGATAAAATTTCGATGGCTAAAACTTTCTCCTGAATTTTCAATCTTCTACTCCAATAGATCAGATAGAAGCCTGTTTTCTTACTGTAAATTTATGGGACGAAAAATGAAGGCAAAATAATAAAAAAAACGACAAAGAAGAAAGGGTAAAGAAAAAATACGAAATTTCGTTTGTTTTGTCTAATATAATACAAATCTACAAGTGAAGATAACGCGAGGTTGTAAAACTTTAAACTTTCGAGCTTGAAAAAATCTATTTTCGTTCGAATTAAAGATAGAGAATACTTTTTCTGTGATTTAGGGGCCCCCCGAATCACGGAAATAAAAGTATTCTCTCTCTGACAGCATCTTCAGGGCAGAAGAGCTGTGCAAAAAAGTATCAAGAAGGTAACAAATCACACGGAGATTTTTAGTGAAGGAAAAATATTTAAAATTTATGAATAAATATAAACCGAAGAATTTTGACGATTTTTTGTTGTTTGTTGTTGTCTTGAAAGAAGAAAGAAGAGAGAGAGAGAGAAAGATGCACAGATTTTCTTTAGACTTTATTACAATACGCAATAGTAACGTATCACATAATAATATTGTAGGCATCTGGGGTTTTGAGAGAGTGTGAGTGGCTTCTGCTGTTTTGTGTATTGTTTGTGTTTTTGTTTGTTTTTTTGTTGTTGAATCCACTCGAGTTGGAATTGGAAAATGAATTTTCACTTTTTGGATTTTCGTTTTTTCCTTCACTCGTCAATTGTGCCTCCTTCTTCCGTCGTGTCCAAATGTGCATGTTCATGAATTTGCTAGAAAATTTAATTTAATTTTTTTTGAACCAACAGAAATAGCGTTTCATTTCAGAAATAGATACTGTACCTCAATTGTCGTTAGCTCCAATCGATCCATTTCGTCCCAAAATTGTAGGTTGTTTTTAAGGTGATTGAGTACTGTTGGAACATCACAGAACTCGTGCCAAGCGTCAAACATGTCCAAAAGGAAATAATTTATAAAAGCAGTTTGCGTCTTCGGAATTGAACACACTTCTCTTTTGAAAGTCTGAAAGCGCGTTTTAATATAACTGTTCGGTTGATCGGCGAGTTGACTTACAGGCATTACGATAGGCAAATTGCGTTCGGTTTCTTCTTGAGTCTGCGTGAAATACTCTTCGCACACTCTTCTTGTCCATTCGATACACTGTTTTCGAGGTCGCGCCGGGTTTGAAACGTCTAAAAACCAAGCAGTTAGTCGACCAGACAGACTGCCAGACAAATTGCAGGGTGGCTATTTTGGACAAAATTTTGGGGTCTGGCCATCCAATTTCCATCCAATAAATTTTGAGCCGGAACTATCCATCCAAAATCCAATCCAACCCAATTATTACCCAATTACCCAAAAATCCCCAATTCCAATTAGATCCAATTGGATTTCCAATTTTTCCAAGGCTTTTATCTCTTTGAAAAGAAGGGAAACAGTAAGTTTTTATCCAAAAGGAGGGTCAACATAGCCAAAACAATGATTTTTTATCCGAAATTTCTCATTTTCATTATGAAAATGACCCTTCTTTGCATAGTTTAGCGATATATTTTTTATTGGATCCAATTCCCCAATTTCCCCCAATTGCCCAATTTTCCCCAACAAAATCCGGTACCCTGGCCATCCAAATTCCATCCAAACCTTATTGGATTGGATCCAATCCAATTCCAACTAACCCCCAAATCCAAAATAGCCACCCTGCAAATTGCAAGGTCGAGCTAACGGAGCTTACCAGAAACTTTAATAAGCACTCGTTTAGCAAGCGTGCGTAGCTCTTGATCGTCGTTTTCTGAGGCATTTACACTGATTTGCGAGGTGCGCGGACTGCGATCAGCCTCGTCGACATTCGGCCTCGTGGAGGAAATGAATTTGTTCACGTGTTCAAAGTGCTTGCCGAGTTCTGTCGCGAGGACCATGTCGATGATGTTCGATCGTATCGTCTGGTAGTCTTCGTGATTGAGACGGCTAGAAGATTTTAAAAATAAAATAAAGTTCCGAATTCGAGATGAAAAAAGTCGAAAGTAAAATGACAGAAAAAGAGCGTGCTGTCTTTCTCCTTACCTAAAAATGTTCGCATCGTTGTGCGGGTCTAGGGTGAGTTTGAAGGTCTTAGCGACGTGGTGGTTCTCGAGCACCGCCGTGTCGTTGTAGAGCAGGGCGAGCTCGTGGCGGCTGTTGCAGAGGAACGCGTTCGTCCTGCCCGGATGATCCACGTCGTGAATAGTGGCTGCAATTAGCGAGGCGACCATGTCAAATTCTGACAAGAGGTTTTTGCAACGTTCAGTTCGTAAGAAATATGCAGTAGCCTGAAGAATAGAACGATCTTTTGGGCTGTCGATATTTTAACCGATCAACGCTTTATAGGGAATTATTTGACAAGTTCGCGATGAACCCTTTTGGATTACAGAAGAAACTTACGGATAAAACATCAGCAGCGTGAGTTGAATTGTGGTACGGGTTTGTAGCGAGGTAGTTTTGCTCTATCAACACGAGCCATCGTTCTAGCGTGATTTCGTCAATCTGTAGCTGACGCGGAACATCGAATTCGCTAAAGATACGGTTTGAATTTCGACAAAAATCAATGCTTTTGATTTACCGAAAGACTTTCATGCCAAGGAAGCGCAGCGGCGTGAACTCGGACACTTTCTCGAGTTCGAGGATGTTCCAATCCCACGCTTTGTAGCCTTCGAGACATCTGCTCACGATCTGCGGCACCGCCGTGTTGATGTTATATCTGTCGTTCAGCACTGGAGGCCTAAACCGCCGTGACTTTCTGCTCATATCTAGCCCCGGGTTGATCTTTAAATATATTACAATAGTGGAGATATTTATAAAATAAATCCGCTCTTTATCGATAAATTTCATCCTTTACGAGAGCAATAACCTGTCAATTATATTGTCAAAATATTCATTTAGAGCATTTTTTCTCGATAAATATTTTTCATTGCAAAACAACCCTTTATTTGGCATCTATTCAAAATAAAAAGTCAACAAATAAAAAACCATTTTAAAAAATATCTTCGATGTTCTCTTTTTGCTCAAATAAAAAAGGTATGCTGAAGTGGCGGCTCTCGATCGATAGAAAAGGATAGCTAGCCAAAGAGGAGCTACTGCTTTCAGTTCAGAAGAAAAAAATAATAATTGAAACGGCAAAAGAATAGAAACGTTACCTGGAGGTTGATAAAATGTTCTCCCCAGCACTGGAGCGTCTGTGCGACGGCTGCGAAGGCCGCATCAAGCCTTCCACCAAGTCTTGCCTAAAAACAGAATTCAACAATTTTGAACTGATTCATCGATTGAAAAATTAAGTAGAACGAGTTAATATATATCGAGGCCATTTAGCATAACAATAGCTGTTCGCCCCTTCCAGAAAATCGCAAGATATAGGAAGAAGTAAAATTTACGTCATGAATATTTTAACTCATACATGGTATAAACATGGCTCTGCTTCAATTGCTTGTAAGATGTAAAAATAATGATTGATTTGAAGCCAAATCCTAAAAACAAAACCCAATCTAGAGCTATTTTTTTAATAGCATAACAATTCAATGAATAATTAAATTATAATTAGCAAAAAAATGTTTATCAAATTATCAATTAAAAAAGCCTCACACTTATATTCTTTATACATTCATCCTACTAGTCATTGAAACTTTAAATCATTTGAAAAATCCTTCATAAAAGCCTGATAATTAATTTTTCTTGGTCGTTATAATCAAGCTACTAACAGGTGGGATAGGAGCATTTTATTCTTTCTCGTGGGCCTTCTTCTCGAGGTCATTTGGGCGGGAGTAAGTTTTGATTAGAAATGAAATGTTTTTTGTCTTGTCAAGTAATTGACGTCAACTAATATTCAGACTATGTAATATAAAGATAAAACCGCCTGGTTATTGGCCTCTGCTCTCATAAACATGAAGAATAAACGACCACTGACGTCATTTTTGGATTTAACATTTTAAAACATTTTCTTTCATTCTTTATTGACACGGCGCCTTTTCAGAGACGCGCGCAGAGAGAATTTTCTGCTTTTGAATAAGTAAATCTGCAATTTTAGACATTTTTCGGGCTTGTGACCCCGGATGACCTTTTTTGAAAATTTTACCTGAAGCAGCAGGGCAAAAGCCGCCGCCATAGTCGACCGCAAAAACTTGGCAGTTTTCAGACAGCGAGTTAAAAAATAAATGGAAATATTTAATAATCGACTTATTTTAACTCATTTCCCATCATCATCATCAACCATGATGTTCTGGCATTATTTTCTAGCGACAGTAATATCCGACAAAAAAGGGATCTCTCGAATTTTTTGTTGGGAGTAGTTTGCGGTGCTCTCTTTGGCAAAAATAGAAGTGCTTCTTTTTTTGGTGTTTGATGTTCAATCTGTTCTCAAATGTCCAAGCAAAGTTCACTTTCATAAGCCACTTTTCATCAAAAGCAAACGTCACAAATCAAAAGGTACGATAGGAAATACAAAATTTTCACGAGAAGCGATGAAACTTCAATAAGGATAGTATGAAAAGTTGAATCTGGCCGATGAGAAAATATTTGAAGACATGGAAGAGGACGATAAAACAAACAAAACCTGCTAGTTTTTGACCGATAAAAGTCTCTTATCAATGCTTGTTTTTCTCTTTTATAGCTTCGAATATTTTATGGACCATGATAATTTTAACTCTATCCTTCCGCTTTGCCTTTCCAGCGCTTCAAAATCGCGGCGGGAACCGTTACTCTGTGAAATTTGTATTTTGTACTTGTACCGGAAGTGGTCGACATGAGCTTTTTTGCAGTGGATGTCAAATATTTGCACTTGCAGTATGCCAATATATACTGGCATATATATCGCCCATCGGTGCGCTGTTCAAATAGCACAAGCGTCAAAATATTTTTTCCGCGGGTTTGGCAGATTTTGGACCTGGCATTGAAAAAATCTGACGTCATTTGTGGCTCAATAAACTTTGAAAAAGTAAATTTCGAGGTATAAATTTTAAACACTCGCATTTGTAGAATTTACAGACAGAACCCTTGCGACCCTATCAAGTTCGATTGGGGTCGATGGGCGAAATTAACCCACGATAGGTCAGCAGCCAAGAAAACGGAGAACGTTGATGGTTCTACTTTTGTACCTTGTTTTACAAAATTCATTCTCATCATTTTCCCAGAGTTGCATTTTCGTGCCCCTAATGCAAAAGATCTCGTCAATCATCACCCTTGGCTGCGGCTCAGGGCCATTTTTGGGATGTGCTCTCTCTCTCTAACGCTCCTGAAGGGAATCTTATTTAGAAAGGAACAGTTAGGTTTAGTTTGATTTGAAGTGGAACTGTTATTGAGGGTTTTGAGTTCTCTTTTCAAAACGAGTGGAACAAAAGGTTTTTCTGAGCAGCGCCAAGACGACGGCGTTTAACCGTACAATGTCAGTGTGCCCAACACGACATATGCGCCTTAGGTTTTTTAGACCCCGTGACAGGTCACGTTTAACTCTAATCACAATTTGCTAGTTAGCTTCAATTAATAGCGATTGATTTATATTTACAATCAATCACAGCGAACCTAACAGTTTAGACGGCCCAGTGTCCTGCCACTGTCTGTCCTGCCGCGCGAACAGGAGTTAAGGTACTCAAATGAGTTAAGAGATAGGTCTGACAGCTGTCTGACAACTAAGGGATTTATTGTTGAAATCGACATTTCAAAATGAACATCAGAAAGGCAAAACATTCATAAATTTGGCTAAAATTCAAAGCCAAAGAATTGAAAAAGAAAACTCGATATTTTTGGTATTCGCTTGGATCAGCTGATTTTGTCGATCCCTGAAACTGACCTTTATCCCTGGTAGAGGCTTTACTTCCTTAGGCAGACGAATCAACGCGCTCTTCGATTCAATGATTTTTAAACACAAGGCGTAAATTTTTATCGACCCAATTGTGCTCGTACCAAATTAATGCCACAAGCATCTAGTGTGATCGATCGTTCTTTTCTTTCTTTCAATTTCAGTTGTCTCAGACTTGTTTAAGTGTATCGAGGGCTCGATTACTCGCCTTCGTTCTGTTTTGATATCTTTTTCTTTAATCTCAAATAAAGGGATCAAAAGTGGGGAGTGAGGATAACGCTTTCTCTCTGTGTCAAAATACGTCAGAAAGCACGTCATTTCACGAAAGTGTTAATTATCGCCAATTTATTTTGATCAAAAAAGACCATAATCAAGATGCCCTTATAGGGTTCTATATTTGATACACCACATTTCGCCACAAAAAAAAATATTATAAAGAGACCCTTTCGAACAAATATCTTACATTTCACGAGATTCGCGTTCCTTGCGAGCCTCCTCGGCTTCCGCCTCAGTCATCTCTTTCATCCCTCCACTTCTTTTAGTATGAAAAAATAAGAGTGATAAAAAATAGAAAAAACTCGCTTCGGTCGGGACGGTAACCGACAGAATGAGAAGAACTGATCGATATTATTATACGGAAATTCAAATTGCTCAGATACTGGAGCACTGGGCGAGCTTGAAATTAATCGACGCAACACTTCTGATGCCCGGCTTGGGACTAGAATGCTGACTCACTCAACTCAAATTCGACCTTGATTATGCCGGGATCCCTAAGTTGAACCCAAAGGATTCTATTTGATAGGTCCAACAAGTTGAAAAGGCAAATTTCAAACAACGAGCTTGGAATGCGCGGCTAAGAAAACAGAACAAAAATGCCCCAGCTGGATTTACGTCAACTCCTCAGTACACAAGCGATAATGTCACCCTCAGATTTAGTTACGAACAGATGATGACACCTTATTGGCACTCGTAAAACTTCATAAACTTTGAGTTGGAATTTCCCACATCAGTAGTTTTTTAACGTTGACTGTAGGTGGCCTTCAAATTACGTCAAATACGAATCATGAAGTCATTTGAGGGTTTTTTTGGTTATTTTTAGATTGGTTGAAATGAAGAGTGGTAATTTTTATGGAAGAGGAGGAACGTAAAATTTTCCGTTCGACAAAAATGGAGAAAAGCTTTCAAAATAACATATTAACGCGTTCTAGTAAATGGGACTTACGCGGCACGGTTATTGGCGAGAGCACTGCTCTGTGAGATTGATTGGAAGTGCGGCGTGTATAACTCTGAGCATTGGATAATGCTCAAAGCAGATTCCAGGCGTCCAGAGAGTGCCAAACGATCACCAGTTTCGTTCTTGAGCTCTTCGATAATATCCTTCAGTATATTCACAACCTAAACAAAATTGTTCCTGTCTCTCGATCAATTGTTTTCCGAATGCGGGTAAAACATTTTTCCCCTCAATATTCTGTTCCCAGTAGATTATATAAACAGATCCGCCTTTATTGCGATGATGAGCTCTCCCGATCGCTGGATCGCAATTTTTCGACATTCATTGATCCCTTCGATAAAAATGAGAAACGTCAAAAAAGGACTTTATCATCATCTGATACCTTTTTTTTATTATTTTTTTGGTCTTCCTGGCTTTCGGAAATATTTGGTTTACGCAAAAAAATACTATGGTATTATGACTAGATTTCTACGATAAACTCAAGATTTATTTTCCCGGCTTAGGATGTTTGTTTATTTCGTTTTTGGTTCTTGCTACCTGATAGGTCTTCTATAGGATTCTCGATTTTGAGAGACTTAACACATTGAAATTGCGCCTGTAGAAGACTGTTGGATTAATCATTTAGCATGACGAAGGCTAGTTGTCGTATAAGGACATTTAAGATTGATGTACTGAACCCCAATCAGAACTCGCCTTCACGACTAAATACTCACTACTTATAGAGAAAATGTTTCTACTGTGAAAAAAATTTTGAGGAGAAAAAAAAACTAAGTGATTTTTTTTTCTTTTTTTGGATTATTAACCTGAGTGATTGGAGCTTCGATGAGCATCGAGTTGATTTTGGCAAGGCTTCCACGGGACTGTCCACTGGCAGGAAGGGAGGGCCGCCGACTATTATCAAGACCCGTTCCGGGGCGCAACGAGGGCGGAGCTGTACTGTTTTGCGGCATCGTATCTGATTGCGGATTTACAAGGACAATATCCATGTGCTAGGTGGAAGATCAGTTTTATCAAGCTTTTGCTTCGCTTTTCAGAAAGTCAAAATATAACACCTTCAATTAAATTCCTCCTAAATTTATTTAGAAAGAAATCTTTTGCAAGAAATCAACGAGGAAATTCTGTATATATAACTCTAAATCTTGCTATGCCTGGACGTAACACCAGGTCTCGCTATTGACGTCATAATGAGCCTATCAACTTATAAGGACTTTGAAATTATAAATGTTTTGTACGCTTTCAAGGGCCGACTTCGTGTGAACAAAAATTAATTGACTGGCTCAGTCACTAGCGAACTAAGCGTTTTTCTTTATTTAGCCGCATTTAGTTTCGGCAATTTTGCTATTTGACTTCTTTCAGCGGAACTACTTTGTAAATACGGTATCCCAGGCATTCGCCTCTGGGCAAGCCTCGTCTGACTCGTTCTCTATCTCGTGCCGTTCTATAGTCCGAGCCATCTCTTTCACGAAAAGTCGAAAAAAAGAATTCCAAAAATTTAACTAAAGAAAGACGGTAGAAGCACAGTCGATGTGCCGTACATGCAAATAGCAAGTGATTTTTATGATCGATCTGATAGTATAACACTTTCAAATTGACGTAAGTCAATAAAGATTTCTTGATCTGGACACAACTGTAAATGTAAAAGCAGTGAAGCTGGCAAGATTAGGAAGATAATTTATTCTAGGTTGGCTAATATTCGACCTTGATCTTAGTTCACGCTGGGTAAGTGTATCCAAAAACGAACTCTAGCATCGTATTTTTGGAGCTAAATGATGATCGAGCAGCTTGCTCAAATGCCAAAAATAAACTCGCGCGCTCAAGTGAATCTGTCCAACAGGCGCTGGAGCATTAATCAAGTGAACGTATGCCAAAAATTTGAACTTTAAGAATTTCCTCGTTGATCTCAAGAAAAATAAATGGGGCTCGTTGTTGATTTCAAATGAAACCCGCATACTGGGGCAGAGCCGCTCACCGAGGGACTTTCTGCGCTCGGCGAGGGCCTGTGATTAACTCGGATTGGGACCGAGGAGGAGTAAACGGGCGGCCTGACGATCTCATTTAATGGTTCCTCAATTTGCCACGCGGTAAAACAGACGTTTAGTTCTTTGTATAAGTCCATGCGTTAATAAAATTTATTGTTTTTCTCGGGCAAATGATCATTGGCTTCGTTCAGTAGAAACCATCGGGAAAATGTGGAAGGTTCTATTTCAAACCAAATAACTGCCCGTCGGGTGATCGGGTGCTTGGATAACAAGCCCGTTTATCTCAATTCAATAACCATAGATTATAAGCCTGATAAATCTATATATAACGTGGATATTAGATTGCGCAAGATGAAAAGATTTATGGATTTATCAACACTAAGAAGAAATAAAAGAAGATGATTCTTTGAGTTCGACCTTGAGCGCGGTCACTCAGAAATTGGAATCATTTTTTGCTTTTCATTCAAACCGCTGAAAATTCAATCTCGACCCCTAAGCGAAGAAATTGTTATTCCTTTTTGTTAGCATTTATTTTTTTTTCAATTCGAAATCGCTGAAACCCGATTAGGAGCTACTTGGAGAATATTGCCCCAATAAATGCGCTAATCTTTTTTGGATCTGCCGCAAGCAATTGCTATTGCTGCCCGAAGCAATAACGAAATACGCTCTCTCGGGGCAATACACACAATATGGAACATGCCAGATTTAGTACAAAATGTATACAGACAAGCCAAATAATCCGTTTACAAGGCCGGGCAAATATTTACTCAAGACTTATGCAGTAAAAATACAAGAAAAAACGGTGATCGAAACAAAGTGGAAAAGGGCAAGGCTATAATTGGCCGGTAGATACGATAGGACGTTGAAAAATCTGACTTTCATGAAAAAAAAAAGTGGAGAGAAAATGTGACTTACCGATGCTCGGCGTCCGGTCCTGGAATTCGGGTGATAGCTTGATCCTACAGCAGGACGGACATAACTACAGTGGCGTGCCAATTTAAATCTACGCTTACTTTAAATTCTCAATTTCTCGTAAAATGTCAAGCGGGGAATATAAAAAAATATAAATTTTCATCACTCGTATCCTTCTCATATCAAATTGGAACTACCAGCATGAAATGCCATAAATTGGGCACACAATTTCCTAATTTCCGCTTCGTCAGACTCAGGCACAAAGTCAAGCATGGAAGGTGGTTGCCTCGAGCTTGTGTAATGCTGCAAATTCATTCTTTGGCAGAAATTTTTACGCGCTTTTCATCGGGGCAGTAAAAATCGGATCTCTCGGCGTTTTGCTCTCCTCTCTATTTATTCTTCGAAAATTTAGTGAAAAAGTGCTTCAGGGACAGACGGTTACTATTTTTCCTGCGCCCGGTTGTAATAATTTGCTACACGCGCTACGATGCTAGGGGAGTTTGAAGAGTTTTCTTTTTTTGTTTGCCCAAGCACAAGCGCCATCGAGCTATACTCAGTTATCGTATCGAGAACACAGTTTTCCTGCCACTAGAACTACACGCAGCATAGAGAGCATCTTATGTAAGCATCTATTGTGCCTTTGAGTAACGTGAGGATTACTTTCTTTCTTTCACGCGCGTCAGCGCTGGGGCTGTAGACTTGAGCTTGCTATTCCCCGCTATTTGAAAACGTTCTATAATCCCCTCGGGCGCGTGGTCCAAGAAAGAAGACCTCTTCGTATTGTTTTATGTACGGTATATTATTCAGAGAGATAAAATACTCGAAATATCGTCTCCACCACTGTACATTAATTTAAATTTGGAGAAGCTCTTCTTCAGCTGCGAATTAGCCGCAAATGAATTGAGAAAGAAATTTATCGCGTTTGATTGATGAAAATATAAAATTGGAAGCCCAATGATGAAATCATAGAAGAGAATCTTCGCGTATAAAAAATTCAGAAGAATAAATAGAGAGCACAAAAGGACCGAAACGATATGTTTTAATTGCGCCTCTTATGGTTAATGGTCGAGTGACGAATTAGGGGTTGAGGGATGATCTACGCGTCTGAACTATTCTCTCAATTCTTTCTGCCTGAGTCATAATTCAGTGAATATCTAATTTAATATTTGCGCAAATTGCCTGTATCTTGATCCTCTCATTTTCGATCTTTACATTATTTTTCTTTTTCTATTTCGATCTCTAATTATAAAAAAAAAGTTTTTCTTGTTTTATTATTTTTACTTTCTGAAAATAGATTTGGAGAGGCAAAGTAAGTGGCCGCAGTTAAAAGCTCGAGCAGCTTTCCGCGGCGCCCTGCTCTCGGCCACTATTGCCCGAGAATCGTTCCCTCACTCTCTGTCTCTTTTACGTCGAGTGATGCCCTTCAGGCACACGCTTCTCCTTCTCTCCCTCTCTTGGGCACACGCTTACATACATTACAAAAAAGAACTTCGGAAAAAAACGATGAAAAAACGAGCAGCTTCAGCGAGAGAAAATGATAGACGTCACGCCCGCGGCCAGTTCTCGTCCTGTCTGAGGGCGCGAGCGTAACTTATGGCGCGTTTTTACTGTATTTCGCCTCCGGAATTGAAATCATGAAAGATGAATTGATTTAATTTCCACAAATAATCGCATCGAAAATCTAACTCGTTAAAATCTCCACAATAAGGGATGAAAGCCGCATTTTTAGGTTTAGTCCAACTTGGGAATGATAATCTCCCCAGAGGGCTGCCGCACTAACCGGTCGCCACTTAGCCGCCTTATCCACTTTATTATTCGCAATTAAACTTGCCTTTTGACACCTAGGTTTTAGTTTCTCAGTCTTTCCGTTTTATTACAACAATGGAAAATAAGAAAAAAGATCACCAAAAGACACACCCGTTAGTTTTTGCGTATTGAGGAACCATTTACCGTTATCCGAGGTTGTGGGCGGCCACTGGCCGTTGGTTCTGTACTTTCCCATTCAGAAGAAGCTGTCGAAATCGTCATTTTTCGTAAAAACTCATCCGGAGTCCACTCGGGGATTGACCTTCACTTCCGGGCGTTTTCCTTTATGTTTTCTACCAAATCTCTGAAAAGGTGAAAAAATCAGCAGCGAGAATCCAGTGGGCAGGAAAAAAATGAAGAAGGAAGGTTTGTAATTAGAGAAAAAGTAATTATCAACTTGGGAACATCGCCATCATTGGACTGTGAAAGGCTCTAATTAAAATCGCAGTACAGTATATTCTGAGACTGATTCGCGAAATCTATCCTCTGAGATCATAAGGGGGATATTTCTAGCGAAAAATATATTTCAAATTTGAGCTTTTTTATAGTTCAAAAACGCTGGTAAAAATGAGTGTCTTTGAACTCAAGTTAGTTCTAATGCATTTAACGCGAATCAAAAAAATGACGTCGGTTCTCTATCTGGAGCCCTTTTCCTGTGCCTTATTGATTTGGGTAACTTTGAGTGATCCTCTAATAAGACGCTTCGAAGTCTACCAGCCTGAAACTCTTTGACGAATAATTCAGCTGCTTTTGTTTTTCGCATCACTCTGACTTGTCTATTTTCTGAACAAAGTTAAAAGCAGATTTTCCTCCTTTTTTGGAGAGCGAAATTGGTCGATAAATTGGTATAAAATTACTACAGTGACTGACACTTGGACAATCAGCGCTGACAAGGATCCTTCAATATAATTTATTATATATATGCTGTGGAACATTGCGCTTGGCTAAGACGCTGGCACATACTGTACTTCAAGCACTTATGCACTTTGGAATGGTAATTTCGACCAAACTCGTGAGTTCTCTGGCGTCGAAATATACAAAATGATTCGGTTGTAGTTAATGCTGCTTTTAACTCATTTTCCTTGATCCATGGCTCGACTCAGTAGCTCAACAGGTTCATGATAGAGCTGATACTTTTCACAAATCGCTAGAAACAAAGTAAGCAAAAAACGGACATAGTCTATGTCACATAGACGAAATCATATTGTGATGAGCAGTACCTGCCAAAAGAGTATTTATGTTGTCGCTCGGGAGAGACAGGGAGGCGAAATTTGTGTAGTGATTCCAGCATTCGCGTTGGTTCAAAACGTAAAGAATGTAGTCGGCGACCTGGACATGACCGTCTGGTATAAGATCGACTGGGAAGAGATTTCCAGCCGCCAAGGCAACCTAAAATGTTATTTATTCAATCATAAACTTATTCAATAAATAATCTTCTAGTATCACTAATTCTTTTCATTTTGAAAAAGGACTTTAATACGAAAATGCCTTACCGAAAGTAACTTAAAAACTTTCTTGAAAAATTTCTCTGAAGATAGTAAAAAAAGATTAAATCGAATATGTGAAAAGAAAGATAAAAAAGAGCGCAATACAACTGCTATAAATACATTTATTTACGTATTTTCTCCACTTGATCTCGTGATATTAAAAGATAACTGATGAGACGAATTATTTTCTAACGCTCTCCGAAAATCACTTAAATTCTCTTGTTAGGAAGCAAGAATTTAAATATAAAATTCAGTTGATATTTCAGAAGACTATTTGCCCTTATCCAGAACAAATACGAAACTGCTCAAACAAGAGGGATCTTAAAATTTTAAGATCCCAAATAAAAAACCAAAAATATGTTACAGAAGAATGTCAAAAGCCTTCTCTCAAAAAAAAAGAATAAAGTCAATTAAAAAATAATCTCTCATCTTTTAAAAATGACAATAATTGAACTTGAAAAAGTATTCGAAAAAGCTTTCTTTTACTCTGACTGTACCTGTTTTATTCTGGCGACATCTTCGAATGAATAGACGCCCGGAGTGTCTCTCACAAATATCCGCGGGCTTTCATGCACCAATATGCGTTCGGACAATTTCTGAGAAGGGCTCTGACAGCTTTATGCTCTTGCTAAATACGTTTTCAATTTGGCCTTGGACAATTATGAAGGAATCCGATCGAAAGTATCTCGCTTTCGCGCAATTTCCCAGGCCACCTTTTCCACCAAAACAGCTTTTTAAACAAACTCTCGCGAACTTGTCTACTTTTATAATAAAATTTCCAATAATAAATATTTTTAATCGAAAATCTTCTGAAGAATAATATCTCTAAAGACTGATCTGATCTGATTTCCGAGACATTGCAGTCTTCTTTCAAGGGAAGTATAAAAGATAACTGCTAGAAAGAAAAAGAAGTAGAAGAACAAAAGAAAGGGAACCCCACCCAGGTGACGTCAATTTGACTTGACTCAAGCTCAGAGTCAAGCTCACTCGACCTTGATTTCGAACTTCCGCCCTTGGCTAAATCAATTTGATATATTTGCCTATTTTTCTATATTTAGATTTTTCATTTTCAACCCTTTTTTATCGTCGAAATAAAACGCTTTTTTTCATTGAGCGAAGTCTCTAGTGAGATGACGGTGACGTCAATGCTCAAATTATTTCTTTCAAATATATATAAACTAATTGAGGGATGGAATGGAGCCCCTGTCCCGAGTGATTGCAGGCGCGTCTCCTGTTAGGCACACGCCGCGGTGATTGATATTCTTCTCAATAAATGTCCGGCGCAAGTTGTTGATCAGCGTCGATTTTCCTGTGTTCGCTGGAATGGGTTTTCTTCGGCCGGTTTAATCTCTTGTATACCAATTCAAAATAAAAAGTACGACAATGGAAGTAGTAAATCTATATCCCTCTAATCTAGATCATCTGAACTTCAAGAACGGTTCATTCAATTTAATTGGGACGGTACTATTGTTTCACTTTAGAATTATTTTGGGGAGGTGATAATTGAGTCAATCAACAGTTTCTTCAAACGTGCATTCTGCATTGAATTTACGACGCCCTTCTTGTGTCATTTATTCTGTTCCAAAATGACTAATTTGGGTCAGCTAGGGTCGGATTTGCAGATCTGGGGTCTTATGGCTTCGCGTAATTTGGGGATCGAGGAAGAACATTTTTGATTTCTCAGATGCTGTTCGAGTCTCTCTATTTTTAAATGCTTTCTCCATGGAAAAACGAGCTTGAAGAGGCTTCGTTTGATCACGTGACCGTTCCACTAAAGCGAAACAGTAACTATTTTCGAGCTCAAAAATTCGCCCGCCCTACAGGTAGTCGTAGAATGAAAGGTATAAAAAACCCAGCCCGTATCCCGCTGATCAGACACTCGATAGTTCCGCGCTCAGATCGCCATCGCCGCGTAATTTTTACTACTTTTTCCAGCAGCTCTGGGAGCATCGATGGACTTGTTTCGTTCGCGCAGCCCCAGACGACAGCTTCTGCCGATTCTAGTTCTTGCTGCGTGAAGTACTTTTTCTCGGCGGGAGTTAGATTCGCCAGGTCTTCTTTGTTGAAAAGAACTAGCTAAAGAAGGACTTTATTTCATGTAAAAAAGATGTAATGATATCTTATCAAAGCTCTTGAAAGAAATTGTCGCGTAAACGAGTGACGATTGTCACGTCAAAAATAACAAGTATCTTCAGGATACTATATTCTGTGTAACTTTCAATTCTCTAAAGGCGGAGAAAAATCTTATTCTAAGACTAACTTCAAACTTTATGGTCTTGACTATTTTGATGTTGAAAATAGGCAACGTACAAGACCGTGTACGGAAATTGGTTATCAAATAAGTTAGTGATAACTAGAGTTTTTTCTTCTGGACATGATTTCCTTCTTTAGAAACGATTAAATTAATTATGTTATTTATTATGTTGATTTTCGATCAGAAGTGACAATAGTCACTGAAAGTTAAAAATTTTATTTGATTTGATCAAGGAAAAGTATTCTAAAGAACAACTTTGATTGCTTACGGACAGTATGATCTAAAAAATTATTATCGATCCCCTCAATAGTAGATTTAAAGTTTTTACTCACCCTTGGAGCGCGTCCCTGCGCCGCAAAGTTGTAATTTCGCGAGCTCAGCGGAAGGCGCGCGTCGACAACTTCTATGACGCAATTGACCTTTTGAACTTGCGAGGAAATGTTCGCTGCGTTTCGCCCTTATATCAAAGTTTATCTTCTCTGCCCATATTGTCTCGTTAGCTCTGGAAAGGGGCATCTACGGTATTCGCTACGCCGCGAAAGAACAAAAAAAAGGCGATTGAATTTGTTTATTCTTCTTCTTTCCATTTTAGAAGTCAGACAAGGGCAAGGATAATAAAATTGATTACTTCTATTTGCTTTTAAAATCTTCCTCTTCTACCTTTCATATGCCTCGGGAGCCACTTTTTCGTCCAATTCGTCCCGTACGGTTGAAAATATTCTCTTTTCCAAAGTCTCGCGTTTGAAATTTTGATTTGCAGCGTTTTGGTCAAATACATTCTGAAGTTGAGAAAGTTGGAATTAGAATCTGCACTCAAACGGAGTTAAGTTTGAGTAGTATTAAATAGAAGACGTCAGTTAACACACGGGCCTGCTGTGTTCCCATAATCAGCAGGAGCAGGAACTTTTTTCTGTCAAAATTGATGGATTCTTGAATCCAAATAGATTAACCACATGGAAGACGTCTATTAACCCCCCGGGACGTCTACCAGACAGAAATGTCTGCGATCTGAAAAATAAGAACAATAGCAAAAGTGAGTTACATAATCATAACTGTCCGTAAGAATATATTTAAAAGGTACACAGTCTAAAAAGAAACCGAAAACAAGAAAAATCTACTCTTCGATTTCTTCGCCTTCCGATGAGCCATCGTCTGTTTCCCACTCTTCTTCTTTGATATCGTTCATGGCGGCCGCGTCTTCCGCCATTTCCTCGTCCTCGTCTTCCGTATCTGAATCGTCCTCGGCTGTGTCTTCAGCTTTCTTCGAGGATTGGGTGATTTTAAAGACTAGAATAAAAATTGAGTAACGAAAGAAAGTTTTTTGAATAAAACTCTCTAGTACACCATAACCACGAATTTTTGACTCTTTTCTTACCTTGAGGGCCACCTCTTTCCCCACCAACAAGAACCAGCGCTGATTTCTCTTCTGGACAAAGGACGGTGGAGAAAATCTTCCCTCCCTGTTTCTGCCTCCTCCGACTGTATTGAGCAAGAGGCTGCGTCTTGACGTTTTCCGCTGTCAAATGTTTTGACACGTTCCAGACGGTAAGACTGGCGCCTGGCATGTGACCAGAGGAGAAGAGATGCTCGGAGCTGCGGAATTGGAGTCCCGTGATCGGCTGGCTCGGCAAATGCGCCGCCCAATGCGCCGTCATCGTTAGGCTCGCCCAGAGTTGCAAATTTTTGAAAATTTTTTCTGAGCTGAGCTAGCTGAGCTGAGGTCGAAATTGAGCTGAGCTGAGCTGAGCTGGCTCCTTATAAAAAACAACTGAGCTGAGCTGAGCTGAGCTGGTTTTTATCAAAAAAATTGAGCTGAGCTGAGCTGAGCTGGGTCATATTTGAAAATTTTTGAGCTGAGCTGAGCTGAGCTGGTGATTTCTCAAACTGAGCTAGCTGAGCTGAGCTGACCATTTTTTATGCTGAGCTAGCTGAGCTGAGCTGAGCTAGCTGAGCTGAGCTGAAAAAGCTGATTTTTATTTACTATAAAAATGCCAAAAAAATGTGTTGAAGCGAATTTCAACCTTCTAGAGTAGATGGACAGGGAGCCCCTGCCCTCACACACCCCTAGACCAGCATCTCACTCGCAACATCGCACCTTTTTGACATAAAAAAATTTATTCTGTCATTTAACAATAAGGAATCCTCCAAAATATTATACAGTGGTATCATTTATGTGGATGAGCCAATGTTTCAACCTTCTAGCGTAGATGGACAGGGAGCCCCTGCCCTCGCACACCCCTAGACCAGTCTCTCACATTCGCAATCAAATATTTACCATCTGTACTTAATTATTTCTTTATCGGAAGCCCTTTTTTTTATTAAATTTCTCTCTTGTTTCAAAGAAAACTCGAATTATTTCTATCTAAAATTGACCAACAGGAAAGCATGAATAGAAAATACGTCGAAGTTTTTGAAAAAAAGACCAATCAAAAGTGGTTCGATCTTTGTCAGCTCAATAGACTGAGCTGAGCTGAGCTAGCTGAGCTGAGGTTAAAATTGAGCTAGCTGAGCTGAGCTGGCTCTTTTCGAAGAACCATTGAGCTGAGCTAGCTGAGCTGAGGTCAAATTGAGCTGAGCTGAGCTGAGCTGACCCTCACCTCAAAATTGCTGAGCTGAGCTGAGCTGAGCTGTAGCTCAGCTAGCTCAGATAGCTCAGCTCAGCTAGCTCACAAAATTTGCAACTCTGGGCTCGCCTGGTTGATGAGACAGATATTGCCTTCTGCCGTGCCGACGGCGATCAATTCTTCCGAAACAGCAATCTTCTCTATTTCGGCGTTGAGTTTTAGGTCTCGTACGCAAACCCATTTCTCTCTGAAACGAAAAAAATTGTCACAAATACACAATAAATTATAAAAATTCAATCTAATGAAGAATATCTTTTTCTTATTACTTCTTTGAAATTCCTTTTGATAAGTAATAAAATGTCCGAAGATAGATAAATCGACTTCTTTATTCCTTTTTCTCTGGTAATGAAATAGATTACCTTTTGTCGAATATTTTGGTGAGGCCAACGCCGTTGCCAGTAATTATGCGCTCGCTCTTGGAAAAGATAATTTGGTTAATTGGAGAATCAGATTTCTTTCCCAGCGCCACTTTCTGCGCGTTCTCCAGCGACCAGACAAGTGCCTGTCCGTCCGTTCCGCCCGAAGCAAGTTGATTCTTTCCGTCCCAACTGAGGGAAACGACGGCTGTGTCCTTAAATAAGTCTCAAGTTAGGTTCTTGCGGAGTAAGTTGATTTCTGTTACCTTTTTATGTCCATTCAAGACGTACGCTGGCCCTGGAGCGTTGATAATGTCCAAATCCCAAATCTGTATTTCGCTGGTGATCGTTCCCACAGCGACAAAGTTGTTGCCATACTCTGCGCCTTCTTCTTCCTCCACAGCTTCGCCGATTTCGGAATTGATGTAGGCGAGAACGAGGGGAGGGCCGGAAAGGGGAATGTCGTTGCGGACGTAGTATTCTTCGTTCGAGTTAAAAATTCGAACCTAGAAATTATTTAGAAAAGGAAATTTATACTCAATACACTTTAAAAAGCAGAAGGCGGCTTTTTCATCTTCAAAATGAAAAATTATGAAGAAGCATTTTAGATTCAGAGATTAAAAATACCTCAACAGCTGCAGTTCCTTCTGGACTATCCACACCAGCTAACAGAACATGATCTTCCGGTTTGATCACCAAATCTTCTTCGTCTTCCTTGTCGAATTCTCCAACGGGGGTGTACTCATCTTCTCCCTCGTGAACCAAAGCGCCGATGCTGCCTGGATCGATGATTCCCGGCTCGTCGTCGTAATCGTCCAGGTTGAATTTATCCCACACATCGCTGTCTTCCTGAAAATGCATTAAATTCAACTAAACAAAGGCTTTGTTACAAAGCACGAAAACTTACCTTTTCCAATTCCGGTCTGAGCGCTTTCTTCTCATCCGATACAGTTTCCATATTTTCATCCTCTGATTCTAGCTCCTCTTCGCTCTCGTCTGCTTTCACTTTTCCCAGCTTTTCTTTGATCTCGAGAAGCTCATCTTCTTCCAAATTCACGCGATCTGGGACGCTTTTCAGAACTCCTTTAGGAAGCCACGCTACGCTTAGAGTCCGCGGCTCTGCCATTCTGAAACGTTTTTTTATATGAAAATTTCATCTAAATCAGTTTTTTAATTGCCAATATTAGATTTTCATACAGAATTTCAAGACAATGTTCCAAAATAATTTTGCGTTATTATTTCCAACTCATTTATCTTGCTTAAAATTGTATTAAATAAATTTTCTTTATTTATTGGTCTCCCTTCTGTATCATTCTCTTATCCCATCGTCATTATCCCAAAATCTCATTTTTCTACATTTCCAGCCAGCGGGCGGGAATCGGAGGACCCATGGGAACCTCGCCTCTTCCAGCAGCCGGAGGACCAGTGGCACTTTCTCAGAGCCCCTCCCTCTTTTTCTCAAAACCGTCTCTTCCTCAATATTTTTGTTTAGTCCTGCCAGGTTTGCCAAATAAATAAAACGAATTTTATATCAATTTTCAAGGTGAATTTATTTTTTTAATAAGATCGGCGATCTTAGATCGCTTTCTTGACTCTTCGTTTTTCGATCTTAGAGTTGTTTGTGATCTTCCTGAATCGATCAACGTTTCTGCCGAAATTCTGGACCATTTTCTTGAGGTTGTTGTATTTTTCCTCAAGAATCTCATATTCGAGCTGTTTTTGGTTGCATGACTGACATTCCTAATTAATTGAATATCAAATTGAGGACCTTTTTATTGTATTCTTACCGAATTGTCGCAGTCTCCTCCTTTGCTGAAGAATTCTATCTTCTTTCTCGCTTTGCCAGTTCTTGGCATAGTGTCCACAATATTTGCCTTCTTTGCTGGGCTTTCTTCCGCATCAATATCAATTCCTCTTTTCCTGGAATTTTTCTTTGCGGTGATCTCCTGAAAATAGATTTACATTTACCAAATGAAAGTTGTTCTTACTTTTGGATCTGGACGCCGCGGTTTACAACTGGAATAGTTCTCTTCGGCTCCCTTTTTGCTCCAAAACAGCTACCTTTCTGACAGGAAGGGTCCGGTTCAGCGCTGAAAAAGTTCTAATTTTCGGTTTTTGCTCCATTCTCAACTGATTTTAGTTGGCGAGTGTCGTGCATTACGCGGATTTCAAATCAGATAGCACTTGATTTGCGCCAAGATTGCATACAACCGTTTTTGAAAAATTTTGGCAAAGATGAAGCGGGTTCGCTTGACTTTCAGTTGCATTCATTTTGTTATCGCGAAGACCGGTTATGTCAAAAAATCTAAGCGCGTGAGTTTCAAAATGAAACGATCCAAAATAATATTTTTTATTATTCTTTTCGCTGTCTTCTCGATTTGCCTTTTGCATTTCTTCAGGAAAAGCAAAAATCTTTATTCCTCTGGCGAAAAATCTAAGCAGTTAATTTCCCGAAAGAAATTAGGCAAGAGAAATGAATTCCCTTTGATGCTTCTTGTTTCATTGCCAGGAAGCGGAAACACTTGGTTTAGACAGCTATTCGAAGAAACTACTGGTTTTTATACTGGCAGCGCATATTTCGACGATGCTCTCATCTCCGGAGGACTTCTTGGAGAAGCTACCCGATTTGAAGACGGACAGACTCCACTTGTAAAAACGCATAGTGTCAAGCATGCTGATTTTTCAAAGGCGCAAGGAGCAATCCTCCTGATTCGAAATCCATACGATGCGACAGTTGCAGAATGGAAACGAAAACGAACCAAGTCGCATACTGGCATTCCCAGTGAGGCCATTTTTCAAGACGGTTTATTTGATCAATTCGCGAAGAAAAATCTACTTCGCTGGCGAAAGCTGGTATACGAAGTTTTCAATCATATGTCTTTTCTGAGAAAGAAGGTGAAAATCATTTACTACGAAGATTTAATGAGAAATGCAACTGCTGAGCTTCAAAAAGTACTTGACTTTTACAAAACCGAGATCAATTGGGATCCAGAAATTTCTTGGAAAGTGAATGTCGAAGGTCAATTTCACCGGCAAAGTCAGAAACCGACGATAGAATATTTTAGCGAATCGTTGATCGATCAAGGCGATTATAATATCGATGCTCTTAAGAAGTTCTTAATGCTTGCGAATGAGCCTGTTTTCAATAGAGGTGAATACTCTCGTGGAAAGAAAGTCGAGTTTGAATACCTTGAAGAAGATATTCTCAAAAATAAGAATGCTGCACATAGATATAAGGCTTCTTATGCAGCCAACCAGCAAGGAAAACTTCCTCGAAATTATTTCCAAGACCCGTTGATGTTGTGGAAAAATGAATGTTCTCCACAAGATGGCGTTATTTTTCTGAGAAAGCATAAATCTGCCTCTTCCACTCTAAAAGCAATGGCGGAGAAATTCCTCGAAACTATCGGAGTTGAATCAGAAGAGCCGTTTAGTGGTCCCCTAGGAGGTTGTTTTCCAGCTAAATTTGATGAGCGATGCTGGTCAGGTTCAATGAGGAATGACCCTGTGCTGGCGATGACGTTTCATTTTCGATGGAATCCGGAATACTTGCCGAGTATTCTTGACAAAAATCGGCGAAAAGTGAAAACCTTCACATCCATAAGAAATCCTCTTGATGTCTTTCGGTCTGCACTGAGTTTCTTCAATAGACAGGAATTTGCAAAAAACTGCGAATTCGTTTGCTGGGGAGAACCTTATCGCTCACTTCTAGGAAAATCAAGTGAGCAAACGACAGCTAATGAGGTGATAGAATCCATGCCACAGAATTTCAGCATTGATCATCCGCTGTCATTCCGAGTTAGCAATATGCAGAGCTTCGAGCTTGGAATGCATCTGGACAGGTTAAATGACACGAATTATGTCCATGAAACTCTCCAAAAATTGGAGAAACAGTTCGATCTGGTGATCTTGGCGGAGCGTTTTATGGAAGGAGTTGTCCTACTAAAACATATGCTTTGTTGCGAATACGAAGATCTTTATGTCTCGTCGAGAAATATCAGAGAATACGAGAAGACAGAACTGACCAAAGAACAGCTCAAAATCTTCAGTGATTTCAACAAAGCTGATTTGATGATGTACGACTTTTTTAACCATTCGTTTGAGCGAAAAATTCAAGCCTTTGGGAAAGAGGTAAAAAGAGGAAATTATTATAATTTTAGCATTTTTAGAGATTCGATGACGAGTTGCGCATTGCAAAGGAAACATTTAACAAATGCGAAAGCAATGAGTTGGACTGCGGTCTAACTCGGAAAAAGATCGGTAATAAAATAACAATACGAGCCTCTTCATGACTTGTTTTAGCGCCATCGTCAGTGAAAATAAACACTCCGTCACTTTCTTTAGACGAATTTCTAAGTCTTGTCCGCGAGAACAAGGGACAATGTGAAAATGAATTCCACTTTTATAGAGTCATAAAGAAGATCAAGAGCGGAGAGCCACCAAAGTTAGACCAAGCTGATGATCTTAAAAGATGTCTGCAAATTATTGAAACGAAAAAGCAATTAAATGATACATGATGTATGAAAATAGTTGTGGTTCGACCGCCGAATCAAATTGTTCAATTTTATTAAAAGATATGTACACAAATAAAAGACATACAAATTTTACTTCTCCACAGCAGTGACAATCATCTTTGGGCTCACTTCTTTGACATCAAAAAGTGAGTCTTGTCTCAAGTCTTCCACTGGCAGCAGGAATTTGACATTATCTTTACTAAGTGTATAGCATCCCTTGTTTTTCATGATTGGCATTGTTGTTGTAATCTTTTGTGAGGTTCCAGCGAGCCAAAATTTGCTCCTGATGGTTTCCTCTTCTTCGTTGATTTCGTAAGCGTTGTTGGCCATGAGAGTGCCGACGATGCCTTCTGGGTTGTTGAGCTGCTCAGATTCAGATGCTTCGAATCCAAGCTGGTCTTTGTGAACATGAACGCGCATTGTAGGTCCATCTTTTTTATATTGTTTAATGAGAGAATCGATGATTATATCATACCTCGAAGATGGATAAGAGCAACGTGTTTGCCGTGACTGTCGTGGTGTCTCTGGATGAGAACATCTCCGAATTCCCACTCATCAACGTTGTTGTAGATGAGCGTGAGCTGCCTGGAGCCATTCTTGCCAAGAGTAATGTTCTTCGGCGAGAGTTTAACAGTAGTTCCGGAATGAGTCTAAATAGTATAAAAATCACGATTTTCATGTGGCTTTCCTACCGTCAGACCAACTTCCTCAATCCATGAGTGCTTTTGATTGCCACCGAATTTCGCGTTGACAGTAAAATCATGAAGATTGTCTTTCAACAGTGTGAAAATATCACCATCTTTGCCTTGGAAGTTGAAACACAGAGTTGGCTGACCAGGGGCAGATACTTTGAAATGAGGGTCAGCGTAGACATTGAAATAGCTGCTCCCGCCGCCCATCGTGTTGCATGTGTAGCTTCCAAGAGTGTTGACGCAAACCGGCTTGGTTGCTGGACAAGGGGATGTCAAACATTCGTCGATATCTTCGCAGGTACCAGCGATATCTTCATAGCCGTCGTCACATGAGCAGTAGCTATTTCCGACTGCATCAGTAATGCAACTTCCGTACAAGCCGCAATCCTCGTTACAAGTATTAGTTGTTGGAGGCTTGGTAGTTTCTACGTTGAAATATCGTTCTTCCTGTCCGAAAACGACCGTGGCAAGAGTGAGTTTAAAAGTTTCATATCGGTTAGTTATGAAGGTTTCTCTCAAAAATATTCTCCTTCTTTTATCAAGAAGTCAGTTAGCGTGTTCTGATGATTAGACCTGCAGCGATCGTAGTTTATATACACCCTCAAATTCGCTTACAGAGAGAGCGTGAAATGTTAAACCCTTGAAGCCTTTTGTACACTCCAGCTCAAAATGTTAATTGATGATGATCGCAATCCACTAAAAGCAAACGTATGCGAGAAATCGACTTTTACGGGTGCGTCTATCGATATGATTTTCTCGAATTGACTCAGATTTGATATTTTCACAGTCTGACATTGGTTCAAATGAGAACAAAACGCATTTTGTACAGTTTTTATTCAGTTTTATTAGCAAGAAAATATTTGCGTACAAAAGATTCTAGGTGAACCATTGCGAAGGGGATTTTATTGTGCTCAAGCTTAAAAAATAATGAAAAAGAACGTTTTCTCCTCCCACCTGTTTAGAAGTTTTAACTGCAGTGTCTTTATCGATAAGCTTTACTGGGCCGCTTTTGAATGCCAAAAACTGCACTTCAACAGCGCGTTCAAAATAGTAAGCATGATCGAAAGCTACAGCAAGGGTTTGTCCAAAGGTCAAAATTCCATGGTTAGCGAGGACGAGAACTTCACGGTTCGGCGCTTGAAAGAGAAGATTGGATATCCTTTGGGCTTCATCGGATTGTGACGTTGCGATCCCGTCATATTTATTTTCGTAAAGGGTGTTCAAGAGGAAGCGACAAGAGTTTTGATGAACTGGTTGAATGCTATTATTGCGGAGACAGGAAAGTGCTGCTGATTTCAGAGAGTGCGTATGAACGACAGCTTGAAATAATGTTGATGTATCATTTTCAAGACTATCTACCTTTGACATTTTGATGATCCTTGTAAATTTGTGAATGCAAATAGAACGCGGCATCGAGGGGCTGGTTCAAAAGCAGTTTGGGCTCCCTTTTAGAGTGGTCTCCGTTTGCCCAAGTCGCCGTTTGCCCAAGTCGCCGTCTGCCCAAGATCGCCGTTTGCCCAACTTGGGCAGACGGAGACTTGGGCAAACGGCGATCTTGGGCAGAGGGCGATCAAATTGAAAATATAATCATAATTCAATTTAAGGACCCCCCCATCAAGAATCGTCAAAATACGTCTCTTTAGTGAACGATTTTCTCGGAAACTATCTTAGGTATACCCTTAATTTAAACTGCAAGCTTTAGATCGAACCCTCGCCTGCAACCGTTCCCTTTATGGTGATATCTCGATATCAAACTTAAGGTTATACAGGCCATTAAAGGTAAGGTTGCTTAGTGAAGGTTTTTTTCGGGTTTTTAATTGGGGTATACCCTTAATTTTTTTTCAGGATAAAGTTAAGGCCCTTAGCTGCGACCGTTCCCCTTTTGAGAGTTTTTGGCTAACGAACTTTAGGAGGAAAGCCTCTTTAAAATTTAATCAGTCGAATTTTAGGCGAATTTCCAGATTTATATTTTCAGTTTTTATTCCCTAAATTGCCTTATTAATTATGTTTTTGTACTCCTTTTTGTGATAAAAATAGTTTTTATGATGGGTTTACCCTTAATAATCACTAAAAAATAGCGAGCTTAAGATTCTTATGAAAATTAAAACGCAAATTTTTAATTTTCGGAGCAAATTTCTGACAAAATTTTCTTAAAGAGCAAAAAAATTTTCTGAATAAAAGTTCTTCCTCGTCGTCTAAACTACCCAAAAAAGCTAAAAAACTTAGAAGATTTTGACTTTTTTCATCTTGATGGGGGGGTCCTTAAGGGGGAGTATCACGGATTTTGGGCTAAAGGGGGGTCGGAGACTTGCTCTCATTTCCAGCACACCTTAGATATCGCTAAAATTCCGCCTGTGGTCGATAGATATGACCAATATCTAGTGCTGTTTTTCTCGGATTTGAATTTACTCAACCGGTTTTGGCAGTAGAGAGCTAAGAGTCAACCCCGTTTTTCAAAAATCGCGATTTTGGGCTCTCGGAGGATTAAAATTTTTCTAAATAAATGAAGTCGGATCCTGGAATTCTAACTGGTTTAAGAAAGTTCAAACCCTTATCTAAGGCTGTTTTGAAGGAATTTTCCTGAGCCCAAGAAATTCTTAACAAAATTTTTTTTTTTGAAAAAGTGTTACCAAAAATGAAAATTTTCATGAAATCTATACGTATTAAAAAAGTCAAAAAAAAAAAGATTTTATGGTATTTTTTGTAAAAGGACATTCATCTTCGATAGAAAAAATGCATGTAAACGTAAAAAAAACACTCTGATAAAAAATTTTTTCACCAAGAATGCCCTCGAAAAATGTCATAAGGCGGGACGGGGCAAGTTTCAATGTCGTTTTTCGGGTATTTTTTCTGAATAATTCTAAAAATACTCAATATCTTTTTTGTTAGTCAAGGCCTAAGCTACAAGAATCTGGAAAGAGATTATTAAAATACCGACTTTGAAAAAGGCGTGATACTCCCCCTTAAAGAAATTAATTATGAAATCAAAATTAGCAGGATAGGATAGATTCGCTAGTTTTACGTCCGAGGCCTACACATTGAGGAAACGATGGATGCGCCGAGTCCTCACAAGCGCTAATCCCCAACTTGGTTGAATTGATGTTTTCCCATAATGCTGTTTCTTGTGATTCATTTTCGGTCCGTTCTATTTTTGGAAATGTTTCTTATTGAAACTTAGGGAAAACAGTCATTGTGAGAAGTGAGAAAAAGGGAAAAACTGATGGAACTTTTCCCAAAACCTCCGGGAGACGGACGGTGCCGGAACCAAATTGGTACCCGGTACCAAAGTCAAGCATATTTTCTGGCTCATCAAAAAACTAATGTCCGCTTCGCGGCTGCAGTGTGAGGAAACTCTATTTATGGACCGTCGGAATATTCGGAATATACCGAATGACCGACCTAATGACCGACCGAATATACTTCAAGTATAATGAATGATTAACTCTTCCGGGAATAGTTTATTAGTACTTTTATTGAGAATTTAGCGACTTTCATAATTAAACCATCCATTACGAAGGCTCTTCGTTATCAATGTAAACGATGTCATAATTCGGAAAGCTTCCGTAGAGTCCACGATACTGTTTTTTCATTTCGTCTCTTATTTATGTGTTTATGCTCAAGAATTTATTCGAAAATCGGATACAACTATTGAAAAACAATATAAAAGTAAGAAAATTGTGGTGGTCTTGTCAAGGATCCACGGTTAATAACCGTTCAAAAGACATCACAGGACAACCTTTGTTTTCACCTGAAAGTTTCTGCAAATCAGAGCGCAACCAGCAGACTAAGTGATGATAATGAAATTGTCGCCTTACTTCTATCATTTTATGATCAATCAATTAAAAAAATTCACATCGCCGTTTGCCTAAGATCTCCGTCTGCCCAAGTTGGGCAAACGGCGACTTGGGCAGACGGCGACTTGGGCAAACGGCGGCTTGGGCAAACGGAGACCACTCTCCCTTTTAATGAAATCTAAATCAATCCATTTTTCACCACAAAGCCATTTTCCATCAAGAGTGACTTCCAAAATATCTTCTGGTGAAATGTCGTCCCATTGAATTCCAAATGGCGCCTACTAAATGAACATAAAAAGTCATAAACGCCGAGCAAACCATCAGAATGATATCGCTTTTCTTTTGCCCATCCTCTACTCTGCATGATATATGATTCTTTAGGGGGTTTACTGATTGTTTCTGCAGAAAAGCAGACATTGATTTAACTTTATAAACCTCCATTTACGCCTTCATTCAATCCATACGCCGCTAAAGCTCTATGCGCCGCTGCAATTTCTCTCTTTTTCCTTTCAAATCTCATTAGGCTCTTTTATGGATCAAGCTCTGGAGTCCTCCCAAACTTTCAAAAGAGTTGCTCAATATGAGCCACTTCAGATTCTTGCTCGACGATGCCCCCAGGCAGCAGTAATTTATCGATCAAGTAATATTTAAAAAGTCAATAATTAAAAGCAACAAAGACGAATGTTTCAACCACTCGTCTCTGGTTTCGCGGTCACATGGTCGGTTAGACGTTTTTATTTGATGATGAATTGCAGAATTTCAGTGCAGATTTACAGATCTACAATGAAGAGGCTTGTCAATGAATTGCTTTTGAATACAGAACAAGTGAATGAATTGCTGAATCCGCGACTTTATTCTTCTTCAAACAGCATTTGAATCAGATCGGGTTTGAAGAGTTGGTCTTCGACCAGTTTGTTCTAAAATACGTACTCAACTCTGCACTGCAAAAAGAGTTGCGTCAGAAATTTGACGAGCGTAAATCGAACCTTCTCGCCATATTTTAAGAGTGTCGGCACTCCTGTGAGCTTGAGTTTAGGGTCAACTCGGAAGTCGTTCTTTTATTCTTCCAGTAAGTTCGTCCTCCGACGTCGACATGTACGAAAACAGCGCCTTCCGGCAGTCTTCCTAATTCGCCGTGGACAACCTAAACATCTTACTGAAAATAATTCGACAAGCAAAACGTACAGGTTCGGCAGTGACGCAGTCCGGGCACCAGCTCTTCCCATTTTCATCCTTGCCTCCACAGAAGAGCGCGAAGATGTCTTTCCCGCTGTTACTTTTAACAAATTCTTGCCACTCAGCGTATCCTGTGACGTGGTTTGGCATGATTCTGAAAGTCAAAATAAATAAGATTAATTTGAGAATCAGGATTTGTTAGATTAGAAGAACTTTGCATGGAATTCAATGTGGTCTTTCATGAAAGAAGAAATAAAAAAGTAGGAGTGATCGTATCCCTCTTGAAGGCGATATTCGACTTCCAACTGGTCGTTTTTGAGAGCAGCGGCAACAAACTGCTCGGGCAAAAGCTGTCCTTTGATCAGAAAATCATCGACGGAGCCCTGGTCGATGAGTACCTTCAACTTTGGTCCACTGTACTTTTCTGAAAGATAGATTTTAGAAACGGTTCAAGAAGCAAGTTGAAACCTGCAAGTTTGCTCGCATCATAAGCTTCCCAAGTCGACTTGTCTTCGCCCAAGTAGCCAGAGAAAGCTTTCTGTCCCCAAGGACAGTTCATCGGCGCACAAATGGGCGAGAAAGCGCTCACTGATTGATATTTTGATGGATTCTTCATCGCGCAAATGAGCGCTCCATGACCACCCATGGAGTGCCCGGTAATTGACTGCTTCGCCATATTGGCCTTGTCGCCCAGAAGTGCCGCGCAAACAGATGGAAGCTCCTCGGTCACGTACTCGTACATTCTGTACGGCTTCCACTTTTCCTCAGTCGCGTTGACGTAAAAGCCGGCACCGGTGCCAAAGTCCCAGGAGTCGTTGTCTCCTTCGATGTCGATTCCACGTGGCGAGGTGTCTGGGCAAATGACAACTAAATATTGAGTAAACTTAAAATTACCGCGAAAAAGAGCTTACCGATTCCTTGGGCGGCCGCACTTTGCTGGAAAGATCCTTTCTGGACACAATTGGCTTCAGTACAAGTAAGTCCAGAAAGAAACCAAAGAACAGGAAATGGCCCATCGCCTGGAGGAGTATAAACTGCAAATTTCATGGAACATCCAAGGACTTTACTCTTAGATTAGCGTCAACGAAGAGAACACAAAAGAAATCGTACCTCATGTGAGTAAACCTTCTGGACTCCTCCAAAACTCTTATTTGACGAAACTTCCTGCGCCATGTTTCTCTTAAAATGCAACTCTTTGAGTATGCGGGTGGAAACAAGATACGCAAGATTTATTTGAACATAAAATATGAGTCTGTTTGTTCTGCGAAAGAAAATATTTATTTTTTCAAGAACAGTTAATTCTTTGAATATGAAGATTCAAAGTAGAATGAAGTATTTTTTATATATTTTCACGAAATCGGTGCCAAGTTGATGAAGGTTGCACAAACCCAAAGCGTTCGCGATTTTGGCGAGGGCTTTCGCTAAAAACTATTTCGGCGTTGTCTTTCTCAAACTAACAAACCTTGGGAAAGCAGAGCTGATCCAAATTTTCTCGAGGATGTTGAATCGCGTCTCGGACAAATAGAGTGGTTTCCCGCGTCTGATTTTGAAGTCTTCCTCTTCGTATTTATCGAGGTAAATGGAGCCCCAACGTCGAAGGATCATGTTGTTTCTGATGATCATAATGGAGACATCGAAGAGAACGAAGAAGATTCCGTTCCCAGCGGAGCATTTATCAATATGAGATCTAAACAACTCAATGGCGAAATGGTTCTCTACATTATTTTTACTTGATAGGGGAAATGTGGCCAGCCTCATGACAGGGGTTATCAGCTTGGCTTCGATTATCATGCTCGTTATAACAAATTAACTCGCCACAGACAAGACAAATGACGCTCTTCTTTGGTAGTTTTCCACAGGCTTGACAAGGCGTTTTCAAACATGAATTGAGTAGATCACGGAATAGTTCTAAATCTTCATGAAGAAAATGTTGAGTATTTTATTATTACTTGGAGGTTTTAGCAATTGGGGCTTGTTGAAGAAGACGGGCTTTAGAAGAACGGCGGCAGAATTAGAAAGAAAACTCTTTTTATTGTTATTCTTTCCGGGAGGGAGTTTTTTGGTGTTGAGATTAGCAGCGTGTAAGTAATTTCTAAAAAGATTGAAGAATTTAATCCAAGACGAACTTACTGAAGCAGATTTTGAATAAAAGGTACTGGCTCGAAGAAGAGGTCGACTAGGTCAAATTTAGCCTCCGTTAGTTCGTTGATAGCATCATTATTCGCGAGTTCTGGTATTATTCCTAAGAAATAATATGAAACGAAGTTAAAACATTGTCTGTTTTACCAATGTAGCTGCAGAGACTGAAAACATCATGCTTTGTGCTCCACTTGAGATCAGGCTCGATACTGTGTGAGTATGGAAACACGTGGTGACACAGCAAAGCCGACATTTTTATGAAAGGCGTCATATACTGCTGAATTTTTTCCAAAAGCGCACTTTTTGTAAGAACTGATGAAGAAATGTATTCTCCGAGGGCATTGACTCCAAAAGCAGCTTCTTCGTCGCGGATGATCGACGCTATGGTTGAGAAAATAACCTTTGTTTTTGGAGGCAAATCTGAGGACAAATCGGATGGAGAAAAGAGATTGTGCTCGAGAATGATCTTGACGCAGGCTTGAACATAAGAGAGTTTGAAGAGAGCCTTGACAAATGTCTGGAAAAGCGTTTGAGACATCGATTTCATTGAAATTGCGAAAAGAAGCAGCAACCTTTTTGGATCCATAATCAGAATAGGCGTATAAATAGGCGTGTCGTAATTGAAAGTTAGATCAATTTGCATGTTGTTATGAAGAAGTTGGAATATGAGATTGACATGTCGAGAATATTTTTCAAATTCAAGAGGCATTTTAGATCGTGAGTTTTCAATAAGTTCTCGAAGAGGAGTCCTATGATTGTTTGACGCATCAGACTCTATACTTAGAATATCCAGTTCGAGCATATCTTGAAAGGCGGAAAGAGAATGACCCATCAGATTTGATCCAGTAAATGTCTTCCCATGTTGTCGCAGGGAGCGCAAAATTGAATAGTATAATAAAAAGTCTTGTTCTTGGGAATTGTGATGTGGAATGACGTCGCTGGTTCGAACTAATGACATTTTTCGTCTGGATGTCGAACACTCAAGCCGTAGATTGAAAAGTCCTTTCCAGTCGGTAAAAGAACTGAATATAAGCAACGGCACATGGGACAGGCGTAATTATGGTCGAAAACGACTAAGTCCGTACTTTCGGGCGGCTTTGATGAGTTTGTCCTGTGGCATTTAATATGGATATAATGACCGCATGTTTTGAGAACTGTTTTTGCATTGTGCTGGATGTCTTCGTGGTCGGCGTCTCTGACAAAAACATCAGCCGACTGTGCATTATTGATGTTGTCCATTGATGCTACATATGGCTCCTCCATACGATCATCAATGCCCAGAGACTCCTTTCTTCTTCCTCCCCCAAAACACTTCCATGCTGTTTGCTGGCACACATTCACTTGCATATTTTCTCTGTAACGATTGAAGAGCTCCAGTTTATTGTCTTGACCGGTTGTTTGATAATGGCTGATTTTCGTTCTGTGAACGTAGCACATAAGAGCGAGGTTGTCACCACCTTGGCGGCAAATGCAACAGATTGGACTGTCAACGTCTGATGTTTCCATTGCGATTTCTCGTATGGGTTTTTAATAAATCTAAAATCGGAAATATTTCTAAATGGTGAACCCATTCCTTCGAGGTCTGCCTTATTTTCAGTGCTGAATGCGGCAGATTTCTTCTTCATCTTCTCAAGAGCTCGTTTACGCGCTTCTTGGGCCATCAGCTTTTTGTTCGCAACTTTAGTACCACTATCTTTATTATTTTTCGCCCTCCTTTTTTCCTCATTAGCTTCGTATTGCGCCCGTACAGCATTGATTTTAGTTTGACAAGTAGCAGATTTATTCGAAAATTTAAGGATTATTCGTTTGATGAGATTAAGCATGTCAGAGTCAGCGCTTCCATTGAAGCCCTCGTTGTCATCTTCCTTTTTGTAGTTTTTGTGATAACAGAGCTTTACCAAAAGGTCGAGCATGCAACCCTTTCCTTCGATCTCTTGCATCGAGTTTGTCATAATGCAGTCAGAGGAATAAAGACTCCAACCAGATTCAGGGTCCGTATCTTTGACGTTTCCATAGTCAGACGTGTCAATCGCCCAGTCGAGAATAATCAAGCAATATGCTACCATACTGGATCGGAAACACTCTTCATCTTGAATATGATGCCAAAAAGTCAGAAAGCAGATGGAATGAAGCAACGATGATTTAAGAACGTCGTAGAGTCCTCTGTACATGTCTGAAAGTTTTGGCAGCGGACGATAGTTCAGACCAATAAGTCTATTTACGTCTTTTTCAGTTCTTTTTCCTCGGAGTTTGAGGTAGTGTTTTTGTCTACATCGCATGAGATCTTCGACCAGCACGCACCGATGGAGGGTAAAGATCGGGTCATATTTTGCCCAGCCAGCATCTGATAAACTGTAAGAGCCTTCTCCAAGATCCTTTGGTTTGTTGAACGTCGCTACCCGATCAAGCACTTCGTCAAGGTCGGAACTTTTCAGCTTGAAGTTGCTCACGTCGTATTCTTGAACATCCGATAGCCCAGGGATTTGATCAGCGAGGTCTGAATGACCTCGATCTCTTGCCGCTAAAACACAGATAACTTCCTTCTCCAGTTGTTCAATGGGAGTTATCTCCGTTGTGAACTTTTCAACTCCAATAGTCGTCAGAATTGTTATCATCGCCGATTCGAGCAAAGAAGCAATTTTAGACTCGTCCAGTGTAGTATCACTGCATATATCATCGATTGCCTCATCAATTTCGTCTGATTTTATCATCTTCCACACTCTCAGACGTTCAAAAAGCTGCTGAACCAGCAGATTCGGTGGTAAATAAGCCCAGACAAGTTGTACAAGATGCAAGTCAAGATCGAAAGTCGTCCCTGAGAACGAAGCTGATCGATAGACATGGACAAGAGAACGGGTGTTGTCGCCATTTCGAACCCAGACACGAGCCCGTACCTCATGCATCCCCGCAATTGTATGCTGCGCAGTATGCAAGAATGATTCCAGCTGATCTCTTTCGAAACTGAAGAATTCTTTCCATCCCAATCCGGGCAAAGACTTCCGAAGGTGGTAAATTATCGCACTCATCTGCCTTGGAAGCGAGATACTAAACGTAATCGTATCTGGGTCAACTTTTCCAGAACTTTTGCTAACGAAAAAATCGCGATAAGCCCTCATCAAGCATTTCCATGTACTGGTGACAGTGTTTTTCCACCGCGGCTCGTTTTCAAAGTGTTCTTTTCCAGTAAGCATCGAAATTATCCCGCTAAGAGGAACTGCTGATCCTTCTTTCTCCAGATAAAATGAAACATAAAAGAGTCGATCATACGAAATGTGATCGCCAATGGCCCGTGACTGAACATCCATCCCAGTGAACCAATTAATGATTCGAAGATATTCGTAGTAAAGATTGGAGGATTCTACCAGTTTTCTTGCTACAGAAGGATGATGAAGGCAGTTGTTCAAATCGGAAATAATGGGCCAGTAAACAGTTTGCTGAACAATCTCATGTCTACAATCGACGACTTTTCTCTTGTCGATTCCAGCTTTCAATGTTTGACGAAACAAAAGTCCAAGCGATTGTATGAAGACCTCGAGCAAGCTTCGTTCTTTAATCATACGCATAACTAGTGCTTCGTTAGAAAGAAGTTGGACGGAGATGTGAACAATTCTATTAGCCAAAGAATCAGGCTCGTTGGAAATAGTCAACGATTTCGCAGTGAATACATAGTTCTTGACAAAACAACCAGTTAGTTGCTCTTTATACGCATCATTGGGTAGAAGATGCAGGAGGAAATTATTGAGCGTATCTGGAAAATGCATGCGAGATAACCAGAAAGCGAATTCTTCCAATACAGTGGAACTTGAACTGAGATCGAATCTGAGAGCAGCTGTGCATTTTTCATCATCTTCATGGACGTAATTGTTCAACGCTCGTAGTTTTTCATAAACGTAGTCTCTTGTTCTTCTGAAGATTTCCTGGTTCTCATGATTCATTTCTGGTCGTTCGCAGCTTTCGAAATCGGCCAGCGATTGGAATAAAACTGAAACGACGACATCTTGCAGGGTTGTTCCGATTTGAATGAGTTGAATTAAGAAATCGACTAGTAAGCTGAATCCTGCATTGAATTCGGGCTCTCTGTTGAAGTGAACTTGTCTCAAGTCGTTTTCAATTTCGTTCCTGTGACCATGTGCCTCGCCTATCCTTCTGAGTAGCTCCGCACCCCGTTCATTCGCATTCTCTTCTGTTGGATCAATGAACTCATCTGTATCCAATATGTCCGTATCCATTTCTTCGACCTCGGGAGATTCCGCATCCATGAGCCCGGCAGCGACTAGTTCTAGCGGCACAATATCATCTGGTCGTTCAGCGGTTCCCCCTTCCGGCGGGGGAGATTGAACGGTTATTTCATCACCCGGCATTGGTTCATCCTGCCCGAATTCAGTAGGAAGCGGACTCTCGGTCATTCTTTCTACATCTTCAGGAGGCGGCGGAACTGGAATGTCTTGAGGGCTGTTGGGAGTTCGAGTTGAACTAGTTGTGCTCCTGGAACGCTCTTCTTTTTCCAGACGATCTTTTAAGAATGCTTCGATTTGTTCCCTCTTGTTGTCTTGAAACTTGACTCGCAGTTCATGCAGTAGTCGATAGACAATTGAAGATATAATTGGCGTACAAGGCTCCAGCGCTTCAGCGGGCGGATTCGGAGCAACAATGACTTTTGAAACATGTTTCGGGCAAACTCCCTAGATTATGAATTATGTTTGAACATTGTTAGTAGCTGTACCTTTTCACACATAACGTTGGTATCGCCACAGTCACATGCTCCCCCAGCACCTGACTTGAACATGTTGAAATCGTGGCCCTCGTGGTCTCCCGCCTCAAAACAAGGCGCGCAGAGCGACATGCACGAGTTAAAGGCACACGTTCGACACCTGTAAGCGATATACTCTGAGCCCCATATTTTGCCACATGACGTCGCGCCGCTATTGTGATAGCTTTTCATTTTGTCCTGCCATCTTTCAAAGGATTGATCGCCGCCTATGTTTCGTTTGAGAACCTCGATAGTTTGCGCATCGATGTTCCGAGTGGGATCGAGTGCCGAGGCGATCTCCTGGCCGATAGCCTTGTAGCGTTCGCCGAACGAGTGGATCGGTTTCCGATGGACATTCACCATTTTTCATAAAATCATTCTGGACAAGAAAAATTGGATGAAAACGAAGATGGTTCTATTTTTTGTGGGATCGTGTTATCATTAGAATAAATAGACTTGATTTTTTTCGATAAATGAATCAGAGAAGTTAACTGAAGATATCCGAATAAAAATAAAAGGAGCTCAGAGGCAGCTGCTGGCAGAAATATGGAAACAAAACTTGCACTTTTATCAACAGATGAAATCGTAATCAGTAGCGACACGAGGATCGGGAATCGAACGCTCGATGCTTCCACGCCAAACCTTCGCGATTTCCTTCCCGTAGATTTTCTCGAACGAAGGGAGCGCCGCAAATCGCTGGCATATTTGTTCCCGTATGTCTGTGAATCCTGGGCCGGACCAGATTTGGTTGAAGTTGTTGACGCCTTTGTAGAATTCGAGCGAATCGTTGTGTTTTGCCGTCGCGAGAATCGTTTTCAAAGCGCGCTCCCGAGTCTTTTTCGATGGATCGTCCGCGTTTACAACCAACTTATGAGCATAAGAAACAGGAAACCAAAAGGCGAAGCAATCTTGTGTGAGAAGAGAGTTGTCAAGAATTGCCCGGAGACAGTCCATGATCAGGTCTTGCATTTTGTCCACAGATGAATTTTTATCAATGACGCGCATAAGCGATGTATCGTTACGGAGACGATCCTCGATTTCAGGCCGTTCGGTCATCAGCAGAGTGCAGGTCTGTAAGAAAAAGGATTCATCCCCACAACTTTTTTTTTTGGTAAAAAATGATTTATCAGACTAATTCTTTTTTTTTTGAGAGATTTTTCACCAATTTTCCTTCTTGCGAGTTGCTCAAAATACCAAACTGGCAATTTGTCGCCCGAGTTGACGTAATATCTCGTGTAGAGTTTCAGAAATCCGCCATAAACCAGCATCGTGTATCCAGCTTCCTCATATTCTTTCTGGTAATCGCGGAGAATCGGAATACACGTTCCAACAATTATGTACGGTAAGCTTCCCATCATTTCTTTGAAGGGGTTCAATTATATGACGGCAACTCATTTTACTGAAAAGAAACCAAATCGAATCCGAAAGAACCTGCCCTAGACAACTTAGAATCGCAAGAACATCCCTGGAGAATAAGTGGATCGCATCGAGGATCGTATCTCTAGCGAACTTCTGAGTTTCTTCGTAGTTCGCTGCAAGTTCGATAGTTCTCATGATATGAATCGCATTATCCTTGGCATTAATGACCAATTCGTTCAAATCCCTTTCTGAAGGCGCTTTGTAACTTTTTAGCGCCTTGCAAGCCTGAACTCCAACATCGGTAAAAAGCAGCTTCATAAGCGTTTTTCTGCATCCTTCTGTGCGCATTCCGTCGAATGTTTCGCAAATTAAAAAACGGAAATGCTTGGCGGAAAGGCCGTTTTGGTACATTTTCTGCATTTCTCCGGTCGCTCGGATTTTATCAGCAGGGGAAAGGTGCTGGAATGCTTCAAAACAGAGTCGACGACAGGGCTCCTGGATTTCGTCGTCTGGGTTGTCGATTGCTCGCATTACCGCACAGACGGCTATTATTTGGCTTTGGAAAATGCCATTCTTATAGCTACTTTAAAAATCGTAAAAACTACTGTATTTTTCTAGGGAAGAATGATAATTCTTCATAACCCTTAAAAGCCCTTTTCCTTCCAATTTGATATATTTAATCGCAAGCTCGTTTCCCCTTCTTACTTCAAATTCAGCCGAGCTAACAAGTGCTATCAACGATTTCTTATCCAGCTCGGAAAGCGTCTCCCAGTCAACATCGAAATTTGGCCTCATTCCTTCCGTCATTTTTCAAAATCGAAATTTTTCTTCTCTGAAAGAAACTTTCTTATTCAGAATATCTTTCGAGCAGGTTCTAGCAAAATCTTTTGTATTTTGATGACAAAGGGAGAAATCAGAATCTGACTCAGAAGTTTCCTAAACAATTAATGATGCAAACCATGATTAGTTTCAAAATTAATTTGTTTTATGAGCAATAAAATGAAAAAAAAACGAAGAATGAAAATATTCATTTTCCTTTTTTGGGAATCGAACTTGTCTTTCGCATATTTGCGCAAATACGGCATGGAAAAAGACAGTCAAATACACTCTCCTTGGGACAGGTCAATAATCTATTCTCGTGATAAGTCTGCTCTCTCTTGGGAAAATGGAAAATCATCAAAAATCGATACGAGACTTCTGAACTGAATAGCTCGAAATAGACTTGAATCTACCCGTTCTCGAAATTATTTCATTTAGATTTCTGTCTGTAAGACAGTTGATGCAGTCTTTCACTGAAGGATTCTTACGTTAGGCAGACGCTGGCGATCCTGTGAATGGAAAAGATTTATCAAGGATGCTTCCTTCGAGCCAAGAAAATGACCTTTTCAAAATTCACATTTTCGTGTTTTCGGCAACAGAAAGATGTCGACCCTGGCCACCTTTCGCGAAAATTTTCGCCATTATCTCAAGCTGACTAAGTATTGTCTTTACGGATGGTTGGCCACGTCGCCGGCAAACTGGCAATTTTCCAGGAAATTGTCCCTAAAGAAACATCTTTCCAGTGCCAAAAAACCAATAAAAAAAGTCAAATTCGTTGAATATAAGAAAGAAGTCACAGCTTTGAAAATAAAAAAAAAAGTTGAACAAAGAACGCGAATAACCTTGGTTTCGAAAACAACCAGCCACGCCCCAAAATCGTTGGATTTTTAAATGAAGTTTGAAAAATTATTAATTTCTGATGAAAAATTGAGATTTACAGTCAGCTGCTCTGAAGTTGCTATGAATTCACACAATCACTTTCGGATCGATGGTCGACGACTTTTCTGGATGCTGCGAGACAGTCCCGATTTGCGTGGGCGGGTGGCGCCAAGTCGCGCGCTGATTGGCGGAGGCCCCTGGAGAAACGGATAAAGAGGAGCGCTCCGCCCGAGTCGGATTCACTTTGTGTTTTGCTCGACGCGACGCAACCGAAAAAACCAAAAACCGAGAAATGCAAATTTTCGTTAAGACCCTCACGGGCAAGACCATCACCCTCGAAGTCGAGGCTTCCGATACCATCGAAAACGTCAAGGCGAAGATCCAGGTTAGTTCTGCATTGTTTTGATAAAGGAGCAATCATTTTATATACCTTACTTCATAGGTCACAAAATATTATAAAGTGATAGCTATAAATTGTTTTGTAAGAAGACATTCAGATCATAATCAATAATGAAACAACGTAAATTTGTGCGAAATGCAACTTTCTTACAGTCAGTTTCGTTCTGACTCTTTCATAGTTGACCGAGATTGAAATTTAATGAATTCTCGGCTGAAACGCATCGATAGATCGTTAATTTTGAAAGGCCCTTTTGAAAGACGCTTATTTGTATTCTGTCGAGTCATGAATTCAATTTCAAAACCGCCCTATTCTTCCTACAAATCAATAATCCACCACTTCCCCGATACTTTCACAGTGCTCCTCGCAATATAAACAATTCGTATCTAGAACGACATTTTTTGGTATTTTCGAACTCGAAAGGTCAATGCATTAAATTGTTGTTTTAGGACAAGGAGGGAATTCCCCCAGACCAGCAGCGACTCATCTTTGCTGGCAAGCAGCTTGAAGACGGCCGAACCCTTTCTGATTACAACATCCAGAAGGAATCGACCCTCCATCTCGTTCTCCGACTCCGAGGTGGTATGCAGATCTTCGTCAAGACCCTCACCGGCAAGACCATCACTCTTGAGGTCGAAGCCTCTGACACCATCGAGAACGTCAAGGCCAAGATCCAGGACAAGGAAGGTATCCCACCAGACCAGCAGCGATTGATCTTCGCCGGCAAGCAGCTCGAGGATGGCCGAACCCTCTCCGACTACAACATCCAAAAGGAGTCCACCCTTCATCTCGTCCTGCGACTCCGAGGTGGTATGCAGATCTTCGTTAAAACTTTGACGGGAAAAACCATCACCCTCGAAGTTGAAGCTTCTGATACCATCGAGAACGTTAAAGCGAAGATCCAGGTAAATATCGATCTTTCAAAAAATAGACCTGTTCTCTTTGGATCAATAATTGAAACCCGTTTTTAACTCATCCCTTTAGGACAAGGAAGGTATTCCCCCAGACCAGCAGCGACTTATCTTCGCCGGTAAGCAGCTCGAGGACGGCCGAACCCTCTCCGACTACAACATTCAAAAGGAATCCACTCTCCATCTTGTCCTCCGACTTCGAGGTGGTATGCAAATCTTCGTCAAGACATTGACTGGAAAGACCATTACCCTCGAAGTCGAAGCTTCTGACACTATTGAAAATGTCAAAGCTAAGATCCAGGTAAGCCCGAAATCAACGAGGAGTCATTTCCCTTGTTACGTAATCGCAGATAATCACTGTATTCTCGTAGGACAAGGAGGGCATTCCCCCAGACCAGCAGCGACTCATCTTCGCTGGTAAGCAACTTGAAGATGGCCGAACCCTCTCCGACTACAACATCCAGAAGGAGTCTACTTTGCATCTCGTCTTGCGTCTCCGAGGTGGTATGCAGATTTTCGTCAAGACCTTGACTGGCAAGACCATCACCCTCGAGGTCGAAGCCTCCGACACCATCGAAAATGTCAAGGCGAAAATCCAGGACAAGGAAGGTATTCCACCAGACCAGCAGCGACTCATCTTCGCTGGCAAGCAGCTCGAAGATGGTCGCACCTTGTCCGACTACAACATCCAGAAGGAGTCTACCCTCCACTTGGTTCTCCGTCTCCGTGGTGGTATGCAGATCTTTGTGAAAACATTGACCGGCAAGACCATCACCCTCGAGGTCGAGGCCTCTGACACCATTGAAAATGTCAAAGCCAAGATCCAAGACAAAGAAGGCATCCCTCCAGACCAGCAGCGTCTCATCTTTGCTGGCAAGCAGCTCGAGGATGGCCGCACTCTCTCAGATTACAACATTCAGAAAGAGTCGACCCTCCATCTCGTCCTCCGACTCCGTGGTGGTATGCAAATCTTTGTCAAGACCCTCACCGGCAAAACCATCACCCTCGAGGTCGAGGCCTCCGACACCATTGAGAACGTGAAGGCCAAGATCCAAGATAAGGAAGGCATTCCCCCAGACCAGCAGCGTCTCATCTTCGCCGGCAAGCAGCTCGAAGATGGGCGCACTCTTTCGGACTACAATATCCAGAAGGAGTCCACTCTCCACCTCGTCCTTCGACTCCGTGGTGGACAATAACTGGCTTCGCTCGTTTTACATGTATTGAAACACATTTCTGCCCTGTTATTCCCCATTCTGCAATACCACGTTTCGTTGTTTCTTCTTTCAAATTGAAAAAATCATAGTTCCAATAGTCGCCCAAGGTGGCTACTGTGTCTCAAGTTTTATTAATAAATATTTCGGCTCATTCTAATCTTCCGTGTTATTCTCGTTTATTTCACTCCTAGATCTGTGGTCACAGCTGGTTACTGATTGCAATAAGTTAAGACAATGGCAGAAGTCGGTTTAATCGGGCTCTTCCCGGAGCTCACGATTGGTGATCAGTCCAAGCGAGTCAAAGCCGCCACAGGCCTCTGTACCGGTCTCGCAGGTAGCTCTCTAGTTTTAGTAAGGTTCCTCCTTACCCTTTCTTAGGCGCTTCGGAGAACGAAAAAGTCGCTCATGATGTCAAATATTCATTTGAGCGTTTGATAAAAGGTCTTTCTGCCAATAAAGGCTGGTCTCGACCTGGATTTTGTCTTGGCCTTACAGCCATCCTCTCAGAGGTGCCAGAAATCGACACCGCTGAGGTCATCGAATTTATGAGAACGACACTGGCTGATAAAACTGATCCTGACAACTTCAAAGGCCTCGCCCTTGGCCGATGCTTTTGTATGGCAGCTATTATCAAATCTGGTCGAGCTACAGGCGAACATAGACTCGAAGTTCTCAGTCAGCTGTTTAAAATCCTCGTCAAACGACCATATCTTCGCCAGCTCGTATGTCAAGTTATTGTTGAGCTGATTGAAACGGCAGAAAATATGGAGGAGTTCTCTTCCGAAATTGCTGAGCATCTAACAAGAGTTGGACCAGATCTTACCACGAATGCAGATCTCGCTTATGTTCTATTCAAGATTCAAAAACGCTCGCTTATAACGCCAGACGACTTCCGTGTCTTTTGGGGCTCAAAAGAAATCATGCCGGAAGACAAGCCAAAGAAAGCATTCGAAAAGCTCAAGGTGATTCTCCATGGAGCGACCTCCAGACATCCAAAGACCCATCCAATTATCAAATTAATTTGCGACGAGGCACTCGCTTCATCCTCGTTCGCTGACTTCTGGGATCATTACGAAAAAGAATCACAAAAACTACCGTGGGAGAAGAAATACGTAACGATGGAATTGTTGAATTACGCCGTGATTTCTACCAAATCGACCGAGCAACTAGTGCCGCTTTTGTCCGGGGAAGCGTGCAGACTAGCCCGCAATTCGCTTATTCACTCAGAACGATTCCTGTTTCACCAGGCTGAAGCTTTTGTGAAAACTATTGGCGACCTTGTCAAATCCTCAGACGCCGAGAAGCAGCGAGTTATTTTCATGAGCCTCCTCAAATTCACCCCTCTAACAAAACAATTCTGCATGGCTGTTATCAAAAATTTATCGTCCAAGAACCACATCTGGTTCGCAAAGTGGTTCGTTAATGCCTTCAACAAGGGCAAAGATGACATGTTCGAGATTGATCTTGGGGACCCGTCTGCAATGCGCAAGTGGCTGGTGCAAAATCTCAATATATTCATCAAGACATCGCTCGATCATGAGTCTCTTTGGTACATTGTCCGCACATTGATTGTGATCGCCTTCTTCAATGTCGGGAAACTATCGAAAAAGTGCGATATTCCTGAACTAAAGGCCTCCCGAGAAGATTTCAAGCCAGACGAGCTTCGGGAAGCTACACAAGTTTTGATAAACGCTGTTGTTTCTGGCGCTGACCACGGCTTGTCAATGAAAGCAGTCGACTTTATGGATAAGTTGATGAAGCAAAAGGGAGTCTCAACTAATTTGGAATTGTCCGAAGCTACAGAAGACACCTGGAAGACCATGATTGAGCTAAAGTCTGTGATTCAGAAGCACAAGTACAGCAAAGTCCTCTCGTCCCTCACCTGTGAGTGTGCGCTTTCTATCTTTGTGGAGAACAGGGAGGATAATGTAATCATGCTCAACGATCTGATGGAGTTGATCAAAAACGATCAAGTCGACGAAGAAGCAATCGTTGAGATTCTGTTGAGTCTGCTTGTTTCCGAGTCGGGCAAAAACAGAACGATGGTTCTTGGCTGCTTCCGCCAACTGATGAATAACTGCAGTTTGTCCGCGCTTCAGCTAGTCGCAGACGCTATCAATCCTGCCACCAGCGCTTTGGAAGTTGAAGACGAGAATGAAGACTCCGAGGACGACGACGGAGTTGAAGACATGTCGGAGGAGAGTAGTCAAGAAAAGGCCGAGTCGAGTAGCCAAGAGAAGGAGTCAGACAGCGAAAGCGAAGGTGAAGACGAAGAAGAAGAGGATGACTTGGAGAGCGACGATGAAGGTGTTTCGTCTGCTTCCGATGTTGACGAAGAAGAGGAAGACCAGATCAACCACCTGAGGTAACCTTTTGTCCTTTTAAATTTTTTATCAGTTGCTTAAGGTCACGGTTAAAAGCAGCAATGGGCGATGCTGCTGCCTCCGAAGATGACTCCGAAGATGAAGACGAGATGACAGACGAGCAGATGATGGCTATGGACGACGCCATCGGGGCAGCCTTCAAGTCAATGACATCGAAGAAGCGTGACGCTGCCGCAATTCAGCTTCAAAAGCGCAACTTTACCCTTCGAGTGATGGACCTCGCCGACGCCTATCTAACCAGAAATAGTGGCGAGGAGAAGTCTCTCGTCTTCATGACCCCTCTTCTCAATTGCGCAAAAACTAGAACGCCATCTGAGATCTCAAAGAAAGCAACAAAACTCCTCACATCTAATTTCTGTAACTCAAAGAAGAAAATCTGCAAAACGTACGATCAAGAAGCTGTCCTCGACATCTTAGATCGCCTCGCCTCCGATATCAAAACCTACAATGGAATCGAGTACGTTTCTCTCGTGCAAAACGTCATCTTCTTCGTTTTTAAATGCCTGAGAGAGCGTTTCAACAACTGCGAAGAAGAGCTAACGAAATGCTTGCAGACAATGATCGACGGCCACTTCGCGAAGAAAACGACACACACGCCACTGAAGTTCCTTCAGGATGTCACGGAACGATTCCCAGAACTCATTCGATTGATGATCCCTCTGACGAAGAAGTACTTCACCGATGCTCCGAATGTTTACAAAAAGGCGTCTGCCATCGAGCTAGTCACGAAAGCATATGCATCAGGTTGTCTTTTCCGGCAAATATTTCGATAAATCGATTTTTAGCGACTGGTGAGATTCTTGAAACTATCACAGAGACGATCTCAGACATCGTGGCTAAATCTGAAGGCTCCAAACACGAACTGAAGGTATGATTTGCTTCCAAACCTTGGTTTGACAACGTTTAAAGGCCGAGAGACAGATCGATCTCGTAGCAGAGCTCCTGAAAGTGATGAACAAACGCTCTGAGAAATTCAAGGAAGTGACGAACATCCGAGACAATGTTCTTCAAGTTCTTGAGATCGAGGAGATCAAGTCAGTGAAGGGATTCGGCAAAGTTAGGACGCAAGTCGATATGTTCGTCGCGAAGATTGATCCTAGGTTCGTTTGCGTTATTCGGAGCGTCGTCTTATTGCGTTTTTAGCTTTACGGAAAAGACGAAAGCAGAAAAGATCGCAGAGAAGAAGAAACAGACAGAGGCTAGAATTCAGAATAAAATCGCGAGAGATGAAGCTCGAAAGGCCAAGTTCGAAGCTATCAAAAAGGAGAAGATGGAAAAGGTAACTCAAAACGAGAAATCGCCAGAGTCAAATAGAGATTCTAGGGTGAGTGGGTCGAGAAGAAAGAATGGAAGCAGAAAGAAAAAAAGAGAAAGAGGCATTTCAGAGTCAAATGAAAAGCCTGCGAAGAAGAAGAAGAAATTCTATAAGCCGAATGCATAAACGAATGTCAATAAACTCCCCTAATTCTATTGTGAAATGAATGTTTTCAATCAACCGGTTGATCTTCTAAGGACCAGTCTAATCAGGTTCCATAAGTTTTCTTGACCCACTTTTGAATTTAGGCGTTTTAATTATGCAATAAAGGTGTTGTAAAAAGGCCACACCTACGCCAATTTTTATTTGTTCAAAATCTCCTTGGAATACGAAAAGTTTTTTAAGGTCAAGCACGAACAAGAGAGAACTCATTAGCATGAGAATTACGCAAACCCTACTGGAGTAGAGCCCCTTCCTCTTTTGGGTGACCAATTACGTCGAGGCGGAGGTGGTGAACCGCATTCTTGCATGTCGCCGCGGGTAGAACACTTTTCCTTTCGATTGAGAGGTTTATCGAAAATTTTTTTGTCCCTTTTCTACCTCAATCTTACCACCGAGACCATAGATCACGAAGATGAGGTTCCTTTTCATTTTGTTTGATTTGAGAACAAATTTCTTTTAGAATGTCTAACATTAAAGTGTTTGGAGGCTCCTCCCACCCAGAGCTCGTTCAAGAAATTTGCAGGAGGCTTCAGATCCCAGTCGGAAAGGCAAAATGCACCAAGTTTGCCAACGGGGAAACAAATGTTGAGATTCAAGAGTCCGTGCGAGGGGAAGATGTCTTTATTGTTCAGGTATCTTTGTAACCACCTATCCCGGTTGGTTAATTCGTTTGTCTGGTAGACAGGATGTTGCAGCGATGGAAGCAATGGGATCAAAGCCTCCATAAACGACCATCTGATGGAGCTGTTAATTATGATCAACGCCTGCAAAATCGCCTCTGCTCAGCGCGTGACAGCTCTCATCCCCAACTTCCCATACGCAAGACAAGACAAAAAGGACAAGTCTCGAGCTCCCATCACTGCAAAGCTCGTTGCGAATCAGCTCACCACGAGTGGAGCTGATCACATAATCACTATGGATTTACATGCTTCACAAATTCAGGTTATTTTCACTCTTGAAATAAAGCATCTGACTGTCTTCTTTTGACAGGGATTCTTCGATCTGCCCGTGGATAATCTCTATGCTGAGCCGCGTGTTGAACTCTGGATCAGAGAAAACGTGCCTCAGTTTGAGAATTGTGTGATTGTTTCTCCCGATGCTGGTGGAGCCAAGCGAGTTACATCTCTTGCTGATAAGCTCAATACAGACTTTGCGTTGATTCACAAAGAACGAAAGAAGGTACTTTTTCATTGACGTTTGCTTCGTTACTATTTGTTACAAAAGGCAAATGAAGTTGCAAACATGGTGCTTGTGGGCGATGTCCAAGGCCGACCTGCTATACTTCTTGACGATATGGCTGACACTTGTGGTCAGTAACGGCTTTTAAAATCAAGGATAAATTTCCTTTTAGGAACATTGAAAATGGCTGCCGATAAGCTGATCGAATCTGGTGCGACTGAAGTGTACGCCATCGTCACCCACGGAATATTCTCGAGGGACGCGATTGAGAAAATCAACTCGTCGAAAATTAAGTTCATCGCTGTGACGAACTCGATGCCACAAGAGAAGAACATGAAACTCTCGTCCAAGATCAAGATTATTGATATATCTGGGATCTTGGCGGAGACGATTCGGAGAACCCACAATGGCGAATCGGTAAGTTTCCGAATAACTACGATTTTCAAAGTTTTCAGGTCTCGTATCTCTTCTCCCACGCGTTCTAAGAAGACAAGAAGGCAACTGATAAGAACCTTGGCCTAGGTCTAGGATCTGGGGTGACAGGAGGTGATCTGAAATGAGTCGCCAGAAATGAATCACCAAAAGATGTGATCGGGTTTCTCGGATCACCCCAAAAAGGTGATCGAGTCCCGATCACCAAATCAATTTTTGGGAGTTCTTCGATCACCAAATTGGGGTGATCGGATCTCCTACGTCGAATTTCGGTTAATGAAGTTTTTTAATTTACTTTTTTATTCATTTTTTGTTTAACAAAAAACTTAATAAGTTTTTTCATAAAGTTATTTATTTCTTCCGACAAAAAGTCGCTTCAAGTATCAGAAAGCTTTCATTCATAATTGTTATCTTCCCTTGTGGTTTGACATCAGTTAAATCATTCTAAAACCTTTCGATTTTTCGATAGAGACCGCGAGAGAAATCTGGTGCAAAACGCCATCTTTCTTGAGAAATTTCACGAAAATTCGCACATTGCAAAAATTGGGTCAAACGGATTAACACCCTTCGAATTAATTGAGGGCATAAGTCACTGTGGTCGGTTTTACCGGCCCCGTGTATTGAGAAGTTAATCCTTTCATTTAAAGAAATTAGTTCCTTTTTGATTTTCCGAAAATTCAGAACCCTTACCGTTAGTAACTAATGGACCCAAAGTAAAGAGTAAGTAAGTAAATACAAAGTATTACTGAGTCGGATAAGAGGGTTGAAGCGTATTTCTTTCCCGGGGCGAGCCCTTTTCATGGTAGTAGAAAGTGAAATGGAGATTATCTCTTTAAATTTCAAATAAAGAGTGGTCAAAAGAGTGATTTGACATCAAAATATCCACTTCTGCCCTGACCATAATCACACGACTTTGGTGATCGAAAATGTTTGGATCACCAGTCAGAGGTGATCTCGATCACCTAAATCACCAAAAATTCAGGCGGGTGATCGGCTCCGATCACCTCGTTTAGGTGATCCGCGGAGCTCTATCACATCTTTCGGTGATTCATTTTCGGCGACTCATTTCAGATCACCTCCGGTCACCCCAGATCCTAGACCTAGACCTTGGCCATTACTAGAATTTACAAATTAATCCAATGACTCATCTGTCCAACTTTCCCCACTGCTTTACCCAGCTTAGATCCATACGAAACCCAACGTTGCATTTCAGTCAGTTTCAAAAAAGGTGTTTTAAACTCATTTTAAAACGATGAAAGAAAGTTTTCGAAAGTTCATATAATATCTAAAATACTGTTGCACTCCGATATTATCGCTCACAAATCTCCGTAGAGGAAGATTTATATCTGAAAGTTTATTGAATGGTCTGAATACATTAACGCGTGACGTGTTTAAAATCCCGAGTGATCATTTTTGCAGAATGTTGAGATCTCTGAATAGAGCGTTGAGGACGAGCAGTGTCAGGAATGTGACTTATAAAAGTGTGGCTCTCTCGGAAAATCATGAAGGATTTGAAGGCAGGTACTAAGGCTGATCTCAGCAAGAATCTAACATTTATTAATCACCTGCTAGAAATAGCTGATATTTAGATTTTTGAAGAATACCTCTCTACGAGGTTTAAATATTGTAAAATAGGTTTAAGCACGATAATATCACTCCGAACTCCTTTAGTTACGGATTAAGTTATCTTGATCATTACAGAATATTATTTTATTAACGATAGAACCGATTATCATCATTATTGTTTTCCCTTCAATTTTTATAGCATTTTGACCAAGTTTGTAGTCAGGGTTGCCCAATCGGACAAAAAATCTTGGTCTTGGCGATCCGATTCCGATCCGATCCGATTCGGACCTCGTCCAATCCGACCGATTACCGATCCGATTACCGATTCCGATCGGATTTTTCGGATTCCGATTAAAGTTCATGTCCGATCGGACAATTTTCCGATCGGAAAAATATTCGAAAATTTTCAAGTTAAAATTTCAATTTAGACTACTGAATATGAAGAAAAAACTCGGAAATATCAAGTTCTTTCGCTACAAACGCCCTTCTAACCATTTTACCTCTTATTTCCGTGAAAATTTATGGATAATTTTGGGTTTTCGGGGCTTGGATCCGCAACATTTGTACAAAACATATAAGGGTCCTGAAAGAGCTTTCATAAAAGCCGCCTCGGCGCTAGAATTTCCTAGAAACGAAGTAACAAATGGGCCATTTGAAATGGCGTTCGCAAAAACAACCATTTCAATGGTTGACATTCTCAATCTAACACTAAATCACCGTGACGAAGGTTTTAAAGGACGTAATTAAGCTCTTTTTTAAGAAAAACATGCCTAAAAATTGGTGAATTTACACAAATATTACTTTTTATAAGTGTATTTTAAGCCTAAGTCACGGATTTTAGTGGCTTTTGAATGAATGAATCCGACTTTTTTACCCATTTTCCGATCGGATTATCGGATCCGATTTTACCGATCGAAACCGATTTAACCGATCGGACATGACCAAATTTTCATTGCCTCGTCCGACCAATTACCGATCCGATTCCGATCGGATCGAATTTCCGATCGGATTCCGATCCGGTTGGGCAACCCTGTTTGTAGTTTTGATTGATGGGCGGAAACTAAGAGTGCCTCGAACGTCTCAGGTTCTCAAGATAAAATCACGCGATTTGGCAGAAATCGTAGCGCTAGAATGGGCTGGCCAAGAAGAGCGTAATCTCGCAAAGATTAAAAAACATTCACTTTACATGACACAGGTAAGTACTAATGCCACTGGATAATAGATCAAACTGATTTGTCTAGCTTTGCTACGCGGAGTCTGAACTTCGAGAAACAACGGATAAAGGAGAGCTCATTGAAGGCTTGCTGAAATATTTGCAAACAGACACTTGCCTGTTCCGTTCGCCTTCCACAGATGCAGATTCGCTTGATGGTACTCCAGCAATAAACCTCGTTGAAGCGCAGGATAAAGAATGGACACCAGTTCAAGAGTGGTTTGAGGAGCGCTTCAGAACCAAGGAAAAGTTCTAAAAATGCTGTCTCGATTGAATTCCAGAAAGAAACAAACTTGAAACTCTAAAAAGCTCGAAGTTGCAAAGGGTTTCCGCCTCCCAACCGTCCCTGACGAAGCTTACAAGAATCTCCAGAACCATCTGAACAGTTACGATGTTGGAGTTTTAATCGCTCTCGAGAAAATGTGTCTTGCTTTGAAATCGATGATGCTAAGTTTAATGGTTATTGAGCGAAAGCTGTCTATTGAAGAATGTGTCCGTCTCAGGTGCAATCATAAACTTGCTTCGAACTCTTATTTTTTAATAGTCGCCTCGAAAATGAGTACCAGAAAGAAACATGGGGTACAGTTGAGTACCACCACACCGTGGAAGAATGTGACATTCGCGCTAAAGTTGCTGCTCAAGCATTATTTATTCGATTCTCTGTTGAGGACATCGACTCCGATCCAAAACTTATCTCTGACTACACTCTCTAGAATTTTTAATTTATATAATTATAGGCGCTTTTTGATTTGAATAAATTTAGAGCTTGAGTTTTAAAAAATGTCAAACGACGCCGCCCTTGATGAGATCCGACGACAGCGAATGGCCCAACTTCAGGTGCAAAACGATTAAGATAGTACTTTTTAAACAGTCAAAAGGGAGGAGCCCAGGATCAGCAGAAGCGACAGCAGATGGAAGACATGACCAATTCCATGCTTGGTCAGATTCTTGATCAATCCGCTCGAGCTCGACTCAACAACGTCGCTCTTGTCAACCCACAGAAGGCAAAGCAAACTGAAGCTATGCTCATGCAAATGGCTAGATCTGGAAAGGTTTCTTCTTGATTTGGATACATTTGAGATAATTTGTCTTCCATAGATTCAGTCAAAGCTGAACGAGAGCTCACTTGGTGACATTCTCAACCAAATCGCATCTACTCAGCAAAAGACAACCGTCAAGTTTGAGCGCCGAAGAGTCATGGACTCTGACGACTCCGATTCCGATTATTAGATCTAACTTCCTACTCTCAAAGCCTGAAGACTAATAGATACACACCAGAATGCATTCTCGTAATAATCCCTTTCTTTCTGACTAGCCAAATTGACAATTTCCCTATTATATTTATTGTTTTTACTTCAGTTCAAATTCACAAAGTAGCTTGTTCATGTTCTAAATTAGCTGTTCAATGATTTGGTCTCTTGGCTCAATTTTATTAAAGATTTTTCAGAATGGAAAAATATGAAAGTTATCAGACAGACTGGGAGAGCTCGGAAGGGCCTCCTAATTTTGACATGGAAGATCATATTAGAGACACTTGGACTTGGTTCAAGGACGTTTTAAAATCGCCTAAGGTAAGAAATACTGATAAATTGGAAATTTACAGTCTCAGTTTGTTGTTGCACCAATGGTTGATGCATCAGAACTTCCGTGGCGAGTCCTGAGTCGACGCTATAGCTCGGAACTATGTTATACTCCGATGTTCCACGCAGCTAATTACATAAAAGACGCGACTTATCGCCGTGAGAATTTTCCCGATACCGGAGATCTTGAACAGGGCTCTCCAGAGTTCGACAGGCCTTTGTTCGTCCAGTTTTGCGCGAATGATGTCAATGCCTTCAGGTATTTGAAAGCTATTTACGGAAGTTAATCAAGAGTAGTACAGCTGCAAAAATGGTGGAAGATCGTTGCGACGCGGTTGATTTGAATCTCGGCTGTCCTCAGATGATCGCCAAGCGGGGCCATTACGGGGCGCACATGATGGAAGACTGGTCCAATATTAGAAAGATGATTGAAGAGGTAAAACTTGCTAATTATGATTTAACGGCTGAGCTTTGATAAGCCCGATATTATAGGCCCGAAAAGTCGCGAAAGTAAGAATCACAGCGAAGATTAGAAAATTTGAGGATGAATCTATCACATTGAGGCTAGGCTCAAAATATAATTAAATTTACGAATATACTGACGTTACAAAAATATTATCAACCCTCGAAAGATATGCGAAAATGCTCGAAAACGCTGGCGTAAGTTTGCTGACAATCCACGGGCGCACTCGAGATCAACGAGGACCAAACACTGGCCTTGCTGACTGGCAAATCATCAAAAAAGTAAAAGACGCCTTAAGAGTTCCTGTTATCGCAAATGGAAACATACAGTGCTTGCAACACGCGCTAGACTGTATCGAACAAACAGGAGTTGATGGAATTATGACGGCAGAAGGAAACCTTTACAATCCAGCTCTTTTCTCTGGTATTTCTCCGCCAGCTTGGAAAATAGCGACAGAATACATCGAAATCGCTAGAAAATACAAGTTACCAGCGTTGAGCTGTATTCGAGGCCATATCTTCAAAATTCTACATCACGTGTTTCAGCAAGAAGAGCACCGAGATCTCAGAGATAAACTTGCACAAGCAAATGACTTCGAAGAAATCGGAAGTGTAGCAGAAGAAGCTAAAAAGACTTGAGAAGTTAGACGAAAATACGGACTTCGACTCGCCAAAAGTTATGGACGACTTGTTGAAGCTACCTTATTGGAGATGCAAGCCTTACGTTCGACCGAAGCCTTCGGAAACAACAGAACAAAACTCAAGAAAGCGTAACTCGGGCATGATCGAGGAAAATTTGAAAAGAAAGAAACATAAAGAACAGAAAAAAGCGAAGTTTCAAGAGAAAATGGCAAAAGAGGTGAGAATAATTTTAAATCGCGGGAGAAATATAACGATTTAGGGAGTGAAGCCAAAATACGAGATGTGCGTCAAGTGCCCTGGAAATCCGCGCGGTTTAAAATGTGGATTTTTATTTTGCAAAGCCTGTTGTAGGAAACGATTAGGTAACTCCGAAAGGGGAAGCGGGATTTATACTTTTGTTAGAGTACGACGATACAGATTGCCCCGGTCACAGAATTTACGGCAAAGCATCGCGAGAAGCTCATTTGAAAGAACGAAAACTGAGAGAAGCTGTTCAAGTCGAAAGCGCTGCATAAACAAGTGTAAAGCATCTTCACTGATTTGTTTACTGCTTAGAATGTCTGAAAGAATAAAGTTGAACAGCGGCGAAACGCCGGCAGAAAAACCCGATCAAATACCAGGGCAAATTCCATTTGTTCAATTTGAGGAAAAGGAGCTTGAAGAATTCGATCCTAGCGCAGGGATGGAAACAGCAGAGGACTACTTGAAATCAGTGATACTTGAGGCACGCAACGAGCCGGATTTCACGAGAGCAGATAAGGCGCAAATACCTATTAGTCCATCGAAAAAACTAGAAACTGGTTGAACGGATCTTTTTTATCCTATTTTATAAACTCATTCGCTTATTGAACCACTAACAAGACAGGAAGGATCTAACATTCAAGCAGCTATCATCATCAAGTTATATTTCCGCAGTGAATTTCATGAAGGATGATAAAGTCGACCCAAAATACCTCCCATCGAAGGCATGGAAAGCCGACCGTTTGCGGTTGTTTACTAATGTCCGGCTCAAGGTATTTTCTTGAATATTTTTTCGGTGAACGGACTTTTCGTGATTCAGGTGGGCACTCATGCAGGAAAACTGAAATCGATCCGTCGGGAGTCAAAGAAACGCCCTCGCTTGCCCATTTTCCCACTACCAGGTTCGCTCGTTCATCATATTTAGCCCCACTCAAGCATGTTAAGAGCCATATGATTTTGAAGCGTGGCAGAAAATTATCTTTGGCAAGCGCGTTCCATACGTTGACTTCGAAGGGCGAAGCGGGGTAAACCAGGAAGAGGGTGATTCTGAAGAAAGCGCGAAGCAGCTCGAAGAAAATCTTGAGTTCGCAGATCGCATTGTTGATATTGACAAGCTTGACCATGGCTAGGATTTTCAATTATGCTTTGATTAGATGAGTACATATAAACAAGACAAAGAATGATATGTAAATCCGCGAAAAAGAATGCCGCCGGTGCTTCGAGTAGTACTGCGGCTCACGTCACATCAAATAAGCGGTCTGTTTGATCTCTTCGCCGAGCTCATCCAAGCGAACCAAGGGACGCGTTCATTATCTGCTTAGTTCTAGCACTTAGTAATCTCCCGAGGTGCAAGTATCTCCATAATTTGTTAAAAACGTCAAAAAGCTCTTCAAGTCGATCTAGCTGAATGGATCTTTGCAGTTCTATGCATCCAGCAAACTCCTTATGAACCAGCTGTTGCGTCACGAATACGAGGAATCTGCAGAAATTGCCGAAAAGTCCGCTATCAAATTGTGAGTTATCTTTATTTTAATTGTTTCAAGCAAGTTAGAAAGTGTAGCAGTTTTCTGTTAAAAGTTTTGACATCTTTCTTGAGTGGCGATAATGGCCTCAATTATGGAACTTCGGTAGCCAAGTTTTTCGAGTGTCCGCACGCCGGCCATTGTGCAGCCACCTGGAGATGTTACCGCATCTGAAAGATTGTGATTTCCGCGGGTCTCGTAGATAAGAGCCAATTGAAAGTTTTTATCGCACCCATATTTTCTTGAATTTTGAGACATTTTAGTACCTTTTAAAACGGCTGGATGTTTTTCTGTCTGAGCGGCCATCTGAGCCGCGCCAAGGATGGTTTGAACTGCGACTTTTGTAGCGTAGTCTCGCGATAAACCTCCGTGAACTCCTGCGTCAGCCATTGCTTCCGCCATCATGTAAACGTAGGCAATTCCTGAACCAGAAAGAGCTCTAAAGAACGATTTTATGTCGTTTTTCAATTTTGATATTTACGTGAATGCATCAAATCCTTTTTCTGGCAGGATATCTACTGCTCCATTTGTAGCATTGAACAACTCTTGAATTTCTTGAAAGTCTTCTTTCGTGACAGCTTCGTTTGCGCAAAGAGCGGCGGCTCCATGTCCGATTGAACATGCCGTGTTGACCATAACACGGACAACTTTTGCTTTTCCACATAAACTTTCAAGTTTGTCAAGTTTCTGCCCAGCAATAACAGAAATGACTGTTTGATCCTCTTGAAGTTTGGAGAGCTCGTTTGCAATTTCGGGAAGAATTTGCGGCTGAAATATTATTTTTGAAAGTTCAGATTTGAAATATACCTTGACAGATAAAAGGATGAATTTTGCATTTTCAATTACTTCTTTATTATCTTCTTTACATTTGGCTCCGAAGCTCTTCCATTTAGCCTCGTAGCTTTCTTTTTCGAAGACAGGATCGCTTACAATTACATCTGATCCTCTAATCACCCCAGCTTAATTTTTGTTATCAAATTCTGGTAATTATTAATCAAATGTACCTTTCACAGCTCCACTCTTGATAGCGTATCCCATTTGTCCGCCTCCAAGGACTCCCCACTTGAAAGCTCTCATTTTGTTTAAAAAAGTTAAAGGTCGTTTTTTGCGAAATTTTGGCGGAGGGTACGATCACGATTTGGTCAAAAATCCGAATGAGCTTTAGGCCCTTAGACTTGAGACTTGCTCTGCAAAAGACGTCGACGGTGTTCAAGAGTACACAGCGGTCTTTTTACGTAATTGGTAGAGTTTATCACTAGTCTTAGCTAAGTCTCACGCGTGCATTTATTATGGTTCGATGGACTAGGAAATTTCCCTTTTTGCAATCAAAAAAGTAGCTTCTAATAAAAAATAAGACTTGTCTAAATTGCTAAAATGTAGACTGGGTGTCAACCGCATTTTATCACAAGTTTTTGTATTTATGGTAATGTTTCCATTTTAGATTCAAAATGGTGAAGCCGACGCCCGAAAAGAAGAAATCACAGGCCTCAACTTCATCATTTTACTAATTTCTAACTTCTTTGATCAGAAGGATTTATCTGACTAGACTGCCTTTCACTGAAAAACACATGAACGTTTACCTTTTATAAATATATTTACATGAAATTGAACGCCTTCTTTGCATCTGATAAAGCTGGGAAGAACATTTGACGAGCAATTTTCTTTCCGGGGATCAATAAGCTTTAGTTTACTAAATATGCTGATTCGAAATAGTAGCTTGCTGGCTTGCCTCCAATTCTAGCGCATTTTCCCACGCTATCCGATACACCCTGCGCCCATGGACTCGGCTCATCTTTCCTTTGCAAAAAGATTGCTTGAAGTTTAATTAGAGCGATTTCTATGCTAATTAAATATCCCTTCTTATATTCGTAAAATCTCCCAGACAGGAAGGCTCTATGCCGCGGTGCGAAAAAGGGTTGACCATGTGCCAAAAATTTCACGGAACGGGGCATAATTCTACCCAAAATAAAACAAAGTGAATTGAATTGACGGCGCGTGGATCGGATATGAATTCACATGTGGCGGAAGGAGGGGGTTTTAGCCGCGCATATTATCGTGAGCTTGGTGACAAAAGCTTATTCTTATCTACAAAAAGGGAGCAGTTTTGCGTTGTTTACTAAATAAGCTGTGATAAGACTTAATTGAGATAGAGAGGAGCATTTTCATTCGTGATCGGATTTTTCCACGAGAACAGCTCGACTTTGTTTGTCCTGAATCTATTATTCAACGAAGTGAGCTTTAATTTTGTTTTGCTACTTGAGGCTGCATTTTTGATGCAGGTGTATATGTAACAAAAAATAACTAGTGGTCACTTAGTAACGATAACAATACCTGCGTGCATAAACTGCTCACACTTAGAGCTTGAGTGCTTCGGCGGTCGATTTGCACGGTGATAATGTCACCACAAAAGGCCTTTTTTGGAGCTGCTTGGTTTTACTTGACTCAAGCTTATGGAATTTCATTGTGAACAAAATAAGAATGCCGAGTTAAATTTATAATCTTTGGACTAGAAGAAGCTCAGACATCGAAAAACGTCGAGATTATGCTTTGAAATGCTTGAGATGTCACTTTTTGACATTCGATGCTCTTCTTTTGCCCGGCTTTCGGGCTGTCAATATTATTATTTCTGGAATTTGTGTATCTTTATGCAAGTGACAATAACCATTTTGGGGCTCTTGAAAGCAGCTGCATGAAAGCCACTCATTCACCAAAAGGGTCTGTTCTAGTTGGCTAAGTAATTTCGCCAAGTGGCGTAAAAGCAGCACCTCGTAGCTCAAAAGGGCATTTGGCGTGATGCCAAGGCGCCAAACTAAAGCGGAAAATTCTGTTTTGCAATTCTTGACACTAACCCGTTTAGGGGGAGTCTCGGACATGAAACTTTAATTGATCCGATTTATGAAACAAGGGAGTCAAAATATTTGATGCGTGCCTTTACCCTGCTGAATGAAAGGAAAAGACAAGTCGTTTTTATTAACATTTTCAATGTTTATTGTTTCGTTCAAGCAACAATTTGGTAGTCTCGTTTGTTGTTGTAGTTTGTTTGAAAATTGGCCTCTGTATAATAATACATATTATCATAGTGGAATGTTGGCCGTGCTATAGGTGAAGACTATGAGTGTGCCTAAATTTCGTTTTTCTAAGATTTTGGCTAAACGGTGGGCAAAATTTTTCGAGGTAACAATAAAAGGCTAAGGCCCTTAGAAAGGGCGCGCTACGTTTAGCCATCGCTAGCTTACTGGTAGCAGTACAGTATTTTGTTGTGTTGAAGTAGAACAGAATGATCCACTAGGTAAACTGGCCAATAATAATGTTATTAATCTTTTTATTTAAAATTGCTTGGCACAATGAGCTACTACCGCAGCAAATCGTGTCTGCTAGACATTGTCTAGGAATGAAATCCTTCAAAACGAAATGGTAGGAAAAGCAGGGGCTCACATTTATACAAAAATGGTCGAGAATTAGGAGAAGAGAGGAGGAAGGTTTTTATACATAGTACGGGGAAAATAGTTTATCTAAGCAGGAGGGGTAAACCGGATTGAACGATTTCCGGTTTGGTAATTTTTCAATTAGAAGAACTTTTGTAAACGCTTTATACTTAAATAGGCGAGTTTTTTAACCGGCTGTTTGACACAACAGAGGGGTGAGGAGATAAATGGATTAAAGATTGTCCGTATTGGGTGTGTGGATGAGGATATTACTGGATATCAGGAGGGTATGGGGAAATATAGGTGTTGATTGTCCATGTTTTGTTTTGCAACAGCAGGTGGCGACAGGGCACAGAGTTTAGGCATTAGACTGCGTCGTCTCCAGCATCCCCTCCCTCTCCATCTGGCTAAAAAGATAATGTTATTTTTTGATCATTGAACGGATAGAAAGATCAGATGAGCCTGAACTCAAATGTCTTGGTTGATTGTATTAAAAAGTAGTAAAACAAACATGCTTGATTTTAAACTGCCCTTCTAGTGCTAACATGGCGAAGCATGTTGAAGCAATTTAGGGGTTGAAAGGGCTACGACAATACTGGACTATAACTGGACTACAGATTGTCTACGAGTAGTAGGAATTTGACAATTACCACGGGAGAAGTTTGCTGTGAAATTTAGTGGTGTCTAATTCGGCCATATGAGCTCTATAAAGTTAGTTTAGCAAAAGTCTGCGGGACGAGTCTGTCGATGATGGCCACAGGCTCGACAAGGACTTTGTCTAGGGTTCAAAAGTTTCAAGAGTCTGATTCTAGGGCAATCGCGAATGTGGACCCCAGGCCTGGTGACGCTGAAAGGCGCTCCCATGGGAAGGCCTGTCGGTCGGCCACAGTGATTCACAAGATGGATGTGGTTCGAATACTGTGTAATTAACCACAGGCGATCTTCAAAGAAAAACATAATTAGCAAAATTGAGGGTATTGAATTCCATACTAGTGAAGAAAAAGAATGAAACTCATGCGATTTGTTGATGATTTTCAAATCTTACTTTAATGCTCCCGCAGAAGAGTTAGCTGATCAAACTATACACAATTTAGTTCTCTTTTATCGCGACAGCTAGCCATAAATGTCCCTTTATCACCAGAATTTACAAGATAGCACCAGAGTCTACTTTCGGACTTGACTCTTTACTTACTTCAGAAGCTTGAAGCGGCTGTTTCTCGGCATCAGCCGCATCATCACCCTCTTCAACGCAAGTATCACTACAAACAGTTGTTAGATCACACACAAAACGACACACGAAAATCTCATGCGGACAGCTTGGCGTAAAACCGCGCTAGCACGTCTTCTGTTTATACTTACTCCTTATCCTGTTGCTGCTTGCGGCAGAAGAACACAGCGGCGCCGACGATGATGAGAATGGCGGGAATAGCAATAACGATACCAACGATGGCACCTGAAAGAAATTTTGTGGTTAGAATATTGGAACAGCGCCAGACCAAGTCCCGAGGCGATATTTTTAAATTTACTAGAAATCCGATTTTAATAACTTACCAGTTCCGAGGGATGCGTTTCGGGATGGTTGGCAGCAGGCTGGTTCGTGATCAGCGTTGACTTGAGCGACTGCAGTTCGAACTCCGTAAGAGTTGCTGGCGGAGCAAGTGAACTAAGTTAATCATAAGATATTCGCTTAAATTGATCAATTTTACCTCAGTTGGTTCGCTGAGCTTGACGAGGTTGCTGAAGAGGAGAAGAGATCCATTTTCCTTAGGAAGCTGCTCGCTCTGAGCGAAAGTTTCCTCAAGACCGACTGGTCCTTGCCAGCTGACTAAAATTAGGTTGTAAGTGATCAATCACTTCAATGCTTGTCTTACTTTTGCAGGCATTCTCACGTGGGCCAGCAACAACGCACATGATGCTCAAACTGGCGTGCTCGCCTTCGCCAGAGGTGCCGGCAACAGGCTCTTCAGTTCGGACAACGCATGGGCCATCAACGCTGAGTTCGAAGGAGTCAGACTGGGAACCGGCAGTGTTGGTAGCAGTGCAGGTGTATTCAGCTTCATCGTTATAGGTAACCTTGCCAAGGACGAGGTCTTTCTCGGAGATAACAGTGCTAGAGCCAGCTCGAGTCCACTGAATCTTTGGAGCTGGGTTTCCACTGGCAGAACAGGACTTTCGGTATTCCTTGTCGTATTCAGCTTCATCATCGGTACCGGCGGCGGGGGCATCAATGTCTATGGATGCGTTAGATTCATTTAAAAATAAGAATTCAACTCACAGTAAACATCGACGGAGGCAACATCGGAGATAGCCAGACCAGCAGTGAAAGTTTCGTTAGCGGGGCTGTTATTGGAAGCTTCACAAGTAAGCTGGACCTTCTCATTTCGGGCAGCGACAATGGCGTCTTCCTCCTTAAATTTACATTTTAAATGAGCTACTAAAAGTTCGATCTTACGGAGATGACGGTTCCATCAAGACTTCGGATTTGAACAAGTGGAGCGGGGTTTCCGTTAGCCTGGCAGGACACCTGGTAGCTGTTGCCCTCGATAACGTAGTAGTCTTCATCGGAGATAGCAGTAGCGCCACCGGTGACTTCAATGCTAGCCTCATTGGTGTAGTCTAAAATGAGAATCAAAATACGCTGTGGGTTTGGCTGACTTACAGAAGACTTCGACAGCGAAAGTAGACTCTTCATCGTTTTCAACAGTGACGGCAGTGGGGGCAGCGACAGAGATGCAAGAAACTTCAGCACCATCGAACTGGCCCTCAGGGGCAAGAGTAAGAGTGGCGGAGGCATCAAAGGTTCCATCACCGTTAGGGGTGACATCGGCGGCATCAACAGCGTGCTCAACGCCGTTCAAGAGGAAGGTGACGGTGGCGGGCTCTGGGTAGACGGATCGGACAACGCACTCGGCGACATCGTAGCTCTCCTGAGCAGGGATAGTTTCATTTCCAATTCGTTGGTCTCGGCCTTCAAGGACGTCCTCAATGGTAGCGAGTTCGACGGCTTGGGCGTTTTCTAGAGATTGAGTAATGTACTGTTATTAAAAAAGTGTTTCTTACGGTAGACAGTGAGCTCGACGTTCTGTTCACCGTAGGTTCCTCCCCAGTGGACTTCGCAGGAGTATTCGAGACCATCGTGGCCAATGGTGACTTCGGGAATGACAAGAGAAGCGGATTGAGCTAAATATGAATGTAAAGAGAGAGATTGGATTTATGGTTGTGTGGTTTTACAATGACTTGTAATTGATGATTTTGTGTGGACAAAGATAACTCTTTAATTGTGACGGAGTGCGATTTTGGTGATTTAAAATTATGAAATGGAAATTTGTGGACTTGATGATCCATTGAGAGCTGACTTGAATTGCTTGTTACCACAACAAAGTGGGACAAAAAGGGTGGCGTGAAGCCAAAAATTTTTTCTTTTCAGTGAATTTTTGAATAACTCGACGGATAATAATGATGAATTTTTACGAAACATGCGTGGAATTGCTAAAGCCTAATGATTATACTATAAGACGTACTTCGTGTAGGGTCAAAATCAGAGGCTAAATAGGAGTGGTTAGTCAAGGATAATTATTAGATTCAGGAGGCTATTCCTTCGACTAATAGCAAATTTGGAACTTACCATCGAAGTCGCCATTGAAGATGAGGCCCTCAGCATATCGGGTCTTGTACATCTGGGGTTCCTGGCCGACTCGCCACGAGAGGAGCGACTTGTGGTTGTTGTCGTTGATATCGAGTTTCCAGAAGAGCTGGAAGTTGTCAGGGTTGAACTCAGCTAAAATAAAATGTTATCAATGTTCAGTATATTGTCACACGACAAAGCAAGAGCTATTTCATTAGAGGCAACAAATCATTGAACAAAAACATCACTTGTTTTTTCAGGCGGCTTAGTAAAATAATCATAACCCAAGGCGACACAAAAAAGTGCTCCTTACGATGTCCCAATTCCTCCGATGCCTCCCAGGCCTGTCTGCACTGTTCAACGCTATCATAATCATCTTCAACTCCTTCGTAGTCGCAGAATACTAATTTTACAGCTTTGAATAAACGCGAAAATATTAACAGAACAACGAAACACAAAAGAATTAATGGTTATTCATGCTGTTTTCAAATTTGGGTTAGGTTATTAGTGGATCAGTATTTATAAACTTATGATGTCGCCACCCGCCAGTTGATTTATTTCGAGGTCACCATTTGTCAAAAGTGCGAGCATATTATTGTTAGTCTATTTTACCTTCGGAGTCGACTGGGAGATTCCATGAGCAAGTGAGGGTGGTGTTGCCGCCGGCCTCAATGTAGTCTTCGCTGCCGATAACGTCGACGGTGACCATTGTGTTGGCACTTGACGAGTCAATCTGTGCGAGCGCTAGAATTTCTTTAGAAAGGCGTTCGAATACGAAGAAATATTACCTGCCGCCGCTTGTGCCATAAGAAGCTTCATTGTGTGAGTTATTGCACTATTCTTATTTGAATACTAAGTTTGCAGCCGAACGTCGTCGAGGTCTAGTGCAAACCTTTTACTCAATCCAATCTGAAAACAAGTTCTTCGTTAGAAAAATCTCTCGGTGCGATGAATAATCCCTCTGTCGCAGAATAGTTATTTTTGAAATACGCGGTGGAATTCTCGCTAATCGGAATCGGGGAACGGAGGTTTTCTCTACGGATGATTTAGTCGGGTTCCGCATGACCGGTCGCCACCGCCGGTGATCACCGGGTCGCTAGCGACAGGTCAAACGGCCTTTCAAACAATTTTGATTTGAGTTCGATTTTATGGATTAGGGTCTTGTAAAACGATTAATGTACGGCTGACATTTCGGTACAAAAATTAACCATAATCAGCTCTAGATATCCAAAAGTTCTTTTCAAAACTATTTTCTCTTCACTATGCTCATTCAAGCGCTACGACTTTGAGCTATTTTTCATATTGAATATCGCCTTTGTGGGAAGGGCGCAATCACTCCGCGCCATTTCTAGTCCGTGCCAAAAAAGGAAAGAAAGGGACAAAATCTCTATCAATTTCAAGTAAACACTGAAGTTCAAGGTCCTTTTGACACTTTTAGCTCCTCAGTAAAAGAATTGCATGGCAGTTTAACTGTGAAGCCTTCCTTTATCCCTGAGGGACTTGGAAATAGGGTTCATAGTGCGTGTGATTCTGTCAATTATCGCGAGAAGATGAAGTGTGGTGGAACCGGTCAGTGTTATTTCTAGCAAAGCAAGAAGTGTGGATAGGTTTAGAATCGATATCGGGCCTAGGGTTTTTGAATATTTGATCGACGGAGTCAATGCTCCAAGAGCGGGCCCTCTCAACAGATTCGCCTGACACGATCAAAATCGATACCACCCGGTCACGTTCTTAGTCTTCTACTGCAACGAAAATCTCTTACTCAAATCAGCGCTAGAAAAAGGCAAATTTTTGGCGGCTTGGTGATGAGGCCAGGGCTGAAACGCGACGCCAAGCCCTGATAATCTACCCTGAGGGCGGCACCACCACCGGGTGCTCCTACTACGCCTATTGCATAATCCCAATTCGTCATTGAATTCATTCAAACCGCATTCGTTTATCTCTAATCCACACTATTATCGCAAAAACGGATTGGAGACATGGAAGAGTACGCGATGGCGTGTAGTCTGAATAAGAGCGGATCAATTGACAAAAGTTAGGAGAGAAAAAGACTGCCGATATCAGCAGTATGAATAGTGTCGTTTCAGATTGGATCCTTTCGTCGCCCGTCACAGTCGAGTACACACCACCGCCGTCGACTGCGTTTATGACAGGCGGAAATCTACTCTGATCTCTATAATATCATTAATTCTGCGCTCTGAAACAGGTGAAATCATAAACTCCCCAAAAGCGTCCCGTTTATCAAACTATTTATATAAGCGCTCTTTGCCATTGAATAGCGTTTAGAGCGGCTTTGTAGTCCTCGCCAAATTCAAATTCTCTTGTTATGTTGTGGACCCCGCTCCTTATGCTAACCGACTTTGGCCGCTGAGGTGGTGAATGGAAGGGCTTTCTTTTGAGCAGTCTCTCTTGCCTCTTTGTGTCGGTTTGAATAAAGCGTACGAGTTTCTCTCTCCTTTCCCGCCTCTGGTCTCTCACTGCTATTTCTGTTTTTATAATAAAAGTAAAGGGCCAGAACCGAGCGGCCAAAACATTCGAGCATAACGCGCTTGAGGCCCAAATTCAAGTGGACTTAGGGACAATGCCTCAATAACCTCGCCGCAACGGCCTTGGTATTATCTATTCAAAATCGTATCTCTCTAGGTGCTAAACCTACTCTAGACCCCTGGAGTTCTATTCCCCACCTGTTCATGGGTCATGAAAAACTAAAAGACACCCAATGTTTTCACTGATATCTGAAGAGGCGCAAAAAACCTGTGTTGGGGATAAATCATCCATAAAAGACATAGATCTATGAGTTAAAAATGCTGATTATGGTCAATTTTAGCACTGAGGTAACCCTGCTAAGCTCGGACTATGGACACATGAAATCGTGCGAACCGCAATCTTAGTGTAATCACGCCTGAGGTGGTCGAAATGGCAAGTAAGGATTCGCTGCAGGCTCTCTATGGGATCATCTCTGACTATTTAACGTTTCAAAATGGCAAACAAAGTTTTTTTGTAAGTTTCTAGCGCAGCGCGTGGAGTCAACGATAAATCGGACGCGCACAGGACGGGCGGCGGAATTTTCGTGAATCGCAGACACTTGGCGGCGCTGTGGTGGCGACCGCCGCTCGCCTCCAAGCCAGAATTCGCGGTGCTGTAGCGGTGGAGTAAGCGAGGAGAATCATCAACACCACTTAGACTCCACCTAGCTACGGGCAATATCACAAATAAAACGCGCGAAAACCGGTTGAAATTTTTGAAACCGTTGTGTCCCGCCATGCTTGTAGGAATTGCACCGTTCTAAACTAATAATGTTTTTCATGACAGTTTACATGATTTTCTATCCTTCAAATACGGATTATCCTCGAAAAGACTCGGGAGTTTTTACTACTGATTATTATTGAACACACTCAGAATTTAGTGATTGTCCATTGTCCGACCATAATCAATTATAAAAATTCTCTTCCTGGTCGCATTTATACGTCATAATTCCTGTCATACTCAGTTCCCATGGTATACGATCATCTCTATATTTTTAGGTGTTTTACGAAGCGTGTGATTCTGGACCGTCTCTTTTTTAGTCTTTCTGGTGTGAAGCGCTGGTCATTTTTTGACCGATGAATTTTATAAAGGGGTCTGCTGTTCTGGGCCTGCTGACGCGTTTCGTCGGTGGAGACGCCCGGATAAAAGGGGATGAATATCTCTGATTCTCTCTCAGCAGGTGCCCGCAGGCCTCTGTGGGACACACATTCATATGGAAAGAAAAGGGATGATTATTATGACTACACATAATGGCTAGTCATAACGGTACGTGTGAAGGTGCGAGCAGCGTGATGCACCACCTCCGCCAAGAATCAGCAAGGAATCACTCTCCCATCCGCCCCAAGGCTGCAAGCGCCAGTCAGCCGTAACAAGTTTCAAAAGCGCTTTGAATTTTGAAATGAAAGAAGATGCATCTTTCGAAAATATGCATCTTGCCCCGGTCGGTTTTGGTGCTTGGCGAGGGGCATTCTTTGTTTTGTGGCGTAAGCCCTGATTCCGGCGGAAGGTTGAGGGTAATGGGCGGGAAATTACCGATGATTTGTAACTAACCAAATTCAAAACGGGAAATAACTTCTCTTTGGAGACACTCCTTCCAAACTTTAATTATTGAAGTCTGGAATGAGTAAGAGTGATCTTTAGGGATGAATGATGTAATTCTTGAGTAAACCCGAGCTCTTGAATTATTTACTGGAAGAAAGAATGGATAGAACGGTAGCGTTTCGGTCTCACGTCCGAAAGTGCGCCTTGGCAAGTACTTGGACGTGCTTGAGCGTTGAGTAGTCAAGGGAGAAAAAATAAGTGTAGTGAGCGTCTATTGTGTGCCCTTATTTGGGCACACGGCCGTGACCTCCCCAGAAAGAGATGACAATGGAAATTGTACTGCGCCAAGCGCTATTGTCAGGCGGTGCACCCTCCCGGAACAGGCGATTTTCGCACGCATAGTTATTCTCCAAGTTGGAAAGTCGCCATATTCATAAACTTGGAAAATCTCCTACTGAAAATCTAAGTACAAAATGTAAGTAAATTTCTTCTACATATTCCTTTTTTACGATTTTATTAAAATCGTTTGATGATAACCAGTGTAAATTTCAGTCCATAAACCTAGAAGGTCTATATTTAGTGCGAGAAGGAAACGAACATAAATAAGTTTTTGATGCCCGGATGTCCGGGTCACTTGGTTGCCCATTCTTGCGTGTCGCCGAGGTCGATGAGAAGCGCGCGACCTCGCTAAGCTGGCTAAGCTCTTCAATATTTACCATCGTGGTGGCACCACCACCGAGGCAACCGATGGGAAGCTAGACGCAAGCGGCTTAACGCCTGGTATAACTGGTTATTAGCACTTAAAAATCGGCGCTAGTTTTATTTTGGGATGGGCGCCGCTATTTTTGGAAAATAAAATTTCAGGGCAAATTAAAAATTTTCGCGCATGAGTGAATGTTCCAGTGATCCGCGCCCTGTCAGACAGGATCTCACAGACACTTCTTTGAACCTCGGAAGTGTGATCGATTTATTCTAATTAAAAAAACTCAGTTCTTTTTTTTCAACGAAAGATTTTACCGACAATTAGGGGATGAAGTCTTCAGTGGTCTTGTCAGATTTCCAACCTAGAAAAAGGTTTTCAAGTTCCTTGGCTGTCAAATTCTCTCTAGAATAAATTAGATTTGGTCTTCCGTAATCTATGGCGAAACCCAAGCCGCTAGCGGCTGTTGAACAGGAAGCTTATCTTTGACTTTGCGTGGTAGATTATCGCTATAAGTTGATAATTTCGAACCGAAAGCCTGGAGAAGAGAACTTGAATTAACATCCTGTCATGGCTATACCCTCCCAGGCCCATTTCACCCGTAAATCCCTTCTGACAATAAATTATTCCCAGCCAAACTGCGATAATGACTTGTCTCTTTTTTGACATTTCGTAATTCAATAACTTTCCAGGTTCGCCTCACACGGTCGATGACATTTAGAGTTAAATTTTAAATATAATAAGACCGATTGAAAACTACCCAGGTGTCTGGTGCCGGCCAAAATTCGCAACGGCTGGCCTTTGATGCTTTTTGAAGCCCGACGCGCGTGGTATGTCTTAACCAAAGGATTGGCTTCAGTTTCAGGAGGCACTTTTCATTCGAACCTTTACAGTAATCATTCTTGCGAGTTTTCCATAAAAATATTCCATTACCAAAAATGCCATCATAAATATCCTATTCTGAAGAAAAACGGCAGACAATTCGATCCATTCTGTCTGTCTATCTGTCATGTTTCCCCTTTAGGTAGTTACAAAAACATCCTTGTGTTTATAAAATGATTTCTACAATCGTAGAAATGCTATTTGAGCAACTAAAACATAATTTTCAAGCAACAGCAATTTTTCTGAGATCTTTTACATAAAGTTTTCAATAATGTGCCACTTTGTTTCCTTCAAGAAGCTTACATAATGTCTATACTTTTAGTTACGTCATTTCGAGAGCCAATTGATATTTCCCTGCCTCGGGTAGTGTCTGACTTACCATCGTATAAAACCAAACATCAAAATCCTCGATAATTCAATTTCCAGAATGAAAATCACAGAGGATCGATTCAAAGGCGTAATCATCGAACTCCCGGACGAAGAAATAAACGAGAAATCATTCGAAGAAGAGCTCAAAAGGTGATTGTCTTGTTTAGTTGTTTTGGGAATATTTGGAACAAAGTACTTTATTAGAACTTGGCAGAGTGGAAAGCAGCTGGAAAGCGCGGCGTCTGGTTTCACCTGCCTAACAGAGCGAACAAGGCCGTTGCTCATTTGCTACAAAACGGATTCGGTAAATATTTATCCGCAAGTTCAATCAGTTCTATATAACCCAGAGTACCACCATGCTAAAAAGGGGAAAGTCGTCCTTCTCGGATGGCTGCCCACGGACGACACCAACAACGTTCCGGCTTATCCGTACACAGGAATTGGAGTCGGGGGCCTCGTCATCAACTCAAACAATCAAGTTCTTATGGTGAAAGAGAAGTACGCGTTCTCTGAGTACTTCAAACTTCCGGGAGGTCACGTCGACAAAGGCGAAGATTTACACATTGCCGCAATACGGGAAGTCAAGGAAGAGACTGGAATAGATGCCAAATTCAAAGTGAGTTTTTCATTCATTCCATCGTCTCTAGAAATTTCTCAGGGCATCGTGCAGTTCCGCCATTTCCACGACATGCCAATAGAAGGCCATTTCTGCTCAGACATCTACTTTATCATTCTCCTTGAGCCCGAAGACGAAACTCAAACAATCAAAATTCAGGCAAATGAAATCCAATGCGCTCAAGTAAAAATTTCATAAAAATTTGAAACGTAACATATCTTTACTAGTGGATAAATATTGAAGATGCTTTGAGCGGAAACTCTGTATCAGAACACAATAAAGGATTCATCAAAGCGGCGCGTGAATGCCTTGAAAGCAACACTTTCATCAATATTCGGAAAGAAGAAGCGTTTGAGAGAGTTTTCTCGATGTGGAGCATCAAAAACGATTCATAATAAGGAATTAGCATTTGCTTATTATCATCTGCCGCTAGAATATCTCAAATAAAGAAAGCTCATGAATTGGCGATAGTCTTATTTGCAAAATTATAATTACAGTGGTTGGAATGGATTAGGTACAAAGAGCATCAAAAATCAGTATCGAAAGCTTCATTCTTCTCCCCCATTTTCTCCGTGCTCTCTTCCGTCTCAACATCTGAGCATGCTTCTTTCTTCTCTGGGTTTCTTGCAAAAATGACCTCGACAGCTGTGTATCCGACCATTCCTAAAGAAAACTTGAATCTCTGGTGTGCGGTGTCCAGAACCTATGATCAAAAAGACGAGGCAAATGATTAGCTTCACGGATGCATCCAAGCTATTTCCATAAGCAAAAGCGGCACAAAAACCGAGTGATTCCCAGAGCCTGTAATTTGCAAATGCAGCTTCTTGATCATCTTTGAACAGCACCCCATAAAGAGCATTTAGTGCACATTGCCAAACTGCGTCGCAAATTCCCCATCCAATGGCAAACAAGAACAGATAGACAATGTTATTTGGATCTAAATAATTATATATTTGAATCGAACAAACATAGGTTACCAGGAAGAAGGAATCCGCCAAGAAGAACAACAATCAAGGATAAATTCAGCGTAGCACCAAATGCAAATATCAGCTTTCGACCTTATAATGTTTCGAAAACAACTGACTGTATATTATAAAATACGTAAGGATTTAATTATCAAAGAAACATTCCTAGACACTGCTCCAGAACTCCAGAAACAAAGGAAAACAGCGCATTAGTGACACCATAAGCGATCATGATAAGACCAATCCATCCCGGGGAAAAAGTACAGCTTACCCAAGCGGCAGTGAAAGATTCAATCAAAAAAGATTGCTCAAGACCAGAATAAATCGTCAGTGGGATCAATAGTGCCTGGAAACCATGTTTTGAGTAGATTGTGTGATGAATAGTAGTCTTCGCAAGAGCAACTACACTAGTGTTTTCTTTAGCAGGAACTAAAATAGTTTTAATTGTTGAAGAAACAGTCATCGAGATGAACCTTCAAGAGGATCAATTAGAAAAACGATGATAGCAAAAGCAACACAACCCGCTGCAACATAAATCCCCATCAGAGTATAAATTGTCTTATCGTCGTAGTCTGAGTCAATGTCATCGCAGCCACCAGCGGCAGGGAGAAAGTTAAGACCGCATTTCTTTTGAATTTCTTCGACTTCGCTGTCATCTTTTTCTGGCAGACTATCCGAGTCGGGAAAACCTCCATTGAGAATGAGAGAGGAAATCAAGTTGCCAAACAGTTGATTTAGCTGTTTTCGAATGTTAAATTTTTGCGTTTAAAGGCGTGGCTCTATTTGCCCAAAAAGTTCTTCTCAAGGAAAAATTTTTATCAGCAGAATTTCATTTTTATTTCCGCTGAATAAATATTGTACATTTCACAAACGCTCCTGGAAGACAAAGAAAAAAGTGCCAAACATTCTGTTTACCCACGATTCCGTCGTTTTTCCGGCAACTTTGGAGAGTTTCTCCGCAGAAACTGTCAGGTACTGGCATTGGGAGCTCCAAAGCGGGGCTGCACAAAAGCCAAGGTAGATCGCCGCTGGAATGAGGGTATAAAATTCTGGGTAGAAGTTTGCCGCTGTGTAAACGATGTAGCCAGTAAAGGAGAACGCCAGCGACCACTTTTTTGGGGTCGTAAAATTTTGCTGAAAACATAGAAGAAAAAACTCCTTTTTTGACCAGTCCCTTTAATCCGAGTTTTTGAATTGCGATAGTCGGTACAAAAAGACATGAAATAATCAAAGCTGCATAGATAGTTGCAACGGTGTATGTTCCTAGTCCATCGACGCAATTGATAGAACTCTGAAATAAAGAACTTCTGTAAATCCGAAAGTTCAATGTTCATCATTCGAGTCTTATTTGCATTTTTTGGAGTTCTCTTTTGTTTACCTGGAGATTACCAATGCCATTATAAGCAGTAAACTGCAGCAAAAAAGCCAGTGAAATGAGAAAGTTATTGAATAGGTACTTGAACTTCTCTCCTCCCATATTATTCTCGATGGGCTTGATTTGATGGTATTTGATGTGAGTTCTCTGATTTATTCGAAACGAGGAGAAAAAGCGCTTTGATGAGGAATGAGCAACGAACGGGAAGCGCACCGAAAGAGTACACAAAATACTTTTTAACCATTCAATGCTGCAGTGCTTTACGTTATTTAATTTAAATTTTCGAGATCGTAAACGTTCATGACGTAAAAGAGGGGCGATTGAAACAGCTGACCGCGAATCTTGGAATCTTCGTTGACTTCAAGCGCGGGCCCATTAGCTTTTAGACGGCCTAAGAATACAAGCAAACGAAAAGTTCAAATTCTCTTGAAATGCGACTTTTATTGTGGCTGCTTCAAAAAGATTGAAATTATAAGAGCTCCTTCCTCGTTGCCTTTTTTCTATGTCGACTTGGTTCCGTATTGACGCTGTACAAGGAATATACGAATGAGACGAGCATTCTCTTCATTAGCACTAACATTTTGATGAAAATAATATTTAAAAATATACAAGATGATAGAATAAATCTCAAGGATCGCTGATTGGCCGCCAGGAGCTATTCAAACAGCTCTGTTTACGATGAAGGAAATGAAGCAGCTTCATTGAAGCTCCTTTCCACTAGAAAATATTTTCAGTTGAAATTAGTCATTTATTTATTAACATCCTTTAAAAATACACATAATGATGCAAATTTCAAAAAAATGTTGAGAAAAGAAAAATAAAAGTTACCGAAAAATTTGAGTTATTTTCATTTGAGAGCTCAAAGACCGACGATATCGATCGAAGCAGAAACCATAACAGGGTACGGCCTTGGCACGCGGCGCAATTTGATTTATAAGCGCAAGAATGAAGGGCTTCCTTCGTAGTGGCTTCGGCCCTACATATATTAAAATTGGAACGATACAGAGAAGATTAGCATGGCCCCTGCGCAAGGATGACACGCAAAATCGTGAAGCGTTCCAAACTTTTGCCATATTTCGGGGCCCCTTTCACACTTTTCAGCTTGAACTTGAGAGTAACCCCTATTTTTATCATCAAAAATCAGTTGATCACTCCCACTCTCAGAAGAATCATTGGTCATTTATTTTATAAAACTTTCTATAAAACAGCAAAAGAACCGGCCTCCGTCGCTTAGCGTCATACCGCGTAGAATAAACCAGTTCTCGTCCGATCACTGAAGTCAAACTACGACGGGCGGGGTTAGTACTTACATGGGTGACCGGTTGGGAATACCTCGTGCGCTAAGCATTTTGACTTTTTTTGCAAAAAAATACGATCACCCTTTTGCATGTTTTACATTTGATTGTTGTTCAATCGAGCTATCAGAAGCTATTAAAAATCTTAATGTTTGAATCATGTAAGCAATGAGAGTTGAGCTTGCGTGGCGGGCGGCGTGGCACTTGTGAAAAAGCGCCCTCTGCCGCGCGCTTTTCTGGAAAGAGGCCGAAAATAGGAGCGTGCAGCGACAAAACGACCTCGAAATCAAGCACCCTCTCTCTTTACTCATCCCATTTTTGAGTCCGATTTCGATTGTCTAACAGGTAAGAATCGTCTCCATGCCCTCTCTCTCCTATCCCTCTCGCCTCTTACAAACAAAAACTTTTGACGTGCTTTTTTTAAGGTTAAGGAAGTTATTTCTCTTCGTACCTCTTTCTAGACCGGGAACACCAAACATATTTGGAATCAGCAGGAAATTTTAAGAACTTTGACCGTTTTAGTTTCCAAAATTTCCACTTCCGGTCCGATTCTAGAGCCGGAAGTTGACGAAATTTTTTATTTTGGGCAATTTGTGACCTATCAAATTGATTCTCAGAAGATTTCCTATCATCTGAGAGAAGAATCAATGTCGACCGCGGTCAAAGCAAGCGCTAAAAGCTTAATGAAAAATCACAAATTTATGCCTTTTTCCTAGTTTTGCCGGTCGGTTAGACCGCGATTGGGATGGTTTTTTGGAAGATTTTTAGATGAGATGACTCAAAATCTTCTGAGAATCAATTTGATAGGTCACAAATTGCCCAAAATAAAAAATTTCGTCAACTTCCGGCTCTAGAATCGGACCGGAAGTGGAAATTTTGGAAACTAAAACGGTCAAAGTTCTTAAAATTTCCTGCTGATTCCAAATATGTTTGGTGTTCCCGGTCTAGAAAGAGGTACGAAGAGAAATAACTTCCTTAACCTTAAAAAAGCACATCAAAAGTTTTTGTTTGTAAGAGGCGAGAGGGATAGAGAGAGAGGGCATGGAGACGATTCTTACCTGTTAGACAATCGAAATCGGACTCAAAAATGGGATGAGTAAAGAGAGAGGGTGCTTGATTTCGAGGTCGTTTTGTCGCTGCACGCTCCTATTTTCGGCCTCTTTCCAGAAAAGCGCGCGGAAGAGGGCGCTTTTTCACAAGTGCCGCGCCGCCCGCCACGCAAGCTCAACTCTCAATGCTTACTTCACGCAAACATGGCGACTTTTTTTTCAATTACTGATGAGTTGAGTCTTCAACAATACGACTCCGAGTATTTCCTCGTAAAAAAGACTAGTCAGCGTTTCAAAAAAAGTCAAAAATGCTTAGCGCACGAGGTATTCCCAACCGGTCACCCATGTAAGTACTAACCCCGCCCGTCGTAGTTTGACTTCAGTGATCGGACGAGAACTGGTTTATTCTACGCGGTATGACGCTAAGCGAAGGGGGCTCGTTCTATTAGGGATAAATAGCAAATTTTCGAATCAGAATTATGTTTATTGCAGGTTGATGCTGTATCTATGTGTTTTCCGTAAAATCAGGTAAGAAAGGATTGAACGAAGATCGACTATCTCAGTCAAGAGCGGGAGTATCGACGATCTCGATCGGAATTTCTTGTTGCTTGTCTTCTTCTTTCTGCACTCGTTCGGCGACGAAAGTGAGCTGATTCTCGTGCAACTTTGACGCGATCGTCTTCAGCTCCACATCCTCTGGAATTCGAATTTCTTTTGTCCAGACGTGAGTTGAGAAGATCTTCAATCCGTCCCGTCGAGTAGACTCCGTTTCAGACTTTCCAGACACGGTCAGAGTGCGGCTCTTCTCGTCCACCTTCACGTGCAGTTCCTCGGCCTTGGTAGGGATGGAAGAAAGGTTGATGCAGCTGCACCACTTGCTCGTTTTTGCAGCAGTTTGGCAGCATCCTCCACGCTTGTTGGCGGAATGGACAAACTCAGAAAACAACTGGTTCATCAGGGGTTCGAAGTGTTCGTTGGAAAAAGTAAACATTTTCGTTGGTTTTTGTATCTCTGGTGTGATGAGAAAGCCATCTCCCGCTCGCTATTTATTGCCACTGATGACTGTCGCCGTTTCTTCCAGAAGGTTCTATTTCCAGTGTAGAATGTTCTGGAATCTTCTTTCTGAAAAATCGACTGAGAAGATTATCTTCTCCAGTCTTCTGGAATGTTCGATTTCTTCGGGAACTTTCTGTTATATTCTGTAATATTCTACACTTGATTTCCCGAATTTTCTCGAAGTTCTCAAGGGTATAAAATGGGCTTGGTTCAGCAAGAGCACATTCAAACTAAGAAATCTTTTCAAAGGATTCAAAAAAGCAAAAGATGATAAAAATCGCCAGATTTCCTTTTTCTCCCGAATTCGACCGTCCGATCCAGCGCAAATGCCGTTCTCGTCGCTTCCAGCCATACTCCATTTCGCAAGAAATGATCACTCCTACAACCTGGTCAGCAAGAGTTGATCTAGCGTCGCTTCCAACACAGAAAGAAGACCTCAAAATCACCAAAGACGAGTCAAAGAGAGAGCTGCAAATCTCTGGCTCATCAAAAACATCTGAAATCATCGAAGGAGTGAAGATCGAGTCAACACACAACTGGAAGAGAACCCTTTCTGTGCCAAAAACAGTTGACGTTAAGTCACTCTCCTCCAAATTCGATGGAAAAAACCTATTATTCACTGCTGATAGAAAGTCCGGTACTAACGTTCCAATCAGTTTTGTCCATAAAGACGAATAAATGATAACCGCAAAAGTTAACTGACGTAAGAAGGCATCTTTGCGAGTTATTTTCGTTTGTAAGAGGCGAGAGGGATAGGAGAGAGAGGGCATGGAGACGATTCTTACCTGTTAGACAATCGAAATCGGACTCAAAAATGGGATGAGTATCGAGAAGGGGTGCTTGATTTCGAGGTCGTTTTGTCGCTGCACGCTCCTATTTTCGGCCTCTTTTCAGAAAAGCGCGCGGCAGAGGGCGCTTTTTCACAAGTGCCACGCCGCCCGCCACGCGAGTTCAACTCTCATTGCTTACATCATGTAATCATTGATTCAAACATTAAGATTTTTTAATAGCTTCTGATAGCTCGATTGAACAACAATCAAATGTTAAACATGCAAAAGGGTGATCGTATTTTTTGCAAAAAAAGTCAAAATGCTTAGCGCACGAGGTATTCCCAACCGGTCACCCATGTAAGTACTAACCCCGCCCGTCGTAGTTTGACTTCAGTGATCGGACGAGAACTGGTTTATTCTACGCGGTATGACGCTAAGCGACGGAGGCCGGTTCTTTTGCTGTTTTATAGAAAGTTTTATAAAATAAATGATCAATGATTCTTCTGAGAGTGGGAGTGATCAACTGATTTTTGATGATAAAAATAGGGATTGCTCTCAAGTTCAAGCTGAAAAGTGTGAAAGGGCCCCCGAAATATGGCAAAAGTTTGGAACGCTTCACGATTTTGCGTGTCATCCTTGCGCAGGGGCCATGCTAATCTTCTCTGTATCGTTCCAATTTTAATATATGTAGGGCCGAAGCCACTACGAAGGAAGCCCTTCATTCTTGCGCTTATAAATCAAATTGCGCCGCGTGCCAAGGCTGTACCCTTTACTTGTACCCTTTACTCCACTTTTTGTATTAGAAAATTCTCTTCTGACACAAATGATTTGATGGTTAATAAAAGAGTTTATCATCAGAGTTTATTATCAATTTGCAGTCTGCAAAGGAATTTTTAAATTATATTATTGTGTTTTCCAGCGAGGATGTTTTGAATCTGTTGTTGTCCAAGAACTTCTACTCTTCCGTCTTTGGTTACGAAATAGTCTCCTGGTCGAATTTTGTCTTCTTTTATAGCCGCTTTTTTGTATTTGAAAGTGTCCGTTACCGGTAAATCCTCGACGATTCTGTAAATTCTAGGGCAAGCAGCATGATGCAGGTTTTCTTTAGGGAGATCTCTATCTTGTCCTTCTTTGTAAAAGAATGGATATGATATGGATTTTCTATAAAAAATTATTGACCTTAGCTTGACATTTTTTCGCGACTTTTTGAATTTTTTCGATGGTCATCTCATTACATTTTCCAGCAATTACCCCCATTCTCCCTTCATTTCCCTTTACCTTTACTCTATAAAAGAGCTTTTACTCGAATTAATTTAAACTAAGCCCTACCCGTAGGCAACTGCTTCCGTGAACTCTCCTGATTCCAAGACCACACGTTCAACTTCTGCCGCTGAAACATTCTCGCCTTTCCAACGATATGTGTCGCCAAGCCGATCGCAAAAGAACAACTCGTATTCTTCGTTGATTTCAAGCATGTCACCTGAGTCGACCCAAACCTCGCCGTCGCCGAATGGATCGTCAATGACTTTTTCAGAAGTTTTCTTTTCGTCGTTGAAATATCCAGAGTATTGGTAGATTTCAGAGACTCTCATGATCAAAATACCCGGCTCGTTGAAGCCAACTTCCACCAAACTGAAAATATTTATTGAAGAAGCAGATGATCAAACAATCACATACTGTCCATTTTCATCCCTCAAGAAGCCTTCATCGTTAGGATCCTTCTTCACCAATTTAAGACCGTTCAATTCTTGAAAAGTTGGTGTCAATCGACTGATTGCACCGTTTCTTACGAAAGGTTTTCCATCATCCCCTAAAAGACTCTAATCTAAAGTTCAGTGAACGAGATTAACCTAGAGTAGTAGTCAAAATAAAAGGAAGCTCGGTAGCACCGTAGACTTCTGCCATCCAGATGTGATCACCAAAGCGATCGTTGAATTTAGTCCACTCACGCCGATCCAAACCATTTCCAAGACAAAGCTCTAGCTGATGATTCTGATCAGTTGCTTTTGGCTCAGTGTTGTTTATGTATCTGATAGTTTCACCAATATACATCATGTGAGTGATCGGGTAGTTTTCAGTGAAGGTCTTCACTGCTTCCGATGGAGAGAACTTAGAAGACAAGCAAACTTTAGAGCCGTTTGACATGGCGACGATGCAATTCAGGAGGCCAGAAAAATGGAATAAAGGCAAGTCATTTTGCAACATTTTATCCTCGTTGTAGTTGTAGAAGACGCGTCCTGCATGGCAGGATAAGGTGGGTTGAAAATGTTTCTTTACTGCAGCTTTTGGTAAACCGGTCGTTCCAGATGTAAAAATTAGGGTAAAGATATCCATTGGTCCTATATCCTGGTGTTCAATTCTATCAGTGCTCTCCTTATTTCGCAGATCATCAAGCAGGCCAAGCCCGTAATTTTTCGTTTTTGAAATTATTGGAATTCTCAGGTTCAGACTCTCAAGTGCTTCGTGATGAACAGGGTCGCCTCCGACAATGACGTACTTAGCATTTGTGAGCTCTATTGAATGCTTCAAAGCAGAACCTTTCATCGAAGTGTTGATTAGTGCTGGAATTGCTCCACCGGCACTTATGCCACTAACTGTTGGGATGAAATCTTCCGAGTTAAAGCTGAGGTAAGCAATCACATCTTCGTCTTCAAGCTCAAGCGTTTTTACGAGACGAGAAGTTTGATTAAGTTTATCTGCAATCCAGCCTCTTGAAAATTCATCATTATCAAAAATCAAACTGGTTTTTTCGCGATTTTCCTCCGCCCGCTTTAGCAAATAATCGAGTGTTGTCTCTTGATTGCCAAAAATTTCCATCGCCGCTTCTTGCATCTTATCATTTGCATTAACAATTGAACGGTCGAATGCTTCAACTCGAAGACGAGCTGCATCTGATAACGAGCGAAAAATTCTAGATCGAAACATCTTCTGCGGGATCTTTGCCATGAAAATAGTACTGCGGCGAAAGTTCAATATTTGCTTTGTGAACTGCAGTAACCCTGATCTATATTTACAGGAAACGCCTCAATTTCAAATGTTTCGGAGAATAAAAACAGGTTTTGCAAAAGATATCAAAATTTATTAAATCACACATCATAAATAAAGAGATAAGCATCAAGTTTTGTTAACAGGAGAATTGTTAGATCTGCTGGACATAGTTTCCGGGGAGCATACCGCTGGCACCAGTTCGCTCAACAACACCAAAAAGCCATCCACCTCCGATTTCTTGGGCCTGGCTGATGATGTCGCCTTCCTGGAAGCTAACTTCGTCGTCGTCAGCAGCGGTGTAGTCGTAAAGAGCTCTGACGCTGATGAATTCAACTTGCTCTTCCTGAACTGGAGCTGGAGTCTGCATATTGGAACCACCGTAAAATGAGGACTCATATCCAACGTTCTGAAGAGCCTGCTGGGTCTCACCCTCCTGGTACTTCATGACGTGGCCAGGAGCATAAGCTCGTTTGTAGGATCCAGTAAGGTAGGACTTCCACGAAGAAGTTTGCTCACCGACCTTCTTCGGGTCCCAGTTAGCAAGAAGCTCGTAGTCAGAGCCATCTCCATCCATATCATCAGCAGTGTCGTAATGATGATTGTAAGAGCTGCCGTACTCAATATCTGTAGGATCTTCAATGTCGAAAACAGAACCAGGATCAGCTCGATATCGAGGCATAGCTCGGCCAACTCGAGTTCCAGTTGATTGCGCTGGCGCCTGAGAACGGATCTGCTGCTGGCGAGCTTCATTTTCAAGAGTCATTCGAGCCGCTTCCATCTGATCGACCTTGCCTCGGATTCCCTTGTAGTTGAGATCGGAAGCAATATCAGTTGCTCGTCGAGCGCGCTTGGTAGCGAGATCATCGGCAACCTGGATTCGCTTGCCGGCCTGCTTCTGCAGATCTTCCTTGTACTTGAGCTCGGAAAAGTTCTTCTGGTTTCGCTTAACCATTCGCATTTCAGGGGTGTCCATAACTCCACAAGATTTGCCCTTCCACTTGTTATCAGCGTAGCCAACCTTAGACTGAATCTTGCTGACGTTCTTGACTCGTCGCATTTCAGGGGTATCAAGAACAGTGGCACCAGGATTGACCTTGATTCGGTAGTTTCGCTCAGAAGTCTTTGCGACTCCCTTGATTCGTCGCATTTCTGGAGTATCAAGAATTGCGTTCACTCGAGCAGTGACCCACTTATCGTTGCCAGCAATGGCTTCGCCAAGAGACTCCTTCTTCATGAGCTGTTGAGCAGCCATAGCAGCTTTCATAGCCGGTGTCTGAAGAACGTCGCCAGCCGATCGACCCTTGAGCTCACTCTCGTACTGTTTTTTATATTCCTTGTCGGACTTGATAGCATTTGCTTTTCGAATAGCCTCCATAGCAGGTGTCATATGAAGATCATATCCGTAGCCCTTCATGGTCTTCTCAAAGTCTTTCTTATATTCTCGGTCGGAGAGGATTCGGCTGGCCTTTTTGACACGCTCAGAGTTGAAGTCGTCTTCGTAGCAACTGGCCTTCATCGCGTCTCTAGCGGCGGTCTTGTAATTTCGACCGGAAGTGAATCGCTGAGCTTCCATGTAGGTTTGCTGGAAAGGATTGGCTTCATCAGCTTCCCATCCCTTGCCCTTCTGTGACTTGAGACCTTCTCGTTTGTAGTGAAGCTCAGAGTTGATCTTTCCAGCGTGATTGTGATGCTGGTGAATTGGTGCCTCTGGAACAAAAGTGTATCCGGATGATCCTTGTTTGCCAGCTTCTTTGTATGCCTTATCAGAGACGAGCTTAGAAGCAGTTGCATTTTGAGCGATATCTGGTCGATCTTCGATGGATGTAGCATGGTTCTTGTCCATGCCTTCTCGCGCTTTTTTCTTGTACTGAACATCAGACTGGATAGATTTGAGATCCTTGAGCTGGTTGTACATTGGAGTGCTCTCAGGTTTGAAAGAGTTCTTATCCTGCTGCTTGTTCTTAGAGTATTCAATCTTGCTAGCAAGAGTCTGGAACTCAAGTTTAGCTTCCATTGAGGGAACCATATCGAGAGACTTGCCTTCAGTCTTCTGCTTGTACTTAGAAGAGACCAGGTACTGATTGTCGTCATGTCGCTCTTGATCGTAAGTGCGCTCAAGTTTGGAGTACTCGGACATCTTGTTCTCCTGTTGATACGCAATCTTCGAAGCAATCTTTTGGACTCGGCTTCGGTGAGTGGTTTGGATATCATCGGGCAAAGCAGTGAATTTGCTCTTTTCCATCTCATACTGCTGTTTGTAGTCACGATCAGATCGGAGAGTGTCCTTGGTGATAGAAGCCTGGTGATCAACGATCATATCTTTGACCTGAGTATTCTTCTGGAGCTCGGTCTTACCAGCTTTTCGGTACTTCACATCAGAAGCAATCTCAGAGGCCTTTGTGGCTTCTTTGAGATTAGGAGTGAAAGTGATGTCTTTCATCTCTCGCTTAACCTGATCTCGGTACTTGAGGTCAGAATACTGCTCTTGCATCTTCTGGAGACGAGCATACTCAGGTGTATCAGCGGCGATAAAGGCAACTTTACCCTTCTGCTCGTTGAACTGTTTTTTGTAAGCAGCATCAGACTGGTATTTTGTAGTCTGCTGAGCAGAAGTAAGAGAAAGATCATCGGGGAACTGGAAGCACCACTCGTTGTCTTTAATACCACCAAACTGATCAGAATTCTTGTACTCGACATCAGAGACGGCTTTCTGAATCTGTTTGACATTGTTGAATACAAAGTTATCAGCGTCTCGGATGTTAGTAGATTGCATGTCCTTGAGAGCGATCTCCTTATATCCTTTCTCGTCGGTGAGCTTCTGAGCATCCTTAGCAGCATTGAGCTGGACACCAATGGTGTTGCAGTTGACAGCGTGCATTTCGACCTTTGCAGCAGCCTTGTAGTTTCTGTCGTTAAGCTTTTCGACGGTATCCTTGATATGAGCTTGCTCCAAGGTCTTGTGAGCCTGCAAGTTCGATTTCATAGCTTCCTTGCCATCTTTGTAGTAGCCAATCTTATCAGAAACCTTCGTTGCTTCGATTTGGGCTGCAGTCTCCTTGTTGACAGTTTGCGAGTTGAGACTCATTTCGAGCTTAGCTTCTCGTTGGTACTCGCGGTTGCTCTTAAGAGCTTCAGCCTTTTTGACCTCGTTGATGCTGAATGAGTCCGCAGTGTTGAGATTCATTGCTCTCATTTCATGAAGAGCAGCGGCCTTGTAAGTACGCTCGCCAGATTTCTCCGCAAGTTCTTTCAAGTGTCGGTAGTAAGGAGTATCTGGAACCACAAGGTATTTCTGAGCAGCTTCCTTGGCTTTTTCCTTGTAAGCTTTGTCATCAGTGAGTTTTTGACGCTCGCACAGAGATTCCATCGTCAAATCAAATGGAATTGGCAGAGAAAGAACTTGCCCCTTCCAGTAATCGTTGTATTCTTCTCGATATTTGACGTCAGAGATATTAGCCTGGCGATCGGCATACTTCTGGATATCGTGGGTACCATCATCAAAGATTTTCATCTTGCTTGGATCTTCTCGATATTGAGTCTCAGAAGCGTACTTTTGAGCATTGTCGACAGTGAGTTGCCAAGGAGTATCAGTTACAGAACAACCGTTTACAGCATGCATTTCAGCAATCGCCTCCTTCTTGTAATCTTTACCGCCCACCATTTTCTGGGCGCGGAGGAGTTCTTGGGTTTTGAAATCATCCTTGAGCTCGATAGGAGTAGCCTTGAGATCGTAAGTCTGATCGAGTTTCACGACGTTTGCATCTTTAGCGAGCTTTGTAGCTTCAACAAGATGAGCATTGTTCACGTAGCTACCTCCAGTGGGGTCAAGAGCACAGAACTTGTTGAAAACTTCAGCTTCTGCCTTATATTTCTGACCAGATGCGAGTTCTTGGGCTTCTTTAGCGTGAAGAATCGCTGGAGTATCAGCAACAGTAGTGTGTGGACCGTGCTGCATAACACCCTTAACTTTGTTGCCATAGTTGATGGTGGAGATTTCCTTCTTAACTTCCTTTTGGAATTCATGCTCAACAGATTGATAAAGATTGGCGGTTTTTGAAAGAGCCTTTTTGGCATCGCCAGTGTATGCTCGCTGATTCTTGAGATCAGCCTGTTCTTTGTAGTGCTCGTACTCGACAGTCCACATGTAAGGGACCCAGATAGCAGATTTTTCATCGTTCCATTCTTCCTTGTACTTGTTGTCAGAAACAAGATGCTTCATCTCTTCAACATATTTAGCCCATGGAGTGAGGAACAAGTTGTTTTGGTAGCTCTGGATGTGTTTGGCCTTCTCACCCTTGAGCTTGTATGGATGCTCAGAAGCAAGTTTCTGATTTTCTCGATCCTGAACAAGCTTGACTGACATGGCTAATTCAGCAGGTCTGCCGAAGTCCTCCTTCAAGTGCTGAGCCTTGTAGAGATTATCGGATTGGAGTTTTTGTGCATCCTTGAAAGCAGCCATGTCGATTGGCTCCTCGCACTTTGCAAAGTCGGAAATGTGCTTTGTCTCTTCGTACTTCTGTTTGTACTCGTTAACGGAAGCCAAGTGCTGAACTTCAAGCTGATTTTTGGTTTCTTCTGACATAACGGCAGCACCAATGCCCATGTAGTGCTCGGGCTGTTTGTAGGAAGACGCAGACTGATATTTCTGGGCTTCTTTGAGCTCCATTGCACCGGGAGTCTGGTTAGCCATATGAGAAGCCCACTTATGCTTCTCTTTGTCTTTTGCTTCATAAGAAATTTTGGATTGTTCGGTTTTCATATTGAGCGCATGCTGGAAGGAAGGTCCAGTGAAGTCAGTAAGTCCCTTTCCGAAGGTGTTTTTGTAGAATGTCTTCTTGTAAAGCTTGTCAGAGACATCACCTCGGTCGTACTGCTCTTTGATTCGTCGGTACTCGGGAGTATCGAATTCAGGAATGCACCAGCCAACCTGCTCTTCCATGTACTCTTCCTTGTATTTCTTGTCAGAAAGAATTTCTTTCACATCCTGATGGAAAGTTTGAGTGAGAGAATCCTTGATGCTGAGTTTGGTGAAAGCTCTGCATTGCTTGATGGCTTCCTGATAAGTTTTCTTGTAGTCAAGGTTAGAGCATGCAGCAGCAGCTTCTTGAGCAGCCTTGATAGGCAAGTGATCTACTGGAATATTAAATGTTGTCTTCATCTTCTCAGCGGCTTCTTTGTAGCCCTTCTCGGATACGTTTTGTTGATTTTCCTTATGTCGAGGACCATCAAGGGCAGCAGCAGCATTCCAGAGACGAGATTTACCCTTTTCTTCTCGATGCTTAGTTAAGTAGATATAGTCAGATACCATCTGTCGAGCTTCTTTAGCAGCAACAATATCAATTCGCTGAACTGGCAAGTCATACTTCATCATGATTTCCTTAGCCTCCTTTTTGTACTTTGATTCACTACCGAGCTCGATCATGGCCTTTTGGTGCTCATGAACAGGAGTGATAATTGTAAATTGCCATTTGGTGTTAGCGGCCTTTCCAGCTTCTTGGTACTTGAAGTCAAGAAGACCCTTGTTCTTCTTGTCCTGAGAATATTTCTCAGACTCAGTGATTTTGTACTTGTTTGGCGCGCCCTGGATATCCTTTTTATACTTCTGAAGATAGAGCCACTGGGACTGGAATCGGTTGACTTCGAGAGAAAGTTCGTACCCAGGCGTGATGTGAACAGGGTAGAAGCAGCACTCTCGGTCAATAAGATATTCCTCCTGGTACGCATGCTTCGACATATTTCGAGTGACTTCCGAGTGGAATCGATCTTCAGGCCACATATCGATGTTTTTGAAAGAAGAGGCGCTCTTTACGGCAGCTTCATAATCCTTCAAGTACTCCTTCTGGCTGAAGGCCTTGGACGCAGCTTTGGCGCCTTCAACTGCGACAGAGTCGGGGATAAGAGTGTACTTCTCCTTCTGCTTATTCCAATCAGCGGCGTAATTGTTAGGGTTTTGGAGCTTCTTGTTAGCAGCATGGAGCTGAAGAGCAAATTCGTCCTTTCCAGCAGACTGGTACTTGGTGTTGAATTCTTTTCCAGCCTTTCGGTAAAGGTTCTCACTTTGGATGACGTCATTAGCTTTCGCAAGCTTGAATGGCATAAAGTCCAAGTCGAGATTATATTTGCCCATAGTATTTCGGGCTTCTTGCTCGTATGTCCAGTTGCTCAGGCGTTTCTGGCAATCTCGAAGGTTTTCTTGAACCATATCAAGACCCTTGACACCCTTGTAGCCCTTGTTCCTATCGGCCATATACTTAGCTCTGTACTTGTGAATAGAAAGGAAGCCATCGAGGTCCTTATTTTGGATGTAATGCTCAGTCTCGTTAGCACGGAAATGGTTTGCTTTTCGCTTAGATTCTTCGTATTCTGCCTTGTATTTCTTGTCAGACATCATTTTGGTGTGCTGGAGAGCATTCTCATATCCCGGAGTGATGTGAACAGGGAAATAGGCGTAGTTTCGCTCTTCGAGGTATTCTTCCTTGTATCGCCAGTCAGACAAGTTTCGAGCATTTTCAGCAGCTCGAACCATGTTCATATCGTCGCCGACACAGAGCTTGGAGAAAGCCTTGAATGTATTGTTAACGATCTTCTGTGACTTGGTGTAGTCAGAAGTGCTCATGAGCTTCATAACGTTCTTGTAGTGTTCGAGCATGAGATTGGGCCCGAAAGTATACTGATGCGAGGCGACGCGTCCATCCTGCTGGTAGATCTTATCATTCAAGTTGATGGCGTTCTTCTTGTAAGTGTCGTAAGTTTCAGTTAGATGGAAGAATCGAGATGGCAGACCCTTGACTTCCTTGTTATAAACATCATCATAGATTCGCTGGGAGCAGACATTTCGCATCTCCATAGCATGGCCGACTTCCATTGCCGTACAGTCAATGTGGTACTTGCCCATCAAGTCCTTGGCGGCTTGCTGATAAAGTCTAATGGATGTTTGTGGCTGGACACTCTTCGCAGTCTCTTCTTTGAGAGTCATCACTTCAGTGAAGCCCTTGCCCTTGTTCTTTCGGTAGTCTTCCTGATAATGATGATCGGAAAGGATCTTATTTGCGGTTTGCTTCTGAGCGTAACCTTCACTGGTACACATGTTGTAGACATTGTTGTGCTTTTCTTTGTGGTAGTCCTTGTTGTAGAGAAGCTGGGACTGGAACTGATAAGCTTGCATAGCAGACTCATAAGCTGGAGTAATCTGAACGGGGAAGTAGATCATCTCCTTAATTTCTTTCCACTCTTCAGTGTACTTGGAGTTTGAAATTCGCTCCATAGCTTCAACACCACGAATGACAACGGGGTGAGAGTGAGCGTCCATGTTTTGGAAACCCTTGTATCGAGCAATACAGTCTCGTCGAGAAGCAGAGTACAAGTAATCGTTGAGAAGACCGGCTTGAGCTTTAACTCGCTGCATTTCGATAGAATCGGGAATAACAGTGTATTGGTGAAGAGAAGCATCATCTTTAGCGGTGTAGTTTTTCTGGGAAAGTTGCTCTTGAGTGAGTTTGGCTTGTTTTTCAATGAACAAGTCATCAATGGACTGATATTTTCCACCAACACCCTGTACGGACTCAACATATGCCTGTCGATAATCCTTCATCGAGAGCTTCAGCTTGCACTCAGCGGCGTGCTGTAGACTGATATCACCGGCAACAAGTCCATGCTTGGCAGCGATTTCCTTTGCAGCCTTGATGTAAGCGGCTTTGCCGATCCATGGTTTGACGCTCTTGGCAAGCTTAACCTCAGTGGGATCAACGATTTCAGTGTGCTGCTTCGAAGTCGCAAGTTTGTCCTTCCATTCTCGACCGTAGGCATTTTGTCCAATAGCAGCTTGTCGGGCCTTAGCATCCTTATACTGCTCGGACTCAGCCTGATTATAGACGTTCTTTACTTTAGACTTCTGGTATTCATCAGTGTAACCAATGTTAGATTGCCATTTAGAAGCGTACATGGCAGTTTCGTAACCAGGAGTCATATGAACAGGGTAGTAGATGACGTTTCTATCAATAAGGTAGTCTTCGATGTACTTTCGGTGAGAGATAACATCGTTCACTCGTTCTCCCTCAACGACGATTGGATGAGTAGCGGCATCCATTCTCTGGAAGCCCTTAAATTTTTCAATGGCTTCAATTTTGGACTTCGAGTAGAGAGCGTGATTGATGTTTTTCTGATTCTTGAGAGCAGTCAGCTGGACGGGCGTATCGTAGACAAGAGTGTACTTGTGATTGAACTCTTCGCCAGTGGCACGGTAGTTCTTTTCGTTCAAGTTGAACTGGTTCTCCTTCGCTCGCTTGTAGTCAAAGACGTCATCGATTCCTTTGTAGTTTCCACCTTTACCCTTGGTCTCCTTGTTGTATTTTTCTTTGTAAAGATAGTCCTTGTGGTGCTGACCATTCTTCATCGATTCCTGCAAGTTCAAGTTCTGAAGCTCAAGACCATACTTTGACATGATATCTTTAGCATCAGCCACGTAATCATTTGGTCGCTGAAGCTTCGAGTTCGCCTTCGCGAGGTTCTGAACAGGAGTATCACTGACAGGGGTGAACTTCAATTTCCCAGTTGTATTCCACTCTTCAGCGTAGTACTGGTCATTCTTATACTTCACAGCTGCCTTCTGATCCGCGTATCGCTCAGTGGTGGTGACGTCGTACACGTTCTTTGCTCGGTTTTCCAAGTAATCCTTTCTGTATGGAATGTCAGATTGGAACTTGTTGACTGCAACAGCATTTTCATAACCAGGAGTAATATGAGCTGGGAAATAGACGAAGTTTCGCTCAACGAGATAGTCTTCAATGTACTTTGAGTGAGAGATAATATCATTGACTCGCTCTCCTTCGACAACGACTGGATGGTTGTGGGCGTCCATGTGCTGAAAGCCTTTGTACTTATTGATAACTTCAGCACGCTGTTTCTTGTATTCTTTGTCAGTGCACTGAAGAGCAACAGATCTTGCTCGAAGGGTCTCGTTAGACTCGGCAACAGTGTATTTGACCTTGATCTTGTCACCTTCAGCCTTGTAATTACTCTGGTTCAAAGCTGCCTGAACATCTCTGTAGTGCAAGTACTCTGGGTGAGCAATTGCGGGGTTTTTCGCTCCAGTACCAAGACATTCTTCTTCATATTTCTTCTTGTAAAGCTTTTTAGAAATAACATCGCTGATAGCAATAGCGCTAGTAATGGCCATAGCGTCATGAGCAAGACCATATTTACCAGCAATTTCTTTAGCTTCCTTGACATATCGATCGCCCTGAGTCTTCTGAAGTTCTTTGCTGAGATTGATGTCAAATCGCTCGGCAACTTCGGTGAAGCCCTTGCCCTCAGAAAACATCTTGTTAGCTTCAAGCTTGTAATAAAAGTCAGATCGATGTTTTTCGTGAACTTTGTCAGCAGCGTATTTCTCGGTTTTGCTGGAGTCGTACACATTTTTAAACTTGTTCGCTTCGTGATCTTTCTTGTACTCGGTCTCAGAGAGAAGCTTCTGGGCGTTGATAGAGTTTTCATAGCCAGCAGTGAGATGAACTGGGTAGAAGACGGATTCTTTCTCAATGATGAAATCTTCGAGGTAACGGGCTTTTGAGATGAGGTTGTTGACTCGTTCTCCTTCCAATACAATTGGGTGAGTAGCGGCATCCATTCGCTGGAAACCCTGGTACTTTTTGATCACCTCCTCTCTCTGCTTAGTGTACTCTCGAGGAGTGCAGGATAAAGCAGCTGCTCGAGCTCGTCGGCATTCGTCCGAGTCCATGAAAGTGTATTTATCGTGGACTTTCTGAAGATCTCCCTTGTAGTTTTTGTCAGATCTTTGGCTCTGGTATTCTTTGCAAAGATCATAGAAGGGATATGCGATTCCAGGATTAGCAGCAGCTTTACCAAGAGTATTCTCATTGTAATCCTTCTTATAAAGAGCCATGGAAGTAACGTCAGCAACTTCAAGAGCGTGGGCAATTTCAACTGCACCAGCACAGAGAGAATATTTAGCAGCGAGATCTTTGGCTTCCTTCATGTACTCAGTTCGAAGAGGCTTAAGCGCCTTTGAAATAACCATTTCCGGAGTCTCTTTGATAGAAGTGAGACCCTTGCCAGCAGAGAAATCGGCTTTGACCTTAGCCTGGTAGTTCTTGTCAGAGCGGAATTGTTCCGTGACCTGAATATCCTTGTATCGCTCAGTCTCAGTCATGTTGAACTTGTTCTTCATCTTATTTTCCTGGTAGTCAGCATCGTATTCGATGTTGGACTGCCATTTGGCGGCGAACATAGCAGCTTCATAACCAGGGGTCATGTGAACAGGGTAGTAGATGACATTTCGGTCAATGAGATAGTCCTCGATGTAATTACGCTGAGAAATGATATCGTTGACTCGATTACCCTCGGCGACGATTGGGTGAGAAGCGGCATCCATTCGCTGGAAACCCTTGTATTTGTTGATAGTCTCCCACATTTGTCGTCGGTAGTTAGATCCTCGGACTTCATAAGCCATTTTTTCAGCTCGGTTCTGCTCGTCGAACTGCACGTAGTTGTTCTTTGTCAAACATTGCTTGGCATCTTTTTCGTATTCAGCCTTGGACATTGCTTTTTGGAGCTTGTTGGAAGCCTCGAGATGAGGATAACCCTTAAGATCAGCGACAGAAGATTTTCCGAGATCCTCCTCGATGTATTTCTTCTTGTAAAGGATGTCTGAACGAAGCTGTTGGACATTCTTCAAGTTGCTAAGGGTAACATCTTGAGCATCAAGACCATATTTCATGGCAACATTCTTAGCCTCTTTGCCGTAAATTTTCATGGCGGTTTTCTCAAGAAGCTTGGCTCGTTCCATTTCCATGGTCACCGGAACAGAACTAAATCCTTGTCCCTTCTCCTTCATGTCATCCCATTTAGCTTTGTAGTGCTTGTCGCTACGGTGCTTCTCCGTTTCCTTGTCCTGTTGATATTTTTCAGTATGAACAGGATTAAAAACAGGAGCGTTTTCAAGGTCATCTTTGTATTTCTTTCGGTAAAGATTCTCAGACTGGAATTTGTAAGCATCTTGAGCAGATTCATATCCAGGTGTAATCTGTGCGGGGAAGTAAATGAGATCCTTTTCGATCTCCCATTCTTCGCGGTAAAGAGCAGCGGACTGCATCTCAGCAACTTCAATACCTCGAGTGACAACTGGATGCATAGCAGCGTCCATTCTCATGAATCCCTTCATGTCGTTGATAACTTCGCGTCGTTGTTGGCTGTATCGATCTGGATTGCAGTAAAGTGCAACTTCTCGGGCACGGATTTCGTCATCAAACTGAGCGTAGTTGTTCTTTTCGAGAACCTTCATAGCGTCCTTCTTATACGCTTTTGAGTTGAGCTTGGCGTTGTTTTCCTTGGCATCCTTGTAAACTGGATAACCTTGGAGATCAGCTTTGCCAGATGCACCAAGAACGTTTTCATTGTAATCTTTCTTGTACAATTTGTCACTAGCGATCTTTGCAACAGCCAAAGAATTGGCAAGCTTGATATCATCGCAAGTCAGTCCATATTTCATGGCGAGTTTCTTGGCTTCCGCCTTGTATTTATCATCGCTAATTTCTTTCATGATTGCAGCACGCTCCATTTCTTGAGTAACAGGAGTTCCTTTAGCGTTATGCTTTGTAGCTTCATAATCAGCTTTGTAGGTCTTGTCAGATCGAGCTTTCTCATGAGTTTTGATTTCAGCATATCGCTGATCAAGAGTAGAGTTGTACTTGTTCTCAGCTTTTGTTTCGTGATATTTCGCTCGGTAGTTGATGTCAGAAGCGAAATTCTGAGCGTTAGTTGCAGATTCATATCCAGGAGTGATCTGGACGGGGTAGTAGATCAAATCGCGCTCAAGCATGTAGTCTTCTTTGTAGAGAGCATCTGACATGAGTTCTGCGACCAAAATACCTCGAGTAACAACTGGATGCGAAGAAGCATCCATTCTCATGAAACCCTTGAATTCATCAATAGCTTTCCACATTGATGATCTGTAGGCTGAGTCTTTAACGGAAAGAGCCATGTTTCGAGCTCTTATTTCGTCGTCGAATTGAGCATAGTTGTTTTTCTTGAGAATTTCTTTTGATTTCTTCTCATACTGAGCCTTCGACATTTCTTTTTGAAGCTTGAAAGAGTCCTTGATGTGAGGATAACCGTTAAGATCAGCCTTGGATGATTTTCCGAGAACTTCCTTGTTATAGTGATCTTTGTAAAGTCGCTCTGAGCAAATAGCGCCAACAGCCAGAAGGTTCTTGAGCTTGATATCATCGTGAGTCAAGCCATATTTCATTGCCAAGTTCTTGGCTTCAAGCGAATACTTGGCATCTCGAAGATCTCGTTGGATACCAGCTCGTTCCATTTCTGAGGTGACAGCGATTCCAATGTTCTGGTGTTTTGTTTCTTCGTAATCCTTTCTGTAGGTCTTATCACTTCGAGCATTTTCCACAACCTTGTCAGACTGGTACTTTTCAGAAACAGTTGGATCGTATTTGTTCTGGTGCTTGCTAGCATTGTAATCAGACTTATAGACAATGTCAGAGCTCTGCTTTGTAGAAGTAATTGCAGTCTCATATCCTGGAGTCATTTGGACTGGGAAGTAGATCGCATCCTTCTCTAACTCCCACTCTTCTTTGTAGAGAGCATCAGAGATGATTTCATTGACGGCAACACCTCTCTGGACAACAGGATGAAGATGAGCGTCCATTCTCATGAAACCCTTGCAGGTTTCGATAGCTTCTCGCATAGATTTTTTGTACTCCGAATCTTTCATGGAAAGAGCGACCGAGCGGGCTCGGAGCTCTTCGTTACTCTGGGCAACAACGTTGTGCTTCATGATGTTCTTGGCATCCTTGGTGTAAGCGGCGTCATTGGTTGCAGCTTTGACATCTCGTTGGGTGACATAAGGGAGATAGCCATAAAAGTCGGCCTTGGAAGACTTTCCAAGGTCTTCAGCATTGTAGGCTTTCTTGTAAGCGATCTGAGATGTGATACCACCAACAGCCATTAAGTTTCGAAGAGTAATATCGTCATGAACAAGGCCATATTTCTCACCAAGTTTTTTCGCTTCAAGGGCGTAGGCCTTATTAGTAAGCTTTCGGAGAGGCTCAAATCGATCCATTTCCATTGTTCGAGCGGGTGTTTTGAACTCATGTCGCTGTTTGCTGTTCCATTCAGATCGGTAAAAGGCGTCTGATTGAACCTTTCGGATTTCAAGATCGTTATTGTACTTTTCAGTGAGAGCAGCATTGTACTTGGTTGCAATCTTGTCTTGTTCCCATTTGGCTCGATAGTTAGCATCGGATTTGTACTCGTCGGCTGCTTTGAGCTGCTCATAACCGGGAGTCATGTTCAAGGGATAGTAAATAAGATCTTTCTCCATCTCCCAATCTTCTCGGTAAAGCGCAGCAGACTGCATTTCAGAAACAAGGATACCTCGAGTAACAACTGGATGAAGAGAAGCATCCATTCGCATGTAACCCTTGAACTCGTTGACAGCTTCTCGTTTGCCCTTTTGATATTCAGAATCATTGCATTGGAGAGCAACAAGTCGAGCCTTCTCGGATTCACTGTATTTCTGCTTAGTAAACTCGTTTCGCTGAGCGAGTTTCTTGGCATCCTTCTGATATTCGTTGTCAGATCGAATCTTCGCAGCGTTCTTGTTTCGAGTAACCTCGATCTCGTAAGCGATTCCTGGATTCTGAGCGGTTGTGCCTCGAACATGTTTGTTGTAGTGCTCATGGTAAAGACGATCAGAAGTGATTTTCGCAGAAAGAAGGGAATTCGCTAGCTTGGTATCATCAGCAGTAAGCCCGTATTTCATAGCAAGACGCTTAGCTTCAGCAGCATAGTTGGTTCCCTGGACAATCTTGAGCTTTTCGATTCGCTCCATATCCATAGTTTTGTCGACACCCTTGGGTCGGGCATTGATCTCAATGGAGTTTTTGGTGTATTCAGCGCCGAGTTTTTCTCGAAGAGCTTTGTCAGCATTATATTTCTCTGTGGAAGCAGCGTCGAAAGTGACTTTCGCCTGAATTTTCTTAGCTTCAGTTTTATAGTCAGCCTCGATCTCGGCGATCTTTTTCATGTCCTGGAATCGTTCAGTGATCTGGACAGGGAAATAAACAACATCCTTGTTGTTTTCGTAGTCTTCCTTGTAGTACACATCGGATGCGTTTTCTGCGTTGACAATGTGCCGAGACATGTAAGGGTTCTGGAAGATGTCGAGCTGCTGGAATCCCTTCATGCTCTTGACAGCTTCATGGAAGGACTTTCGATATTCAGAGTCCTTGCACTGAAGAGCGACTTTTCGCGATCGTCGAAGCTCATCCCATCGAACGTAGTTTTCTGGCTTTTCCATACGTTCTTTCGCGTCTTTGGTGTACTCGCTTGCTTGCATCTTTTCGGTGAGCTTAGCTTGTTCCTTGTAATAAGGATAAGCGATGCCTGGATCAGCAGCGCCCTTTCCAAGAGTATTTTCATTGTAGTCCTTCTTGTAAAGTCGGGCGTTGCAAACATCTTGGACTTTCATCAAGTGAGACAGTTTGTTGTCATCAAGCATAAGATCATATTTTCGCTGAATTTGCTTGGCTCCAGCAGTGTAGGCTTGGTCTCGAACCTTCTTCATCATGTTCATCGCGTCAATTTCCCAAGTATGAACAAGTTTACCACCTGCTCGACCCTTGGAGACATCTTCAAGATATTTTGCTTTGTATCGCTGTCCTTGGTTCTCAGCAACAAGCTTCGCATCTTGCTGGTATTTTTCAGTGGCACAAAGGTCCATAGAATGCTTCCAGTCCTCTTTCTTGTGACTCTCAGCATAAGCAAGATCACCGGCAGTGTCGTGGAGCTTCTTGTCTGCCGCATACTTCTCAGTAGTGTTGTATGGGAAGTAAACACAGTCCTTGTCGATTTCGTACTCTTCCTTGTAGTAGTTGTTCGACAAGTTTTCAGAATTGATAATGTGACGGTTGAGGTAAGGGTTCTTGTAGATATCCAATTGCTGGAAACCCTTGAACTGGTCGATTGCTTCCTTTCCAGATTTTCGGTAAGAAGCCATATTGACCTGCTTCTGGACGTCAATGGCATTGCGGACAAATGGTGCATTAGGTTCAAGGACAAACGATCGCATTCGATCCTTGGCATCAGCGGTATAAGCAGAATCTTGAGTGATTTCTTTGACTTTCTTCTGGTTGTAGTAGTCAAGATGACCCTCAATAGGAGCACCAATGTTCTTTCCAAGAACATTCTCATTGTAGTCCTTTTTGTAGTCTTTGTCAGATCTCTGAATCTGCGACTTGGCCATTTGTTCGTAATCAGGATCTTGGAGAGATCGATTGTAGCTCTTCATTCGCTCCTTAGCGCCTTCTTTGTACGCGGAATCCTTGGTGATTTTAAGGGTATCCTGAAGGTCCATCTCCATAGTTCGGGCAGTACCAACGGTAGTGCCCTGAACTTTTTCGGACCATTCCTTTTTGTATCCTTTGTCGCTGGTCTTGGCGCGATGTTCCTTGTCTTGCAGGTATTTTTCGGTCTCAGCCTGATTGAAATTGACCTCGTGCTTCTTATCCTGGTAGTTAGCATCGTAGTCTTTTATGTCTTTGTGAAGTTTCTTATCCTGTTGATACTTCTCGGACATGTGCACTGGGAAGAAAACGAGATCTTTTTCATTGTTGTAATCTTCCTTATACAAGGGTTGAGAAAGCTGATCTGCATTTCGAGCGTGCATGGCAAACTCAGGAACTTCGTTGGTATCAATCGACTGGAATCCCTTATATTTTGCAAGAGTTTCTGGAAAGTCGGAATAGTTGGCCTTCGAAGTAAGCTTCTTGAGATTTTTGTTGGTCTTGTATTGTTCAGTGTTACAGAACTCTTTGGTGACAGAGTTGGTAACCACAGTCTCGTTGTACTTCTTTTTGTAAGCAGCATCGTTAGTGATTGCTTTAACTTCCGCCTGAGTCTTATAATCGTGATAGTTCTCAACTGGACCAGGAATGTTCTTGTGCTTGGTCTCTTCGTAGTTTTTCTTGTAGAACTTATCAGATCGAATTTCGTTTCGCTTCTTGGACAGCTCGAATTCAGGAGCATCATGAGGAACGTTGGTAGTCTTCATGAGTTCGCGAGCACCCTCTTGGTAGAGCTTATCGTTTTGATACGGCTTGAGACCTTTCAACTGCTCAAGCTGCGGGTTGGTCTCCGAACCAATGCAGTGTCCCTGGACTTCCTTTTCATATTTTGCCTTGTAGCCCTTGTCAGATCGATAGTTCTTGGACAAAGCTTCATCGTTGATGTACTTTTCGGTCTTGGTCAAATCGAGACGATTTTGCTGCTTCATCTTCTCGTAATCTTCAGTATAGCCATCGAGCTTCTCCTTCAGATTTTTCGTGTTCTGGTAATGCTCAGACATATGAACAGGATAATCGACCAATGTCTTATCAACTTCATAATCTTCCTTGTAAAGATAGGGGTTAAGTTGATCAGCATTCTTCGCATGATGAACGATGAGTGGATTGTCACCAGGTCGAATAGTATTCCATCCTTGGAAGTTCTTGAGAGTTTCTTTAGTGGTGTTGTATCGGTCGGATGTGATCTCGGTGATGTTCTTCGCAATCTTGTACTTCTCGGTCTCACAAAACTCAGGGGCATATTTATGATGTTCCATAGCGGCCATTGCATCCTTCTTGTAGTTAGCGTCGTCTGTGATAGCTTTGTTATTTTTGTTAACAACATATTCAAGATCGCCCTCAGCATCAGCAGATGACTTAGCGCCAAGAACGTTTTCTCGGTAGTCCTTCTTATATTCGATGTCAGAAGACTGCTTGGCAGATTTTTTGGCTTGAAGCATGAGTGGGTTATCTGGTGGATAGTGGATATTCAACTTTGCCTCGTCCCAAGCCTCAGTATAAGCGGCATCCTTTGTTTTCTTGAGAGTTTCGATGAGTTCCATTTCTTTGGTAACAGCGGTGCCAATGACCTTGAACTTTTCTTGCTCCCACTTCTCAGTGTACTGCTTTGGTCGGGTTTTGCTCTCAACGTCCTTTTGATTTTTGTAGGTTTCGCTTTCCGCCAAGTTAAACTTGTGAGTTTCAGCATCCTTGGCCGCTTCGGTCTTGTAGTTCGCGTTGATCTCAGCGTTCTTCTTGTCCGACTCGTACTTTGGAGTAATGTTGGTAGGGAAATAAACCAAGTCCTTGTCGTTTTCATAATCATCAGTGTAGTAGACATTGGAAAGGTTCTCTTGGTTGGCCATGTGCTGCTTAAAAGATGGAACCTGGTTGATGTCCAAAGCCTGGAATCCTTTGAAAGATTTGATAGCATCAGCTTTTCCGGCTTGGTAAAGCGAGTCTCGAGTAATAGCAGTGATAGCCTTGTTAGTCTTGTAGACATTAGTATCGCAATATGTCTTTGTAAACTCGTTACGTTCCATGCTCTGCTTTCCACCAGCTCCATAAGTAGTATTGGTGGCATCAGCCTGCTTGGAAGCAAGAATCTGCTGTTTGATGACTGGCACGTCGTTCAGGGCCTTTTCAAATTCATATTTTGTCTTGCTTTCCTCGTAGTCCTTTCGGTACTCTCGCTTGAGATGGTCATCCTGTTTCTGAGTCTTCTGAGCTTGTTGGATATCGCCTCTGTTGAGCATACTAGCATCGTTGTTGTACGATCGAATAGCTTCCATGCCATTCGCACCATAAGCTCGCTTGGTCAGCTCTCCAGCTTTCTTACTGGCAACCATCTCGTGGGTGACAGGAGTAGGGTGAACATTGATCTTTGCCTCTTCATAGTCCTTAGTGTAAGCCTTGTTGGACACCTTAGCCTTGAGAGCTTCTTGAGTCTGATAGACAGGTGTTTCGCAAAGGTTGAGCTTGTTCTGCTGATTGTTTTCTGCCGCTTTAGCTTTGTAGTTCGCATCGTCCGTCGCTTCTTTTACCTTCTTTGCGTTCACATAGCCTGGAGAAGCCTCCATGGGAAAGTAGACGATGTCCTTGTCCATTTCGTAGTCTTCTTTGTAGTAGGCATTAGAAAGCATTTCGTTATTCTTGGCGTGATGAGCCATTTGAGGGTTATCATAGCCAAGGTTCTGGTGGCCCTTGAAGTTCTCAACTGCTTCGGCAGCTCCCTTTTTGTAGTTTCTGTCGACAGTTGCTTCATGAACGGCCTAAATAAATCAGTTATCTTCCATGTTATCATAATTGAAATATTACCTTATTAATTTTGTATTCAGCCTGATCAGTAAAAGTTTTGGTAAACTCGTTCTTAGAGTTAACTTTTGCAGCTTCCTCTGAAAATAAAGTTTATTAACAGTTTTGTTTTCTTAATCACCTTTGTAAGCATTTTCAGACTGCATCTTCGACATTGTGAGGAAATGTCGCATCTGAGGTGTCAACTTTGATCGGTCGACCAGGATAGGGACAGAGTCCCCCTAAAATTTGATTAGCATTTTTTTCTTTATAGATAATATATCTTTAGCTGTATTCAAGAATTTATATTCGAGCAATGGTTTAGGTGAGCCGTTTACCTGTTCGTCCATTGGAACTTGCTCTTGCATTTCCTGTTGCTCCTCCGCCATTTTCTAATTTCTCGATTCCAATTTCTAAACTTTCAAGTTTTTCTCTTTTATCACACTACTTCGTAAGAAATTCTCAAACAAAACAGAAAATCATAAATATCAGCTGTTTCTCTGAGATCACAAAGAAAAGATAGCTGAGCTCCCGCATCGAGGGACGAGAAGATTGGGAGGAAGCAGGGAGCGAGCTACTTTTTGCCCGGGCAGCTACTGCTAAGGCGACAGGTGACGATGAGCAAAGAGCGAAAAGTAACCCTGCTTACTCTTGATAAGCTTGCTATTTTGAGAACAAGACCTGATCATGAAGATATAATATTCAGAATAATATAGTTTCGATTTAACTTTTATGAATCCTTGCTCTTGATAAAGTAAAAGGTAATTTTTCAAGAAATCAAGCTTATTCATATTAAAACAGCATACAAAAAGAAGGTGTGAAGTCGCAACGAAGGATGAAACATCTGTTGGATTCGTGTCAAGAATAATCGCGAACTTTACCTAACCAATAACTTACGTATCAAGAGTCCAAGAGTCCAAAATTTGGACTCCAAATCAGGGCTGGCAAATTAGGGTCCCGCCAGCCGCACTAATTTGAGTTAGAACCAGGGCTGGCAAATTAGGGTCCTAACAGCCGCACTACCGAAAAATTGTTAGGGTTCTAACTCAAAATTAGTGCGAATTAGTGCGGCATCCCCGTCCTACCCGTCCTATTTTTTTTCCTTGATATTTTTTCGTCTATTAGGACTGAATCGCCGCCCTAACCGTACTAATTTGGAGGCTCTTTTTCATCATCCAATCGGCGCGCGCTTCCCACGAGGCGCGGAGGACAAATTGGTGGAAGATTGAAAAAAGAATGGAGCTGAATGGATGAGAAAAACGAATGACCCGCCATGATTGGCGGACCAATAAGCGCGCGCCTCTTTTAGGACGATTTTAGTGCGGCTTTTTCCAACTTCTAACAATAGGGTTCTAACCAGGGCTGGCAAATTAGGGTCCCGCCAGCCGCACTAATTTGAGTTAGAACCCTATTGTTAGAACCCTAACTGTCATTTTATAACTTTTTAGTGCGAGTAGTACGAGTTGGAAAAAGCCGCACTAAAATCGTCCTAAAAGAGGCGCGCGTTTATTGGTCCGCCAATCATGGCGGGTCATTCGTTTTTCTCATCCATTCAGCTCCATTCTTTTTCAATCTTCCACCAATTTGTCCTCCGCGCCTCGTGGGAAGCGCGCGCCGATTGATGATGAAAAAGAGCCTCCAAATTAGTACGGTTAGGGCGGCGATTCAGTCCTAATAGACGAAAAATATCAAGGAAAAAATAGGACGGGTAGGACGGGGATGCCGCACTAATTCGCACTAATTTTGAGTTAGAACCCTAACAATTTTTCGGTAGTGCGGCTGTTAGGACCCTAATTTGCCAGCCCTGCTCCAAATGATATTGCCCTGCATTTGCCTGAAAAATTATTTGCAATGCCGTATGTACTGATTTATAAAAATGATTCTAAAACAATAATACAAGCAATAATGTACAATAAAACTGTTAATAAAACTGATGTCTTTGAATTCCACGTAAATAAAATCGACTTTCATGCGTTATGATTATAAAACAAAATGACAAATATAAAGAAAATTTATTCGAAGGAACTTACAGCAGAAAAGCGTGGAAATGTTAACTGATTTGGTGGAGAATAAAACGGAAATTATCATTTGTTGCGGTTGTCTTGATCATTCGTAATTTGACTTTATTGTGTCCTAATGAAAGGTTTTGTCGGCTCCGGGCTGGCCGCCATTTAGGCGGACATCCACAAACAACCAACCGCGGTCGATTATCAACCGCATACGCTGAGCCAGTGGCTCCCAGGGTCCTACTATGGTCCCGTGAATTCGTCTTCTATCGGCGCCGATGGAACTTTAGAAAGCTTTTGGCGAAACCTGGCTGAGCTCATCGTTACTTATTGAATCTCTCGTCGGTTTACCTGTTGGAGGAGGCTTTTTCAAATAATATGAGTAGATTCGAAGAGACAGACGAGCAACAAGGATCAAAAGAATGCAAAATATAGTGACAAGGAACAATGTCGTACCGAGTAAAATCATAATTGCGTCTCTGAGAACCTCGATAACTTGATTTTCCTCTGCTTCCTTGTCCAAAAACATTTCAAAATTTTCCTTAGAAATGAGTTCTTTCCCGATTCTCTGTTCTCTCGATTTGTTTTTATCGATGTAATCCAGATTACTTGAAACGCCTGCGCTTGAAGTTTTTGAATTTGCCTGTTTTTATTGATTGCAGAGAAAAATCTCTACGTAGGATTGAACTTGTAGTTTATTTTATCGGACTGTACAGGGGAAATGGTTGAATTTACAATATTATTTTTGAGTATGTTTGTTTTAGTACAAGATTCCTCCATGGGATGATGCAGTGAAAAATATCTCCGGAAAGACCGTTTTATGAATCAGCTCAAATTTTTAATGCAGATTTGAGGCTCCTCCGGACAGTGGCAGAAAGGACTTGAGGGTTTAGTAGTTTTTTGCTCTTGACAAGACGACCTGATAGATAAGCTGCTTTTCTTGAAAGCAGTTGGCAGTTCCAGCGCCGCCCAGTAATTTTGCGTGACTGGGCATGGAAGGATGAATACAATGGGGAAAGTACAGTTATCTGCACCCGCATGACTCTACTACCATGTCTTCGTATGATCTTAACACAGCCTAGAAAGAGGTTAATTTATTTAATCAAATTTTTCTCTTACCCTCTGACTGTTGTCAATGTATAAAACCGTGAGAGGCTTTAACTCAGTCGGAACGCAGCAAGGACCATCAGTTTCTAGCGGATCAAGTCGAGCAACCACCGAATTGAAGATAGCATGATTTGTGTGGTTCAAGTGAGCGTCGAGAGGATACGGACATGTTCCCTGAAGTAACCGTCAATTACTAAACAGAAAGCTGCTCGCTCTTTGACATGGGGTCATTAGAAAATAGTAAAAAGGAGCTGGCTTAGTGTAGGGGCTTAACAACATCCGGTAAATTAAAATTTGAAGGGCCCTTCAAAGACGCGGACGATGATCGCTCATAACAGTTGCCTCTTTAGTCTCTTTCAATCATTCTTAGAAGCCGAATTACTTCAAGCTAACTCACCGAACAAAGATAGCTGTCGAAGCCAGAAGGAGCGACGATGAACTCGGTCCACTTGATCGACTTGAAATCGATGTACATTTTCTCGCGGCTGCAGGGTTCCAAGCGATTTCGAATCAGCCGCGAGGACTTCTTTTTCGATTTTCTGAAAATTTCTTTCCAAAAGATTACTAAAATTATTTTTACCTTCTGGATCTGGAGAGCGTAGGTTAGGGTCGGCCAAAAAAAAATCGATCTCGTGTTTCAATTACGAATTATACCTTGTTAGAAAGAGGAGAACGAGACGATTCGAATGGTACTAACCATTTGTCTGTGCGAGTTGGGGAAATTTTTTTAGAATTTTTTGAAAATCGCGATTTTCGTCACTAAAAACGTGAATCTTGGACGTTTCTAAATATCGAATTTTTTGGTACGCCAAATATCAAGCCTTGATTGGCAAGTGATTGCCGACTTCGGTCAAGTTTGGCCACTTATTGCCGGAGGACCTTCCGGAAGACCCCTTACTGGAAGACAAACTGCTGGAGGACCAATAATAGAAAAAAAATAAATTGCTTTGGATGGCCACATACTGCCACATTTGACCAATTTCGGTCACTTTCTGCCGGAGGACCTCCCGGAGGACCCCCTTACTAGAAGACCAACTGGTTGAAGACCAATATTCAAAAAAATATTTAAATAGCCTTGCTTAGCCGAAAACTGCCACATTTAACCACTTTCGTTCACTATCTGCCGTAAACCTTCCGAAGGAACCCGGGTGAAAGACCAACTCCTGGATGACTTGAGGCGAATAAGCCCGTCTCTTAAATTCAGTCAGGTACAGTGGGTTGCGCAGATAGTGCACCCCTAGAGAGCGGGTAAAGGGAGCACCAGTAAAGTGAGGCGCTAAAACGACCCGACGGGGAGGCGAGCCTCATCTCTTGAATTAAGCCGACCAAAAGGGAAGGCAAGCCCCGTTTCCTATATTCAGTCAGGTAAGGGACCAAGCTGACCCGAAGGGGAGGCAAGCTCCGTTTCTCGGATTCATTTAGGTAAGGGGCCAAGCCGACCCGGAGGGGAGGCCAGCCCCGTTTCTTGGATTCAGTTAGGTAAGGGGCCAAGCCGACCCGAAGGGGAGGCCAGCTCCGTTTCTTGGATTCAGTTAGGTAAGGGGCCAAGCCGACCCGGAGGGGAGGCAAGCTCCGTCTCTTTAATTCAGTCAGGTAAGGGGCCGAGCCGACCCGAAGGAGAGGCCAGCCCCGTTTCTTGGATTCATTTAGGTAAGGGGCCAAGACGACCTGGAGGGAGGCAAGCTCCGTCTCTTTAATTCAGTCAGGTAAGGGGCCGAGCCGACCCGAAGGAGAGGCCAGCCCCGTTTCTTGATTCAGTTAGGTAAGGGGCCAAGCCGACCCGAAGGGGAGGACAGCCCCGTTTCTTGGATTCAGTTAGGTAAGGGGCCGTGCCGACCCGGAGGGGAGGCCAGCCCCGTTTCTTGGATTCAGTTAGGTAAGGGGCCAAGCCGACCCGAAGGGGAGGACAGCCCCGTTTCTTGGATTCAGTTAGGTAAGGGGCCAAGCCGACCCGAAGGGGAGGCCAGCCCAGTTTATTTTATTCAGTTAGGTAAGCGGCCATGCCGACCCGGAGGAGGCCAGCCCAGTTTCTTGGATTCAGTTAGGTAAGGGGCCAAGCCGACCCGAAGGGGAGGACAGCCCCGTTTCTTGATTCAGTTAGGTAAGGGGCCGTGCCGACCCGGAGGGGAGGCCAGCCCCGTTTCTTGATTCAGTTAGGTAAGGGGCCAAGCCGACCCGAAGGGGAGGACAGCCCCGTTTCTTAGATTCAGTTAGGTAAGGGGCCAAGCCGACCCGAAGGGGAGGCCAGCCCAGTTTATTTTATTCAGTTAGGTAAGCGGCCATGCCGACCCGGAGGGGAGGCCAGTCCCGTTTCTTGGATTCAGTTAGGTAAGGGGCCAAGCCGACCCGAAGGGGAGGACAGCCCCGTTTCTTGGATTCAGTTAGCTAAGGGGCCATGCCGACCCGGAGGGGAGGCCAGCCCCGTCTCTTTGATTCACTTAGATACGGGGCCAAGCTGAACCGGAGGGGAGGCTAGCTTTGTTTCTTGGATTCAGTTAGGTAAGGGGCCAAGCCGAACCGGAGGGGAGGCTAGCTCCGTTTCTAGGATTCAGGTAGGTAAGGGGCCAAGCCGAGCCGAAGGAGATCCCAGCCCCGTTTCTTGGATTCAGTTAGATAAGGGGCCAAGACGACCCGGAGGGGAGGCAAGCCCCGTTTCTTTGATTCAGGTTGGTAAAGAGCCAAGGCGACCCGGGGAGGCAAGCCTCGTCTCCTTAATTCAGTCAGGTAAGGGGCCAAGCCGAGCCGAAGGGGAGGACAGCCCCGTTTCTTGGATTCAGTTAGGTAAGGGGCCGTGCCGACCCGGAGGAGGCCAGCCCCGTTTCTTGGATTCAGTTAGGTAAGGGGCCAAGCCGACCCGAAGGGGAGGACAGCCCCGTTTCTTGGATTCAGTTAGGTAAGGGGCCAAGCCGACCCGAAGGGGAGGCCAGTCCAGTTTATTTTATTCAGTTAGGTAAGCGGCCATGCCGACCCGGAGGAGGCCAGTCCCGTTTCTTGGATTCAGTTAGGTAAGGGGCCAAGCCGACCCGAAGGGGAGGACAGCCCCGTTTCTTGGATTCAGTTAGGTAAGGGGCCATGCCGACCCGGAGGGAGGCCAGCCCCGTCTCTTTGATTCACTTAGATACGGGGCCAAGCCGAACCGGAGGGGAGGCTAGCTCCGTTTCTAGGATTCAGGTAGGTAAGGGGCCAAGCCGAGCTGAAGGAGAGGCCAGCCCCGTTTCTTGGATTCAGTTAGATAAGGGGCGAAGACGCTCCGGAGGGGAGGCAAGCCCCGTTTCTTGGATTCAGGTTGGTAAAGAGCCAAGGCGACCCGGGGGCAAGCCTCGTCTCCTTAATTCAGTCAGGTAAGGGGCCAAGCCGAGCCGAAGGGGAGCCAAGCCTCGTCTTTTGGATTCAGTTAGGTACGGGTCGGGTTGGTCCCTTACCTGACTGAATTGTGAGACGGGGCTGGCTTTGCCTTCGGGTCGGCTTCGCCACTTACCTGACTGAATGTAAGAGACGGGGCTTGCTTTTCCTTCGGGTCGGCTTCGCCCCTTACCCGACTGAATTCTGCGCCAGCTGTGTCTAGCCAGTCAGCGGACATTTTTCTTCCGCACATAATTTCGAGACTCGAGAAAACGCCAAACATGGGCTTGGCAAAATTTCTAGAATCCCCCGACATTGAATTGGCGGGAAACGGTGAAGGGGGCCCAGGGACTTTCTCCATCAAGAGTAAAACTTCATGGTAATACAAACACTGACTTACAGACAACAGGTATCAGTTGGAAGACTTCTGATACTTTGAGGATTATTCAAATAGACATTTTGGGCATCTTAGCCCTGTTTATGACTGAATGCAATTTTCGGAGTCATTGACTAAGCCTCTCTATTACAGACACTGACTAACAGATGATAGATATCAGTTAGAGGACATCTGATACTTTGAGGATTATGCAAAAAGACATTTTGGGCATCTTTAGACCTGTTTATGACTGTATGCAATTTCGGAAGTCATTGACTAAGCCTTTCTAATACAGACACTGACTTACAGATGATAGGTATCAGTTGGAGGACTTCTGATACTTTGACGATTATCCAAAGAGACATTTCGGGCATCTTTAGCCCTGTTAATGAATGAATGCAATTTCGGAGTCATCGACATAGCGTTACTAATACAGACACTGACTAACAGATGATAGGTATCAGTTGGAGGACTTCTGATACTTTGACGATTTTCCAAAAAGACATTTTGGGCAACTTTGGCCCTGTTAATGACTGTATGCAATTTTCGGAGTCATTGACTAAGCGTTTCTAATACAGATATTACCTTACAGATCATAGGTATCAGTAGCAGGCTTTCTGATGATGTAAGCATAATTCAAAAAGATATTTTGTGCAATTTGAACGACTAGAAACTACATTCATAGTGCTGAAGGTTATTCAAGACCTCTTAATGATACAGATAGAGACCAACAGATCCTCTGATAATAGACTCTCATGAATATCACTGATGATATCCACACAACACTTAGTTAATAATTTCTTATCATCGTTCAAACATATAGATAAGAATTTGAACCTTTTTTGTCCTCTTAAAAGATTTTTTTCTTCATTTTTAAGTTCTCGTAAATATCCAGTAGTTTTATTTAAAAATTATTAAAAAAAATTCCCCAACTCATATAAGCATTCTGAAAGAGCAAAGTTATTCCTTAGTGTTTAATCTAATTTATGAGCAAAAATTTGGGATTGAAACATCTTTTTTTATTGATTTATGAATGAATGAATACCTGAGTTAACCATATATAAGGGTAATTGGCACAAAACACCCTTCCATAAAAATGGTATATGAGTATTCAATCTCTTTTCTCTTCTTTACCTGTATAATTTGAACCCTTTTCTATCATATTCTGCCACCAAATATATCATTCGCCTTGAATATATAGTGAATTTAATTTTTTTAAGAAAGTATGTCAAATTCAAGTCCCAATTTTTGGAAAATATGCCCTTGAATGAGACCTGAACATCGGATCTCAGCAATTTTTAGTTTATAAAGGTTTTTGAGCACCGCAAATCCACTGAAACTGGTTTCAAAAGAATTAGAGATCAAAAAATTTTTTTGGCCGACCCTAGCGTAGGTCCTTTGCCGTCACTTGAGTACGTCAGAAACGTGGCAGAATGCTCGTCGAAGTCTTCAACATTTCGACGCACTCTAATTAAGTGTTAACAGATGTCGAAATCGTGTGTGTTTTTATAGGTCAATTTTAAATGGTAGTCACCTTTTATTTTGCGAGTTGATTGTCAAACGTACGCCGTTGTTGGGAAAGCCCGAGAGCCACTTGCTTGTGGCTTCTGTCAGATCAATTCGGATTATTTCCGAGTCCCCTGCCACGCGCGAGATTAGGACGTCGCCGTTCTCGCCAACCTAAATATGACCGTTTGAGATTTTTTGGGATAAAAATTTAAAGCAACATTTCTAAAACTGATTCTTTTACGAGAATCTACATTTATTCTTCTTTTTTTAACTTACCAAAAAAGCGTCAAAAGTTGAATTCGGCTGAAATTGCGTTGTGTCAAGTAAAAGCTCGGCTTTGTTCAACTTCTCCACTTCCGGTAGATGGATATCATGAATAAAGTGGAGCTTTCCATCATCGTATAATCTGAGATGCTCGTGCTGGTGGCGGACAATATTCGAAATTTGACTCACGTCGTCGTCAATTTCGAAATGTTCTTCATGTTCGCTGTCTTGCTGGAAATGGTACATTCTTTCCAGTAAAGGAGAAAGCTTTGATCTGCTATCAGAGGTCGTCCGTGGGACAGAATCAAGCTGGAAAACCTAAAACGAGATGTTAGAATTTATGTGGTCAGCGATATTTGATGGAATCTTGTTGGTATGAAAATGGCGGGCAAAAAGAGCAACGAGCATTTATTTTATGGTCGATCAAATATTGAAATAAATTCGTTGCGGAGGAAGAATTTAACTTGCCAAATCGGAAAGTTTAAGTGTAAATGTGAAGACATTACTTCTCTGAGCGGAAAGGAAGATTCCTGTACCAGAAAAAGGCAGATCCTTATCAGTATTTTAGAGCTGCGTTAGGAAGAGGACATCCGTTTTGTGTGAAGAGAGGTGGATGCGAAATTCCGCTCGCGCGGAACTCGGCAGCTTCTCAAAGCAACGGAAGCCGTGCCAGGATCCGGATATAGGTCTAAATCTCTCCTTTCCCCCGCGCGAACCGGCAACCGCGGCGGAAGTGTCACACAACCACCCGCGCGAGACCCATCAAACCACTCAAGAATTGGCATTTAGCCTACTTCAGAGCGCAAAAATTAATGCCTCTGCAAAATATTACGTTACGCGCTCATTGAATTAAGCTTCTGGAGGTTTATTTTGTACAAAATAAATCTTGAATCAATGTTCTTTAGTTTTCATAAATAAACCACGTGATATTCATTCTATTTCGGAGCGAATTCTCCAGGCCTTACTCAGACTGAGAGTTTACTGTTCTAATCTACCGTTTACACTACTGAATTGATCAGAGTTTACAGGGAAAAAATATACTAGAAGAATGGTTTATACGGAGTAACATCCGGCGCAAGCTATCAGATTGGCAAGCTTATTTCCTTTCTGGCGCTAGATTTGCCGTGCTAATATTTCACGTTTGTATCGTTGTGTGCCCAGCTGGTTAAATTTGCACTCATCTCGCGATCTGCGCTGAAGAATTGCGCGCTTGGGCACACACGTCACGTTGCCCGCAAGCTTTTATGAATTTCTGTTTTAATTCCGATCTTTGGGAAGACATTTGGGAAGGGTTTTTTGTTCGATAAAATGAGGTTTCTAGGAGTTTTCTAAAGAGACTCATCATACGGAGGCGAGCGCTCATTAGTGGTGGCCCGTTATGTGTCGTTTGAAATCAAATCAGCCCTAATGATCTCAACGGCTATTTACTATGAACCTCTAATGATCGATTTGGTGCAGACGGGACGGGCCAGACCACCAGGCACCGCGCGCCTGCCCAAGTCAAACCAACCCAAGTTTAGGGGAGACACGCCGGAAGTTTCGGGAAGGACTACCGGACGAAGATTATTCTTTATGTTCTAAAAATTTCCGGCTTTTCAGTCATGTACCAGCTAATCAGCACAAATTTCCATAGCGCCTTGAGAACTGCCTTCAAAGGGTCTTCCTATAATGTGGCTTTTGAAAGCACGATTACAGATTTATAATCTTCGTAATGAGAAGAGCCGTGAACATGACATTTCAGTGAACCACTCTAACGACTTCAGGTGATGCTCAATAAAATCGCTCCGATGACGCAAAGCCTTTTTCCTGATAATATCATCATTCAAGGAGGAATTTATGGACTGTTCCGGAAATCTGACTCCCACTTGACATTGTCTGATTATTGACTTTGAGTTGGATAATTATTTTCGCCATGGTGGTGGTGTTCTGATGATGCGCTCTGGCGGTGTCACTGTGGCAGGAAGTGAAATAAATTCTTCCGCAAGCAGAACGCAGCAAGTGTCAAAGTTTGGCGAAATTGCGCAGCTTCGCTTGTGGTTGCTGCGAAAAATTTTCATTACTTTTAACCGTAGTTTTCCGGATTGCTCAAAATCGGAATTTTGTGGATCGGCAACTTTTTGTCACAGTCACTTGTTAGGGGTTTGATTTTGACATCTCGAGTTCCAGCGAAAATTATCCGCAAGAGGAAGACGGTCATTTTATACAGATTGTTTCAGATTATCACGACAATGTTGCCTGTCAAATTAAAACCGTGTATTTTCCCTCATTAAGAGCTGTAGCGATAGTCTTTTATGATTTCAACTTTAGCAAGAACAAGTTATTTCATAACGCCAAATTACTCAGAACAATAGATCAAAGCGACTCATAATTCGCTCCAAATCATCTTGAGATAAATTGTTTTACAGGGCGTTGAAGGGTGTCCAGCTGGCCTATGTTATTCATTGCTCCTCGACTCGTATTTTTTCAAGAAGGCCAGGTATGGCTACTGCCATATGCGACTTTGGGAGCTCATAAAATTTTTTTCGTGCTACATTTTCTTTTCATCTGAGGAGCCTAAAAAGGTGCTAACTGAACGTGTGCCCTCTCAGATCCTTCACGGAAGTGAACGTGCTGCAATAACGAGATCTGATTTCCAAGGGGTTAAGTTTTTCAAAGAACCCTCTCTTTCATGGGCTCAACCCCCAGGGCACGTCAACACCCAAGCACTGCGCGAAAAAACGCTGTGCACACAGCTTTGTGGCTAAGCCTATCCTATTTTCCGTATACCCCCTGTCTTCTGATGTTTTTCCATAATTAAAAAAGTACGCTAAGGCACCAAAAGACGGTGCATAATCACCAGCACTTATGCCCACATTATAGGCGCGGGTATAATCACTGGTCAACTTGAGAACAGAGCACTTTACACAAGTAACTTGTCCGGAAGTGAAAATATTTGCCCCGGAAGTCGCAAAAATGCGCCTTAAAAAATTCTCCACAGCCGGGTGTTTCTAGCTCAGTGGTGATCGCTTTACAGACCCCCCGGCGCCAGGATTTCTTCTGGGGACACTTTATCAACAACTTCTATATCTGATGATTACCTTTAGTAAATGCGTCTCCATGACTTTTAAGTGGTCATCAGTAAACTGTGCACTTATCAGTCCCGCAAAAAACGGCGAGAAACTATTCCAACGCATCTTCTTCCCTTATCTCTATCCGTTGTAAATTCTGTCTCTGATTCTTTGTGTTTCTTTTATTCAAGGGCGAGTTAACTCTTGTGCTGAGAAAATAGTAAATTAAAGCGAATTGTAAAACGAAATATGAAATTGTGTATTCGTTGAGCAGCGTAGCGCGCAGTTAGGGGGCGCGCGACGCCAAAACCATTCAACTAGCCCACGGACGACACTACTGCCAACTACGAGCCACCTCCGGCACCAGCGCATAAGGCACATCGCCCAGCTCGCAGCACCAATGAAACACCTGGTGACGGGAGCTTCTTGCTTGGTAGGGTGCTCACGCGCGCAGTACCCACCGAATCTTGCAGACTCAAAGTTCGACGATATCCTGCAGGAAGCAAAATCAAGCAAGAAGTTGAGGGATTTATGACCCGGGGAAGTTGTAAAAGAGTAAATTCCGATGCGAGGTGAGAGGGCCACGAGACGGTCGAAAGGAGTTTACCTTTTTCGTGAATTCTGATTTCTGATGCTCTAATGTTAGCTTGCGAATCACGCTTGTTACTTCATAAATTGAACTGTACAATGAAAATAAGCGCAAAAAATTATGAAACCACAATAAAGAAATGACTCGTTCCGGATATATTTTTGTGGCAAATTTCTGAAACAAGTCAAAAATAGCTTTTGGAAGTAGTCACAAGAATTTTTGGCAAGCAGTCGAAAAGCTTAGCCGCAACTCTCGCGGGCAATAAAACAATCCACCTCGTTTGATCCACCTGGCGCAATGAAAATTGCTTTGATCGTCACGGGAAGTATATTTTTCCTAGACCTCGCTTGGTGCAATGTCCGGTGGAGGAGTGCACCCTAGGGCTAAAAGCTTCCGGAGCACCACACCTGCGTCCGCGCCTGAAACCTTATACATTTGTTGACCTTACCACACTCTAGGACAGAGGTGGTGCAATGATTTAAATCACTATTCCGGAACTATAGCCTTAAACTGGACACCTCAGATAATCCCGTCTCACACAAACGGCGCGTACACGATACTAAAGCCGCCTGATCGATAAAAATCACAGAAAGTGCAATCTTGAATCAGGATTCAAGCTCAAACTGACAGTTTTTAAGTCACAACCACGATGGGGGAAATATTGACAGTGTAATAGTACCGCAAATAAAGGGAAAACGGGCTTCCAAATAGCAAAGCGACAAGATTTATGAAGAGCGTTACTAAGGGCAATGGGGTGCCGTTTCAGTCATAATAAATTTACTGTTGACCATGAGATGACCTGAGATAATTACACGCTCTGAGATAGGTAGATATCTGTTCTGATTTGCATGTCATTGAACCAGAAAGAATGTTTTTCTCATGAAAATTCATTCACGAGAGAAATTTATGAAAGCTAGTTTGTCAAAGTTTTATTTCGTGATTTGTGGCAGTGAGAGGTTTAGTCTCCGAAAGAGGAGTCAGAACTTGAATCGGAACTGGAGTCTTGTTGTTGGTATCCTGACGGTTTGATATTCACCCCTAAAAGGAAAATATAAACTAAAGGTCATCAGCGTTATTCACAAAAGTAAATACAACCGAGAAGACTTCAGGGTTTTTCCTCCTTGATTTATTGATTGATCTTCTAGGCAATTTACCTGGAGGTATTTGCTGATTTCGCTGACTAGCGCTTGACTCTCCACGGACCCAAGTTGCACCAAGTCCGGGATTATTCGGATCGCTCTTGCTATCAATGAGTGTTCTGAGGCCATCTGTGCCCAGTTGTGGCAGTGGCTTTGCCTGGTCAGGATGAATAGAGATGTTTCCTTGAGCGAGGTGATGAAGAATTCCAGCTCTCATGTCGTGTTCGGTTGGGTAGGGGCGTCGTGGATCACCTGGAAGCCAGCCTGATATTGAGTTCTTTACTATTTGTCTAGCTTCTCATCGCTCGAGTGTTGAGAAGGTCACAGTTATTTAAAAAACTCTGCCCTGTTGGCGCAATATTTGAATGGCTGGCACACAGTTTATGCGAGTACTTGACGATATCTTCGGCGAGAATTTTTTTATCCTCAGCTTCCTGAATTATTTTCAAGCGCTTCTTCGCCTGTGACAGGGCCGGAAGGAGACTGTCAGAGGCTTCGGAGAGCTTCTTTTGATAGCGCGAGATGCGCCCGTTGTACAGCTCAATCTGGGCGTTACATTCTGTGATTTGCTGATGCAGCTGAAGTTGAATATCCGCGATCCGTAGCGATTCCGTTAGTTGCTGATCCTAAACAAAAAATAAGAAATACTCGTAATGGCTTGTATTCGTCTCAACAAACTCTTTGTTTACCAGCAAGCAAGAGAAAATATAAACTACCTTTTTCATCAACAACTCGAGTAGATTTTCCGCTTGGTTGCCTTCTTGAACCGCCTCAAAAACCTCGGTGGTTAGCTTTTCTACCTCATCAACGAGTTGGAGCAGCTGATCACGAATTCCATGCCCCATTCTACAATATAAACAAGTGTTTGTTGTAGCAATTGCTTGTTGAAAATGATAAACATACAAATCAGTTCGTATACGATCCCCCTCTACGCCCATTAAATGAATTGCAAGCCTAATTTTGTATACGAAGTGACTTGGTGTTGGATACTGCAAGATGATCACTTTGAAAAGTTATGCGCCTGAGAAAGACGATATAACTTTTTCCTTCATCCAAGTTCGCTGAGAGTTGGACTTGAATCATTTTGGTCACAATGCCCTTACAAAGCCATATAATTAGCCGAAATACTGAGCGTATTTGGGCGAAAAGTGTTTGATGGCCATTCTGAATCAAGATGAGTCTGTTCAGACTTCGTCAAATGATCGAGTCAAGTACTTGATGGCTTACAGATGATAAGGCAAATACTTATAAAAAAACATAAAAAGAACTCAAAATGATTGATATTAGTATGAGAGCTACGAAAATATATTGGTAAGACAGGCTTACCAAGCCATCAATGGTTGTACTTGACTCATAAGAATCGTTACGCGCGAGTGCCAGTCGTATTTTCATGGAAATCTTGGAATCTTCTGGAGAAAATTTTTATTTTATCCGACTAATGGTACGGTCAATGATGATGTTACATCGTTTGAGACATTCAAATATTACTATTAAAGTTGATCTAAAAATGAGCTCTAATTGACAGTTTCTGATGGTGGGTCGTGGTCAGGCAGTGGCGACACAATTGATTTCCAGATTGCACGTCAGTTCCAATCCGCGGCGCCGCCTTTGAACTCGCGAGGGCCTCGTCTTCCTTTCAATTGCTCGAGGAGAGTGCGCGGGGGAACGACTTTCTGTCTGACAATGCGTCCATCCCGACCGACATCGGACCGGTGGTAGTCGTTTTTACGCCGATCATCGAGATGAAGATCCAAGATTTGTGCCCACAAGCCGCGGCTAAATGAAAATTCGCGATCTTTTAGTCGAAGAAAGACCTCACCTCAGCGCATTATATGAATGCATCAATACTTTCTTCGTGATTGCATGGAGATGTTCGGATCCATAAGCAAAAAGATCGAGTCCAAACTCCATGCCAAGAATAGCTCCATCGACTTTTCCGTCTTCCTCATTAACAATACGACTTGCTAGTGTATCGAACGGCTTCATCGCTTTCATTCGTGAAACATCGTCGATCGCGTTGACGACATTGGAAAACATGAGCTCAATTTCATCCAGCGTGTACCCAATATGACCGTAGCCAGCTTTTCTGGAAATTCTTGTTTGGATAAACTCTCCCGAATGAAAGTCCCACGGGACTAGAACCCCCATTGCATGCGCAGATTTAGCCTCGACCTGAAAAATAAACATAAAACAGACAGTAGGCATAAAACAATTAACCTGAAAACTCTTTTTGATGAGCTCGTCGTTTTTACGATCAGAATTGATGTCAGGAACTTCCTCGCAGAATTTGGCAACCTAAAGTGATAGTAAATAAGTGTTTTATTCGTAAAAATACCTCGTCGTAGATTTTCTTCAAGTTCGAAGCACCAGTTCTTGATGATTTTCTTTGTTTCATCCAGATATAGTTTTTGAAAGCCGAGAAAAGATTTGAACCCTCCGAAGTAACGACTTTGTTGATCCCTGCATTTCCAACTACGTAGGCAGGCATTTGATCCGGGCTAGGTAACGCTCGAAAATTTAGTTGTAAGTGTTGTTCCTACCTGATTCGCCAGTAACCAAGATGGAATGCATCTTTGTTGGAAATGAAAAGCGTCTGAAATTCTGGTGGATCGAAGTAGTATCTGTGTTGGAGGCTGAGTTTCATCTGGCACTCAGGGTCAGGTAAATACCCGTCGAATCGGCGCATCTTATGAAGCTCTTCAAACGGTCCGACTGCGATAAGACCAACAACGCTGAACGAAGTGAGAGGATCGTGCTAGAAAGGGTTAGCTTGATTGATCATTTTTTAAGTGTACCGGAGAAAGCTTGCACATGAGCTCATAGAGGCGGAAGAAATCAAGAGGAAACTGAATGCCGTACGCAGTCTCGAGCGGCTCTCTGTCGGGATCTGCGAAGTCTTCTGCAAGACGAACAGGCTCAACTGAAATCTCCTGCGCAATCGACCATTCGTCGGCTCCGTTCTTTTTCCGCCCGCCGTTGTTTCTATCGTCAACTTTTGCAACCTCCATAGAGTGAACAGGCTCGTTCCTTGATCTCTGGCTATCAGATCGGTTTCGATCTCGATCCCTCGCGCTTCCATTTGAGTGGCGGTCTCGCTCTTTTCGCGAGTCGGAACGATCCCGGCTTCTTTCTCGCTCTTTTCGTTGATTGTGGTCACCTCTGCTGTCTTTGGTGCGGGAGTCCGTGCGTTCTTTTCGATCAGGACTTCTATCTCTTCTGGAATCGCGTCGGTCGTCGTCCCGTCGACGATCTGGAGAAGATCGCCGTTCAAGCTTCGGCTTCACTGGAGTTCTTTCACGGCGCTTCTCGGGGCTTCGTTTCCGCTCGAGTTTCACTGTGCGTTCCTATGCAGAAATATATAGAACGAGAAAAGTTAGGACGTTCACTCACCATTTCTGACTACGAAATGGGTCTAACTTGGATGCGATAAATGAGAATTAGTTAAATGGATAAATGACTCTTCTACTTTAATCATGACTTATCAAGACACGAAATTCGCTACGCTACAACATGAACACAAACCTTCTTGATCCCTCTATCGATAGCGAACGCTTTTAGTGCTTTATCAAATGAAGTTTCTTTCTGGAAAGATTTAGACCGTTCCTTGGATTCTTTTTTGTCTTTCTTCGACTTTTTCGATTTCTTGACGCTCTTTTCGGATTCGACATCAGACGATTCATATTCTGAGCTGTCATCAGAGCTAAAGATTCACTCAAAACTTTGCAAAAAAAATCAGTGCTTACGAGTCAGAATAGTCGGAAGAGTCTTCTTCAGACGAAGACGACTTCGAGCGTTTTTTCTTCTTTTCTTTTTTCGACTTTTTCTCCTTTTTGGACTTTTTCTTCTTCGATTTCTTTGATTTCTTTCTTGGAGGAGAGGGTGAGGTATCGCTGGAGATCTTTCGCTTCTCCTTCTTCGACTTTTTCACTCGTTCAACCGACTCTTCATCAGATGATTCATCTCGCCTTTAAAATTTGAAGATCGGTAAACTCATTTCGACTGCTCTTACTTTTTATCCTTTTTGGATTTTTTATCCTTTTTCGATTTCCGGCCTCTTTCTTCAGATTCTGACCGAGATCGCCCCATTTAATATCTAAAATAAACTTTTTTAATAATCACATCACTTTTTTAGATTTTCAAACAGAAGATTATCCGAATCTCTTTTTCTTCAGGAAAGTGACCCTGGGGATACGCGTCGGTTCCCTTAGCGCAGCTAGCTTTTGGCCAATCAGCTCACAAATCCTCTCTTGAGAATAACCCTTTTTACACGATGTTTAGTTGCTCTTCTACTAAAAATAATGATTTAGATTAATGATTATTGTTCAGGTCTTATGTTAAAAGCTTTATTTACCTCTCTGTATTCCTTTCTTCAGAGTTTTATTTTTGTACTCCCAGTGCGCATCCAAGTGCGGCTGAATCTTGTCAAACAAATGCATCAATTCGAGTTCGATCAAGACTGGATGTAAATTTTGAAGCTCCTTGCATCCGTATTTTGGCACCTTTTCGTCAAAGTATTCGACCAGCATTTCAATGAAATCAACTCGCCTTGATTGAACAATTTCCCTATAAAGATGTCTATTATTTGACCAAATAGTTATCGAACTAACCTCACTACATGAATCATCCTGTATTCCAATCTTGCATGCAGTGAAAAATCCTTCCAGTTGAAATAATAAAGCACTCGTTTGAGTCCTTTCAAGTTATCGAACTCAATAAACGAGCGAACAAAATATTCGTAATCGCAGTGATGATTCGCAGCCTTGTCGAGAAATTTTCGCCACATTGTCGGGCAGTTTTTCATTTCACAAAGTTTGTACAACGACTGCCAGTCGCACATTGACCTGAGAATGATGAAATCGTCGTCTGGGTTGTTTTTGATGTTCCAAGAATAAATCGAAAACGAACGGCCAACACTTTTATGGAAGTAGGTTCCCCAAGATTCGAATCGTTTTTCCAGTAAAATTGGTGAAATCATCATAAACCTGAGTCTACAAGTTCCTTACTTCATTGAATAAAACTCACCTAATATCATATTTCTTAGCATTCTTGAAAAGGTTCTTTTCCCATTCGTGGCCAACGATGTCCAAGTAGCTATCCGAGGTGTAGAGAAAATACGCGAACTCGAGATGAATGTGATTAAAGTAATCAAACTGTCCGAGCAACTTTGAGTCCGTCTGAAGTGCCTCCAAGAATCTCACACCAACAGCATGATTTGATGTTTTGATAAGATGTTCCATCACAATTTTTATGTCCGAATCTCTTGTTCGTGCCGAGCGCATCAAAATCGCATCCATCATTTCTTCAAACTCACTGAAACCGCTAACGTCTAATAAAGCATCAGAATTGCTCGAGCCCAGTTCTTGTCGCACAGACTCAGCAAGATCATCCGGAAGTGTAGCAATGAGCTTCTCCAGCTCGTCCGCGGAGACAGCTTCCGCGTAGTCAATAAAGTTTAATGTGAAATCGCGTATTCGAAGAGGATTGTTTATTGAGTTCAAAGTTTTTTTGAAATCTGCGTCGAACTTCTTCGTGACTGCGCGAGGAAAGTCAATTCCAGATTTTGCGAGTTTGCTGCTCACTCCCATCGCTAGTAGACATAATGGCGACGGATCGAGAGCTCTGTTTCCTATCTCCCTTACGATGGCTTCTCTAATCGATTTCTTCATTCTCTTTTCTTTTGCGAAGAAATACAACTTTTCCAAGACCTTCAGCTCCGAATTATTTGACGAAAGCCAGGGTGTGTTCATGTCTTTGAAAATTTGCCTGGCTATATCTTTATTAATTCCGTCATATTCAAGAATTTCATCGAGCCAGTCTTCAAGTTCACTTGGTGTTGTATATTTTAAGTCATATGTTCTGAAGCCCCTCAGTGCCATTCCCAGTTCCCAAGATGGAATTCGTCCATATTTGACTTCTTTTTGCAAATCCAGAATCGTGCGCTCCAGCTCGATATTTCCATTCTTACGTTCGATATTCCGAAGCAAACAGACATGATTCTTCAGATAATGAGCATTTATAGTTGAGAGGTATGGAATCATAGCATGAACAAATTCTGGGTCTTCATAAATTCGCTTTATTTGATGGCGAAACTTCCCAATTACTTTGTCGAAATGAAATTTGTTCGGCATATAAGCTTTGCTAAAATGATTATGCAAACTGGAATCAACGAGGACTTCAATCAATTCTGATGATAAGTTTTTCTTGGAGACCGGGTCCAAATCAGAGCTGAGTAAAGTCTTCATTGGTTCGTAAATTGGTCGTACAAGGCCTTCACATTTATGTCTGATTATATTACGTAGATCTCCATATTTCGTGTTTAGTAAAGGAATCCAAGGAATGTCGGATGAAATCAATTCGGAAGACTTGACGTTTACAAAAGGGAATAAGTGGCTGAGCAGCGGATTTATCTTTTGGAATAAAAGAACTGATGCTAAGGATTTTCTTATTGCTTCCGGCCCTCGGTCATGATGGACTTTTTGAATTAGAGTGTCAATTATTTTCGCATTTTGTTCAGAAAATTCTTTGAGAAGATCGTTGACGAGAATGTTCAGCAGTTTTGAACATGTTCTAACATCTGTATTTTTTTCGAAAAGATGACTTCTGAATATGGTTTTGAATATACTGTATCAATATAATATTTCTCCCTTTTATTTGAGTGCTAGTGTTGCAGTATGGCTTGCGTGAAATAAAGACACACTACAATTGTAATAAAAAGCTAATAAGCGTTTCCGATTTATTCTGCGACCAGCGCTAGTACAGTCTCAGTACAGTAATCTCTAGGCATAAAGCCGTAGGTCTTGCTCAAAGTGACCCCTGAGAACGTTACTGATTTGATGGTGGGTGTCGTCCTTATATAGGGTACACTTTTCTACAGGGATATTCTCGGCCTATCCGAGAATATCAGAGCAACGTCCAAGAATATCGGGAGAGCGTCCGCGGATATTCTCGGCCCTTCCGAGAATATCGGAGCGCCGCGCGAGAATATCGGCGGAGCAGCCGAAATTATTGGTGGTGCAGTGAATAATTAATAACAAAAGGGAAAAGGGAAAGGTCGCCGCGTGTTGGGCGCGCACAGTGATCAGAAGCAGAAATGCTATGCAGTAAAACAGTCATACGTTATAGCCATACTATAACACTCTTCCCTCCTTCATTAATTAACACTTGGGCTCCAATGTTGATTCATCGATTTTGGATTCATCATCAGGTGATGCCGATATTGTGCTCAAGTTCCGTCCATTTTCTTAGCAGCAATATTACTTGGTCAAACTTTTTGCGCGATTTTAAGACCAGAGTTCCGACTTATTCAATCATCCTTTCCGTGAAACACTGAAAACGTTGACTTTTGTCCACAATCGAAAGAAGAAAGTGAATGTTTAGGCGGGAAAGATGTCGATTTAGGTCTTGTTCGAGATGAAAAGATGTCGCTTATTGACTCTTGACTTAATCCCATCACAACGTTTTTTATGTAAGGCTTCTTAAATGGTGAATAACAGGTTTTTTTTGATCAACGAAAGTTTGAGTTGTCAGAAGAATCGAAAACATTTTTGTAACTCGATTGATCCAGAATAATTAAAGAAGATTCAACTTCTTTTCTCTTCTCTCCTCCCTTCGGTTAGAACTTTTTCAATCTTCGAAGTTCTTCTTCCTTTTCGTCACCTTTTGTTCTTTTATATTCTCTTCGTTGAATTTGTTAATCAAATTTGTTTTCCATTTTGGTCCGTTAATTACGCTCCAGCTTATGTTTTTCCTACACTGGGGGCAAGTCTTACTGGAAACCAAGTACCAGTAGTCGATGCATTCACTACAGAATGTGTGGTTACAATGTAGTTGTTTAGGAGTTTTAACAGTATCCAAGCAAATCAAACAGGCAATAATAAGTCGGTTCGTTTGAATCTGCGATTCTGATCCCCTGCTTGTCGATTTCGCTTGACTGTTTTCTTTGTAGCTAACTTTTTTCTTCTTCGGCGAGTTGTTTGATTTTTCTTCTATTTCTTCGTCATTGATTCGTAAATTTTCCGTGCTTTCCTTATCAAAATGCATATCATTTTGGTGATTAATTTCGTCTTTGTTTGGTTTTCGTTTCATATCGTAGACCTCGAGTTATCTTAATAAGTCAGAGTTAGTGTTTTGTCTTTTACTCGGCTTATTCGCAGAAAGAATTATCGAGGTTAACAAATTTTGATTTTGCAGTCAAGTCTCTTCCCGAATCGACGTTTTCTGTCTCTTCTGCGTGAGTTGTAGACATGGAGTTTCTTGGAGGACGATCTTCTATCCTTAGCTTCATGTCTCAGAAAAACTTACTGTACGACACTTTCTGTCCTCTAGTCTTTCTTCTAGGCACCGCTGATGTTGATGTTTCCTCTTCTGTTTCTACTGGTGGCGCCTGACTATTAACTACCGAATTTTCATTCGGTTTAACGATTCCTTCTTTATCTTTATTCTTCTCCTGAAGTGTCGTCTGCTCCTAGGTAATTCCGTTTAGTCATCAACATACACTTTTCTGACGCGTCATCATACCTTTGGCGAATTCTTAAGATTCCGGTGCAGGATGCGTATTCGATCGCGATGCACAAGAAATCGCCTCCTAGGAGCTTCGATTGGGGTAACAATATACGTGTATTTGTCGCATCTTTTTCTAACGACAAATCCTCTTTTCCACGGAGTGAAGAGTTTTCCGCTAACTCCTGGTGGAATCATAGTTTTTAAAAGAACTTCCAGGTGAAAGTTTCATCGAACTTCTTGACATTGTCCGCCTCAAGTTGAGCAAAAAAAGATTCAAAGTCGGTGTCTGCATCGAGGCACGGCAAAGGAGGATTTAAATTGTTGGAATCATTTTGATTAGGCTCTCCGATTTCGTTTGCTGGTCGTATATCTGGCTCAATACTCTTGTTATCATTCCATGATTCGGCACTTTGATTTGGTAGAATAATGTTCATGTCATTATTTGTTGATCCTTGCTCTGAAAGAGTTCTCGCTCTTTTGGTTTGTCGATGAGTTTGTTGGTCAGTAGTTGCTGACTGTAGCTGATTGCTTGGTTCCACCATGTGTGTCCCTTCATGCATATTTCCGGTAAAATTTCCCTGGCTACCATCTAAATTCAAAATTTTGTCAATGTTATCAGGCAATTGGTAAGCTTGAATTTTCTCGCCAGTGTTATTTGCCATGAAGAAAGAGTCACTGTCGCCGACAATTTTTCGCCGTTTAGCTGGTGGGCCTGTCGCATCAGTTGAGTCGAAAGCTTGTTGGCTTGGCTGAATTCCGCCGTTTCCAGTCTGATTCATCAGTTGTTGGTTCTTTGTCTGCAGGCTTGATTGTTGACTGTGATGGTTGGTAATAATCGGAAGTGGTCTTATATCGACAGCTGAGGCATTATTGTTCAATGGTGCGTAATACATCTCTTGAAATTGCTCATTAAGAACTTCAGGTTTATTTATCTCCGTCACTTGTTGTGCCCTTTTCTTCGAACGTGATTCGTTTTTTGCAGAATGTCCGGAATCTTGACTCATCGATACCATGCCTGATTCAGCCTGCCTATTTCGAGGTTTCCCTCCTTCAGAAAATCCTTGAGTAGTAGTTGATCTTCCTCCGTACAGGCAGGTTTCAACTTTGTTCTTGAATTGTTCCATCAGAATTTTCGCAATTTTTGTCTCAGAGTTGGTATCCATCTTCATAAAATTTCTCCAAAATTCTTGCTGTCCATTGAACATTTTATCAAACGCAACGCGCACTTGTGTCCCGATTCCCGTTATATTTCCATGTTTTGATTTCCAAACGTCGCACACAAATGTTGCTTTGCAGATCCAGAGAATTAAGTGCTCCCTTTGGTCTCTTCTTTTCCTTGACTGGCTTATTAACCAATGATTGTAAAGAGCTTCTGATTGTCCGACGGAGAAGTTTTGCGTGGCTATGAATTCCGTCGTGTCTCTACGGATTTCTTCTATAATCGCAATCATGTCGAAAATTATTTGCCATTTCTCTGGTTTCTGTATATGTTCGGTTGGTGGATATATTGACAGGACTCGTGGAAGCACATAACGGTAAACCATTTCTTTTTCGGTGCCATCTTCAAAATAATAAAGGATTTGTTTTGATTTGATTGGCATTTTCACGATATCAAAAAATTGAAATTTTTCAATTTTCGAAGACAAGTTAGTCTTACTTTTTAAAAGATGGTGATTTTGAGAGGGTGCGCACTTCATGAATAATTTATTTCTTCTATCGTCTGATTGGATGCCTGAGTCAATATAGGTGCTTCGAGCCATTCAGAGCGCGCGCTTGTCCATAAATATTAATGTATTCAGCGCCGAAATTTTCGCTTTTGAAATCGGACGTCATTCTGCATTTTGCCTCCCTTGTGATCAGTCGCACTATTTTTCGCGTATTGTCCAGCTCTTTGAAAGAGAAGAAAAAACTAAGAAAGAGATGATTTAGTGTTTTAATCTTTTTGGAAATAAAAATTTCACGTTATAAATTCCATACTTATTCTTGATAGATTTTTTTTTTTTAAATTCGCCGAAATTATTGGTGGTGCAGTGAATAATTAATAACTAGGCAGAATCCCACTTCTGACACCAATGTTGCAGTATGGCTTGCGTGAAATAAAGACACACTACAATTGTAATAAAAAGCTAATAAGCGTTTCCGATTTATTCTGCGACCAGCGCTAGTACAGTCTCAGTACAGTAATCTCTAGGCATAAAGCCGTAGGTCTTGCTCAAAGTGACCCCTGAGAACGTTACTGATTTGATGGTGGGTGTCGTCCTTATATAGGGTACACTTTTCTACAGGGATATTCTCGGCCTATCCGAGAATATCAGAGCAACGTCCAAGAATATCGGGAGAGCGTCCGCGGATATTCTCGGCCCTTCCGAGAATATCGGAGCGCCGCGCGAGAATATCGGCGGAGCAGCCGAAATTATTGGTGGTGCAGTGAATAATTAATAACAAAAAGGGAAAAAGGGAAAGGTCGCCGCGCGTTGGGCGCGCACAGTGATCAGAAGCAGAAATGCTATGCAGTAAAACAGTCATACGTTATAGCCATACTATAAGTTATAGTCTATAACACTAAAAATCAAGAATAAACCATTTCCTGACTAGATCCGACTGATGAGCATGAATCCTCGATTGCGATAAATTGAGGTAACCCAAACAGGCCGTCCTTGTCTCCAGCGATAGCTCACTTGTTTCAACATGCTTTCGAGCAGTTGTCGCGAATCTCTAAGCGATACACAAGACGTAAACGAGATAATGTTACCTTGAAATCTATTTGTTGATCGAAACTCCCAACGCGGAAAATGATTTCCAAGCTTTTATCAAGCGTCACATCCGGCAAATCGCACTTTTCGAGGAAGACAAGATCGTGGATTCCATTTCGAACGCCATAGGAACATTTTCCGGTCGCATGCGCAAACTCAATGGCTTCGATAATGGTTGTCGAAACTTGCCGACTTGGGAAGTTTTTCAATCGTGGACGAGCCCTTCGAAGCATTCTTCAAAAATGCAAATTTGAATAAAGATAGACAAGGTTAATTAAGTTCGTTGTTGGGATTGAAAGTGATGCGAAATCTTTACGATTTCCTCCGACATTCCGTATTCTCTCAGAAGTGAGACGAAATCAATTAACCCAGAAAAGTAAAATACTTGAGGCAATCTTTCAAGGGTACAGACATAAAGTTTCAAAAGCTTTTTATCATTCGTAAGTAGAATTTCTTCTTTTATATTTATCATTGAAGATATGAGAACGTCTAAGTTTGTGTAATTTGTGGTATTAATAGGGTTATTTTTCTAATAAAATTACCTTGAGACATAGAGTCTGTTCTGAGACACTTTTCAAGAGCATCCTTCAATAACTGCCGATTCTCAGAAAAGACACAAGCACGTATAAAATAAATCCAATAAATTGGCACATTTTTCAAAGCCTTAAAAATTCCTTTCATTCTTGAGGAAGACTCCAAGCTAAAGTTCAGCAGTCCAATAAGATAATTAACATTCAGAGAAATTTCTTCTGGAGAAGATGGTCTCTTCGGCAAATTACTGATTTTCGTCTGAATAAATTTTGATTCTTCCATCGAGCTCTTTTTAAGCTCCCTCTCCAAAATAAGTTTTGTTGGAATTTGAAGGTCATCATATTTTTTATGAAGTTTTTCGTACAAATGTTTCTCCCATTTTCGTCCACGTAAATGAAAAAATTGGTCATCTTCTCGAATTCGTTTCAATACCTCCAAGTAGACGAAATCCGGAAGCTTTATTTTCCACGAAGAATCTCTTTGGAGACTTGACATAAGTTTTGACAAACCTTTTCCATCTCCATCATCCATTAATTCGAAAACATACTCCTGAACTTTGTCCTGCTGTATTCTTCGTTTCAGACATAAAAATTTATTGAGATTTTTATTCTTCAATAAACCTTGTAGTTCTTCTCTACGTCTTTTGTCGAGTGAGGAAAAGCACTCAGAGAGAACCCAAAATTTGACGGTACTTGGCAATTTTAAGCAGCAGAAATCATTAATCTCCGATTGATTCTCATCGAAAAACTTTCCAATCTCTTCTACGATTTCCATCGCTTCTTGAAAATTGAAAAACTCAAACGAACGATCCAGGATTGCAAAATATTTAACGTCTCCATTGTCATCTTTTTCATACTCTTCGTTGTCTCCAAAAAGGATTTTTGATCCACGTGCTGAACCTCCATATAAAATTCCTTGAACTGGATGCCAAGATTGCGATCTCCAGATTGATTTTAAATATTCCAGTCGTTTGGCATGCGCAGGATTACCTTCATAATGCTCAGCTAAGGCAGTGGAAATCTTGACTTTCGATTTCATTTTCCATTTTGTTCTCTGATTCTCTACGCATGAAAGAAGACCCGGTCCGATGCTCGTATAATGCTCGTGTAATGCTAGAGTTAACGAATCGTCTTCGCAGGGAAACCAGCCATCGACCGGACATTCAATGCTAAAGTCAGAATACGGCAGAAGCCCTAGGTTCCAACAAGCTAGATTTGACGAGTCTGTATTAGAACCTCCAAAGCTTCTGATAACGTCGAGATACTGATCGTAACCGCGTTCGATATTCAGTAAATGGGTTCTTTTAACTCTGCTTCGCAGTAAATCTCGCTGCTTCTTCGTCAAATAAGGCATAACCAGAGCAAGATATGATGGAAACTCGACCAGGCGTTCGAGTTGGCTTCGGAAATCGCTTCGAAATTGATATTCTCGATGATAAGGGTTTGCAAAAGAAGGAGATACTGAAACGTATGGATTGCTGGTTTGCTGAGGTTTTTGCGGCCTTGTGTACTGTGCTAGAGTCGTTGTTATTGTCGGTCTAATAGTTGAAGGCTTCATATTCGCAAGAATTTCCAAGTAGGGAAAGAAGGACTTGATATCATCGAAATTCAGAACTTCTAAAGCATTACCCAGTCTTATCAAAGTAAACGTATCATCAACGATTTGCAGTCGCTCTGCGTATTCCAGGAACTGATCTTTCACTCCGAGTAAATAATTTTTCTCATGGGTACCAGCCACTCTCGCATATTGATACACAAGACTAAGAGCTCCGGACGACCTGATTCCACTTGATGAAGCGCGTTCGATAACTTGTGTCACCGATTTAAGTTTGTCTAAAAATATTTTTTAGAAATAATCGTAGTATCAAACCTCTAAGAGACGAGTTGAAAAGCATCTGACAGACAATCGCCTCAAGAACCTTTTCCTTGAGTTCAGAATCCATTTGCTTATCCTCAAACAATACAAGACTGTCAGCATTTACAAGCGGTTTTGATTTGGGAAGTCTCGACAGGTATTGGTAAGAAGCTGCAACTTCGAAATCTGGCAGGTCATTTTGGAGATTCAAAGATGTTGAGGCATTCTTTGAAAACTCAGAAATTTTGAACTTTCGATCTATAGAAGGCGTCGAGTAAAGACTGTGAATTGCTGATCTTTGAGAGTTACTATCGAGCTGCGAAAAGAGGTCCTCCAAGCGCCGTATTTGCAAAATACATCGTCGGATATCTAGTAACGGGGTTTCGAAATGATCACTTCAATATAACAATCTCAAAAGTTTCATAGTTGAAACCCTCCACATAAGAACAATGCCCAGTTTCATGAACAAATTTCAACGCATTTTGCAAGTTTTCGATGTTCACTGCTAACTTGGATCTAACTAGCCTGCTTCTGGTGCATCCCAGCCGATTCATTCAAGATCATCTGAACAAAAACACTCAACTGTTGTGAAGTCTTTGTTTTTCATTAAGAGGTTTTTTCACACAATAATTTATTGCTACATTAAAAAGTGAGAATGTGGCTCTTCACTGAAGAGAAACTAAGGAGTGAGGAATGAGATGCGGGACTACTCATCGTCCTCCTTCCAGCTCTGCTCGACGACCTGCATCACTTTCTTTTCATATTCTCGTCTGTTTTCCTGGAAGAGTTGAGCGGCTTGGGAATTGGCGGGTGAGTTGGGGTTCGGTTCATCGAGAAGTGATTGAATGGATGTCTAAACGGCAAATTTACACTTGTTCGAACAAATATTACAGATGAATTTAAAAAACTTTTTGCAGGCAAATTTCTGACCTGGCCGGATTCTGTACCCCTATGAAAGCCCGTAAAATTTTGAGTCGATTTGACCAAATCGTTTTTGAAATTTTCTAGAGAATGACGTCACAAATGACGTCAGAAGGTCCCAAATAGGCGAAACTTTGAGTCAAATTTTAATTGCCTTCCCGATGGAATTAAGGAGTGTTCTATAGCTCAAATGAAAGCTTATTTAAAAATGAACTAAGGTTTTTAAGGGTTTTTAAAAAAATTTTGAAAAACTGGGCTCTAGAATTTCCCGAAAAAAAATTTTCAACCAAATAAAAAAATCTTGAAAACCTTAGTTCAGTTTTTCACAAGGATCAATTTGAGCTATAAAACACCGAAAAATTCCTTTAATAAAGCCCCTAAAAACTGACTCAAAGTTTGGCCAAAATCGCCATTTTTGCCAACTTTATACGTCATTTATGACGTCACCGTATGACGGTTTTGGCCCAAATCTAGTCCAGGCGACTCGAAATTTTACGGGCTTTCTGCTAGGTATGAAAACAGGCAAAGTTAGAATTTTGCCTGCAAAAAGTTTTAAATTCATCACAGTGAACGAATACGAAGTTATATATGCTTCATATAAAAGCATTACTACTCATGCACAACCAACCAAGATAGAAGACACATCATATGTGGGCGACCAGCGGTTTTGCAGGATATCAAGGCATATGGACCCATCCGCGTAAACATTCGGATGGAACATTTTAGAGGTAAATCTCACGACGGGCGGTTTATTTGGATACTCCTCTACAATTTGATTTCAGATAGAGCCAAGTTTGAAAGTGTACCTGTAAATTCTATGGTTAGTTTGAACGTCCCGTCCTCAAACGGTGTATCTGCCGGGCCAAATATTACAGCGTTCCAGAGGAGAATATTGTTGTCTGTTGGGGCTCCGGAAACACCAGCTGGGGGGTCTTCCTGGAGCCTTTTAAAATCCCGCATAAGACGTCGTCGAGCAGCAGTAGACATCCTTAACCCAACCCTGAAAAAATACCGTCAACGAAACAGCTTTCCGAATAATGCATCATTTTTATGCTTCAAAACTATTTGAATATGAACTTGTAGAAACACACACATGTAAAAGCAATTTCACTAGAGGAACACATTTCCTGAAAAGATACAGAAATGGGCGCGCTTAATAAATAATTGTTTCACTCTCCCAATAAAAAGTTTATTTTGGTCCGAGCATATCGGTTGGGACAACCCAAGCGTCAAATTGTTCGTCCGTGATGCCGTTTTCTTTGGCAGACTCTCGGAGCGTGGTTCCCTTCTTATGCGCATTCTTGGCGATGGCGGCGGCCTTATCGTATCCGACGTGGAGGTTCAAAGCTGAAAAGCGGTTGAAAAAGGGGCTGCTTGGAAATGTTATCACCGGTTACGAGCATAAGAGACTCATTGAGAAGCTGATCGATTCGGGCTTCGTTGGCGGTGATGCCGACAACGCAGTTATCAACAAAGGCGTTGCAGGCAGTGCCGATGAGGTTGGCAGATCGGAGAACGTTGGAAACCATGACTGGCTAATTATTGAGTGTTATGAATGGGTTGATAAGAGAAAAAACTTACCTTGTAGACGTTGAGCTCAAAGTGACCGTTCATACCGCCAGCGGTGACAGCCATATTATTACCAATGACCTGCGTACAGACCATAGTGATAGCTTCAACCTGAGTTGGGTTGACCTTGCCGGGCATAATGGAGGATCCGGGCTCGTTTTCGGGAAGATTGAGCTCGCCAAGACCACATCGTGGTCCAGAAGCGAGGAGGCGCATATCATTGGCAATCTTGTGGATGGAGCAGGCGACAACATTGAGAGCGCCGGAAACCTCAACCATGGCGTCGTGGTTGGCGAGAGCTTCGAACTTGTTGGGAGCGGAGACAAATGGAAGACCGGTGTAGTTGGAAAGCTCCTCACAGCAAGCCTCTGCGAAACCAATTCGAGTGTTGAGACCAGTTCCGACAGCGGTGCCACCGATGGCAAGTTCGTAGACTCGTGGGAGGGTGGCTTCAACACGGGCGATTCCGTTATCGAGCTGCTGAACGTATCCAGAGAATTCCTGTCCGAGAGTCAATGGAGTAGCGTCCATCATATGAGTTCGGCCAATTTTGACAATGTGCTCAAAAGCTTTCTGCTTCTCGTAGAGGGCCTCTCGGAGCTTCTTGAGGCCTGGGAGGAGAACGTTGTTGATTTCGAGAGCGGTGGCGACGTGCATAGCCGTAGGATAGGTGCAGTTCGAGGACTGGGACTTGTTGACGTGATCGTTGGGGTGGACGGGGGACTTGGTGCCGACTTCGCCGCCGAGGATGAGATTAGCGCGGTTGGAAATGACCTCGTTGGTGTTCATGTTCGACTGGGTGCCCGAGCCAGTCTGGAAGATAACAAGAGGAAAGTGACCCTCGTCGTAAAGCTTGCCAGAAATGACCTCATCGGCGGCCTCCTTGATCGCGTTGGCGAGCTTGGCGTCGAGTCCAAACTTCTGGTTTGCTTCGGCGCAGGCCTTCTTGAGGTAACCAAAAGCCTTGCGGAGCGGTTACAATTAGAATAATTTAATTATCAATTACTTGGATGATCTGTCGGGGCATCTTATCGGCCTCGCCGCCGATGGGGAAGTTTTTCATCGATCGGGCGGTCTGGCAGCCATAGAGCTTGTCGTTTGGCACCTGCATCTCACCCATGGTGTCGGTCTCGATTCGGAAGCCAGACGCCTAGAATTCATTTTATAGGGGTCAATCTATCACGATGGCAATGAAACTGAATATAAATCTTTATTCTGACCGGAATCATTTTCTATCAGTGCTCTTTTCTCGATATTGTGATGCCTACTAGGTGTGGCTCGGCTAGTTATGATCATTTCTCCTATTTTACGATTATATAAAAATATCTGAAGGGAACCATAAAATTCCTGCGCTTTATAACTTATTGGATTTAATTTTAATAAAAAAGGTAACAACTAAAGTGATTCTTTTAAAGTGCCCCATGTTAATTTTCAGTAAAATATGGGTTTCATAAAAAAGATAAAGAACTTGCGTCTCGAGCACCACCCACTGACCAGAAGGGAAAAGCGGGCTTGTATCGTGATCTCATTTACAAAAATTTTAATCAACTTACAAATCGAGATGGGATTTTTGGTCGAACGACTCGGGACAAAACGAACTGACGCATGCTAAACCGTACCAATTCAATAACGACAATAATCAGTAAAAAAATATATAGATTATTTATTGAATAGAAAAATAGAATAGAATATGAAAGTTCAGTTTTGCTGTTTATCAGGCTGCAGAGTCTGCAGATCTCCAAGGTTCTTCCAGTTGACCAAAATGCGAACGTTCTTTTTGTTCTTGGTAGCTAGCGACAGTTGACGGCGGTACTCCAGTAGATGCTCGTTTCCAACTACAGTGCCGACTGCTACACGCGTCGATCTTTCACGATTCCTAAATTGTTGGTTCATAAATTTTGCGAATCAAGAATATTACAATCATAACGGCAACATTATTGCTTTATTAAGAGAGGCAATTAAAGGAGGTAAGATGAGGAATTAAAAAAAGGTTCGGGCTCATTGACCCCAGCCAGGGCAATATTATCGATCTTATTTTGGCATAAAGCTATTCATTGAGTTTGCTTTTGAATATGAACCGTCTGTCGGAATTCCTCCAATCGATAGAAAAATATATTTCTGAACAGGCCGCTGTCGATAGTAGCCATCGATTCTCAATGCTTAATCAAAACTTATCGCGCGAATAAGAAAAAGAAGGCTGCGCAGATGGCACGACTTTTATTTTTGAAAAAATAATTTACAGTCACTCGCGGATGAAATACCTTTTATAGCTTTATAAAATTCTATCCAAGTACGCCCTATCTACAAATTCTTTGATAAGCTAAAAATTAAAAAACTGCGTAATTTCTGTAGGGGAAATTCCTTCGCAGTGAATTCGGCCTCGAGTGACTGTAATTTCTAATCTAACAAGGGATAAAGTATCAACGTCTCAAAAAAAGAAATTCACCGGCCGCTTCCTCGAATTTCAGAGTTAGATTATCCTCCCGGCCGCCTTTAATTAGGATCAATTTTAAATCACTGAACCCTAAATGATCGTCGCCGTGTATTTCGTCGTTGAACGATAAGAAGGGCAAAAGGTTTGTTCGGTTACTTACTTTGCTTCCTCACAATTATGGTAGGCTTTTTGGATGAGTTCCGTCGCTTGAGGGTGCTTTTTGTACGCGTTGTAAAGTAGTGACATTTGCGAAAGTGCATCCACGGAGCATTGCCCGCCCTAAAATCAATCAGGAATACAACTTGTCTTTGCTCATCCAAATGAGCTCACAGTAAGACCACCTTGAAAGTTACAAAACCGGGTATTTTTAGCAAGATTATTTGTAGACATATCATTTTAGGTGGTGTTAATGTGATGCCCCGAATGATCAAGCTGAATTCGTTTTTTTCGAGATTTCGAATAACGAATTTCGAAATTTATTCAAAACTCAACTCAACTCTCGAACGAAATGAGAAAATCTGGAGCAATTTCAAATTTCGTTCAATCAAATGATAATTATGGGGATTTCCGTCAGCTGATTCATTTTTTTTCTAAGTCGAGTAATTATTTAACAATTTATTAAAATATTTGCCGTCCCGGAATCATCGCCTTTGAGTCAATATTTAGCACTTCTAGCTGCGTAAACAAATTTTCTTCTAGTTCCGTTTTTTCGACTGGAAAATCTTTCCAATCGTCATTATAATCGACGCGCGAAGACCTAACTTTATTTATCCAAATTGGCTTTTTTCATTCTTCGAATGCGTCATGAAATGTTTCATTTTCGCGGCTGCGGGAAACAAATACACACCCCTAGAGCGCGGATTTTCTCTTTTTGAAATTCCCGGGCGTCGATTGGTCAGCCTCGGCCTTGGGCAGAAATTAGAACTGGCTCAAGCTCTTGATGCTTTCGGAAACTGTAAATTACAGTCTCACTCAAGCTGAACCACTTCTAGGATTTCTGTTCAGTGCCGGCTTCATTCAATATTTCTATTATTAATCTGAATAATCGCATTACTCATTGATGGTTTCTCTAGACTTCCTCTCTCGAACTGTTACAGCCAATCAGCTGCTTGGCTAGTTCGCTGTTTATTTCTTCACGTGGTGATTACTTTTCAAAATATTCACTGGAAAAATAAAACAAGAAAAAGGCTGCTGCTGTCTCTGACGCGCTGAGAGAGTAGTGTGGCGAGTGACGGGCGCCTTTCTGCTCTGCGTCGCGAAATCGAGCAAAGGGAGAAAGTGCGTGGGCGGAGGCGTCGACCAAATCAACCAAAGGAGACCAAAATTGAAAAAAAAAGAAACGAAGAAAAAAAGACGACATCGCGACACGGCCTGCCAAGGAGGCACTCGACACCACGCTCTTCTGGCACAGTCAGTCACGTACCAATCCCGCTGAATAAGAATGATCTTTCCCTTGCCCGCTGGGCAGTGCCTCTGCGTAAAAATGATGCTTTTACGATGACTCACCTCATTTCAAATTTTAAATTATTATTCAAACTATTGATGAAAGAAAGTATAAGTTAAAAGCCACAATGCGAGCTGTGGGGCAACCTGTGCAGAAAATCTGAGTCAGAGTCCTGGAAACGATTATTAAAAAGACGCGCCGCGGCTTTTTTCCAAGCGGAGCAGCGAAGCAATATCAAATAAAAAAGATCACCTCGGCAATTCTGGGGAATTAACAGAAAAATAATATTATAGAAATATATTTAATTTAAATGAACGAAATGACCCTCCAAAAATGTATAATTCATATTCAAAATGTCATGAAAGACAGCAAGAATAGCCCATGAGAGGGAGGATCACCCATCACTGGCGGATTTGATTGACCTGCATAAGCAATTTAGAATTTCCCCAAGGAGCAAGCTTGGGCAAATTAAATTTGTTGCAATTTGAAAGCGCGCCTGAGCAAGCTCAATCAATCTGCCAAGCGAATTTAATTTATGAATATTCCACTTTGATTACATTTTGCAGAAGCGGATTCGACGGGATGGCAAACTCGAAAAAATAATTGAAAATATCGTTGTCAAAAATATCGACTTTAAAAAATTGATCAGCTGACGGAAGTGAAGGGAGACCCACTTACGGTGACCTACCTCGGATTCAACTTTATCGACCGCCTTTTTGAGTATCGCTTCGGCCGATTCCAATATTTCATCTCCAAATCCAGCTCCTTTCGCTCGGATCAGGTCGGACAGTACAGCCGTGATCTTTTGAATCAACTCATCTAAATGACCATTTGAATAAATTTGAAATCTAATTGAATTGATTCTTACCATTCTGTATAATAAGGGCGTTTTCGAGGCCGCGTTCAAGAATTTGACGTGATTTTTGTACATTTTTGCTTGGAATAACTTGTGTCCGTAGTGGTAATTGGCAGTTGAGATTGTTTTTTCATATTTGCTAGTGTCCGCGGCGAGCACTGACTTTTCGAGTAGCTACAATAATACCGGTAGATAATGACGGAGCTTAGCGCGCAAAAGGTCACCTGTAGTTGGCTCTCGATTGAGCTGTCCTTTTCGGCGACGAGTCTGAGCACGCGAGAAAGGTGAAACGACGATGTTTGATTCCACGTGTCGCCCTGTGCTGTCTTCCATGTTCCCCGTCCGTGCGACAGGCTCACCGCTTTTTCAAGGTGGCTCCGAGACGCGTCGATTTCACCGCGAGACTCACAGGCCAAACCACACCGCTCGCTTGCTTCGCAAAGGCTTTTACCAGAATCCACAGTTACTGAAAACGATTGTGAAAGTGTCTACTCTTTAGAATTGAAATCAAGGAAGAGAATCAAGGCTGGCACTTACTCTCAGACGCAATGGCGAGTGCCCTATCGAAGAAGTGATGAGAAAGCCAGGTGAGTTTCCGCTCGCTGAAGTAAAGCGCCAATTCGGAAATATTTGAGTAGACTTTGACTTGCTCGCTTTTCCGCTCGGCCTCTTCGGCCGCAGTGAGCTTCTCCTTGAATGTGTCCAAGTATTCTTTATTTTCGTGAACGACAGGGGCGAGCGACATCAGCGTTCCAGGCCCAGCTGCGATTATTTCTAGCTTACGCTTCTCGATCAGATTGAACATTTCAGAATATGCTTTGTGATAGCCATTTCTAGTTAAAAAAGTTGGATCAACGAGGAGTGTTAAAAAGTTACCTTAGCATTTCTATACATGTGTTGTGATAATAGTCGTTTCGCTTATAACAAGTGCTTGAATGTGATAATGTTTCTTGGTTAACTAAATTCACGCTAGAATAAACCTCAAAAACCAAAGTTACCTGAAGAGAGTTTTCCTTGAAGTTGCAGAATAGTACCCGAGGGCGGACCCGGGGCCAACGATTTCAATTTGAACTCTGTTGGCATTTTTATACGCTCATTCTCAAACTAAAAACAAATTGCTGACTTCGAGTTGATGGGATTTTGTTCTAGAAAATATTTGCTACAGAAGGTATTTCTTGTAATATTCAGGAGTTTTGAAGTCGCGCTCAGCCCAGAAAGGGAGCGGTGTTTCGAAGCTCCAGTTCGGGCCAGAGTATTTTTGAGCGTGAAGATAGAGGATCAGGTCGTGTTGATTGGGATCAGCAGGAGTGTTCCTGCATTTATCACTAGAACGCGCATGATTTAGGAAATCAGTCCACAACTTACCAGAGCGGATCCTTTTCAAAAGCCATCTGAGGCGTGTCACTTTCCTCGGCAATCTTAAAACCCTTTGGTCCCCAATTTTTCGACTTCGTCAGCCCTTCAACTGCTATATCTTCTGTGATATCTTCTCTTTGTTGTCGTTCCAAAAATCGTTCTTTCCCAAACAGAGGATCATTGTAAACCGGGTCGTTGATGATCGGGAAGCCCAAATACTGAGTATGAACGCGAATTTGATGTGTTCTACCAGTCTTTGGCATTGCACGAACAAGACTTTCGTTGCTATCTTCGAAAAATTCAACAAGCTCGAAGTTTGTCAAAGCAGTCTTTACTTTTTTCTCGTCATCGCCATCCTTTGCTACTCTGTAAATACCCTTCTTCGCAGAGATTTCAAACAAGCTCTCTTCGCACGTTGCCTTTTCAGGAAACTTCCCAACGACTCTCAGCAGATACTGTTTTTGAACAACTCTGTCAGATATTTCTTTGCTTACGCGCTTTGCCACTTCTTTCGTTTTGGCAAAAATAACGAGCCCAGAAGTGAGTCTATCTAGTCTGTGAATGACGTGGTAGTTCACTTTATATTCTCGGGCAATTAAGAAGATCAGTGAGTTGTGTCGGTACTGTGCTACAGGATGAATTGGGACGCTTGATGGTTTTTTCACGACGTAGAACTCGTCAGTATCGGCGATGACTGTTGGCAATTCGATTCTAATTGGAGGCTCGTGGCGATGGTCCTTCGTTGAAATCATATCCCCGTCTTTGATGATCCTTTCTTTGAGCTCCGAAGCGTTGATCTTTTCCATGTTTAAAAGCATGTAGCCTCGCTCTGCCGTTTCATTTAACTTTTCAGGCGTTGAAATATGAAGACTGAACTCTTTCATCATCATATCAAAAACAGACATGCCAAGCCATCTCTTCAGCGCGAACTTATGATGAGTGAAGAAATAAGGTCTAACTCTACGAAGACCTTTCTCTTCGTCAATTATATAGTCGGTCTCTGCGAATGTATCGTCAAGCTTTTCCGGAGATAGCGGCGACTGTTTCTTCATTAAATTGACCATTTTGAGCTTTTTATTTTTCCTTGTCGTCAAATTTTCTGCCATAACTGAAGCAACTGCTTCTTTAGTGTCTAATTTAAGCAGTTTAACTGCAGGTGCATCTTTACAAACTTGCATTCTGAAGGGATCATTCTTGCTCAAAATAATTGTAGAAAGAAGGAATGGTAAATTCTGGCTATTGCATGTTGGCAGGTAAAATATTGCACATGTTTAGTCTCAATTGATCCACAATTTTTCGATATCATTATTTTGACAGTTTTTGATAGTTTCATCAACAAAACTTTGAAGCTGAGGTGTCAGTTCATCTGCTGTTCCAGATGCGTCGATCACCTTCCAAATCTAATGCACTCATTTCAATCAGCTCAGTTTTATACGACTTACATCACTGTGTTCTTCTTTCAACCGAGAATATAGGCTTCTAACTTTTCGCTGAAACTCCACTTTTTCATATCTTTCTTCTCCAAAGCCACCTCTGCTTTTTGCAGTTTCTTCGTCAACGTCAAGCTGAAGAACAAGATCTGGTTTTGGAAGTCCTCGGTCGGGATTTTTGCACCACTCGAGATCAAGCCCCTTTGCAGCGGTAAAAGCGACACCAGAAAATGCGTATCTGTCGACCAAAACTGATGTCCCGTTGTTCAGGTAGTTCAAAATGCTCTCTGAACGTGCATTAAATTTTCCAACTAATTTCGCCCGAGATTCACTAATTAGATTTCTAATTTTTCTTAAATTTTTATGCAAAATCTCTAGATAAACTGTTGTTATCAGGGCATCAGAACTAAAAATAATCAGTTTTCGAACTTACTCAAGTCCGATCGCCGTATATTTAAGGTAAGAAAGGATTAAATACCAGATAAATAAATCAAAAAAATTTTTTTCAGAAAAAAGTTTTTGAAGAAAAAACCGAGACGATTTCTCAGATCAGCCTCCTAAAAAGGTGGGACGAATGATGAGAAAACCTATCTAGGAGAGCACGAGGAAATGGAGCTAAAACGAAAAACCTGCATTGTAAGAGTCTCATCTAATGCCATCTTAAAGACGAAGGGACGCAAGGCCCCAAAAAGGACTAAAATCTCATATCTCGTTTATTGGTAGTGTCGTGCCTGTGTGAGTGTGTGTTGTAGTGTGGATCTGTGGTAATGTAAGGTAATGTGTCAGAATAGAGATGGGGAGCAGTTATAAAGGGTTTGCTACCAACCGGTGCGCATCGAGGTGCATAGCACCATGATGCAATAAAAGAGATGTAGTGTCAGGATAAGATTGATGGGCACTAGATAAGACACTACAGCATTTTCTATCAAAAAAACTGCAAATACACTTTTACAATTAGAATCTCCGAAAAATATATATTTTCATTATAATGAACGAAATTTCACTATATTTTTGTCCTACTTTTTTTCCTTTTTCACGCAGGTAGACTTACGAGCATGTTCCCATCGGTTTGCGGAGAAAAGCAAGTGAATAGCTTGGTCCGAAAGGTTGTTAGAGCTCGTCAGGTACCCGTTAATGGTCTGTCCGATTTCGCTTGTCCTCTAGAACTCTTATTAACCCAATGCATCAAAGGAAGTAGCTCACCTCAGGAAAACGTGTCAGATACACTTTTTCACCTTTATTAAGCATTTGATTGAAAATACGCTTGATTTGCGTCGACTTGCCCGATCTATCGACCCCTTCAAAGATTATCAACGCCCCTCGAGCCATTCTGATACACAAAAGAATTATTAAAAAATGAACACAAAGAGTCGAGTATTCTGTCAAATAATCTATTAGTAAGCGTTACTGACAATAAATAAGGAGGGAGATTTCAAAGTGTGTATCTGACAGAAATTAATTTGAATGCACTTAGGCGGACCAGATGTTGAGGTTGTGGAAGAACAACACTCGGCCGGCCCAGAAGGTGACCATGCCGGTGAGGGTAAAGACGACGCAGAGGTTCAAGTCTCGGACTAAAAGTTTGGTGGGTTATAAATCTTGATTTGGTAATACTTACGGAATCCCTCCTCTCCGAAAAGGCCGACGAGGATGGAGGTCTCTGCCTTTCGCTGGTTGAAGGTGATGTCGTAGTAAAAGTAGATGGCTGGGATGTAAGCCGTGGCCATAAGAACCAAACCTGAATAGAATTAGCAGTGAAAAGGAAGTTCAATATTACCGAGTGGTCGGAAGTAGGCGGGGTGAGCGGAGAAGAGCGCCACTGGCTTTCGGGCGTGAGCATGACCGCCAGTCTCGAGGGAAGAGACGAGGGTTCGTCGGGAGAGGACTCGGGTGGGGACAGCCAAAATTCGGTTCATTCTGAAGTTCAATGGATTATTTGAAGTTCATACGGATTGCGTTTAGGGAGCAGTGTGTCAGAGTTTATTTCAACTTTGATGGTCCCTTCATTTTCGACTTTCGTCGGGCGGCCCGTTTCTTTTGTTTTATTTCTTTCGCTTCGAGCTTTTTGATCTTCTTTGCGTCCGTCACAATTTGACCCTGAGACTTCGCCTGTTTCCATTCGTTTTCTTCTTGCTGACGTTTCTTCTCTTCGATACGGATACGCTCGGCTTCCTTTTCTTCATTCCTTTGAGCAATTATTTCTCGCTCCCTCATCTTAACCCCGTTAATTGGGTAATTACTCCTTGAACTCACCTTCATCTGGTGCATACGTAGCTTTTCGTCCATCTTAGCTTTCCATTTCTTTTGTGAGTTAGCTCCCTTTGGTGTCATCGTGTGAATGGGCTTCTTAGAGGTCTTCCAGCTACGGCCCGATTTACGGCTACCAATAGTGTCTGTGGCGGTCATGAGCGAATTTCTGAACAAGGAAAGATTTAAAATTATGAATCTATAAACTAGCATTAACAGTTATCAGTGGAGTAAACATGTGGAGAACGAGAAATTTCTCAATCGTGTTACTTTATGAATGAGTACTTGCGATCTTGTGATCAGAATAAATAAGCATCCGACGAAATCATTGCATGTTTTCGCTAAAAAATGATTAAAAAACCTGGCATGAATTGAAAAGTCTTACAGGATGATGGTGATACCCTGGCCGCCACCGATGCAGGCGGACCCGAGAGCGTACTTGGAGCCAGTTCGATTCAAAGCGTGGGCCAAGTGACCAGTGATTCGAGTACCGGAGGCACCAAGACTAAACAGAACATGAACAAACGCTATAAATATCGAGACTTACGGATGGCCAATGGCGATAGCACCACCACAAAGGTTGGTCTTGTCGTTGTCGAGGCCAAGTTCCTTCTGGACAGCGAGGAATTGAGGAGCGAAAGCCTCGTTAACCTCGATGAGATCCATCTGATCCAAAGTGAGACCAGCAGCAGCAAGAGCCTGCTTGGTAGCAGGGACAGGTCCGATGCCCATGACTTTAGGTTCACAGCCAGCGGAAGCAAAGGAAACGATTCGAGCAAGAGGAGTAAGGTTGTGCGCCTTGACAGCTTCGGCAGAGGCTACAACGACAGCGGCAGCACCGTCACAGACACCAGAAGCATTACCAGCATTCACAGTGCCATCTTTCTTGAAGACGGGCTTGAGCTTGTTGAGCTGCTCGAGGGTAGTCTGTGGCTTGGGATGTTCATCAAAATCCATCGAGACGGGCTTTCGGCGGATCTTGACATCCATTGGGGCCATTTCCGCCTAAATATAAGTCATTGCCAATACTTCAATCATTCAAACCTTGAAATGACCAGCCTCGTTGGCAGCGAGCCATCGTTGCTGGGTCTGGTAAGCATGGGCATTAGCTTCTTCCATGGTGATGCCATACTGAACAGCAAGATTCTCAGCGGTGATACCCATGGGAAGCTTGATGTTTTGATCAGTAAGACCAGCCCAGAGAGTGTCCTCAAGCTTGAGATCTTGGCCAAGTCGAGTGCCGAATCGAGCACCTCGGAGGGCGTAAGGAGCCTGAGACATGGATTCAGCACCACCTCCAATACCGATCTGGGTCATGCCAAGTTCGATTTCCATGGCAATCATGTTGATAGATTCGAAACCCGACCCACAGAGTCGATTGACGGTCAAACAGGGGGTGGCCTTGTCGATACCAGCGCGGAGAGCACTATGTCGGGCAATGTAAGCGGCATCGCTGGAGCTCTGCATGACGTTTCCGACGCACACGGAGTCGACGAGGGAGGGATCGACGCCAGCCTGAGCCATGGCAGCAACATTAGCGTGAGTCTGGAGGTCATTGGCAGTGAAGTCCTTGAGGGCACCGCCGAATCCACCGAAGGGGGTTCGCTTAGCGCCAACAATGAAGACTTCTTTGGTCAGTTTAAGGGCCATTCTAAATTTTAAAAATCGAAAGTTTTTACGTGCTTAGTTTATATATTGTTATCTTCTTAATTTTCCTAAAGGACGTTCGATAAATGATTCGAACAGAAAATGATCTGTTTTTAGCAGAGAGCAACAAGGACAGTATTCCAAGAGGAGCAACAAGGACAGTATTTTATCTGTCAGCCAGTTCGATTCAGGATGAGCGAAGTAAACAGAACATTGTTCTAGAGCTGATCATCGAGTGGCTATATCAAGGTGTTCGTTCCACTTTCGCTCGAGATCGATTGCACATTCTTTGCTTTCTTCATTTTCCTCTGAAAATTACGTTACGTAAACTCTGCGCGCTCTTACTCATTATTTTATTTACACGACGAATTAAGTCTTTCTGAAGAGAAAATACTCAATTACCTTCGTTAGGAATAAAGTCCGAATTAATCTCAAGGTCGTCTATGGGCAAAACCGCATTCCGCCACTTTTCGTCAATAATAAGACTAATTTTTGGATCCCGAAAGAGTCCCGACATCTAGGATCGACAAATGCCCCCGAAATCCGGATCGGGTTTTCATCGGATTTTCTTGAGCTCTGATTTTTCCGATCGGGTTTTTGTCGGGTTTTCGTCGGGTTTTCGTCGGGTTTTTGTCGGGTTTTTTATCGGGTTTTTGTAGGATTTTTTTCGGGTTTTTGTCGGGTATTTTTCGGGTTTTTATCGGGTCTTTGTCGTGTTCTCGTCGGGTTTTCACAACACGGAAGTTAAATCAAATAAATTGAATCCAAATCGGCGAAAATGGACATAATTTTTGGCTAACAGAAGTTTTGGTGCTCTCTTTAAAGAAACTGATGAGTAGATACGATGAGAAACCCGACAAAAATACCCTACAAAAACCCGATAAACGACCCTACAAAAACCCGATTTTCTAGGGTCGCCAAAATTTCAACGTCGGGTTTTTGTAGGGTAGGCGGAATCCAACAAAAACCCGACAAAAACGTCGGTTTTCGATCGGGTGTCGGGTGGGACTTGTCGATCCTAGCCCGACATGTCCACAGAAAAATCTTAACCAAGATTGATATTAATAAATTCGTTAAAAACGTAAAAAGAGTAGCATTTTTCGCATAAAAGGGAAGATTTTCTCTTTGTCTGGTTGGTTGCGCCCGGGTAGATTATCGAGTTGCATGGGTGCGTTTGATTGCTCATTCTAAGAGGAGAATAGATCTTTTAAACATGAAGATTTAAAAGTTTGCATACTATGGTTTTTAATGAATTTGAAGAATAGTAGGTTGTGAATCATCAGGGAAAAGTTGCAAGGTGCGAAAAACAGAAGTGGAATTGTTGTGAATTCTGACGTAAAAAGGCAAAACTCTAGTACGAATGTTCGAAAGGTTTCAAAAAGTAACTTCAAAAACTTGAATTTTGCTCTGTCATAATAGGTACTTATTTGCAGTTAAATCAAAAATATATAATATATTAAAGCGATAGACAGTAGATCTCATTGATAGAAAGTTATGGCAGATAATAAAAAGTGAACTTTGATTGAGTATTCTATCGATTGACGTTGATGATAGAGAGGACTTGTTTCTGCTTTTCATCTGACAAGGAGTCCAGTAAACTCTAAACAAGGATTTATAACATGATGAAAAAAGTATATGTTTACCTGGAACATATCCGCAATTTGGTCGACTTCTTGGTTCTCCGACAACTTGAGCACTTGCTTCAGACATTGATCGTGTTGATTTTGTTGAATTAAAATGTTCAAGTGCGAATTTTTATTCTCAAGCTGCTCAGCTAGCCACTTTTCAACGGGGATATCTTCGTCCCATTTGATACCGCTCTTGAGATGGTTCTGGAAGAAGTAACGCTCAAGTGTGGCTATTGCTTCATCCCGGGTCACATCGGGATCACTTTCTTGAATCAAATCCACGCAATTGTCCTCAAGTAACTTTCTCCGAAGTCGGTTGTAAAGGAAATGGCGGCATTCTGCAAGTGGCACAACTTTTGTCAAGCAGCGTTTGCTCGCAACTGCTTCTAAAACACAACTCAACTTTCGATGTTTGAAGATAACTTACGTGGCATGTCATGAAGGTCTGCAAATTGAATCGCAAGATTGTGGTACGCGTCATGAAGAGATTTGCTCCTCAAAGTCGTTAGCTCCGATGTTTTGCCGATCTCTTCCGTTGTCAAATTGCCACTGTTGAGAGTCGCCTGAAGCTCTTTCATCTGCTGGTCAAAGCGACACATGAGCTCCTGGAGGTTCTTGTCCTTTAGTTTGATCTTCACGGTTCCTTCTGGCTCTAACACACCGGATCGACTATTTGGATCAGCAAAAAGCTCGATTTTCGATGGATTGATGGACTTGTCGAGTACGGCCCAGGCTCCTCCTCGGAGCTCGCCCAGTGGCGGGATGTAAATCAGAACAGGTCCTGATTTGAACTCAGATAAAGCGTCGACAATCATCGCACCGAATTTCAAAACTTGGTCGTACATGTCCTTCATTCCTCCTGAAAAACCACGCCAGTTCGCTAGAATCAACAGCGGAAGGCCTTCTTGGTCGATATCTTTGATGGCCTGGGCGGTAGGGTGGCTCACTTTTCGGGAAGGTCTTCCGATTACGTTCTATCCTTGTCAGGTGGAATGTTTCTACCCATACAACATATAAAAAATAAAAATTCGAAAAAAAAATTTTTTCCCCAAAATTTTTTTCCAGAATATATTCTCAAAATACAGTTTTCGTACTGTAATTTCTCGGCACATACCCGAACCTTAGTACTAAATTACATTTTTCGAAAGAGCTCATCAAGCTAGTCATTATGATACCCATATCTTTTTTCGGACAGAAGTGTGACAAAAGTTATGGCCAGTTAACCCCAGGTTTTTTGGCCAAAATATCGAAAATTTCGAAAATTTAAGGCTTTTTCCTGAATTTCAAGGGCAGATAAAAATACTTTCCGAAAATCTCACAGGGGTGGTTGAGTGCTCAAAATACTCAGCAGAATGAGCTCTTTCAGATAAGCACAAGAAATCGGGTGTGCCGGGAAATTGTTGAAAAAGTGAGCCACCCTACTGGGCGGTCTTGAAAGCTGAATCTGGAAACCACACGGAGCCAGCTTGAGTGATTACTTTTTCGTGAGAGTTTCGATCAGCTGGATCGGCAGGAACTAGACTCGTTACTTGTCTTGTTTCGGCAGCAATAACACCAATTGGGATTCCTCCTAATCTACCTCTGCCAATAAGAACCGTCTTAGCCCAATCTGGCTGGAGTTCAAGCAGAGATCCTCGATCTAAAATGCCAAGATGATCGTCGTCTCCAGCCAGGATCCTGCGTGCATCATATATTTTCTCCTTGATTTGAACGGTGACTTGGCGCTCTGGAGGATCATCACAAATTAATTTTGGCACTTTCAGAAGCTTGCCCTTGACTGGAATGTAGCTCAGCCAATGGAGAACGGTTCTAATGCCTGCATAATCGTCGGCAACAGTCAGATGAGATACTCCGTTCTTTGACATGATCTGAGGCCCACCGAGTTGTTGATTTGACGAGTAGACACTGGACCCAAGAACAGAATTGAGCGCAACGAAGCCAGTCAAAATCACGAAGCTCGATTCGACCTGGACCACGCGTTGACCCAGTCTGACCAAGTAAGCTCCGATTCCAACAGCCCGACCAGTGACAAGTGATATCGTTGGGATTTCGCGATAGGCTTTGCTCGTTTCGCCCGCAATCAGCCCTGAGCCAGCTAGAGCTGCTGTGCCACAATCGGCAGATCCGATGATGGCGTTAATTTTGTACCTTGACTCATTTTCGTAATTGACATGTTCCGCAATGACTTGGCTTGAGAATTTGCTGTAATCAGTCGAAGACAGATAAAAATACTCCACAAGTCCTGCCTCCTTGTCTTTCCACGCAACCTGGAAGCAGCTCTGTATATCTTTGCTGAGACCGATCCGGGCGCCAGAATTGTTGCCAGTTATGTAAATTCGCGGTATACCTTCATCGCGAGCCAATTTACTCGCTGCGGCAAACAACGCGTCTTCAGCGGGACCAAAACTACCTTGTTGGACTGTACTGTCATTGGAGATAACGACGATCTCCCTTTTGCCTTCTATCGTTGGCTGGCTAAACTTCATGCGCCAGGCAACCATACCTACAGTGTTCTGTGCTGGATCACGCGTTACCTCATGAAGTTTGCCACTTTTGTCGAGTATAAGCTCGTTGCATGTAAACAGATCTTTGGGGTGTTTTACCTTTCTATCTTCCCAAGAGCTCTTCAATGCAGATTTGAAGAGAGACGGATAATCGTAAGCATATGCACAGCCAGCTGATTGAGCCTTGTAGCGAGCAGTTTGGAGAAGATCTTTAGTACTGTAAGGTGTGTCAGTTGAAAGTCCATTGAGGGGACCTGGATCTTCTTCTGGGCCGATTGAAACAAAGATCGTCTTTTGTGACTGAACGACTTCGCGATAAAGATGTGTCTCAAGGCGGAAACCGTCTTCTGAGCTCAGGAAGATGCGATAAGAAGTTGTTTCCTCTTCCTGGCGGACATTAATCTTAAGCTCAGCTTGTGTAACTCGCAGTTCCCATAGCCGCCGTCCATATTTGAGAACAACCTCACTGACCGAATTGAGAACTTCATTGGCCTCCATGTTGACGGATGGCGCGAAGTTCAGAAACACATGATTCTGGTCAGTTTTGTAGCTATGCGACTTGATGGCAACTTCTAGCTCGTCGAGAGATTCAATGAGAAGCCGTTCGCCCTCAGAACGAAGGTAACTGAAGCTCGCTTCTTCTGTGATCAGATCTGAATGGCGAATAATAGCGCGCACAAAGAAACGATGGTCTATCGATTCTTTTCCACACTGATTCTTGGCAATTCCATGGTAAAGATGCATGCGGTGATTCTGTGTTTGATAAAGCTTCAAAGTGAAGTTTCTCAGGCGAGACAATTCCAGTTGGAAAGCGAGGGCCGGCTCAAGATGACGGTAAATTTCATCTTCTTTGTACTCATCTCGTGATCGGAATGTGAAGAACTTAGGCATGTGACTCTTCTTGTGAACTGCGAAAGTTATGCGGCGGATGCATGCGTTTCTGAAGTCTTTTTGATAGTTTTGTGAAAACTCGCGGAAACGTTTCTCAAGCATCTCGTCATCTTCGCCTCCTTTCTTCGAGCGGAGGAAGACATTGAGTGTGTGCACTGCTGGTCCTTGATTACGCGATTTACCAACGAAAAAGACCTGGTCTGATGGCGGATCATATCCTCGGCCTGGTGGGGATTTCGCGCCATAAGGGTCGTCATCATCACTCATGTATGGATGTTCAGTGAGTTCTGACGAGTCAGACTCTTCGTCAGATTCTTCTGACTTTAGGTAGCCAAAGCAAGTCAGCACATCGTAAATATTATTCTCGAAGTCTTCAAGATTTTCATATGCTACCATCAATCCAGTTCGACCGAAACGAGACAGCTCTTCAAAGTTCTTTTCGTATTCATAGCCGGCGATGCATAGATCTGGAAAAGATTCGCGATTCTGTGCAATGCCCGGAGGTGGAATGTTGGCGAAGGATGACTGACGAGATGGGTGATTGCAGGGAAGGGAAAACTGGAATTCGACCGCGGCTTTGGACGTACCAATCTCGATGGATTCGACGCATTCGATGATGTAGGCGGTGTAGGCTCTAAAATGAAAGTTCGGGTACAGAGTCTCTTCTAAATACTAAAAGGTGCTCTAACCTCTGAACATAGACTTCCAAAGCAGCAAAACGAACTAGCTCGAGTTTGTGATAGAAAAACTCCGGCAGCACGTCGAAAATAGCTGTTTCTGAGACAACCAGCTGCTGAAGCCTGGCAGGGAAAACAAGGGCATTTGCAGAGTTATCAATTGCAGATAGAAATATACTCTCGATTTGATTGTGACGGCGTTGGAAGCTCGGTTGATGACCTGTGATTAGTACTTGACGGGCGGTAAGAGCACAAGAACAAGAGCGCAAAGTTGCCACTTCATCAATTTCTTCCTGCATTTCTGAAATTCAGATTGTCATCTATCACCAATGAGTAGAGAATACCTAGAATCATTTCCGCGTCGTGCTTCAGCAGGACATTGAGGATCTCGTGTATCAACTTGCTCTTCTCGATTCGATTTCGATGAGACAGAATCATTTTCGTGGTCAAGTCAAGATCCTCATTCTTGATAAGTATCTCCTTCACGCTCTTCTCGAATGTCTTTGACTGGAAGTGCTTTTCAATATCGGTAAACTTCTTTAGCATTTCTTTTATAACGCTCTTCTGAAGTCCTCTTATATCGTCGACATATTTATGACACAATGTTTCTATTTGGCTGACACTAACGTAGTGAAAGTTTCGGTCGTCTGGATTAGTTATTTTGGCGGCGTACAGATTCATGAATTTCTAAAATATAACTGTTAAATGGATCAAAACATGTGTTAGTACCAGAATTCTCATAGAAGGGAATCTTGTGAGCATGGAACCAAGACGATGTCCATATCTTTTCAACTCCTCATTAATTTGACCTTCTAACTCATCCGGTATCCTCCCCGAAAGTCGAGTCATCACTTCTCTCAGTTCGTAAAGGGGCAGTCGTCTATTTTGAAATATTGCAAACATCTGGGATACGCTAAATAATAATCTAGGCCTGTTACAAAATAATGTGATCTTACAGTCGTTTGACCCATTTTTCGATCCTTTCTCCGGCAACAGAATACCCGTCGAGAACAGCATGTATATTCGAAATGACTTTTTCGAGTTGCTTATGCGGTGGATGTCTTCTGTCTCGAGTGGAAGTAGAATGTATGCTGCCAGTTGATCCAGATTTCTTTCTCATCTCACGGGCAATTATTGCAGCGCCGTCACTTCCAGTTTTCCGACGAATTGAAGCATGAGATTCGCCGGAACTTAGACTTGCTGTTGACTCAGAATCATTGTCAGGGACAAACTCAGATAAGTCGCGCATGTATACTTGTGGTTTTGGTACCCGTAAGTTTGGTCCAAGTTCCAAGCGAGCAATGACGCTTCCGTTTGACAAGAACGCGCCTGGTTTCTTAGAATGAATGATCTTCCCTGGGAGAGATACTTTGACGGTCATCACCATTTTCATGACTTCTAACTCTGCGACATCTTGACCTTCCACAACTGGAGATCCATCTTCGACAAGAAATCGCACGAGTTTGCCAGCGGAAGAAGAAGTAATCAAACTTGGGTCCTTCTCTTTATCAAAAACAACAGTTTGATTGTTGATCGTAACGCGGTAGTTTTCAGCTGTCTCTTGCAAATAAGAACAGTACGATACTCCATTGAGTTGAACCAAAATTCCAGAGTCGGAAAGTCGGAAGATGCTCACAATAAGTTGCGTATTGTTGAGCTCGATGCAGAAGCTCGATTGAGCTGGTCGAGAAATCTTCAAGGATATCAGTTGGTTTCCAAGGATTAGATTAAGCGGGAGTTCTTTCGGAGGCAAACTTTGAATTGGCAGAATTT